AATGCTGCGTTTGGCTCCCCTGCAATAGGAGGTTCTCGAATTTTGCGACGCCAGCTTTGAGCCCTTCTCGCTTGAGAAGTGAGGCGACTGCGGTGCTAAGCTTGGCGGATGAGGATGACTTCTTCCTGTGATGTAGAAGTTGTGTGTCGTGTAGTTTCGATTGTTCATGTTTCACCACACTACTTTTTCCGCTAGAGGAAGTTTCGTGTGCTCTTTGTGAATGCGTGTTTCGTTGTGCGAGACTCAAATCGTCTCGCGTATAGTCGTGTCGTGTTGTAGAGCTATCCGATAGCTCTACAGATGATGTCGCCTGCTGCAATAGTGAAATCGCGCTGGCTGAGAAATGGCGTGTAGTCGTACTAGAAGATTGAATACTAGTACTTCTAGACGTACTAGTTGGTAAGTCATGTTGTTCTTCACCGCCTCTGCTCCTAAAAATGGGCGATGACGCTTCAGAACTCGACGAAGCCAAATGAGCTTCGTTCGATGTAGTTGTTGGTTCCTGTTCGCTAAAAAACAGGTCGTGATCGACCACCCCTCGATCACCAGAAAGTTTCTTCCTCAATTGTCCCTCCGCTGTTTTCGAGGATGAAAGTGCATCTTGTCCTCTACCACTAGAAGTAGTGGAAGAGCGCGTTCGTCTGGATGTTGAAGGTGCGCCTCTCGTCTTCTTCGTCGAAGTTGCTCCCTGTGACACGATCAACCCCGTGACGTTGGTTGTGGTCAACGTCAAGAACATCGCTAGCAATGCTGCTGTCGTGAAGAAATTAGCTGTTCTTCTGATAGTTGAAGACTTTAGAGAAGTACTTGCTGAAGAGGAGTTGTTGTTGCTAGTTGAGGCTGCTGAAGTAGATGCTTTGCCTTCGCGGTCTCTCGTGAAGACACGACTCGATCGTGATACTTCTGAGCCGCTACTTCGTCCCCCATTTTCCACTGCCATCCGCGCAGCTCCACTACCTATTCTACCCCAAGAACTAGAGGAAGACACTCTCTTCTGCTGCTGATCCCCACTGCCGCTCGCCTCCTCCATCGTCGTAGTGGTTGTACTTCTCCCCTGCTCCACTACCTTCTTAATCATCGTGCTAGATGAATATCTTGCACATGATGCTCTTGAAGAGGCGACAAGACCTGGTCTCCGCCTTCTTCGTCTAGGAGATCGTTGCCCAGATGTGAGCGACATGGTCTCCTCTCTAGTTAAAACCGGTTTAGATTGCAGTTGTGTACTAGGACTAGGTACAAGAACCGGTTCATCATCCACTATGGGATGTTCAGAGACAGCGTGCTTGCTCTGCACGTCGTTGTGATGCGCCAGCAGGTAGTACTTCTATGATTCTTCTTGGAAATCGTCGGTCTGCTGCTCTAATTTTGATGCCACTCCTGCTGCTCGTCTTGCTGCTGCTCGAGAAACGTTTTTCTAACCAAAGTATGTATTTTACAACTGGACTTCTTGTTGTCCAAACTCTGACTTACACTTACTTCTATGTGGTAGTTCCAATCAATGTGTCTATCTTTATGAATGTTGAGAGTGAGAGTGCGCGACTTTGCGTGGTCTCTTCTGTATGTTCTTGATATCTACTCCTGAGGGGAGGGAAAATTTTTCAGTTAGAAGTCGTAGGTCTAGGTGGGCTACAACAAATAACTAATTGATGTTTAGCAGAAGAATCTTCTAAATGTTTCACAATGGGTGTAAATCTAAAGCTTCTCCTTTCCCAATTCCAATACGTATTGTACAGTAAAAGTAAGATGACTCTTGTAACCTTCTTCCGCCTTCGACCGTGACCCTGCCAATAAATGTTTCGAAATGTCACCGCCTGTTTAGTACCCCAGGAAGGAGATACTGGTCGACGAATTGAAGCGAGACACAACAAGCAAGACGGTCTAATCTTCACGGCGGACCATCTTAAGCTGGGTAATATGGGAGATTTTTTTGATTGAAGGTGGGGATATTTCTCCAATAATAGAAACGGGTAGAAAGATTAAGATAGGGAAAAACGTGACACTGTTAGAATGATCAGAGATTAATTTCACTTGAACTAAATCCTTTAATAACTAATAAAGGCAAAGACACAACGATAGATGTACAAAGAAATCATTCATAACTTAATTTCACTCTCAACTTTTGCGAAATCGTCTTCTACTAACAGCACAGCTAAGAGAATGGGTTGGAGAGAGGATTGTTATCTAAATGCGACGTTGAGGTTGGTCATGAAACTGTGATCCTGAGCGTGATTCACAAGAATAAGGTAGGTATTTCAGGAGATCAATATTTAGAAAACTTAGATTATTTAGACTATTTAGATTATTTAGATTCTTTAGATACTGATAGATCAACTGCAACTCATCTCCTCATTGCTCAGTGGTTGTTTGTTACAGTTCATCGCTCAATCTTGTAGTGGTCTATGGGTATGGACTCAACGTGTCCTGGCTCAACACACACACACACGCAAATACTAGACCTCTACAAAACACTGACCAGGAGTGACTCACCAGGAAAACTCGCATGATCTAGATCTTCTACTTCGACAACTCTACAACTCGCATTCACAACTCGGTTGCTCTGGAGATCTCACCATTCTCTCGCACGTTCCCCTGATGCAACTCTTGAAATTCCATTACAACTCATTCACGCGCATCAACAGGGCTCTCTCAATCTCATCACTACTGCTGTACTCACGTTGACTGCTGTACTGATGCGTCTACCTCAAGAGACCTACGGACTCGCACACTGTTGTTCTGACATCTGCAAGCACAAATATGGAATTCCATGCCTTGCTTGATCATTGCTTCTTTTCTCCACTCTGGTAGCCTGCTCAGGCTCTGCTACTGTGAAGAAGTTCTTGCACCAGTCACGGCCGTCGCTTCCACAATTCGACAGAACACATCTTCCAAAATTCTTGTGCACATCACACTGCACCATGGAGGCTGGGATGAAAAGCATCTCAGTCTCTTTCTTCTACCAGCTGTTCTTTTGAAATTTGATGTCTTCTTCTGCGAGAATGATGAACAAGACCAGACTACCTATTGCTCTTGCTCAACATTCACATAGTACTAACAGTACGACTTCGTGGGCTACTGCACAGTACTAGCCCTGATGAAAGTCGTTTCCTCTAAAAGTCTATTTAGCTCACCTCGAGCGCGCGTATCACCACAGAACATCAATAACTACAGATACATGACGGACTATAATGACATCCTTTCGATTTAGGTTTCTTAGATTTTTCGATTTTAATTGTTGATGCGCTTCGTGATCAAAAATTCGATGGAAAAAACTTCAAGTTCAAGCTTTATTGTCGAATAGTACTTCTCCATCTCCTGTTTAGTATTAGTTAGATTTTTTAGATTATTTAGATTCTTATACAAAAAGACAATCATGTCTGTGATGCGCAGCTGCGAGCTAGTTCCAAATCCAAACTACATTCTTCTAAATCTTTAATTCGTTGAAGACTCCCTCGTGTTGTAAAACCATTACAACACGCTGCAAATAGCAATTACAATTACAAATTTTTCGATTAGTTCGACGCACCAGCAGCGGTGGGCGCAGAGAACTCAAGTGTGTCATCAAACTTATATTCAACATTCTGTTCCAAAGTTGCGTAATTCTTGCATGGTTCAACGCCGTACAAGAACTCATCAATTGTTGTTCGTAAGATGTTACATATAATTCTTCAAGATCAGCCAGTCCAATCTGCGTGACTTTAATGTCGTCGTCGTGATCCTTGCGTTTTGTGTTTCTTCGTTTTCATTCCATCCATAAGCTTACGCAAAGAGAAAGAAGCTATTCCTTAAAATCATGCTACCTCCTCATTGTGGAGACGAGGACGAAATAGATTTGAACAACATCCTTTAGATTTCTTAGAATTTAGTTTTGCTTCTTCCTGGTTCCCACGACAGAGAACTTCTTAACGAGAAAGAAAGAAGAAATTTAAGAATTGGTATTGGGAGAGCGAGAGGAAGATGAATGATTCAAAAGATATGGCGCGTGGGTATTACGTAGGTTCGACTGTTGCGCGGGTAGAAAACTTCTAAATAAACGCGTGTAGTCCTCATACAAGCTCGCCCCTTTTATGGAGAACTGTCACTGTGAAGAATCTACTTGACAGACAATCCAAAAAAAAAACGTACATTGATTGAAAACCACTACCCGAGCACGAGAGGGTTGATTCATTATGACAAACTACAGCTACACCTTCTATGTGAATTATGACAAGAATGGTGAAAGTTTGATCGTGTTTTCGACAAATCTAATGCGTCTACTCAGTCTCAGCTAGTACTTCTTTTGTTAGAAGCGAGAATCCCCCTCTTGCGCGTGGGCACCAAGGTCAAAAGAATTATTCTTAATTATACGATATTGTTAAGCGCGTAGTGATCATCAAGTTCGACTGCGTTAGAAAATCACATTTCTCCTCAAAAATGTCCATTTTTAGCATTACAGGCGCCATTACTCAATGCGAATCGTGCTTCTACCACTCGCCATATTTTGATATGCCCAAGCGTATGATGAATATTGCTATTGGAGGGACAAATGACATGCTGTCACCCTCAGTAGAGATGCTGTCCCGCTCTTCGCGTTATACGGAAATGCTGTCCCCCTCTACTAACACGAAGACGAAGCATGCTATCTTCGGAGGATAATAACTTGTTCCCACGACCCTTCTTTTTCGTTGTAGAAGTTCTAGGAAAATGTACCATAGATTATTTAGAAGTGGTAGATTCAGTTCTTTTTCGGGATGTTGTTCTCTTGTACAAGGTTCGCAATTGACTCGTGGGGAACCAGAAGAGCCTCCCTGCGGCTTATGCTAATTACACACTATCCTTTCTACTTGTATCATGATCTATTACTATTTCACGGCCGCTTCAGCTTCACCTCTTATATATAAATATGTATTTTTTATGTAAATCATTTCCATTCCCAGTGGTCCGCCCTCCCAACAAACCGCTACTCATTATTCCCTTTCCCAACACCAACAGGTACTTAATTAAAACCCTTCTACCACTTCTTCTCATTCCTCTCTCCGGTGCCACCCCATCATCGTTCGCGGGTCCAAATCGTTCTGCGTCAAACTACCTCCAGCATAGACGTCGGACAGAGATGCGCTACTTCCCGGTTGCAGAGAGTAGTATGGTGGCAAGGTGGACTGCTGTTGTGTCGGATACTGGTGGTGCAATGCAGATGCGCCATTAGTCATCACGACCCCCTGACCTCCTCCGTACGCACCAGCATGCATACTTGTACCAGCATCAGACGGCATCATACTTGGAGGTACTCCCGCAGAACTTGATACTGCTCCTTGTCCTGGTGCCATCGTCGCAGTGGTAGTAGATGGAACACGAGGACCATAGTTAGTAGTATGCTGTTCGTAGCCTGCACTTGCGGTGGAACCAGACGCGGCCGCACTAAGATAAGAAGCAGAATGATTCTCTACGACCGAACCGACAACGGCAGACGAGCCACCCACTGCTCCAGACGAACCTCCTAGTGCTCCAGACGAGCCACCTACTGCTCCCGCTGCTCCCCTAGTACCTCCAGCACCAAAAAATTGTCCACCATTAGAGCTGTCCGCAATTCATCTTCCAAGTGCATCCTTGGAATGTATGGGGGAGCCCTTTTCCCTCAGGTGGATACTCCTCGTCCATACATTTCATCAAGGATGTGATGTCCAAAGATGTATTCGGTACAGCCTTAACACCAGTTACACCAACACCTCCACCTGCAACACTGTTCCCAACAGCCGCTCCATCAGCGCCACGACTCGTCGAGGAACCTCCAAGTAGAGGAGCACTTCCTCCACCAACTCCGCTTTGCTCTACTTTTTCAGCAAAGCGTGCTCTGACATACTCCGCAATCGGTTGCAGACGTTCCAGCTGATCGTCCGCCATCACCTGGGCCGAAATCGAGTTCAGCCGTGAAGTAATCAACTCGATGAAGGATTCTCGATCTTCTTGCACGCTCGGCTCCCACAGGCGCATAGCTTCAATCAGCTTAATCGCGATTCGAAACTTGCGATAAGCAATGGGAACGTTGAAAGCGTGGAAAGCCAGAAGCGATTTGGTTACCTGGAGAGGAGAGGAGAAGAACTGTCTTTGATTCCGTAGCACAAACTCAGTAGATCTCTCAAATTTAGTGTCAGAATTCGGGATCACCTCATACCGTTTCTTTCCGTAGCACAAACTCAGATCATCTCTCAAATTTAGTGTCAGAATTCGTTGAGAAAATCTGAAAACGCCTACTTAGATGATCGCACCACACCCATACATAGACATACCGTGTGCAAGAATTGACTGTGCTTGCAAATGCAATTATGAGACACAAAATATGTACCAAATGCAATTATGAGACACAAAATATGTACGATTTGAGAGTTGTATGCCAAGACACGACAAAATACAGAAAACTTATACCGCCAACAATCCCCACATCATGACAGAGCTCCGGTCCTTCAGTTCCGGCGCGAAGTCGTACTTAACGATGTCAATCCTGCTAACGAAGTACGCCAGTGGGTCACACCACAATTGGTCGGCGGACTGTTTCTTTTGCAAGATTGATACAATGAAGAAATTGAACATGATGAAGAAACTGTGTTTCATCGTTTCCCTCGGTTCGAGGATACTAGTTTGAGAATAGCAGTGAACAAGATGATCCAATGAATAGATATGTTGTATCATACAGAATCAGATTCAGATACTACAACAAGATATAAAAACACAAACACGACCATCTTAATCAAATAGATATGTATCCACAAGATACAACACAAACACCATCTTCTTAAAAATCATTGAGTCCAAATTTCTGAAAAATCACAAATTTATAGTAGTGGAACAAAATTACCCCAGCCAGATGCGGCGCCCGCTTCACCAATTCGGCTTTGTCGATGGGCCAACTCAACGTCTCCGCCATGGTGTGCTGGACAGCCTGGTCCAGCTCGTGTCTCGACAGGAAGTTGTCCAGCAAGTCAAAGATGAGCCAATCTGGCTGGCGGTTGCTCTTGAGGGGGATGAATTCGGATCGTGGAACGTCGACTTCAGGCAGATAGAGCAGGTAGGAACAACCACCGGGCGCTGATCATGTAGTGAAGAGATTTTTGACATTGAGAAAGTAGTTGTTAGTTGCTTCTTTAGTATACTTAATTGGTAAATAAAAGATGATAAGGAAGATTTTAGGAGAGGTATAGTAGAGAGGAAGATTGAAAGTGGTATTTCGAAAAAAAATATGAACAAAGAGATGAAGATCTATATTAAAGGTAATAAGATGTTGTGCCCAACATCTCATCATGTGCCCAACATCTCATCATGTGCCCAACATCTCATCATGTGCCCAACATCTCATCATGTGCCCAACATCTCATCCAATGAATTACAAGTAACAAGTACCCAGCATCTCATCCAGTTGTAATGATTCCCGATCAATGGACTCCGATCCTCCATATCGCATCATCGCCGCCGTTTGAATGTCCGCTGTTGTCGGGGTCTGCATCTGAGCCCTCTGAGGACCAGCCGCGGGCGTTATTGGCTGCTGACTGTTAGCTAGTCCTGCTGCTCCTGGTGGTACGCTTGCAGCAGCCGATAATGGTGGGATAGTCGGTGTTGTACCCGCCATATGCATTGCAGCAGCTGCTACACCTGGTTGCTGCTGTTGATAACCTGATGAACCTGGTAGAACGGCACCTGGAGTACCTCCCGAACCCGTTACGCCCATAATCATTTCACCTGTTGTAACAGCACCTGCATTTCCACCAGCCATCTGCGCTTGACTGTTCATATAGCTTTGCATCGTTCCAGCACTGATCCCTGGCGGTGGAGGAATGTTTGCTGCGACTTGGACCACGTTTCTCGCCTGTGGACGTACTTTTTCCTCTCTTCGCACGATGACAATATTGAACTCCAGGTAATCGTCAACGGTTAAACCTCCCTGCTCAGTTCCAAGCTTCAGATAGACGTCGCGGTCGAAGAGCCCAGCTATCGCCGGACACTCGACGAAGCCGGCACTGATGTTGTGGTTCATCGTGGGTAAGGAATCACTGTGCTTGCGTGACAAGAACTACCTTTTTAACATCACATGGAAAGCTAAACTTTTCAGCACATGTAGAAGATTCCAATGATCACTGATGATCTTCACCAAGACAGCATTGTTGAGAGAAAAAACGAGAAGTACCCTCCCTGCTTAGTCGAGTTGTTGAGAGAAAAAACGAGAAGTAAGTACGTTCCCTGCTTAGTCGAGTTGTTGAGAGAAAAAACGAGAAGTACCCTCCCTGCCTTGTCGCATTCCAGATCTTAAGCTTGCCACGGTAACGCCTCTCCGGATTGGCCTCTAACTCTGCGATTCTGCGCGAAAGATCGTCACCAGTGAATGTTCTGTTGATCATATTAGTTTTGAGGATGCCAAATGTACATGTGTGTAAGTGTATCTAGATCTAGTGTATCTGTATTATTCATTCTAACCATATTAGATGCTTGTACTTCTATGTGTCATTCATCAATCTGAGCATTAGCATCTCCGTATGTAGCAACAAAAACGACGAGCCATGTGATGTTTCTACTTCTTGTCGTCCCGGTCACCAAGTGAAGACAAGTAAGTAATCAAAATCATAACTATCAGTTGCAACTCCGTTAGTACAAAATAAAGTAGAAGTACAATTGCGGTGGCGCGTGCTGTATCGCTGCTTGTTGCATTGGCGTCTGTTGCGGTGGTGGCCCAGGCGGTGGTGGCCCACTAGGCGGCGGACCCGAAGGTGGAGGTGGCGGCGGCAACCTCCACTGCATGTCTCTGTCAGACCTGTAACCTGCAGGAGTAGCAGTTGCATGATAGCCACTTCCCGCACCGTATGATGGACCGTGTTGTTGCTGTTGTTGTCCTCCCTGTAAAGAGGATGGCGCACTTCCCTGACTACCTCCAGGATAGTGCTGCTGCTGTTGGCCTTGTACAACAACACCGGCTCCTGCTGGCTGATACTGATGTTGAAGTTGTTGCCCATGGTGTTGACCTGGACTGCCGTAGGATGATGAGCTATTGTAACCACCAGTAGCAGTGCTGTAACCGCTAGACAGGCCGTTCTGAGCTGACCCTGAATGAGGATGAACACTGGACGAATAGCCACTGTAGCTACCCGCACTAGCACGCCAAGACTCGGGCTGCATGGCTGGTGGACGTCTAGGCAAGCCCTGTCCGAAACGACCGTCTATGATCACAACAGCGGAGTCGGAAACTGTTGGACCAGTAGCAGTACCACTTACTGACTCAGTAGTTGTAATTATAGTACTACTAGGACTAGCGAGGTGAATCTGCAAGCCGAAGGTGTCTCGGAGCCTCTGCAAACAAATCACCTCAGACTCAGGACTATTGCTGTCGATTCGGAGACGCAGGGTTCTTCCGGAGCTTGCAGTGGAAATACCAGGTGGCGGGGTGCTTGTCGTGGGGGCTGTTGTGATTGTGAAAAGAGATTGATATGATGATCATTGGTTTTGCTTTTGGGACCAATAAGTAGATTGAATGGTTCCGGCATTTGGTAACCTGAATTTGATCATAAGGGAAAACAAGAAGAGAACCCTTAGGATCAAACTCAGGGAACCATACATAGATCATGAACTCACGAAAATATTATCGCAAAATTATACAACTAATTCAACACCAGCACCACGTCGATACATCAGTAAGTAGTTCTGATAACCAGGTACCATCCTCATTCCCCGCGGCACTCTTTCCCGCAGTCATGGCCATCATAGTCCTGCCCTCTACAACATCTGGCAAGTTTGAGGAGGCTGACGTTTCTGGCGTCCCAGCCAAAATGCCGTCGCCATGTTCCTCACTACTCGTACCCCCCGTCAACGACGTAGGTGACTGTAAGTCCTTGTTTGGCGTGAGATGTCCTCTAGTCTGTTCGGTGGCCGATTCATCCGCGGACGCGGGGTTAGTCGTGGTTAGGTCGCTTGCATCTACTCCGCGACCGGGTGTAGCTGTGGCGGAGGAGATAGTACTCCCGTTCTTGTTGGATGTTTCAGGTCGTGTCCCGCCGGTCACTTGTTCAACATCAAGAACAACATTTGGAGGTGTTCCATTCGTTGAAGCATTCGTATTTGGTGTGTTCAACAACGTTCCTCCCGAAGATGCTCCACTATTTTTAGATGCTCCAGCATAGTAAAACCCGCAGTTCACAGCTCTCTGGACAAACGCAATTAAATCATCATCCTCGAAGAAGTTGTGCGAAACGTCAATCTCCACGAACATCCCACTGCCGATGACGTTCAAAACCAAGTCTCGCGCACGAGTAGTAAACCCATTATGAGCTAAGGAAACGGTGGCTCGAGCACTCTTCCGCGAAGTCGAAGTCCCTAAAACAAGGCTAGATTAGAGCTCAAAACGTTTCATTTCTTGCCTGCATTTCTTCAGAATCCCAAGAAGGAAACTGCAAGAAATGACTTGTAGAAATGAATTCTTTTGAGCCTTAACTAGAGGGAGAAGCCAAGGGCAACTTCGACAAGAAATAAGCTACACCGTCGCCCTTAGGACCGAGGAAATTGCTTTCCAAATTCACCGTGACACGCTCGTAACTACTCGGGTCGAGAGAGAGGTTATCTGGTCGCGTTGGTAATTGGTTGCAATTAGTAACAAGAATCCCTGCTGGAAATATCAAGTGATTAGATCATACCCATATCATCTGTGCGTGCTGTGCTTTTGCTCAGGCTGTCAGGCTGTAATAATTGTTACACCACGACACACGTTACCATTAAAGCTCATGGTCATGCCCATAGCAGCGGGGTGTAACAATTAATACGCCACGGCATCAGGTCTTGCGAGAGCTACAACCAATCAACACATCATCAGGTTGAGTAGCTACGCCTTCGTCTTAGTTGAAGGAAGTAACTATGTCAATGCTCTAACTATGGTAAAGATGGAAAGAAACACTGTAAAAATTTTTAGTACTTTCTGTCAAGGTGATATCGGACCAGCGTTCCAAATCACGTGCCCGAAACCGCGACTCCTTCAGGTCTAACACCACCTGCGCCTCCTCTACGAATAAATGCTGCTCTCCGCGTACGCGTCTTGAGGCACCAGTTTGCCGGTTGTTCGCTGCAGCTCCTCCAGAGCTACTACCATTTTAGAGTCTGGTAGATTGCATCTCGGCCCCCTCATCTTGACCTCTTTTACCTTGTATTTCACGAGAATACAAGGGAAAAGGGGACCAAGATGCCGAGAATGATGGACACTAAATGTTGACCATAACCATTACCATGCTGGGAAGTAGTACTACTATACAACTGGCTCTCCTTCTGGTGTTGGCCGCCTTCTCCTTCTGTAGTGGAGGTCATAATCCAGCTTCTGGTTCTGTTGTGATAGTTGCCTGGAGCTGGGTTATTGCCTCCACTAGTAGTGTGGTATCCTCCGCCACTGCTATTATGGGAGTAACTATCATTAGAGCTTCCTGGAATCATCCATCTTCAGCGCCATCTTGGGCTTGCTTTTCCCTTAGAGGAAGGTCCCAAGATGCTTCTGGAGATGGATTACCTGGTGAAGCCTTAATATCAGTTCTCTGGTGGCCTTGGTAACTTACCGAAGATGTTGGATGGTAACTACTCTGCTGATGGTAACTACTGGTCTGCTGTTGCTGGTTATAGGAAGTACCAAAGTAAGACGACTTCTGACTTCCACTTCCTGGACCTGGGTAGTGTTGACCTCCACTTCCTGGATGTCCCATACCCATCCCACCCATTCCTCCTTGGTGTTGATAACCTCCTACTACGTTATTCTGGTTGTATCCACCACCTGGTGCACTATTCATGTTCTGCAAGTTGTTGTAATTGTTGTAGTTGTAACTACCTCCGCTATTGTTCTGCATCTGCTGTTGGTGAAAGTTGTTCAAGTTTCCGCTATTCCGCTTCGCCTGGAACCCAGGGGCAGCGCCAGGTGGTCCTGAGGACCAGTAGGACGTTGATGTTCCGCGACCACGCATCTTGTCTGTGTCGTGATGGCGGTAGCGTTCGTTTCCAGGTCGTTTTCCTTTTGCTTCAGGTTCGTTTCCAGGTTCGTTGCACTCGGCTCAATTTTAATCGACTTCCGCGGCAACAGCGCAATCGTTGGATCGAAACTCCGTAGCTGCACAGCACGTTTTGTCGGAGCCGATCGAAGCAAGCAACTACGTCGTGCAAGAGACGGAGACCACCAAAAAATTTAATTTTATGAAAGGATCACGAATAAGATCAACAAAGATCAAGACAAAGACACGACAACTTCATTCGGTTTAATATTTGTTAGTTTTTATTTCCTTGTTGTGCGCAGTCAGAAACCTAGGTGTGATCTTTCATTAAGTATGCATTTGAATTCAGAGATCGCGTAAGACTGGGACTTTACTCCTGTGTTCGATGAAGAGGATGAAAGTCTACTCCTTCAAAATTAGGAGTTTTTAGTACTTACAAGTTTTATAGTTGTATACTAGCATTAGTTATATACGAGCTTGAGCTTGTAGGTCGTGGAAGAACTACTACGTGCTTGGAAATCATTCGATGCACAGATTTCGATGTTGAAGCCTAGTATATTTATGATGAAATGAAAAATACCTACTACAGATAACGTCGGGGAAATCTCAGGCAGATCGCCGAGTAGATTAACGTCATCATCAGATCAACTTTTACTACGCTTTCAAGTAGACTGGGAAATTCATATTTGAAATACTTAGCACCTCTACTGCGCAAGTTTCAATACTTTCGAACAACGACCACTCTTTTATTACATCAGAAGCATGAAAATGAATCACTATTATGGGGTAACATCAAGGGCGAGGATCAGATCTGACTTCAATGAACAAAAATAATAACTTTAGATGAATTGTGACGTGCTAGCGACGTAGTGGGGTCCTAATCCTACCAGCACCAGTTACTTCTTCATACAATTGGATTTAGGACTAGGAAAGGACATATAAGTCTACTAGTAGTACAATCTGTAAGTAGACAACATCTAAATCTATTCGAAGAACTGAAATAAGCAAGTAACTGATCCGGATAACCGAGATACTGATGACAAGAAAGAGTAGCCTTGATGTTATATATAAGCTACCTCCCTTACTTCAGTCAGTAACTCGGATATTTTGAGTTTTCGAAAAATACTTCAAATAGGAGAAGATACTTGTTGCTGTTGTTGTAGAAACACTCTGTATAGAATACCTCTACAAGGTCACCTTGAATTACAAATATATTGAGCATGCTTTCTTGACTTAATACTGGGGATAATCACTTGTGTTATTTTTTAAGAGAAAACTTTATTGATTGATTGATTTATTCAAGGTTACTCACAAAGACAAAAGGGGACACAAGATACGACTGATCTGCATCTGTGAAAGTGAATGGCATGGTTGAAGATGAAAGCGTGGCCTCCATGAGGCAAGAACCTGACAGCCCTCATCTGCTAGAGTGCTCATGTTGTCTTCCAAAGAACGTGTGATACCAAGACTTGCATCCTGCGCAAGTACAATCCTCGTTCCGGCGAACACATTTAGAATGATCCCTCTTCTGCGTCGTGGCTCTTTTCGTCTCCCTGCGTGGTCTCAAAGATTCAGCGATCAAATATGGCGTTTCTGTTTGTGCTTACAAAAGATATCACTCACAACGTAAGTAGTTTGTGCCTGTTCCTCGTCGTACAAAAAATTGCGTTCCATCACCTCGTTTGTTTCGTCGTCAGTCTCAAGCACGGCTAGAGAGTAGACGAATCAATACATAGATTCATTGATGCACACCGTTGAAGTCAAGAACTGATAGAAGAAAGTTATGCTGCGACGTCAGCGTCGGCATCGAACACACAAACGACCCCCTGAGAGGTGAAAGGACAACTACAGCTTGTCGCAGAGAGAGAACTCCTAGATTCGGCTTCATCTCTGCCTTTCTTTTGCGCTTTGGTGATAGTTGTTGTGGTTCTGAGCACTCGTTCAACATTACACTCGTTGAAGTCTCGTAGACCACATGGGACTCGTTTCTTTTTACACAAGGTTCAAGTGAGAGGGGTCATTCTTAATCTTAGGGGTAAGAAGATGAACATAAAAACCTTGAAGAACTACAACAATAGCATCATCAATGGAGGGAGGACATCAACGGAGGTTTCGGCTTCATCTTCTCAATATCATGCTTGTGTCCCCAGTTCTCTACTCCTTTCTGTAGCTGCTGAGACTGCTGCGATCACGCTGCCTCGAAAGCCACTCGCTTCGAGACTTCCCGTTCCTGCGATTGTTGTGCCGCCTGGAGACTCAACTGCGTTCTTAAGCACTGCTGGATGTTCTCCTTTGAGGGTTAGAAGAGCTGCAGGTCTGTTTCACTTTCAAGAGTGCTTGCTAATATTTGGTCCTCCAAGTACTTAGTAGTTATTACACCTCCAAAGACAAGAATCACAATGTTTCACGACTAGTCTCCTTTGCTATTAATAATGTATAATTGTCAATTCCAGGTGGTTAACGCGACCTCATTATGTTCCTGATTCAGTTGCAACATCGACATCAATATCTTATCAGTAATTCACCACGTCCACAACTGCCAACAAGAACATCGTACTCGAGGAGACGATACTACAGTTTACTTTTACACCATCATAACTCCAACACAAGTTTGGCGGCTCCGAAAACGGTTTGCGCTGCTAGCTTCATGGCCAAGGCTCGTGGTAATCCTTGTTTTACACCTCCATCCGACATAGCCTCAATCATCATGTACACGTACGCTGGCCCACTGCCGGATAAACCCGTTACTGCATCGAGGTAGGATTCGGAGGAGACCTGTTCACATTGGTTGTAGATGTGCTATAGTTGTGAAATCAATGGAAGGGTAGTCGTAAAGCCAGCTGTTTTTAGGGTAGTTGTGCCGCACATGATTTAATATTTATTGCTGATGCATATCTTGCTGTCTAACGCTGTACCTGACAACACACTCCAATCGCTGAGAAAATGCTTTCGATCTATTGCTGATGTACCTGACAACACACTCCAATCGCTGAGAAAATGCTTTCGACAAAAGCAATCTTGGGGGTTGCGCTTTCGTCTTTAAACGGAGCGACCGCATAGGCGGAAGCTGCGGCGTTGACTAGAGCAGGGGTATTCGGCATAACACGGATGACTTCACCATAGCTTCCGACAGAGGAGACGAGAGTCTGTTTTTGTTTTAGGTGTTGAAGAAAGAATAAGAAAGGTTCTTTACAACTTTTACAGTGTTATTATTCAATAAGTAGGTTCTACTTTACAGTGTTAGTATTTAATAAGTAGGTTCTTTTTTTAGCAGCGAAACTTAGTACCAGAGGGGCTACATGGTTGCGTAGGTGGCCTCATCTTCAATCAAATTATGCTTGACAAAGTCAAACGGATGAATCAAGTAGTACGTTCTAGCTACTGGCAACATTTAGTACTTATTTCATTTGACGGATCTAAGTTGTAAGTGAGTACCTTCAACGTCACTCCCGCCATAATGCTGACAAAAACTTTGGCAGGTCCTTTTTGCGCCACTGTTGCCCTATCCGCTGCTCCACCTAGTTGGGTGCATAGGACCCCAAAAGCTTGCGGTTTTACAGCGATTATGATCACGTCCGAGTCTAGCACCACTTTCGCGTTGTCTTCCGTCACGTTCACTCCATAGGTTTTCTTCAAATAGGCAAGTCGATCGGGGGTGACGTCGGAGACCGTGATTTTGGATGCGGGGACAAGTTGATTTCGTACAATGCCACCAAGCAATGCTTCGCACATCATGCCGCCTCCGAGGAAACCCAGGGAGTAGGTTGCAGCAGGAGAGGTTGCTGAACCTCCAGCGATAGTGCTGGACGAAGTAGAGGGAGTTGCAGACGACATTTTGTTGATAATGTCTTTGTACTTTCGTATCGTCTTATTCTAGGAGTTGGAGTAAAGGAGAAGTACTGGAGAACGAGGTAGTGAAGGAAAATCACGATTCTTGCAAATACTAATACCTGTGGAATTTTTAAATGTAATCTCTCTCTCAAATCTCAATTCATATAACCGCTTTTGCCAAAGAATCTGAATCTGTCTCCTAGACCATCTCTGAACCTGAGATCTAAAGAGCAGAAGCGATCTTCAGATCTTCAAGCACAGACCTTGCTGATGAAGTAGAAAAGGTGGATGAAGAGAACAAGAGCACATGGGAGTCAGTTCGTTGCTCTTCAACATTATCAGTTTTTCGGGTCACCTAGATTATGGTCTGCGAACCAAACATGTTCTGCTACGAAAAAGGGATCATCCGTCTGCTTGGCAGAAGTGTTTTCATTCCTCGTAATGATGAAATCATGATAGATATTATGAAGCGTAGTGGCGATTACTGCTATAAGGTTATTTGCGTGGTCTTTATGATGTACATGTAGTTGATGTAGTGTGTATGAAGGTGTAGTGAATCTTCATGTTGTAGCATTAGTCCCATCCCCAGCCGCGCTCGCACGCTTTTCTATTGCCTCCAAGCGTCTTCTCCTCATCTCCTCTGGCGTTAACGATGCGCTTCCGGCATTGCGTGCTGGGGTCTTAGAGGATGAAAAACTATGGTATGATCTATAGTTGTTCTATAGTTCTTCGCTTCTTTAAAGCAATCAATGTACTTGCATCTTTAATGATAAGATGAGCCGAGGACTTTCTAAGATCAGTATTTCGGAGGAGTAAGAATGAATCAAAAGGAAAAAGACCGCCTTAAAATTCGCTCCACCACCAGCACTTCCGTCGCCTCCTAGTGTGTACCCCTTGCTGGCCCACATTTTCATTGGGTCTATTTTGGCCACAATTTCCTCCACATCAAAGCCTTCGGCTTTAGGATTTTCCTCATAGCCTTGACCAGCCAGTATGCCTTTCCATGAGGAACCGAGTGATTCCATGCGCCTGTGGAAGAAGATGAAATGGTAATATTTACAAGGTTGTTGCAAGATCATCAACGAGAAGAAGGGATAAAAAGAAGCGTAAGTAAAAGTAACACACGATTTTGCTTCCTCGTAAAAATAATGAAGCAAATGTACCTGAAACTCGAATCGATTCGTTTCCCAAGACAGTAGAAAATGGCGACGTCGCTGAAACTATTACAGTTTTTCCTCAGTAGGTCGTAGTGTCCAGCTGGAAAATACTGACTCAATGCTGCTACAACCTGGCTTCCGGTCTTGTTTGATTTTCCCATCTTGATCAGCTTCATTTGCGAGAGATTAGAGGCGTGAGTGGAAGAGCACCATCGAGTGGAATTGGTACAAGAACAAAAAAGGAGGAAGACAACGACAACACCAACAGGCTTTCTTCTGGGCTACTTTTTAGCTGCGAAAATGGCGCTGTCACTGTGTTAAAGAACGACTCTCGTGCTGTCCTTGGTTCTTTATAGACTAAACATTTTTCATTTTTTCTACTACACATCTGCAACTAGTACTCACGACACTCGGTTATAGAAGTTATTCGAATAGTACACCTTATCCTTAGACCACATTGATATTGATGTCTTCAACTCGTCCCTAAACAATGATCCAGGAGCACCTGATGAAGAGCTTGCACCTCCTCCACCACTCTCCATCATGCTTTGATTTGAATTGGCCAAATCCACACCATCCTTCTGAGCTCCTATGGCACGATGAGAAGCGAAGTCGGAGGATGAGCTTATACCTGAACGATTCGGGATGAGGAGGAACTTATACGTATACCTCAGGTATAAAGAGAAAGAAGAGAAGTCTAAGTCAGAGGATGAAGATCTTTTTTATATAATTACCTGAAGAAACTTTCTTAGAAAGTGGAGGTGGATAATGTTGATAGAAAAGTTGGAAATCGCAAACAGAATAAAGTTGAAGAAGAAGAAGAAGAATGAAGAGAATGCATGTTGAAGAAGAAGAAAAAACGGAGACGAGTGTTTGTTCTACTGAATAAAACACATGAAGAAGAAAGAACAAGATGAGGTTGAGGTCTTCTTGTTCCTAGCAATTATTGCATGAAGATGATACTAAACCTAAAAACCACCATCATCCTAAATACCACCATCATCGAAAAAGTATTCGACGCCGTTAATCACCACAGAGGTGTGGTACGCCGTCGCCCCAGGTATGCCACCTAGAGGGGAGTATGCTAAATCTGTTAGAGGGAAAATTGACAAAGACAATGCAACCTACTAGGGAGATGTATGTTGCCAAGAAGAGAACTGTGCCTGAAATGAGTGAAGACTACACCTCCTAGAGGTAAAGAACCTGAACCAGAGGCGGAGCGCGCCACCTAGAGGGGAGTATGCTAAATCTGTTAGAGGGAAAATTGACAAAGACAATGCAACCTCCTAGGGAGATGTATGTTGCCAAGAAGAGAACTGTGCCTGAAATGAGTGAAGACTACACCTCCTAGAGGTAAAGAACCTGAACCAGAGGCGGAGCGCGCCACCTAGAGGGGAGTATGCTAAATCTGTTAGAGGGAAAATTGACAAAGACAATGCAACCTCCTAGGGAGATGTATGTTGCCAAGTCTATTAGAAAGATGAAGACCCCTTCTACAAAACGACCAACTCCGGAGATTGTTTTTGTGTACTAGTTTCTTGATCTTCAACATCATGATCAATATGATGATGTTGTAGTGATGTCCTGAGTTGATATAGTACTTCATCATGATCCATAACTGTATATCATTTGGGCCATCGTAGTATTTGGATCGGTCGATGTCGTCCGGAACACCGTTCCCTCCCTTAGCCTTCTCAGCAGATTGCTCGGCGCCCATTTTTTGAAAAATCTAACCTTCAAGGTAGGAATAAATATGTATGTCGGTCTGCTCGTTGAATCTATCTTTTCAGCATGTCATGTCATACTACCTTTACGATAAAACACACTACGAGGATCGTCAGCATGAACAAGAAGCTCGAGTTCTTAGAACAGGATCAGCTGCAGCCTTTTCAAGAAAAATAAGGTATCAAAACCAAACGAGGATCGTCAGCATGAACAAGAATAAAGTACTTGGAATTAGATGCTCGAGTGCTTACGTAGGATTCTTAGATCCAGCTCCAAAAAGAAGAAGAAGAAACAACAGAAACTGCACAGTGTCGGAAGCCTGATAGTGGACTTGCGGCCAATTTATTTTTATGGATTCAAGGTGACCTACGTTGCAGCAAGGTGAGCAGATGCAGATGTCCTCCGACCAGCGTCTTTCGCTACTTCGCATATGGAGCAGAGCAAATGCGAAGGCTCCTGCTTAGTATACAAATACATGTTGATCTTCATGACGAAGAAGTAGACGTAGAGCAGCCTTTTTCATAATTCTTAGCTGTAGAAAGTACAAGCAGAGCCTTTTTCATAATTACTACTTAGTTGTAGTTCATGATGACTACGACGTTGCCCTCTTTCTCTCCAAGAAGACCTAGAACACACCTTGATGCTGCTTCGACTACTCAACATTTGACACATGATCATCATCATGGTGTCCGCGTCTCAAGTAGCCCCTCTAAATTACTGGCAAGACGAGCAAACAGATCCAATTCTTTGTTGGTCTTGGTGCTGTCAAGTTCATAAGAGGTATGTATCAATGTCGAAGACCTGCCTACATTGAGGCATACTCGAAACAGAATCTCGCGAAAGGTGACATTGTTACCTCCGCGTTTAAGTCTCGTGCAAGTGGTTGGAGGTGACGGTTGCAGGTCGTGGTGACTCTAAGTACAGTATAGAAGTTGTAGAACTACTAGTACAGCTAGCATCTTCATACCACCACCTATCATTTTTATCACATCACATTTCTCTTTCTTCTGATTCTACTCGTGCATTATTTGGTTACGAGCAGCTTGAATCTGCTTAATAGCATCTTCTAGCTCAAATATCTGCTGCGTATTGATGCTCTTGACTTGTATGTGTGTCTTCTGCAACTTATCTCTCATTTCATGTTCGGTTGTTACAAACTTGAGCAAAGCATCTTCCACACTCCCTTCTTCAAGTTCTGAAGCATCACCACTTGAGTCTTGTTTTGCACTCCCGTTATCTCTAGTGTCTGAAACATCACTACTTATTTCTAAGTCTAGTTTTGCACTCCCGTCAGGGCCATGGACATCTCTAGTAGTGTCTGATAGAGCAACTTCTCTTTCGTGTGGTAGTTCCAGACTCCCTCTCCCTTCAGCTTTAAGTTGTTCATCGGCCGTGGTCGAGTCACGCGCTACAGATGTTTCTTGGGCAGCATGTGCCTGCGTGTCTCCTTGTTTGATTAGGGCGCTCAGGTTGATGACCTATCTAGCTGGCATATCTATCATGGCTTTATTTCTTGAAAAAGTCCAAGTCTTAAATGTGCGTATTTTATTACTAGATACGTCAAGTTATACTTCTCACAACCCTTAAGTATACGAGCGTGTCTAGTGCTTCACTGATCTTTGCCTGGAAGCCATTACGAAGCGCGTTGATGTTGGCGGAGATGGCTTTGTGAAGCTCCTCGTAGTCTGCACCAGGTCCGACCTGCAGGTCAAAGCGGCTTCTCTGGAGCTCCAATGCTATCTTGGCCGAGTTGACCGGAAAGACTGGTCGTTAGAGCGATTTGCTAGGCGCATCAATCAACAATCTAGTAATCTAGTGCCTTCTTATATATAATGATGTATTGTATTTTTGGTACAGCTAAAGCTAGTAAATAGTATAGCACTTGTTCTCCGATTGCGGAAAACAAAAACTGTTTTCCGTTTTCGACTATTCAAACTGCGAAATATTAGAAATTCTTCTTTACCTATGAAATCCCAATTCCAACATGTCACCCAAGGTAATCCCCATCCATGCAAGGGTTGCTAAGCCGAATAAAAATGATAACAACCTAGACCGTTGAGATTACAGGAAAAAAGCAAAACCAAACACTGACTTCATTTTTTTCGCTAATCAGGTGGTACGAGTCAGATAAGGAGAGAAGTAGAAGGTAAAGAAAAACTAGAACATATGGCTACAACGAAGAGTGCCTGGCTTTTATGTAGTTTGAAGTCTGTAACTCACCAGTTCCTATGATCATGATCAGGTAGATTTAAATCCATGAATTTTCATTGAGTCCCAAGGAGTACTAAACCTATTAAAGAGCGATGTAGTCACAGAAAGGTCGTTCGAAGCAAATAGCCTTAACCGAGCCACGTCCCGGTCTGCTCCTTAAACTTCAAGGCTTCAATGGATCCGTCAAAGGCTATTTTTGCCAGAGGTATTAGCGCGTTTCATATATTATATTATAATATGTGATGAGTCATATTGTTCATGCAGGTGGTCATCTACTAGGTCTTCTTGGACATTCTCGGCATGGGACTATTGCTTTATACAGCATCAGCATATCAAATACAGCATAAACACATTGCATAGATGTTACTGTGCTAACGGAGATTAGCCATCTTCGAGCATTTGAATGATCCATTCGGCAAGTTGAAGTTGCCACCTATGATTTCTCTGACAACCTTCCTATTATAGCAACATAACCGCTGAGCTTCAGTGCACTTCGTGGTCTGCTGATAGGCTTCGCAATTCTGACCGGAAAACACATCGTAGAGCCCATGTGCTCTCTTTAGGAGTACCAGACGCGTTATTTCACTATGCTGACGGCATTGATGAAGAATGCCTGGAAGCCTTCAAGGATCATGATCCAGCACAGCCCCTTTTTGCTCTAAGGTAGAACTACCAAGTCCCTTTCTGGTAGAGCAATCTCTTCAATAATTTCGCAACAAGATGAACTTCAACTTCTTGACATTCTTGCTTCTGCATACGCATAGTGAAAAGCCAAAGTCAAACCCTTAATCTCGCGAATGCTTGATAGGCGCGAAACATCACAATTTGAACGAAGGCTGATGCCGACAAGTGTTCTGGTAGTTTTTCGCGTTCTTGCGTGATCTTCGTTGATGTCATCTCCAGCCCAGCATACGTTGATAAGAGCATCTGCGTGGTGCCGAGCTCCTGCAACATCCCATCCAGCAGTTCTACGAGCATTGTTAGAGCTAGTCCTTTTTGTTTTTGATGTTCTCCAGGCCCTCTTCATCTTCTAGATGTGGAGATCCCGTTCGGTAAATAATTCTGAAGGGACTAGTAGATTTTTGGCTGGTTAATTACAAGGAATCGTCTTGCTAGTAGTATGATACCCAGGACGAGATGACCACCACTAAATTTAAGTATTATCATAAGTTTAACTTGTTCGTGTTCCAACTTGTAGTAAATCTCAATGAAAGTCGTGAAAGAAGAGTTGTGTTTTTTTCGATAGATGATAGTCTTCTACTTGGAATGGGGATTGTGGAGTTTGCATATAATTGGACAGCTTAACCTTTCTTGTGGAGATTCTTTTTTTGCTGCATGGCTGTCATCCTTGACGAGTTTCTCGTCACTGTCCCTCTTCCTGGTCAACGACAACGCGTAGTCACTAAGTGCCTCCTCATCCACCAGCCTCTTTGCTTTTTGCTTTTCCAACCTCGCCAATTTTGACGTGAGGTCACTGATTAGAACGGGTCGCTAGGTGCGGTCATTTTCCAGGTACGACTGCATACTCAGTGTCGTTTTACGTCATTAACGTGAGAAGTAATGTCTGATGATGATCACAAATAATAACAGCCTCATAATTTTCACGAACGCAATTGAAGATGTCTAGAAGTAGCCGACGATCATGAGAAGAAGTGCCGTTGTTGCAAATAAAGTCGATTAACCCATACTCAACAATCTTAATTTTTGGTAGTCTTTTTCGGCCTGGTTGAGTATCCGGCGTTGCTTGCCGAGGCTTGCAGCCACTTCCTCTTCTGCCTCTCGAAATATTTCATCAAAATGCTTATTAGGATTAGCTTCAGCTGCTCGTATTTCGCTCGCACTGTGCTCCGATTCGGCGTCTGCCTCAAGGTCCTTTTCCGACATGGCAGAATGATCACCTGCTTCTTCATCGACGTCCACTCTGTGAAATCCTTCGACAAGACCACACTCGTTGATCTGGATGATGTTACTTTTCTCCCCTCTAGAGCTAGACCATCATGGCTACCCTTTTCCCCTGAAAAACGTGTACCCGATCATGGGGGAGCCTCGATGGTCGTGAGGATGGAGAGAGTAAACATCATCCATATTTGATGAGGCGAATGAGAGAGTGAGAAGGGATCTTCGTGGACTCGATCCTAGAGACCGCGGCCGGAAATTGTAGTTTAATACTTGCTATTATTTCTTCCCTTGGTGCTCTTTCTTCATCTACGTTGGGGTCGTCGGCTTTCTGCTCTTGACCTCGTGGTCCACTGGTTGTTGTACTGGTTTTTATGCTGGCATATTCTTCTTCTAGTGTTTTCCACAGCTTTGTTGCGTCCTTTTGCGGGTAGAAGCGTAGTGCTTCTAGCGCTCGTCTCAGGGGGTGCGGATAGCGTCGATGGGCCTCTATGTCGTCAACAAGCTTTTCTACATTAGAGCGGTCTACAAGTGCAACTCCTGCATAATAATAATATCAACCATCTTTATGATCTGGCGCACCATCAAATTGATAAACTTATACTGTTGGAACAAGGGATCAAAGCAGTGTTGGAACATTCGAACACAGACTGTTAAGTCGCGTCTAGTTTCTCATTGAGAAACGCTTGAGTTTGATACAGATTGCACTAACAGCCTGAGACGAATGATCTCTGGCTGCTTTGATCCCTGTGGATGTTCATTGGGGTTGCAAGGGAAGGAAGTCTCAGCTTTTCATTGGGATATCGTGTTGCATGGGGAAACTTTCATATGCTTCATATGGGAACACCTATGCCATCATCATTGACTCATACGATCATCCTTATGCTCTTTGAACTGATCAGAACTGACAAGACGTTATGAACCTGGCTACAGCTATGAACATTCGTTATTTCTGCTATCTGAATACGTTGAAGGTCCTTTGCCTGTTGATCGTTGCTTTTGGAACCATACGCATTTAGGTCTGTAGGTTTCCTTGAGATCTTTCCTGTGTTGCTTTGTCCTTGACTGTGTTGAGAGGCTTGAAACGACAAACGAGAGAGAGAGGAGAAACCGCCGACACCCGCGCCAACTAAGGCCAACGCGTTGAAAGTGGTGCCGGTGGGTACCTTGTTCGCCTGGCGATCTTGGTCATTTTGATGATCTTCATCCTTCTGATCTTTGTGGATCTTTGTGATAGTTTCAAGGATTTACGACCATGACCAACATATACTTAAACTTTGCATATAAATATCAATAAATGACCAGAAAGCGATCCCATCTTCAAGAATATCTAGTAGTTTCGATTCCACCTCCATGAAAGTAGACTTTGAGTTTGAGTTTCACCGCAAGCGAAAGATTTGATTATGCAGAAAGTAGCACCAGGTGCTTCGACTATGTTAATAACCAGAGGCAGAGCACCTTGGTTGTATCGTACTAGTCAGTAGTTTTCAGTAGAGGTTCGTGTGTGGAAAATTCAGCTGTTCGCTTTTCAATGAGTTTTTCATCGACATCTTGTACTAACGACTATAATCACAACTACTCCACTGAAATCGAAAATTTACAAACCAACTTCTTCTACTACTTTTCAGGATAAGGAGATGAAAAGATAAAAAAGGAGAACAATCTACGACAAGACTGGATATTTATATGTACCAGGGAAGCAGGCCCCGGCCTGTGGATGGAGAGGGGCGGGTGGCTGACATTCATATATTAGAACAACGACCCAAGACAAGAGGGACCGGATGGGTCGAATGGAAGGACTTCCCACCAAGGGGGGCCCATCCGGTCCATGCCCTCCAAGTCCACCCTACACCCGTTCGATAAATTTTTCTAATATATGACGCAGGGCCGGGCGCCCCCCCCTCTCCCCCTGTGGTCTGGTCGGTGGTGGCGCGCGCGCGCGCTTTTCCGCGCGGATTCTAGTGGCGGAAGGCGTCAAAACTTGGCGCGCGCCTCCCCCTTGGCCTCTCAGCGTGTTCCTGGGGAGCCTCCTGGCCTCTGCTGACCCTCGCAGGCGGGAGGGCTCCGGGGTAAAAGGCCGCCGAAGGCGGCCACGGTCGCAAGAGCGGCCAAGCCGGTGACTAAGGGCCCGGAGGGTACAGGCGGCACGGCTCAGGGGGTCCCGCCCTTTTGAAGCCTCCCACCATCCGCGGAGGCCCCTAGGGAACAGCCAGGCAGCTGGAGAGGAGCGCAGGGGGGAAAGTCATTGGGCCCCCTTTTGAGGCCTTCCACCCCCGGCAGACGCCAGAAAAAGGGGCCCAGGGCGCAAGCGGGGGGGGCGTCGCCCCGCGCCCTGGAACATATATACTAATGACGCGACATCGTTTTAATTCATTCCCTTTCCCCGATGGGTAGAAAGCATTGACTTTGACATTCACGGAGCTGGCCTTAACTAGTGCCTCTATTTCTGCCTTGCCTCTGCTCGTGCTCCCCTTCATACTCTCAACCGTGGCTACGGTTTCGTGCGTACTAACGTCCTGAGTGTGCGCAGTGCTTTTCTCGTCCCTCAGATCGGTTGTATTAGAAGAGAATAGAGAAACTATCTTTCAAGAAGAAATGATGGACATGGATGCGTGCTCTACGTACATATTGTTATTCTAAATCATCAAGGAATGGACTAGAGGGGCCAAAGCCTCCTGCTGCTATTAGTATCATCTATTTGTTCCAGGGCGCAGGGTAGCGGCCCCCCTAGCGTAGGGGGGCGGGCGTGGATCCCCAGACCCCTTTGGAAGGCGTCTGCCGGGGGTGGAAGGCTTCCAAAGGGGTCCAGGGGACCTCCTCCGCCCCCTTCCAGCTGCCTGCGTGTACCCTACAGACTCCCCACGTGCTTCGCCGCTACAGCAGTGCGCCAGCGGTGGAAGGCATCCGAAGGGAGCAAAGGGCGCAAAGCTGGACCCCCTGAGCCGTATTGCCTGTACCCTCCGGGCCCTTGGTCATCAGCCTGCTTGGATGCCCTTGAGACCATGGCCGCCTTCGGCGGCCTTCTGCCCCAGAGGCCTCCAGCCTGCAACGGTCAGCCAGCAGAAGACAAGAGGCCCCGAAGAACATGCAGAGAGGCACAAGGGGACGCCCGCGCCAAGTTTTTAGGCCTCCCAACGTGAGAATCCGCGAAAAGCAGCGCGGAAAAGAGCGCGCAAGCGCCACCATAAGGCCACCCACTTCCACAGAGGGGAGGGCCGCGCGTCCCTGCAGCATAAATTAATACATGCCCAGAAAGCAAGCCCATTCCAAGCCCGCTGCGCTGGGCATAGGTTAGCAACCAGACAGATAAGACCACGACGCAAGGCCGTTAGCCTCGAAGCTTTGCAAAAAAGTCCTGGTCGAAAGTTTCCGAAAGTTCAGCCCGCGCGCTTTCTCTCAGACACTCGATAGAAGGCGACGCCTGTGGGGCGTGCTTGTCTTCAAACGTGACCCGCTGGCAGACGCGGAGGGTTGTGAATTCCTTGAGGGGTTTCCTACCAACTCCGCCCAGCCGAGCGCACGCACCTAGTTAGTAGGGAGCCGCCGCCCATCATGCGCGCGACCCGCCGACGGCTAGCCCCAAGCCTCTGCCTGTCCAAAGCGGGCCACATGCTGGGCCCCTTTCCTTTCTGCGTGTCAGGCAGACTCACTGGCAGAGAGGGGGCCCATCTGTCTGCCAGATACGCCGAGCCAGCTTGCCAGGAAGAACGAACCAGCCTACCCAGCCGACGCGCCAGGCGCTGCCAGTGACTCCAATCCACCAGGCGCGCAATCTGTCGAGCGACGCGCCCCTGCGTCGCTGCGTGTGTGGATCGTTTCCGCCTCCGTGGTCCTATCTTGGTTGCGGCGCTTATGCATGGACGCCCCTCCTCTCACCCGGCCCGCCGCAGATGTTTGCGCGCCTATCATAGGCATGAGGTCAGGCGCATAGATAGCGCGCGCGCGCCTAGCTATGCGCGTGGCGCTTGGTTATCTCACAGGTGGCGCGCTTCTTTCTCTGCTTCTGTGCGTCGCTCCTGCTCCCGTAGATTGACACGCGCACAAGGTGGAAGCCTGTAGCCATGGCACGGGTGTGCGCCGATGGGTGCGCGCGCCTGTCTTGCATATTGTTACCGCACGCGGCGCCCTCGCGGCGCTGGCTTCTAGTTCTATCTATGTGCCTAAAAGTCTGCGCCATGGCATGGCATGCATTTGGGCACACCAATACGGGCCCACGCCTTGGCTCGTATCCATATAGGTTGACCCGCTCGCCAGTCAGACAGTGGCGCCCATTTGTCGAACGGTACTTCGTCGCTCAGGGTCTCACAAAGCTCAAGACTTTCCCAGAGTCTCTTTCAGATAGCGTTATCAGCCTGCACAACGAACCCAGAAAAACTTGCGCAACGTTATCAAAAACGAGACAAGAAAAAAGAAAGAAAAACAAGCCGCCGCCTTTTGCCGATTATTGCCGTTTATTTCTGTTTCCGTTTTCTGTGGTTTCAGAGCTCCGCCCATTTCCGTTCTTTCCGTTCTCGCCGAAAGTTGCCGAAAGTTTCCGAAAGTTGCCGAGGGTTTCCGCCTTTTTCCGTTAATTTCTGGCCGTATATCTATATAGAAACTTTCGGAAACTTTCAGAAGCTTTCAGCAACTCTCCTCGGCGAAGACGGAAATAAACAGAAAGAAACGGCGCGCCGGAGCCGCAAGAAATGGGAACGGAAATAGTCGGCAATCTTCAGAAACTAACGGAAAGCAGAAAAACTCTCAGAAACCAACGGAAAAGCGATGCGCCTTTGTCTAAGTAAGGCCTACTTGTTGACGATATGGCCTCCAAGTCCAACGTAGAAAATCACACCCTTATTACTTACGCGCACTCTGAGAGAGAAACCCAGACACGCGGGCCAGCCCATCTCCCAGACCTGTGCTAGCTTTGAGACGTGCCGCGGCGTAGGTATGTGCATACTTATGGGCATGGGAGGGCGTGCGCAGGTGCTCTCGCATCCAGCCAAGCCAGTCACCAATCTAGCAAGCTACGGCGCGGCAGATGCTGCCGACTTGTCAGCCGCTACTGGGCAGCACTCTCCCACGCCGTGGCACATACATACCATAGCCACGGCCCCACTTGTGAAGAGGCTGACACCTACGCAGATGCAGCACGCGGGTACATAGATCCACCCAGACGCCGCAAAGTAAGCCGACGCAAACAGAATGCACACGCGTAGAGACATACCAACCCACAAGCCACGCCTCTGCCTTGCTTCATAGGTGGGCGCAGTTGCAAGCGTGACAAGCTCCAAGAATATGCTAGACAGCTCGGAGTCCAACCTTCGGCAACTTTCGGGGATCCATTTCGTGGGCGCCTCTTTTTGCAATAAGCTAGCGACGCGCAGCGGGTTCAGGGTGGACTACCGTGGACGCCCCTCATACATTGCTAAACATGGCGAGCGGGCTGGCTGTTGCTGTCTCGTGGCTACAGTTGCAGGCTGGCTTTGGCTAAGCTAACGAGCCCAGCTGGAGTGGCCGTGGCAAAGCTAAGGGGCTAGACACTTATGGCGAGGCGAGCAAGCTGGCCAAGATTAGGCAAAGAGGCTGGCCCTGGCTGCCACTGCAAGGCCAAGCTAGCAGCTGGCTATGGCGAAGAAAACAGCAGCCGAGCCAGGTCTCGCAAAGGAAGCAGCCACCAAGCAGCTCGCTAGCTATAATGGCTAAGCAGCTACAGCGAGTACCGTAGCAAGCTCCTTCACTTTTTCCCCTATGTTTCCCCACAAGAATCTTCTCAAAAATGCACAGACTCACACACTCGACAACGACAGAAAGGAGACGCGCCGCCTTATCTTATGGCTGAGCGATTTCTTTTTTTCAGCTCCTCGCTCACTATGATGCCGAAAAAAGTGACAAGCCTCGTCTTGCCTCTAAAAGTAATCGATACAATAAGTAACTTACAAGGGTGCCAGATCCGGGACGGAATGGGCGGGCCCGATGGACTTCCCACCATTTCAAGCAAGACCAAAATCCTTAAGGGGGCCCATGCCATCCGATCCATTCAAGTCCATCCTACGCGCGTTCTCTAAATTGTTCTAGAATAAAACTGGCCCACCATTTCCAGCAAGATCAGAAGACTGAAGGGGGCCCATCCGATCCATCGAAGTCCATCCTACGCCCGTTCTATATGTAAACTTTTCTAAAAAAATAAAACTGGGCTAAACTAATAGTGGACCCTTCCGAGAGGGACACCTCTTAAAGGCCTCCACTTACTAGCTTAGCCATGGGTGGCTAGCTCGCTGCTTACCTTCGATAGCCGTAGCTAACTAAGCTAGTTTGCTTGCTAGGTTGGCCGTAGCTGGCTAGCTTGCTAGCGCTCGCAGCTTAGCCATAGCTTCCACGCTTGCTAGCGGCTTAGCCATAGCTAGCCTGCTAGCTGCTTGGCCCTGGCCAGCTTGCTAGCTGCTTGGCCATAGATTTCGCTAGATTGCTACTGGCTGCTTAGCTGCTATAATCGCCGGCGCGCTAGCTGCTTCGCCTTGTCTATCTTTGTAGCAGCTGTTTAGCCATGGCCAGCGTGCTAGCTGCAGCGCCATTACAATCTTGCTAAGTTAGCCATATTATTTAGCCCGCAAGCGTCCCGGCTTGGCGCTGGCTTAGCCATTGCCAGCTTGCTAGCCCAGCCATGGCCACCCTGCTGGCTTAGCCCGGCAGGGCTAGCCTCTTGGCCTAAGCATGGCCAGCTCGCTACCGAGCAGCCTCCCCAGGCCCAAAGCTAGCTTTCCATAGCCGCTCCGGCTTGATAGCCTAGAAATCGCTACCCAGCTGGCTTAGCAGTCGCCAGCGTCCACGCCGGTCCTTTCTAAGCCAGCCGCGCGCCGCTAGCTCGATAGCGTAGCAGCTTGCTTTGTTTGTCTTATCTGCCTTGTTGCTAAGTGCTAAACTATGCCCAGCGCAGCAAGCCCTTGAAGGGCATGTAGATGATAACAAAGAAGGCAGGCTCCTCTGTCACTTTGGCCTTATAGTTATGCCATATATGGACGCAGGGCCAGACGGCCCCCCCCTCCCCCCCTGTGGTCTGGTCGGTGGTGGCGCGCGCGCGCGCTTTCCCGCGCGGATTTTTCGCGGATTCTAGTGGTGGACGGCATCAAAACTTGGCGCGGGCCTCCCCTTGGGCCTCTCAGCGTGTTCCTGGGGGACCTCCTGGCCCCTGCTGAACCTCGCAGGCGGGAGGCCTCCGGGGTAAAAGGCAGCCGAAGGCGGCCACGGTCGCAAGAGCAAGCAAGCCGACGACCAAGGGCCCGGAGGGTACAGGCGGCCCCTTGAGCCCCTCTTGGGGCCTTCTGCCTACTTCAGGGGATAGCCAAGCACCTGGAAGGGAGCGGAGGCGGCCCTTTGGGCCTCTTTTGAGGCGGGGGGCGCCGCCCCGCGCCCTGGAACATAAGTAAAAGTATATACTATAGCTAAGTGGGAACTCTTTTTCAATCCGGTGCGTCTTTGGTCTATTTCTGTGTTCACGAATAGCAGGAGGCAGCTACCGCGCTCGCCGTGCAACCTATTTTTGTCCCAGAACAATACTTCTCCTGATCACTTATAATCTTCCAAGAAATCGACAAGAAACCGCCTTGCAGTGATGGTTATGGTCAACGAACAGGGAGCGATAATATAAAAGTTTGGCCTTAACTGCAGCTTCACTGATGTGCGTCTGCAACAGCTCAGCGTATTCGTGTGTCGTCGTGCAGATGTCGTAGTACTCAAGTGCTTCGCATACTGCAAAGCCTTGAAGAAGTTCGAGACGAAGACTTTCGTCGAAGATGTAAACACCGTCCGGATCGCTTTCCCCCGGGATGTTAGAGTTTTTTTCTTCACAACTTCATCCATTATAAATAGCTGAGTAGTAATATGGGAAATGCGATTGCTGGAAGATTCGAAGAATTCACCATGAGACGAAATCCGCTACCTTTGTTCGTTGATCTGAATCTGCTACGTTTTTCAAAGATGCTAAGATGCACAAGTGTGACGTATCTTCTACTTCATTTGGGACGATCAAGTTGGTAAATGATCATTGAAAACTAAAAAATATCACTCCATCTGCATCTACATCTAATTCGATCTTCTACAACTTGCGCTCCTAGCCTCCAATGCTTATATATACAAATACACGCACATTATCATACCACTCCGTAACATTGAGCGTCGTCTTTATACCCCCTCTCTCGAGGATTTTTGTGTTCTCCGGAGAAAGCTTCGGCACGAAGCGTCGTCGCAGTTTAGCTTCTGCGCCTGCTCCTTCTTCGCTCTCGTCGCTTTTGCGTTTTTCGACAACAGGACACCTCTGTCTCTGTGCAGTTGCAAACTCGCGCATGTCTTTGACTTAGGTTAGAAGTGGTCCTGGCTCTGCCAGTGGCCAGACATCTTCCAGGACAGCTGACTGTGGACATGATCTGTACACCTAGTCGTCCTAGATGAAGTGCTTATCTACTTCCTTTGTCAGTAGATAATCCTCTACGTCTGTTTAAATACAAGAAAATATATGCTCACAACTATGCATAGATTCACTAGATACTCAATCACACGAAAAGAACTACCTCCACTTTGTGACCCTGTAAACCATTGACCACGACGATGAAAAGATGTATCAGTATCATCTAGTAGTGAAGTTATCACTCAGTAACCATATTGAGCTCTTCCTTGTTAATGTTCCTCCCATGAACAGCAAGATGTTGAACAAGATGTAGAGAAACAGCAACAGTAATAGCTCTGTACTACTATCATCTAAATCTATTTCTAGTATCTATTTACTAGATACAACTGACGTAGAAGCACATGGGGTCCGAAAAAGAAAGAGTCAAGCTACACGGAAAATAGATATATAATGATGATGCAAGTTTAAATTTACAAGATGAAGAACTATTCGATAACAAATTTTGTTTTAGTAACGTTCTTGATTTTATCCATATCGATCCCTTCTTACACTTGGTCCATGAGAACTAGCTGAGCTTGGCCGAGACGAAGCCGAGCCTGATGACATGCTAGACGCGGGGGAGCCTGTCCGAGAACGAGAAGATTGAGCGAAACTCGAACTGCGTCCACCAGAGACCATTTGTTGTTGTTGAGCGACTGTTGAGTTGTAGTTGTAGTTCCCGTGATACTCGTAGCCGGCGTGATACTCGTAGCCGGCGTGATCCAAATGATTCGCGCTCATGTGCTGGATGTAAGACCAAGGGTTAGAGCAGGACGAAGATTATCAGGCTCCAACAAGACATCATACACCGACTTTAACATTAACTACAAGAACAAGTCTTACCTATTTGGAAACACAACAAAGGTTCGGAACGACATAAAGCTTATCGCTCTTTCCTTATCATATCTAACGGTAACGTCTAGACGGAGTCAGGGAAACTAGTCAGTATAATCACTATCGCTCACGCTATCGTTGAAACTTTTTAATTGCCTTCATAAGTTGATGGCGAGCACCGTACTCCAGCATAGATTCTTCACGAACGCTATGCTGTTGCTCCTTGTTCTGTTCATCGTCTTCTCCTTCACTGGGTTGATGGTAATTATAAGCCGGGTAGTTGTATGGCGATCCCCGACGATCGTGTAGCAGTTCACCGTCGTAGTGGAGGTGATGGTCCTCCTCGTTCTCTCGTCTTTGGCCATGGTTGTGAGCAGCGGATTGAAGAAAATTCTGGCTCAGATGATCTTCATCCTCATTGTTGTTGTAGCTGCTCTTGTAATGGTAGTGATCATGCTCATAGTCCACCCCATGAGCAAGAGCATCACGACGCTGAAGGAAATTGTGGTTATCGTGGTGGTCCTCGTGAAAAAGTTGGTCCTCGTATGAGTGTCTTAGAGGCACAAGGGGTTTGGTGTTTCTGATGTTTCCCATAATTTGTTACTGCCTTTCTCCCTTGTTAGGGGAGGCAAAACAAACGCTAACTAACAGGAACACCTTCAATTTTAATAACGTAAGTAGCCGTAAATGATCTCCGCGATTCAAATTCAATTCATCTTCTTCGCCATCCTCCTCATCAAGATGATCACTTTCCTCGTCTTCGTCAGGCTCATGCTTCTCAAGACGATGAAGACTCTGAGCATCCTCGTCGTCAGCTTCTACCGTTAGAAGAAGAGAATAGTGTGATGCACTTGATCTTGATGCCCCTTAGTTACTATCATTATATGTATCTTTATGAAGTGAAAAAGCGTGGCACGATTGTCTTCATAACTTCTTCCCCTCTCCTTCTAAAAAGGATTCCTGCCCTTGCTCCTGCTCTGTCTCAACTCTCGCTTCCGGCGTAGCTGTTGATGCAGAAACGTTGCTAGCGTTCGCGGAGCTCAAGTTTCCTCCAAAGGAAGCTGTAACGTTCCACCTTGTGACATTTCCTCCACTATTAGAATTGGCCGTGATTCATCTTTCACGTGCATCCTTGAAAGTATGGGGGAGCATGTCCGTGCGATGCTCCCCCATACGTTTCATCCAGGACCTCCGATGCTTTCACAGATGGATCAGCTACAGGCTTAACGTTACTGACCTCGTCCGACGCGGAGGCAAAGTGTTCCACCTGCTGTTGTTCGACGTCGTGGTCCCGGACGACCTGATAAACGTTGTGGTCCTCACTGGTGTTGTAAGTCCTCGTATGATTTCCATTTTCATCTCTGACCAAAGTAGAAGATGTGGTGGTGAAGTTTCCGGATGAAGAAAGATTGCTATGATTGGCAAATTCTTGATCTAGTTCTACGTCCTCGTCCTCCATAGACTTGTCTACGCCCTCGTGGTTCTCCCAGTTGCGACCGACACGTCTAAAATTTCCTCTATGTCTTGTTCTTAGAGCTTTTTATCCCTGCATCACTGATGCAGCATCAGGATTAGGATTATTCATCTCTGTATCAAAAGACATTTCTTATCAAAGACAGATTTTCCCGCAAGTCCCTGTAGGGATCCTAGTAACTCCCTGTGTGGATTCCGCAACAAAATGTAATCTCAGCATTCCCCTTGTGCTGTTGGTCGTGTGCATTTATGATACAGAAGGTTGCACTTGCGAGAAGATCTTTAATAACAGTATGCACCACTACTTCAGGTAACAGAGCGGAAAGACCTTTTAAATAAAGTCCTGCTAGAGATGGATCTCGATCTCGTCGATCTTCAATTTTTATACTAGTAACTAGAAATGGATTGATGGATTGGGTCTATGCTCCTGAGTCCATGCCTTAACCTATGCTTCTGATCGTCTTCCTCCTGACGTCCTGCACCGTCTTCCTCCTCCTCTGTTTGCCCAAAAAGATAACTTCGTGCCACGGCGTCAACATGGATGCTCAGAGTCTCGTCTTCACCACTAGCGCTTGCATCTGCACTAGTGCTACTTCGTTGGAGGTTAATGCTGATGTTGTTGTCATCATCTCGTTCTTCTCCTTGTTGTTCATCCTTTGCAGAAGACGAATATGTCGAAGAAGAAGATGTAGTTGGTGCTTTTTTGCCCGTGGTCTCTACTTCTTGTACAACTTCTATGCTGTCAGAAGTAGAAGCCTGGTCTTGCCACACGTAGAGAACCGCAAGGTTCGTCGCGACCCAATTGCCGAGGGATTTGTTCAGCGACAGGCCCAAATCTAGATCCCAGAGTTAGAGGAGACGAAGTTTCGGAATGTAGGATTCGGCATCACATTCCGAAAGAACTACATCCGAAGGAAGAACCCTTAACAGAAGAGGCAGCAAAACACACCAAGCAACAAGCTGGTGCTTGTGAGCACCAGCAAAGCGATCGGACGCCACCGGACCATCTTCTCTTAGAATCTAAGTGCGCTCATGATCTCAAAATAGAAGCAAGTGACAGAAGACCTTGAGGTTGATGAGCTTGACGGGTAAAAATTATAAAAAGAGAGAACCTATTTCTTTTTCATCATTCGATTTGTGCACACCCCGTGTAAGTAGTTGCGATTAGGACACAGAGCTTTTTTCTTGGTAATGTGTTGCTCAGGGAATAGTTTTTCATGATAGTTTTTGTTTTGCATGACGTATCTCTATCTCTCCGTCGTTTTGAGTTCCAATCGACCCTCGCGACTCATGGAGGCAGCACTTACACTATCATGGAGTTGTGGGTGTACTAGCACAGTCTCTTCGCTCGATGTATTGCTGATGTTCCCTGGACAAGACGACGAGCACGACTATGATGTATCTTTATAATTGTGCTGTGTCGTATCTACGACCACTGCCTCACTGCCTCTAGTGCCATCACATGTAAAACGCTGAAGGCGAGCGCTGCAGAGGCAGCCGAACAAAAGTGCAAAAGTCGTGTCATCAAACTCAGACTAGTTGGAGATGAAGAGTTTGAGTTACTACCACTTACACTTAGCACTAGAAGATGACGAGTGAAGAGGTCTTGGTGCAGCTCTTGTAGTCAAGAATGCTCCTGTAGTCAATGAATAGTTAAGGATCTGTGCTGTGCGTCTGATGTGAGCGCTCTTGATTTACAAACCACCAATCCGCAGAAGGCTCATTGCCTAGTTCCCGAAGTCTGTAGCCGCGATTTCGCAACCACCAGGCGTATTTATGCTTTTGAAATCTTCTGCCTGTGTGCGGACCCTCTATGCTTATCACCCGGCTACTAGAGGTTCTTCGCTCTAATTAGATTTAGATTTAGATACAATACAATTAATATAATTAATCTTCTCGCACAAAGTTCAGTGCAGACTGCCTTGAGGAAGAAGAAGATACTCGTGCTTACGACGGATTCGTGTTTTCGAATTTGTCGAACTCGTGCTTATCACCCGGGTAGATGTTCTTCGCTCGAATTTCTTTTTCTTGACTTTCCAAATGACTTGTTACTATATTTGTGCTAGAAGAAGAAAAAGAGCAAGGAGATGAAACAAGATAGAAGTAGAAGAGAACAAATAGATGATACCAAAACCAAGTCGCGCTACATCATCTAGATCTACTGGTTAGAAGGTAGAAGACAATGATCGTCATAAGACAAAGACGCTCCTCTGGTTCCATTACCCAAAGGAATCGTTCTCAACGTTTCCAGTTCAGCACCCTCAACGTCTATCGAAATCCAGCCAAAGCGGGCTAGATCAAAGGACGGCATCGCAGCTGCAACGTACTCGAATAATGTTCTTAAAGAGAAGATCGAAACTGGATCCCTTTCGGTGGTTACATTTTTCTGAGAGGCGATGAATTCGTTCACGGTCTCCCAACTTCGGCACATGCCTTCGCTACCGAGGACGCACGACACACTGGTTTGCCAGTCCTCTTCTTGTTCTGGTGCTGCTTTTGGATCGTTCTTGTTGCTGTTCTGTTGACCAGGACCACGAAAAGTAAGAAAATCGTATGTAGATGCGGTTAGAAGAAGAGAAGCTACTTAGTTGTAGGGAGGGCTTCTATTTTTTGTTGAAGAAAGAGCAGGTCGTGTTGAGATGCTAGATCTAGATGTTCCACCAAAGAGTTTCATCGTGCTTAGAACAAAGGTATAACCGCCCTCAGTCAATATTATCATATCGTGCTTAGTAGAAGTAGAAGGGTATAATGATCCTCAGTCAACATTATCATATGACCATAACGGAGGATGAAAAGCGAATTTCTCCGGATCCTCAAACACTGCAAAGCCAGCTTCAGCACTCCTTCTCTCCCTCAACAAGACTCTCGTTGCCTCAATCAGCGAATTCCTTGCTTTCTCTGTGAGCAGCTGCTGTTGCGCGGATCTCTGGGTCCTTGTCGTAGTTCCCGCGATAAGCTTCTTTTCTTCATTCTCTACTCCTACGCCGGGCAAGCTCGTCACCGCCGCAAGTAATGCTAAAATATCGTTCTGAGCAGTTGCAACGACATCATCTTCGTGGTTCTTCTTTTAGAGCTCTCCCCTATTCATCCCTGTGGAAATCCCTCAAGCATATGCGTCAGTATCTCCCTGGTATTGGGGCGCATATGTTTAAGGGATATCTACAGGGATGGATTGATCCCTATAGAGGAGATGGATTAGGGGAAGCCGTAATTCTTCTCTTCAGTGGTTTTAACGAGACGACTCGCAGCTCCAGCACTTCCTGAACTAGAACTGCCAAGCAAGTCTACCAGCAACTGCCATTTCGTATCCATCCCGTCGAAGCCTACAGCTGCGTTGATATTCACACACTTCGGTCGCTGTCTCACAAGATGGTCATAGGCGAGTGGGCTCCCTTCCACGCATATTCCGCGCCAGGATTCCTTAGAAGAGGAAGATTCTTCAAGTGCGGCGAGTGGGTGGCTGCAGCAGGTGCACTCTCGTGAGTGATGTCTAACTCTATTTGTAACTACAACGTTTCAACAAGTGCTTGAAGGCAAGTACTTACAACTTGTACCTAAAATTTTTGTGAATTAATTGAAAAATTAATGTGAGACCAGCACAGGGGCAGTAAACTCAGAAGCGTTCCATAACCATCTGACTCTCGAAGAACAACAAGTTCGACAAATAGAAGTAAACTCAGAAGCGTTCCATAACCATCTGACTCTCGAAGAACAACAAGTTCGACAAATAGAAGTAAACTCAGGAGCGTTCCATAACCATCTGACTCTCGAAGAACAACAAGTTCGACAAATAGAAGTAAACTCAGAAGCGTTCCATAACCATCTGACTCTCGAAGAACAACAAGTTCGACAAATAGAGGCCATCTCCAGCGCCTATCTCCAAGAAGTGTAGGCCAAAAAACTCCGCTTTTGGCGAGACACAATCGCATACCACTGATTCGCTTGTGAAGGGGCAACGTAAGGTTTCGCAAGAAATCGGCTGACAGGTACTCCTATCGATCCGTCCCCCTAAGATTTCCTCGAAGACAAACTGGTCTTGCTTGTAATTTCCAAAGGTTCTGCCGCGTTTCAGATCCGCAGGATCGACAGGTTTGTGACCGGCTTGGGAGAGGATGAAGGATTTAAATACAAAATAATCTTCTAAACGGTAAACCTTCGTGACGAAACTAATTCCTTTCTGCCCATAAAATGGAAGTGGCATTTTCCTTCGGCTTCAGGTGTCAATGGCGGATAGAGGGGCACGTAGCCCGCCTCTTCCTGCTGCGCATGCCCCAACAATGGAGCAGAGAAAACGAGCGCAGAAGAGACGACGACAAGAACATTTTTGAAACCGCCAATGCGGGTGAGCCTTTGGGGGATTGTAAGGACTGGCATCCTGCTGCTTACTCTAGGCACAAGTTTGACTCTGCGGTCATTGTCAGTTTCTTACGTAGGTGCATGATGATGATTTGAATCTATCCGGCAAGATACCTAAGATTTCCCTGACGAGTTCTATATCTTACATAGATATCTATTCCTGAAGAACGTGATGGTGATGTTGATGTCTTCGTCTTGACCACTTTGTACTTAAACTAGACTCAATAAAATTTCAATTTCTCAATAATATTCTTCTTTTGTACCTCCTGACTCAGACACGACGACTCGTACTGACAGAGGTACCGAAGTTTCACCTTCTGAAAAGAGTCGTGTCAAAAATTTTTCCGATGATTCATTGTACATCCGATGGCGCCATGTCTCGAGTGAACCTTGGCTTGACGGTTTCGCCATTTCTTGTATTGTTTCGTAAAGCTGGGCAATTCCTCCGAAATCAGTCATTCTGTACAACGCGGCCATCTCGAAGAGAGAGAGGAAGACGGAAAATCAGCTTTGCAAGTTACTGTTGTACAGATCATTCTGTGTGGGAATCAAGAAAAACAACGAGAAACAAGGAATCAAGAAAACATCAAGGACTCAGTACAACAACGAGTAAAAAAGATAATCAGCCATCATGATGAAAAAAAGTTCAATACTAGGTTAGCAACATCAGCTACATGTACATCAAGTGAAACAACTATAGTACAAGAAGCGCACATGATCAACCACATCAAGTGAAATTACAACTACATCAAAGTATACAAGAAGCGCGGTAGTATAGTTTCAAACAGGCGCAATGACTTCCTTGCATAGTGGACATGTCGGTACTCTGTTAGTCAAAACCCAGTTCTTCAAGCATTCAGCATGAAAAGAATGACGACCGTTGCCACAGGGGAGCGTTGTTACCCGATCGCCACGTTGCATAACCTCAAGGCAGATAGCGCAGTCCATGGTGGTGTACAGGACTCGCCCTTTCGTCAGGGCGTCCAAAGTCTTCAGCGTCTGCGAAAGAACTGTCGGACCACTCGCGAGAAGATTTCCTCGAGATCGCATGGAAGGTCGTATGGTGCTGGATGAGGAAGCAGGTCTTGTAGTTGTTCCGCCAGGTGGTGTCCTAGAGGTATTTCTACCAGCATTTACATCATGTTCTCCTCCTGCTGTCGACGTTCGCAGATGTTCCTCCACGCCGTCTACCCTCATAGCCGACGAGTGCTGTCGCAGAAGCGACATCAAAGATCTTGGTTGCGTATTCCGTTGCTGAGTTACGAGGATCGACTCTGTTACGGGGTTTGCCGTGATCAAGTTGCTCATAATGGCTGTTGCAGCAGCTGCAGCAGAAGCACTTTGCTCTTCTAAATCGGCGACTCTAGAAATTGATGTGGAAGAGGCAGATGCAGAAGAGGAAGATGATAAGGACTGCAGCTGTGGAGGTCCTCGCCGTGCTGAAAGTAAGGGCCCTTGATTGTACGGATTGTTCATTTCTCGAGGAGTTCTGCTTGAAGAAGTGGAACGAATTTCGTCTTGACCATGTTGGCTACCGGCCTCTTGCTGCTCCGCTGCTGCCAGCCATGCGCGATGTACGTCGACAAAGGACATGCTGCTTGCGTCCTGAGTCTGCCCAGAACCTTGAGCGTGATCAACAGGAAGATTTCTCTCGTCCTCTTCTGAGGCTGCGGGTCCAGGAACATCAGTTTGAGTACTGTGAATCGCGTCACCTCCTCCGTCGTCGTCGAAAGCAGACCAGTCCACTCCAGCGTCACCACCAGAAATACTGTCGTCTCCATGCTCCGCTCGTCTAGCCACCAGTCTTGAGGGCGGCCTCAACTTCGATCTATTTCTACCGACACCAGTAGCAGGAGCGCCCCTCGCAGTACCGGTAGACCTAGGAGTTCTATTCCTTGTCATTTTCAACTTCTGGCCTGATCGACGGATCTCATCATCGATCTGCCTCTTAGATTTCTCTATCTCTGAGACGATGTGCAAGGCTTGACGAGGAGAGGATGACGTAGCACTACTTGATGAAGATGTTGACGAAGTCAGTTTGCTTCTATCTTCGTGTTCTGCTTTGGATGTTGATGATGCTCCTGTCAGATCAAGAACATCATTGTTCGGTGTTACATTATGTTTTGCAAATCCTCCTCGACCCCCTAGTATTTTTCCTGCGTACTCACTCTTTGCCTCTATCTCATCGTATTTCCCTAGGAGCTTCTCTACGCTATCACGATGCTGAGCTCCACAAGCTTCCACTAAGGCACTTGTCATCTTTGCTCTATTCGTGGACGTCTTCAAATTACGGAGAAGCGTTCTGTCACAGGTGTCCGCGAGTTGAGCAAGGGAAAGTTGCAAGCGTTCCCGCAGTCGGACTGCGGAAGCAGAGGTGGTGGCAGCTTCTGCTTCTTGTGGGTGTGCTTCTCGTGGGTGTGTGCTAGAAGAAGAAGAAGAAGAAGAAGAGGAAGTAAATGTCATGTTGGTCTCTCGTGGTGTCACACTTGGAGGGGTGGTTTGTCGTGGATTCACGCGTGGTCGAGGTGAAGCTCCTCCTGCACTTGTTGTGTATTGATCAACATCAGAAGTGGCATCACCAGAAGCAGAAGACCGAGTAAGAGTTGAAGTAGTAGTATGATGAAGATCATTTCCTTCTATCCTCGTGTAGTTTGGTTCTGCCTTGGACGGAAGCCCAGAATGATCGGGAATTGCAGATTCAGACAGGCAGGAATGCGCCGAAACGCCCATTGCAGATGTGCTGGTGTCGTGACCACTAGCACTAGAAGGCTGCAATGAGGAAGACGAAGGTACAACATATAGCTCCTCTTCATCATCCAAGGCAGCCCAGAGGTCTTTTGCTGGTCGTGATGCAGCTGTTCTAGTACCCGCCTCATCATCTTCCCTATCGTGTTCGGGAGTTTCTCGGATAAGAAAGGGTTTTGGACTTACATCGGTATCGTCAGCTTCGTCAGCTGCAACGCGCAAGTGACCTGAACAAGTGTTGTAATTAGTCATCTCGCTTCGTAGCACCAAACGTGGTGGACATCGATTTGTGGCAGCTGGCGATCTGAGCGAGCCAGATGACGTCTTCGTGGTGGAAGCAAGATTTTTACAACTGCGTGGTGTCTTCAACATTCCCGCCTCCTCATGGTGCCTACTCCTGAAGAATGACGACGAAGTCGTAGGCGCCGAAGACGGGTTAGCCGAAGACGGGTTAGAGGAACTAGAAGAGGACTTTGCATGCTGCATCGCACGCTTTGTTGCCTTCAGGCTGTCCAATTCCTCTGCCCAGTCAAATTTCGGCGCGGTTGACCCAAAAAACGGTGTCGGTGGTCGTCCTGGTGCTGCAGCTTCCCCTGCTTGAAGATGTTTCTGGTTGGTCTTTTGACCACCAAAAAGAGAATTGACACCTGTCGTCGTCGCATGGATATCATCCATACTTGGCGTTATTTCCTTTTGCAGGACATTTACAACTCTTGTCCCTTCTTTTATCAGCTTCTCGTCCAGATGTAGTAGATTCGAATGCTTGCGTTCTTGTTGGACGTTTTGCTCTTCTTGCTGCTGTGAACAAGATGCGAGCTCCTGTGCCAGTGTACTAATAGATCCAGTTGCCACAGAGCCACTAAGACACGCAGGCGCGACCGGAGGTGTTGCTGCAACCGCAGACTCCATGCCCATCCGAAATGCTCTTAGTCTGTCCCTCATGTCACTGAAGAACTTTCCAGCTTCCTGCTGTCGCTCAGCTCGTCTTGCGTCACGACCCCGCTTTTCTGCGACTAGAGGATGATAGAAAGCTGTGGTGGAGGAGAGTTGTTCCTCGGAGAAGGGGGTTGGTTTCGATATCGATACGGTGGTAGCGACTTTTGCTGGTGCTACTGTAGAAAATTGAGCATCTTCTGGTGGAGAAGCTAGTGCTGCATTTGTTCTGCATGCTGATTGCGATAGTCGTGAAGGAACTTCTGGTTGTGGTTGTACAATCTGTTGTACGAACATGAAAGGCTGTTCCTGCAAGTCCGGATGAGGTGCATGTGTCCCTACTAGTGATGTGTTTGCCTGCTTCTCCGCTACCTTCTGCTCTACTCTTTTTTTCTTTGCTGGAGTCGGAGTAGTCGTTTTGGTGCCTTGACTGTCTTTCCTGGGAGAACATGAACGAGAAGCAGTATATTTCGCCTTGCTCGCCTCTGATTTTGCCTCCAGCTTCGATGAAGATGCTGTGCTTGGTGTGGCGGCTGCCTTCTTCCTAGTCGCCGACGATGCGCGTGCCTTCGCCGTGGATTTTGCTGTGTGGTCTGCGGGAGTGGAGGACGCCTGCGACGGTTTTTGTATTGACTTGTTTTTGTTCTTTATGTTTATCTTTTGCGATGTCTTGACGTTTGACGTACTTGTTGCTGTGCCAGCAGTTTCCTCTTGTTCGCTCTTTAAAACAGCTCTATTAACCTCTTGTACTGCATGTTCCTTCAGAACAACATCGAGCGCAGTAGGAGGGCTGCCTCCTTCGACGTCCATCTCTGCGACCGTGCCCTCGAATGAAGCCGTAGGCAGAGAAAAGCCGTGCATTTGTGAAGCTGCAACTTGTTCGTCATGCGGCACATTCTCTGCGGCGGTGGTGGCTACTTCCTTTCGGAGTTGTGGACTCGCTCTACTCAACATGTGATCTGTGGCTGTGCAAAGATCATTGTCATGTGTTGTACTAGAAGCGGTGCAACCTGAGTTGTTGGAATGATCATCGGCCGAACTATCCGGCGTGTCGAACAGTCCGTGTCCTGAGACTGCTAGAAGGTCGTGGACCTCAGCGACCGGTTCTAGGCGTGGCTCTTCGGCTTGTGCAGCTTGCGTACAGCGTTCAGCAGAGCTCTCTTCTGAGTGATGCAACCTTTCATATGTTTCTTCCTCGTCTCCTATTGGTGTTTCACCTACACCAATTTCGCTTCGTCCTGGAGTGACCCCAACAACACTTAGAGGAAGATGTGCTGCATCGACGTGGTCCGCTTCCTGGCTCTCTAGGGCTTCGTCATACTGTTGCATCGGTCGTGGGGAAGATGCAGTTGTGGCTGCAACATTTTCTGGTGGAAGTGAGTTGTCGACATCATTTTCTGGCGCAGAGGTACTGTCAGCACAAGACGGAGAGGCAGAATGGAAGATTTTGGGCTTCGACGGCTTCTTGATCTTCGAAGTGGCGAGACGAGGTTTCCTCAAGGGTGGTTTCTTATTCTGCTGCTCTGCTGGACGAGCTGGAACTACTCCGGATGCACCCGCCGAAGATGCCTGCTCTCCTACCGATCCACATTCATCAACGTCTCCCTCTCCCTCTACTTGCATCCTCACACTCGCATCTTCCTTCTTTCTTCCCTGTTTTTCCTTTAGCCTTTCAAAGACACGAGCTCTGGCCAGATTATTCTCCAAGTTACGTTCTAGAAGGCGATTGATTTTTTGTTCCGTCGTCCTCAACCGTGATATCTCGCCATGCGCCACTTTCGGATTATTCTCTGCACGCACGTCCCGAGAACCGAGGATGCCACGGTGATAGGAATTGGGATTGTCCCCTAGTGAAGAAGGCTGCGTCCCTTTCGTTGCAGCTGTTGAAGATGTCGAATTTGATGCTCTAGCAGCACCACCATGTTGAAGATCACAGTTCTTGTTTCCTTCTTTTCTGGCTAGAAGTAACTCATTGTTCAAATCAACAACATTGACATTGGAAGATGTCGCAATTCGATCCGTCAAAGCCTCATCTTCGTCGTCGGAGCAAGAATCGTACATCGCGGCATCGTGTCCATCAGCGGGGACGTCTACCTGGTCCAGCGCCGACCAGATGTCACGAACGTCCATGGTTTGGGCGAACATTTTGAATGATTGTTTCCAAAAAATGGCGAGGCCACACAAGAAATCATGCTGCTACATTTTCATACCTGACAAAAGTTAAAAGACCTTCCACATCTACCTCGTCTCAATTATACTAACAAGTACCATCTGCCTCGTCGCAATTAGACGAGCAACAGTTGTAGCACCACGACTTTTCTCTTCCTCAGTCATGACAAAAGTTCCGATCTTCATTTTGCTGGTGAAGGTGTGATCATCTTTCACGACTCCTGTTGGCAACCTGCAGATACGAGTACTAGGGAGTGTACTTGGATAGTGTAAAGGTAACCGTCAACCTGCCAGCAACACCTTTAAGGATGGAACAACTGGACGTGGAAGTGGTATCAAGGGGGATTATCTTTCGAAAAATTGTTTACAACCGAAACGAGGACCGAACTAGCCGATTCGATGACACCGAGCTTACGACGACACACGCTCACACTCACGCGTTCTGTGCTTTCCAGTCATTGTGAATCACTTTGCGGGGACTTCTTCTCCGTCTGCATGTTACACGATGTGATGAATTTGAGCATAACTCTCTGTTCGAATCACGTCTAACATGAAAGTGGAAGTGCATTGTAGAAAACTAGCTCGAGGAGATTGAAGTGAAATCAATTACGAGATGAACAATACGAAAAAACCGGTGGACCAGGAAGCTCGTCCAGTTGCTGCTTCGTCAGGTTCATTTAAATCTACCGTACTCTAGTATATATTCGTATTCGAATGAGGATGCCAAAGACGAGGCATCACTTATTGATGTGAAATGAGCTCCCGGATTCGACGAATGAGGATGCCATATAGGCATCAATTGTGCAGGTGGAATGAGTGCCGGCACAGTAAGGGTAAATGATCTAGATCTAGTACCCTAGTATTCGAATGAGGATGCCATAGACGAGGCATCAGTTATTGATGTGAAATGAGCGCCCGGATTCGACGAATGAGGATGCCATATAGGCATCAATTTTGCATGTGGAATGAGTGCCCGCATAGTAGGGCTAGTTCATCTATTGAGGATGAAGCTATCAAAATCAATATATAATCTCATATTTTTTTTTTAGTAAAAGCGTCAGTGTAATAGCGTAATTTTTAAAAATAACATATGTATATGTAACCATTGTGCGCTATTGATACGATAGGAATTGACAGATTGATTTACCTTTTACAGGGAAAACCTCTATCTTTCGGGGGTCGATGTCTTTGTCATCTCGGATATATTGAAACTACTGAGCAATTACATAAGTACTATCTATGGGAACCGCTTGAGGCGATTGCAATCAAAGAAGGTAACGGTCGTAAGTATCATTTAGTATTTTAATAGAAGAGGTTTCTTCGTATTCGTTCTCCGTCGATTTCCTTAATAGGATCAGATGATGAAGATAGAGAAGCTGGGTAGCGCGTGCCCGTGCCTAGAGATTGTGGATGAGCGCCCAAAATGGGCAGCACAGGGTCGCAACTTTGCTCCTATTCGGACGAGCACGAGTTGTCGGAGTCAACATGTCAATCCTGATGCTCCTCACTTAAGGAGCATGAATTCGTACGTGACTGCGCTTGTCAAATTCACCTGCAATCCAGATTTCACTAGTTTAGGACTCGTCGCGCAGTGGCGGTATCCGGCCGCGGCGTAAAACTCCAGCGGAAAGGGGAACTTCCGCACGCAAACGAACTCAGCCTCCTTCGCGATCTCCACAACTCTCCAAGCGCTATACGGCAAACTCTCTTTCAGCGAGATGTGGACCTTGGTGTGACGCGTGATGATGTGTCGCAGCGCGGAAAAGAGGCCCCGGAGGAGGGCGCGGTTGTCGGCAATTGACCTTCGCAACTGAGCGATCCCACCCGCTGTCTGGTTGGTCCCCGTGTGCGGGAAATTGAAAACGACGTAGTCGAGGACAAAATTGGAATTTGATTTTGATGTCTCTTTATTTTTGAATTTTTCAATGACAACAACGTCTCGTCCGCTGATCGGGAGCGTTTGGATTTTGGTGAGGTCGTTCACCTCCGTGGCATCCACCGAAGAGCGAATCACGCGAGCACCTGCGCTCTCGAGATATGCGACTGCAGCACAGCCTTCGGCGGACCGAGTGACGTCGTTCCAATTCAACGTCGTCACAACCAAATTCTCTCCAAAGGAGGTGCTGGTGAACGCATCTTCATCCTGTCTCATCATACGAGGACTAGGACGGTGCGCGCGGCAAAGCGCAGCTGCGAAAGAAAGATGCTGCCCTTCCCCAAGGAAGAGAATCTTGTCTGACGGCGAATACGCACAAAACGGGGAAATCGATGTGTACTCGCTCGATGCTGCAGATGTGCTGGCGCTTCTTTTGCTGTGGCTCCTTAAACTGGTCGAGTCCTCAAACGACAGCTGCAGATGGCTAGTAGCAGCTAGCGTTGGGAAATCGTTGAGCCGTTCCGTGTCATAGATGTGAATCTCGTCGCAGTGTCGGGGAATGGGAGCACACCCGGCACCGAAACCGAAGACAACAGCTGCAGTATGGAAATCGGATGTTACATCCATAGGAGAAGGAGCTCCTCTAGCAGAGTTTGTTATGGAAAAAGAGAGCTTGACCAAGTTCTCATCTTCCGAAGGTGCCGTTGATCCTGACAGCTGTTGTTCTACATACTGCACTTCATTTTCTCCATCGTTCTGCAGGTTCCGCATGACCGCCGCGCGCGCAAGGTACACTGCCGCTCTCCTTCCGTCGATCGGCAGATTCATCGCCGGTACAGGAGCTTTGAAGATACAGCTCATGTTGCATGACCGTTCGCGTTCTTCTTGCAGATTAGAATTAGTACTATTTCCAAGGAATGAAGAACCGGGAAGTTGCTCGTCCTCTTGTTCCGTGAGCAGGTCGCTCAATTTCCCACAGCGTTGCAGCAGCTTCGGCAGCAAGGCAACTTCTTCCGGTGAGAGCGCTACGAGGACATACTCTTCACCGAACACCTCCTGCACTGCATCTAGATCCCATCCTGAGACGTCGCAAATGAGCAACGACGCATCATCCGGGCGACGTAGATGCCAATCTGCTACCACCGGCAAAATGGCGGTTTTGCAGTAGTCCTCGAAGTTCTCATCATCGTTCACCTCCTTCAAAAAAGCAATCAGCGTCTCGTCCCGCTGGTGTTGTATGTGTATCTTAGATGAGGATGCATAATTTTCCTCGCCCAAGCTTCCATGACCAGCACCATCAAACATCGACGAGAAGTAGAGCTGCTCAGCTGCACTGGCATCTCCGGAGGTTGGATTGTTCTGCCCTCCACGACGACTTTCGGCGGAACTCGTGCACGACAGTCGCGCCAGCGCGCTGCTGACGCGTTCCTTTGCCGGAATCTGGAGGTAGTCGACGAAAAACGCCTGCAGATCTGGTCCATATTCGCGATTAAGGGGTGTGCCGCCGCCAAACCGCTCCGCCCAGTACAGCTTTTCGCGCATTTCGGTCAGCGACAGAAACCAGCGTCCCTGCGAGAATACTGCAGGTGGAAGAATTTTATTTGCGGAGTTGCTATCTCTATCAGCTCCTGAACAGGCTGCATGCAGCTGCCGCAACAGGACCTCACAGATTGCTTTCGGACTTTCCCACGTCTGCAGGAACGAAGAAGTTCTTGAACTAGTCCTCAGCGCACCAGAAGTAGAAGAAACAAAAGAGTCGTGAAGATGCGAGGATGCTGCCAACCATCGCAGCCACCTCACAATGCTGTTCGCCGTTGGGTTGCTGCCGTTCAATTGCACTCCGAAAAGACCACACAACTCTTCATGACGCACGCGATAGGAGAGCATTGGAAAAGCGTGCTTGATGTTGTTCCCCTTCCCGGTAGTTGTAGATAAAGTAGAGGAAGACGATGTTGATGTTGATGAAGCACCGCGGTTTTTATTGAATACAAGGTCTAGAGGCACCGTCCCAAACACCGGATCTGTGACAAAAAACTCGGGGCAGGTGGACGGGGAGAGGAGGAATCTCTGCGTTGCTTCGGCGTCGAATTGGATGGAGTAGCGATGCCGATCCAGGTGTTCTAGCAACTTCTCTACGCGCATTTCCGGATGTTTCAAAACTGCCGTGTCCAGCAGCATGGTGTCTCTCTCGACTCGGAGAAGCCGACTTACACCCACCTGTTCCAACACGGTCGTCAACAACGTACTAGTGGACCACGTGGTCGACCCACCAGCTGCGAGGTATTTCGTTGGGTGAAGAAAAAGCTTCGGAGCGGCGCTAGAGCGAGAAAAGACCGCTTCCATAGTGGGAAGAGAAGTCGTGGCTGCAGCAGCAGCGTTTCGTTCTACAAGAACCGTTCTTGTAGAAGTCGCATCTTCGGAGGATGCGACTTTGTTGCTTGATGTCTTCAGATAAGCGTCAGGAAAGTACAGTTCCGAGGCTGGGCGAAAAGTGCCCGCTTCAGCCGTCTCGAGCATTACGAAGGATCGAAGCGTCTGGAGGTCTTGCTCAGATAGACCCGTTTCCTGCTCCTCCTGCACGATTGCCCAGAACAGAGCGTCGCTTGTGCGCTCCTTGAACAGCGGCGAGAGACGCGCGAGGACACTCTCCTTTGGATCAGCTGTGCGTGCCGCGTCGTGCGCATCACCATCAACCTTGGCCCCCATTTTCACGAGAAAGTCGATATCTTTCGATGTTAATTTGTCGAGCAACGTTTGGCGCAAGTAGAACTTGCCAGAATCGCCAGTTGTAACGACTGGCGCTGCAACCCCACTCGCGGGCAGTCGGATCTTCGTCGCGATCACCAGGTTGCTCGGTCTACAGATGTTGTGCACCATCCCCCTTTCCTTCACGTCGCTGTTTCTAGTTCCAACAGCACCATGCCCTGCTATCACACCCGCTGCTCCTACTGGCCACAGTCTTTTCGTGCTCACAGTTTGCCACGAGCAGCCGGTTGAGACGCGGACCAGTTGCAGTAACTGCACAAAAAACTCGTCCTCCTTCCCCGCAAACCACTCACTGTTGTCATGAATCTCATTCAACACCGTGATATTGTGATACGCTGTCATCCCGAGCTCTCTGCGTAAGCGCACGTTCGTGTGCCGCGCCATACCAGCTGGGTCTCCAACCAGGTATTTGTTTTTTCTCTCTTTGAGGTCCATCTTCTCCAGGATTGCCACGAGGGGGGCGAACTCATTATGTGATGTCGCGTTTTCCTCGGTGCCAGTTCTTGATGTGGCGCCACCTCCTAAACATGCGTATGCGTTGATCGGCAGGGCATGTCCATATTCGTCATAACGAGCGTCCGGAATCGGCAAAATACATTGATCCGGCCGAGCCAGAGCAAGCAGAGTCGTGCCACTAGTAACTGATGGCTTAGTTTGGAGGTTGCCGTTTCCGGAAGAGGCAGGCACAGGCGGGCAAACGGCGACGCACTCCGTCTTTCGCACTCGCTGATACAACTTTTCGAGAAAGTTTTTGTAGCCGAAAAACGGATGCGCTGTGGCGTGCGTTGGTAGGTAAGAGATGCTCGGACGTTGACACTGACCAAAGTTTCCTCCACAAGCCTTAGGTGTACGAATCATATGTTCCGACTCCAGGGCACCCATCGCTGCACAGAACGCGTCCACCAAATGGTCTCGAAGCCGTTTGTTCCAATCCTCGTCCTGGTGGATGTCCGTGCGGCTTGCGGTCAGCAGCAGGTCCAAGTTGGCTACGAAAGGGAAGTCGCTATTGCATATCGGCAGAAAGTTGTACTTAAAGCCCAGCATTCAATGGTCACTGACTCTGAAAGAAATGGGCCCCATGCCTCTCCCTTTGCTTTTCCTTCATTTTCCCCTGTTTTCTCAAGAGGGATCTCAGTGACCAACCCCAATGACCATTGAAAGCTGAGCCTTAATGTACAGTTTAAAAGTCTTGACGTTTTGTTCCCCTGTCGCGCCAGCAGAGGCTTCCGGGAACGCCAGCACGATTTCCGACGTTGAAAGGTGCTGTCGCTTCTTGCTCGTGTGATTTTTCATGTCAAAGCCAGCATGGCGAAACACGTGGAACCGCTTCACCTCCTGCCGCTCGCTACAGCTCAAGGTCACCGTTTCGAGGGATGCACTACTAGGGCTCCTGCTTTGATGCCTTTGGCTTGTTTGCCCATCTTTCACAACATGATCTTCAACCGGGCAGCTGCTGCTTTTGCGCCACCCGCTCAAGGTTTTTAACTTGCATCCCTTCGCCACCTCGTGCACAATGATGCTCCGAATCTTACGGAAGAACAGTAAGCAAAGTCGGTCTAACGCTTTGCTGTCGTACAAAACCGCCATTGCGAGCGTTGTTGTTCTGCCATTCTGAGTTGCTTGTGTTTTCTCCGATGTCAACAAGGTGCTTCGCGCGTCCGGCAGAAAGATGGTTGTGGTCATATCTTCCAGTGCGTTGGCCGGTTGTAACACTCGTCTCCTCATCTGCTCCACCATAGCGATTTCATCTGCGTGCAGCATCTGCGGGTACAAGTACCCAATTGTGGAAGCCGAACCACTCGCGCTGCGCGGCGACAAAGCGTCTTTGCTGCGCGCGTCAAATTTGAATTTGAAGTCCCCGCTCCACACGATCGGGGTGTCGGATGCGCGGAAGACGGACTTGAACCCGATCCCTTTCTCCCCGATGAAGCCCTGCTGCGCGTTCTTCGTACTTTTGCCAACGTCGCACAGTGCCTCCACGTTGGCGCGCGTGAACCCGGTCTCGTTGCAGGAGAAGCTCAAATGCCCACTTTCCTCGTCGCACACGATCACCACCGACGGCTCTCGGGACGCATCGAACGCGTTGTCGTCAAAGTTCTGGAGAAGCTCGAAAACAAAGTGGGAATTGCTCGTCGACATGTCGCGAGCGAGAAGCTCGAGAGAACGTTGAAAAGCCTCGACCAAGGGAGATGCAAGTTCGTAACCCTTAGCAAACATGTCAGGACGCCACTTCTGCTGAATGGCGCGGATCACCAACTCGTCTGGGGATGAAGCATTCCTGGGACTCAAACTGAATGGACGAGATGGAATTTGACGAATCTGCTCTTCTTGGTTAAGGGTGACATCAAGCGGAAAACTACGAGGAGATGAAGCGCTTTCGTAGTTGTACTTCATCTCAGCACTCCTGTGTTCATTGCTGTAGCTGTTCTCGTCCTCTCCATATCGTAAAGTGGAGAGGGCAACATTCTTGTTGTCCTCTCTTTCGTCGAGATCTAGCGCAACATCCAAATCCGAGGACGGCAACACCAGATCTGCCTCAGCACTCACGTAGGCGCCGAAATGTTCTGTTTGTTCCAACGATCCGGGCTCTTCGTTCATCAAGTCAAATAGGCGATCATCGTCCGGGAGATCAGCCTCAGACTTGTGATCATCCGCTTCGCCCAATAGGCGATCATCGTGGTCCGGGAGATCATCCTCTTCGCCCAAATTGAAGCCAGTATCGCCTGCAGTGTTTTTCGGGCTCTTTGTCTTTCGGGATGACTCGTCCTCGTCTTTCACGATTCGCTCGTCCTCGACGCAGTCCTCATAGAAGTAAACGTCATCAGCGTGGTCACCTCCGTGGCCAACTTTATCCACGACCACAGCCTCGAAGGCTTCATCCACACAGAGGTCCCACATTTCAGCTAAGGTTTTCGCTTGCTTGATCGAGTTTAAGTCAAGCGGTGTCAACCTCGCTTTTTCTTGTCCACCTTGGGTTAGAGTCAGCTAGATTGCATCTCGGCCCCCTCATCTTGACCCCTTTACTACCCTTGTATCATTTCATAGGAATACAACAAGGGAACAAAAGGGTACGACCAAGATGCCGAGAATGATGGACACCAAATGTTGACCATAATGGGGCAGCAGCAGCGAAAGTGGCCGTCGCGAAAGTTTTCACGCGATGCTCGAACACGGGAAGGAACAGGCCTGGCTGCATTAGCAGTGCCTCGCATTCGGTGCACCAGGTATCCAGGCGAAAACTGTCGAGAGCATCACCGAGAAGCTTTGTTGCATAGGTGGTAGCACTATCCGCGACTGTTGAAGAGGTCATGCTATCTTCACCTGGTGTGGCTCCAGTCCTTCTTGCGTGTGCCTGCTGAAGAAAGTGCTGTGTACCGGTCACAGCCGCCGAAGCCGATCCAGCCAGCTGCGTCAGCGCCTCAAAGGCTCGCGCTGCTCCACTGCAGACGAAATCCGGCATCTTCTCCAGAACCAGTTGCGCTGCATCATTGTCCCGAGAAATGCGGCTGGTGCGCGGGTTTTCTGCGGAGTTTTGCAGCTTTAGGAACTCCTTCAGCATTGTTTCCGTGCTGAAGCTGCCCGATGCATCGAACAAGACCCTGTCCATGCCCTGCCACGAAGTGGCCAAAACGCGATCAACGTGAAAGTGCGTCCAGAAGCCGTCTAGGCTGCGCGAAAGCGTGGGTTGAGCGTCAGTGATAAGCACAAACGTACTAGGAAATCGCGTTTCGTCGCCGTGATCTTTTTTTTTCATTTGTTGCTCAAGAAGAACATTCATATTACGGTCTAGTACTTGGCATGCCTTCTTCACCAATGCCATTCTCGTACTGCGGATCGTGTGCTCGATGTCTGCAAACAATTTCTGCGAAAATGTGCGTCCGAAAAGCGCGACTGCAACACAGTCACGCGGAACATGGACCAGGTCAGAATGAAGAGTAGCTGTAGATTGGGGTTGATCTTCATTTTGCGGAGCGTTACCATCAGCCCCCACCGCAACCTCTTGTCCGACCTCCTCCTTTTCCCGCTTTGCACGGAGATTCGACTCGCATTTTCGAACACGGGCCTCGAGGGCCTCGCGAAACTCAGCGTGGTGCTTGAAGTTAGCGACGTTCAGACAGTCTTTCAAGTGGTCGGACAAGCCCTCCGGGTCCGCACAAGTGACATGGAAACATGCACTCTGAGTGCTTTTCCCCATGTACATGTTGACGCCCTCGTGCTCAAAAAAATGCGCAAGCGACAGTTGCGACCGGCCTCTGGGAATCACGAAGCAGTGGTGCAAATAACTTTTCGCTTTTTCGAAAGCCACCTCCATGTTTTGGTGTGTACAGTCTTTTGCACTGGCGCATTGCTCCAGAAGCAGAAACAGACTCTCCATTCGAGCCTGCTCCTCTTGGGGGATGCCTGCGCAAGGTCCCAGAGTCTTCTCTTGCTCCGCAAGCCAGCTTGTCAGTGCTGTCAGATTATGACGCCGGCCTTTGTTTTCATTTTCATCACCACCACAGCCTCCTTCTATGCGGCCGTCTGCTTCGTCATTCACCTCTTTTTCCTTCCCCGCCTCGTCCTCAGCAGCCTGCTCGACGTCGGGAATCAATGTCCTCTCTTCAGAAGTTTCTTTTCTCAGCTTTTGTGCATTTTCAAGTTCCAGCACCGCCTCCAACCTGTGCTTTTCGAATCGATTCAGGAGGGGCGGGGGGAACTCGCTGTATGCTTCGGCATGGTCCGCGAGAAGAAGAAGGCGGAAGTCTTCGTGGATGTCCACTTTCACCCGCGCATGGCCAAGCCCCAAGTCCACGAAGTACCGTCCTGAGTACTCCTGGTAGAACTTATTCAGCAGATCGTAGAGACTCTCGTACACATTTTCGTTGTACAGCAGGATGACGGGCCTTCCCTCAGACAGCGACGTCTTCAATTCCCTTATCACCTCATGGGTGTAAGCAAGGGACCCCTTGTCGCCAGAGAACCCACTGCCACAGATCACGTGCGCAGTGGCGTACAAAGACAAACCTCCATCTTCTAGTTGGCCATCTCCATCCTGCTCATGACAAGCAGGAGCTGCATCCGCTTTTCCATTTTTTTGCAGCCACGCCAAAGTCGCCACAGGATTGCGGGAGATGAGCATTGGGTAGCGGTGACCGTCATTCGGGTGCAGAAAAGCCGCGTTAACTAAGCTCATCGTCGAAGCGCGACGCGGAGGCACAGGACGAAGTGCACAGCTCAGCACACTAGTACTTCCGTCAATTATAGGCGCAGCACCAACATCTGGTTGTTCTTTTTTGTCTCGATTTTCACAACAAGGGAGCAGAAGATGTTTTTCGAAAATACGATCCACCTCTTGTTGTGCGTAGGGAGGCAGCCCCGAAAAATTAGGACGAACCACCTTTTGCAGCAACGACTCTGCGTTCTCACGAAATAAAGAGGACATTTGCGCGGACGATTTCATGTTGTACATCTGCGTGACGCAGGAGTAGATGTCGCGTAGCGCGTAAAACGCGCCCTCCGGAAATTCCTTCTTCTCGCCCATCACGGCAACCACCTCCAAGAACGCGGCGCTCAGTTTCTTCAGAAAAGCAGTCCTCGTTCCGAGCGTCGCTGCTCCTGCATTTGTTGATGTCGTGCTTGAAGTAGATGTAGTTGACACCTGTTTCTGCCTGCTGGTACAACTGGCATGACTCGGATCCCCGACGAATTCAAGCATCGTTTCGACTAGGTCCTCTTCGCTAGGCATCGACCTCGTGACGAAGAGTCCTCGGTTCATCTTGGCCGGATCCAAATTCCAATTCGAAGTAGCCACAAAAGCGTTTGCGAATCTGCTCTTGTCGTCAAAGATCTCGTGAAGGACCTTGAGCGGGAGGTCGGGACTCATCTCCGCCAGTCCGATTTCCTCGAGCACAGCCACAGCGTCCGGAATCTTGCAAACGCTGTCGCAGTGCCCCTGCAAGTCGCGTGCGGTTGTGTGTGGCGAGCACTGCAGCACGCGCAGTTGTGCTGAGGGAAGACGCTGGAAAAACGGAAGCGGCGACCGCTTTCCCAGCATTTGCGTCTGCAGCACAGCTTTCGCGAGCGATTTGCTGCTCCCAGGCAAGCCGATGATGAACGTCGGAATCTTCAGGGCGATTCCGACCGCAAGAATGATTAAGTTCTCGCGCAGCGCGGTGTTTAGGACAACGCCCTTCGGCAGGTCAATCCCTTTCAGCAGGTCCTTCTGCAGTTTTGTGAAGCGGTCTGCGAGGTCTTTTGGTCGGCAAGACGGATAGAGGTTTTCTTCAAAATTAGAGCTCTCCGTAAGTCATCTATTATTTAGTTGTTGCATCCTTAAAAAGTATCATGTGAGTGGGGGACGCGTATTTTTTCTCTAGAATACTCACCGTCACCCATATGCAGTTTCAGGACTCCAGTCAAAGATGAATTAGCTACAACAGCCTTAAGAAAAAACGCTTTTTTCGCGTCGGTTCCCATCTTCATGACGTACGCAATGCAGACTGCGGCCGCGATCGAGTCTTCCTCTGAGTGGCCCATTTCGTCGAGGAAGAGTGCAAACACTTTTACTGCGTGCATGACGCTCCGAAAGGAGACGAACGTGTAGTCGCTCGCTTCGTGGTGCTTCGAGAACGTGTGGGCTGCCACAACCGCTGGCGCGAGCTCTGGGCACTCGTGCTCCCGAAGCAGTCGGCGGATGACGTTGCCCATCAGCTCTGCCGGCATGTCTGGGAAATCGAGTTTGTAATACTCGAGAGCTTCAGGAAGTTTGTGCACTCGGTACACGAGATCTGCCAGCGGGATGGCGCGGTCCTCGAGTTCGCGGCTCTTTTCCGCGCTCGCACACTGCAAGGTAGATTGCATGTCGTAGTGCTGTGCGTCCTCCATGTCGGGTGCTTGCATCCCCATGTGGCGAACGCGCTTGAGCTCTGCCTCCGATCGCTTGCGGTAGGGGTTGATCGCGCCGACGATCTCAAAAACGCTGCCACCGCTACGGCGAAGCGCAACGCCATTGAGCCGACAATCGCACACCACTTCCTTCAGAAGATCAATGGCTGGACTAGCGTTCATCTCGTCAATGAAAAGCATGGCCTTCTTTTGGGTAGTCCCCATCGCTGCATAGATTTCGTCCACCTTCTGCTGCACGACTTGGCAGACCCGCTTATTGTCGTACCCGCCATGCACCGTGAACGAAAACAGCCGATATCCGCGAAGAGCGCACCAGAACTTTATCAGCTCCGTCTTACCGCACCTGAGAAATTAAGAAGTTGCATCAACTGTAATTGGTCCACATGACATTATCTATGCGTCTACGTTGGCACGTTTCACTCAGCGTCTAACTAAAGCTCGCACTTGCTATGGCGCGCTGGATGGAAATAAAGACGATCTGAGGACGAGGAGGTTAGATAGAGGTTTTTTTAGTATATTAACAATCAACGCGTATAATTCTTGCGGGGTAAACATATTTATACGTTTAGGTGTGTACTAGCAAGATAGCATTTTACCCAGTTTCTCCTTCAAGAATGGCAGGTAGTCCGCTAAAGAGACGAATCTCCAAGTGGAGCAGGATATTCAGTGCTGTCGACGTCCACACAAAATTTGAAAATTTCCGGGGGCGTGCCTCGTACTCAAAGGCATCAAGTGCCGGATGGTCAGGTTTGGCCAGTCTCATCATATCGGAAATCAAGTCATCATCGGTTCGCATGTTCTTGCTCTGCGCCACGCGAATAACTAGTTGCAGGAGAAGCGGTCGCAACTCGGCTTTTTCCGATACTATGGTGCTTTCACAGCGGCCGAAATAAGCAAGGTAGCGACATGCCAGGTTATGTGTGGTCAGCGACAGTGGTGCATCCAAGTCACGAGCTTCTCCGTCTTCCCGTTGCAGAGTTGCAAGTTGGTTCAGAATCCTGTAGACATACTCTTCATGCCCTAAACACAGCATCTCTGGCGACGAGACGTCAACGTCTTCATTCAGAATCCGATTCAAGCGTGAAAAGTAGCTCCAGCGGATAACGTCAAGCGGCGAAGCATTTCCTGTTATGAAACCCAAGTTCTTCTTTATCTCCAGCGCGGCCACCACTTCACACTCTTGAGCGAGTGCGCTTCTCTCATCTCTGAATGAGCTACAAGTAGACACATGCGGCAACGATACGTAGTGGCGCTCAAATGCCGTTACCAAGCCACGCAAGTGTTGCTGATTCAATTCCAATACTGCAGGCCCTGGTCGTCGCACTAGCTGCCCGCTCGCAAAGAGAGCTGTGTCGAAGATTAGAAAATCGAAAAGCGCCTTGTCGAGTGGGCCAGCCACGAACTCCCCAATGCGCATTGCGACGCCATCATGTGGGCCTGACCTGACGTAGTCAATGTCTGCCCAGCGTCTGGTCTTGACGCCGTCGTAAGCTTTTCCATCGATGTGGCCGTTAATTGTGATTCTCCCACCGTCCGAGCCTCCGCAATCCTTGATGTATTTTGTCTTGCCAGAACCAGAAGCGCGTGACGTCACTACGGTGATCTTGGAGCCCTGAGGGATCTGCTGAGCAACCCACTGGCGAAGGCCTGACATCTTCAAGCTCTGCTGACAAGCGCTGTGGCAATCACTTCCTTGCGAGTCAGCGGGGCGGGTCGTGTGGTTATAATTTGCGATGGCGATTATTGCACCTGTCGATCCGCTACGAGAGATGACGGTCAGTCTTGTTCCACCGGGAGCACTTCCCCCCTTTGCAAACCCGCTGGTCGCCTGCCACTTTTCTAGCTTACGCACAAAGCGTTGCTGCAGCGCTGCAGGAAGCAGCTCGGGTTCGACTATCGCATGCAGGAGTTGTGGCGCCAAGAGCATGCGGCGCACGAAGCTGTCAACCTCATCGCGGGTCGTCTCGTGGGTGCAAAGCAATACCTCCCACCTCGATGGCAAACGATCCACCTCATGCCGGAAAATGTCGAGCAGCAGCAAGTAACCGCAGCAGCTAAGATCATCTTTCTCATCACTGCCGAACCGCAGCAGCCTCACGTCACTCCGGCTTTGCCTCTTGTGTTGCTGCAGCGCAATCAAAGGGAGCTGGGCCAATGATGGCTTTTGAAAGATCTGGCGAACACGAGCGGGAAACCGAGCCCAGACCCTCTTGATGTAGTCCTGAGTGGGAACTCCACCGGCCCTGAAAAAATGGCGGTAGAAGTACATCCACGACTTTGTCGGAACATTGAAAACTTCCGGTAGCGTCGTTTTGCTGAGCACTTGGAGGCTTTGCTTCCACTCTCGCTTCGCAGATTTCCACTCGTGGGCGATGGCGGCGAGATCTTCCAATGCGTGAGTGTCATCGCACTCTATTCTTTCGCGCCATGTCCTGTCTTGCGCAGCGGGTACACCGACCGCCCTTGCCCGCGCAAAGTCGCGCGCCGCCTGCTTTGCTGCTTGAAACAGAGACACTGATCGGGCACGGCGTTTTTCGTCCTCGTTCTTCAGCTTGCGCACGCCGATTTGAGCGATCTCGTCTTCCCACTCCCGTGCCGATAAAGTGAGGCCCGTCTCATCGAGCTCCATATAGAGCAGCCTGCGCGCGTCGGTCTGGACACCCCAGTCTTCTGCGCCTTCAGTTTCGCCAGCTTTGTCGTGTCCGATGATAATCGTCCCCGCTGCCAGTTGACGCAGCTTTCGCAATTCCCTGCCACCAGTTTCACTCAACTCTCTATGCAGTTCGCGAAGCTGGTCTATTCGCGTGCCCCCCTCTACCAGCCCTGCCGCCTGTGCGAGAAGTGCTGCTTCCATCCGCACAACCTGTCGCACAAAGCTGGCGTAGGTAGATTGATGAAGCTGAAGCACGTGCGGCCGCACTGCGCGAAGGTCTTGCAACGCGGTTTGCTGACTGGCGTCCTGGGCAGTCTCATCCATTGCCACGTCAAGAAAGTGGACGAACTCTCCATCCTTCTCGAGGCCGCAATCGTCCAAAACCGCACGCACAGCACGGAGCTTATCGACCGTTGCGAGCCGCTGCGCTAGGTCTTCTGCTACAACTACACAAGCCGCCCCTTTTCCGCGATGGTCGTTACTTGTCACGAGCTCCATGTCCAGATGCTTGCGAAACGCGTCTTGAAGTGCTTTCTCCACTTGTGCGCCCCCCTTTTTCCAATGTGCTAGGGGCTGCGCAGTTCCGTCATCTAGAACTACTGCACTTGCCACCAACAAGATGCTCTCCAAAAACTCGTCGAGTTTTGTTTTCCACGGTGTTGCCTGGTTTTTTGTGTTCAAGAGCATGGCGTCCACAAGCTTCGCGTACGTTTTAAGCGACTGGTAGCTTGTCCACAGTGAGCCCCAATACGTCAGCGATTTTTCGTCAAAAAGAACCTTTCTCTTGTCCGTATATCCATGGCCCCGCCCAATGCGACACATAGCGGTCATGCACTCGGCCGAGCATTGAGAAATCCACCCAGGAAGGTTTTCGTCATTGAGTTTGATGCAGCCGTCAGAGGAATTGAGAATGCTTTCCCAAAACTCGCCCAACGAGTCCGCCGTCTCGTTCCAAATCGAGGAAACATATACATGTTCTTCCATGATACGACGACTCATTCCAGAGCGAACGCAGGCTTTGTCAAACTCAAACGTTTTCTTCCACTTCGAAACTACTTCCTGGTCGAGACCTCCCCGCACAGCACCGCACTTTTCAAAGTAAAGCTGGACCTCCTCCAGGATCCTCTCCAGCTCTTGCGCACACCAAAAACCTTCGTAGGCGCTCCGCAGATCCGCAATTGTGTGTAGGCTTCCAGTAGCAGTTGCGATTTGACTCTGGATCGCTGCAGCAGTCTCAGGCGTCAGCGCCGATTCAAAAACGGCAGCGAGTGCTCGATACTGGGAACAGCGTTTTTCTAGGAGCAATCGGCTGGCTGTCACCTCTTGGATTGCCTCTCCTATTTGCCCCGGCTGGATCAGCATCCCCATGCGCGTTGTCTTCGTCTTGTCCTCTTGCACTCTCTCCAGACCTTGTGACTCCTTCTTCACACTGCTCTTCTTCCGTCCGATGCTTGATGCCAAAAGCAGCTTGGCCGTGCAGCTTTTGCTACGAAGGCCACGGCGAGGTCTACTGTGCTCTTGGTTGTCGCCGCTCGATGCCCCGCTTTTTCCATTCTGCGTTAGAGATACGGGTAGATAGAAGTGGTCTGATAGGATTCGGTGCGCGTCCCAAATTCGGAATAGAAGCACTTCGCGATCATGTCTTTGTATTTTGCGTTCGATATGCTCAACTATCGTCAGCGGCATTTCGCCCGACAAGATGGTGATGGCGCCACAAAAATTCGAAATACGATCGCCAATTTGCCCCGCCGCCTCAAGTGCAGAAAACAAGTGTGAATCCACATCGGTCATGCGTGACTGCTCGCCTACGCTGGATGCGGCGGTACTAGACGAGTTAGTGTTAGCGCGACCACCTGCATATCGATTTCGCTGTCTGCACTCGGATTGGCGTTCCGCGACAGATTGCAGAAGGCCCAGGAGCGTCAAGTAGTCCTCGCCTCGGTTCCTCACCATGGAAAAGACACTCTCGAGCTTACCACTCTTCTGGAGGAAATCGCGCTCTTCCGCAATCATCCAGCGAAGCTTCTGTGCGATCCCCAGTGCACTGCGAAGCCACAGCGTGGAAACGTTGTCAACCACGACGTTTATTGGCAAGAATTGGACCCAGAGGCTGAGAAAGTCGGAGTCCGTAATAAAACGGCAATTTTTACTGTCCGCGCCTTTTGTCGGGAGCTCCGCGAGGTTGAAGAAACCGAGATTCCGAGAGGAGATCGCGTCGAACAGTGTTGTCAATAATTTCTCCACGACCCGATCGCGAACACGCTGTCGTTTTATTTGGTGGTCCCGTGAACCTGAGCTTTTTACTTCACTTTGTGGTCGACCGTTTTTGTTGCAGTTTCGCACCTCCGCGAAGCATTCAAGGAAAAACCAATATGCATGAGGCTCCGTCACTGGCGGGAGCCGGGAGTAAACCATGTCCTGCAAAGCCTTCACTGGACGGCTGAGCGCCTCGTAAATGAATTCTGATGAAAAGCGTATTAGCTCTGCGCCGGCAAGCAAAGTTCCAAACATCAGCAAAATCTGTCTCGCAGTTCCGATTCCGTATTGCACGAGCGAAGGAACACCAGCCAGAGTTTTCACACACTGACATAGGACAGTCCACACTGCGCCGTAATCAAGACGCGGTTGCTGCGAAGACGCGGTCTGAGCATCGTCTTGTTCTGTGCTTTCACCCCACGTCGAAGCGGAGGTTGATTTGCTTTCATCTGCCGCCCTCGTCCGCTGCACTCGTCCGCTGCCCTCCGCCGTGTAAAAGAAGCTCGACACTGCACTTTGAGAAAGCGAGAGAAACGCGCGCCACGCTCTCTGCGTTTCCTCAGCTGGTGCGTCGAGCGTGGAAGACCGACGATCTTGCGAGAACCAAGTCTTCATCTTGGCATGCAGAACGGAGACAAACTCGCACATACCTTGTCGAACGAGCAAGTGAGCACGATCTTCGCTTAGCATCACCACAAGCTTTTCCAGCTGGTCCACCGTATCCATACGCAGCAACAAGTACGCTAAAAACCCTGGCCAGACGCGTGACACTGCAATCATGTCATCGAGAGCTATGCCGCCAAGTGCGCAAAAATTTTCCGCAGGAACAAGCGTTTCCTCTTCGAAGAATTTGCGTGGAAGTTCTAAGTAGTGCCACAGTTCCCGGCCGTCCTCGATGACCCTCTTTTGAGGATTCGGCACCCATTTCGACGCAAACGGGATAAAGATTGCGTGTGGAATTCCGCAAGCCATCATGTCGCGCGGCACCACCTTCTCCCCAACTAACACAGCGCATGCGGTCTTCCCGTCGTTGTCGTGCTTGTTTCCGCAGCTGCGATAGAACGCCAGTGCTTTGTGCAACAGAAATTTTGTCGCTTCTCCGTTTGAAATGTACCTTCGGTACTTGTGCAGCGCGCATTGCGCGTAGAGCGCCTCCACGAAAAAGCTGTAGCTCGTATTTTCCATAAGTGCGCGCGCCAACAGATCGGCGTCCTCGTGATGAGGCGGGTCTTCACTGCTTGCTCTCTGCCGAGCCCAGGAAAATTTCAGTACTTGCAGAACAGTTCGTACAGTCATAAAGGGATCGTAGTCTCCGTTTTTCCCTCCAAAAAACCCCTTCGACCGAAGGAACGCTAGCTTGCTTTCAACTAGAACTGCGAGCCCTTGTTGCATAAAAGCGCACTGACAGTCGTGTGCTGCACGGCTGCTCATTTTGTCTCTCACATCTGCGTTAATAAATTTCTCCCGTGCAAAGGTCCTCACGTCGAAATGCTGGATCTGGTCGCGTGATAAATCGTTTTCGGGTGATAGCACCAACCAAGACGACTTTGTCTCCTTTTCTGGCAGCATCTCAGTTGATGCACCCGAAGTTGCTGCCGCCGTCGCGATGTATGAAACGGCATACTCACACTTATGGCATGACGATGGCAGCTCTGTCTTGCAATAAAAAACGCCTCCAGCTGCATGATCCACCTCACGACGGTTTCCGGAAGGAGAGTATATTTTGCGGGTCTGAATTGCGCGGCGCGCCGGGTTCTTCAGGATCAACCACACTTCGCGTACCTCGGGCCCCGCATAAATGCGCCAGTGTACAGTTCTCTCACTTTCCTTAGGCGCCACCTCCGCGTAGGGGCGAATTCGCGGCACATAAAGCACTTGTTGTTCACCTCGTGCAGCACCATAAGTGGTGTTCGGAGCAGAGGTTGTCGTGTTCGATGAAGCGTGGGCAGCACGCGTCGCGTTTTGCATAGGGACAAACTCTTTGGCAGCTGCGCGAAGCTGCGATGGAGCAACGTCGAGCCCAACATTCTCAGCAACCACTGGCTCTGGTGGTCGGCGAGGGGCTTTCGACTCCTCTGTTGCTTGCGCTTTATTTTCTTTCCTGGAAGAGTCTTCGTCATAGTCCTCTTGATCGGTTGGCGTCGATGCTGGGTCTGATGAATTGGGTTCCTGATCGGGGGCTGTGCTGGGTACCAACGAGGCGCCCGCGCCGTCATCTTTGACTTTGTGAGGCGCCGAGTCTGAAACAGAAAGCTCTGCCTCCATTTTTGAAACCTAGAAGGTGCTGTTTATTTTACATTTACAGTCAAGGGAAGCTCGTAATATCCAAAGCTACGTGTAGTTGTACGTAAACGTAAGTATAATTACCAAACAAAAATACACAGGATTAGGTTAGGTTAGGTTGGGGCCTACCATCCGACGTGGTAGACTTAAGCCGCTGCTGAAGAGCCTGGCAAAAGGATTAGGAATTACATTTAAGTACTACGATGTTTCAACTTCGCTCTCTCTTCTTCATTTTACATCATCTCCTAATTCATTTCACCTTCGACACAGGGTTTAACGATATCGGATATTATTGATGTACTCGACATTCATTCATTCATTCATTACTCGCACAAGATCTGCGTCGGCTCCAACGAGTGGGCTAATTCATTGGTTATTTTATCAATGCCTTAGAGAGCAATAAGTGGCACACGAGAGACACAGAAATGGAGCAGAGATAGATTGATGTATTCTTGTGTATCACCGTGCATCTGTAGTGCTAGTGATCATGGTGCTGTATCACTCCGTCTGGTGTGCTGATCATTCTCTAGCACCGATCGTTTTTACAATTACAATTGCAAATTTTATGATGGGGGTTATGGCGGGCGGTATACTAAAAGTATGACCCACGCGCTTTCCAGGATGCTGCCCGGCGATGGTGGGAGTGCATTAGCCTCCTATGCTAAACGCTGCTTACATATTTTGCGCCATCGATTTTAAAATGGTCGACACTAAGAGCTTGCAGAAAGCTGCCTGCCTCTGATTATGCGCATTTTTGTCATTTTTGAGATCACAGGAAGCTGCCTGTATTTTGAATCTCATGAATTGCGCTAACTCATCAAGTGGCGGCCCTAGAGTGTTCGAGTTCTACGTTCTTGTAGAATTTACTCGCTCAGTATGATCTTAGTAGGATCTTAAGGTTCTCCTTTTTTCCACCTATGCTTCAATGCTGATCTTCTGATCTTTTTCGATTAGTTCGACGCAGGTTCTTGTAGAAGTGTGATTGGCATTTTTGTTTTGAAGATTTTCCATTTAGTCACGATGTGCATCGCGGTTATGTGAATCGAAATGAATCATGCCTAAGATAGCATAAGCATCATGCGCTAGTCATCTATTCTTGTTCATGTAGCTTTTTTCAGCTTTTATCCAACAGCTTACATCGTAATGATATATCGTAGTTACGTAATATACGAACAAGTGGTCGAAGTGGTTGTGGTCGTGGTTGGGTGTTGTAACCTTATTTGTGCTTCTGTATACTTCTGTCCATAGAATAAGAGTGTCGTTTTTAGTCCTTTTTAGGAGGTGCATTTCCTATGCATAACTTCCATGTGAATGACGTACGTTACTATACTAGGCAAAAAAAAAGATGTAGATGTACCTTAGGAAAAATAAAAAATGTCAGAAAAACTAGAACAAATTGAACTCCCTTCATGTTTATGACCAGCAAAATCATACCTACTCACTCAAATTGGGTATGTCGTGGATTTTTAGTATCAGAAACGCGTAAACCAGAATTACTACAGCTAGTACGTTTTTACTACTCAGTCATCAAGATTTAACTGAATCAGTGAGTTGCTGATCGTGATGCTACAACATGAAGATTTTACGAACTACAATACGGAGTACTAGTAGCTTACTTTAAGTAGAAACGCTTTGCTCTTACTTTCTGTTTAAGTGCACTACTACTAGCTTACTTCTACTTACTTTCTGGGGACACCATCATGGTCTCGAAGAGGCCCGAACAGCGACGGCGGATAGTCCCCTGTTACAGATTTTTCTTGGAAATTTTTCTAAGGATGCTTGATGAAGCTGTACCTGCAACTACTAATACCAAATCTTTACAACTACAAGCACTCAAATTCGTTCACTCATTCGTTCTCACAAGTAGATCTGTGTAGACTCCAACTATATCACAGTAATCTCCCTTGTGAACTTCCACCTCCACCTCCGTCTCCAGCTCCACCACTCCCGTCATCCGCCGTCGCAGACTGCCCCCTAGCCACGAGCATAGGCACCATGATCGTCATGGTGAGGTTCAAAATGACAAGCGAAACCGCCTTCCACAGCAAAGCATAGGTAATAGGTTGTCCGAATAGGCGGATGCACATCGACATCTGCTGCATCTGCAGATTTCATGTTAGAGAGGACGCATGAGAAAGGTCTATTATAGTTTCTAGTTGTGGTATCATTTAAAAAAATATATTTATCGGCTGCACGGTACCCCCCCTGCGCCCTGGATAATATATACTATAGGTATAGCCTATACCTTATATAACGAAATTCAGCTACTTCAAACCACTAGTTCTAGTATACTTGAGGAGCGATAGTAGTCCTCGTATAATCATAGGCGAGGCTGTAACAAAACATGCCTCTACCTCAAAGAACCACGCACCAAAATAGCCTATACCTTATAAATATAACGAAACCATAGTTCTAGTATACTTGAGGACCATAACATCTGCAATGCCTGGGCATCGCTGAAGAGGTACACGCTCAATTTCGAGATACTGTCCAGACAACTCGTTTGGACCCTCTCGATCAGAAACGACTCGTAGATGGCCGCCATCTGTTTCAGCCATAGGATGTCGATGAACAGAACCAGATTCAACTGAATCAACGATGCCACGAAGGAGAAGGAAGAGCTGTTCGACGATGATGTTGTAGAAGTAGTCTCTTTCGAGGAGGAGGTCACTTCTGGAAAGGAGAAGTCTGATGAGGAGAAAGAGGAGTCTGAAGAGGAGGAGGAGGAGGAGGAGGAGTCTGATGAGGAGGAAGAGGAGTCTGAAGAGGAGGAGGAAGAAGAAGTAGAAGATGCGGATGACGATGAGTTGCCAGAATTGGTCGACAATTTCCTCGCATGATTTTGCGACGAAGAAAGCAGGTCTTCGTAATCCCAGGAGAGTCTTGATGTTCTTCTTTCGTCTCTGAAGCTAGACTCCGAGTTTCGTGCCAACAAACTTGTTGAGTTTTTGAGATGTTGTAGTCTTCTCGTCCCCGAGCTAGTAGTAGCTTCATCAAGTGTTATTTCATGCCCAAACCGCCTTGTCAAAGAGACACCAGATGCCGCAGGTGTAGACGGAACTTCTGCACTACCTCCAGGTCTACCAAATGCAGAAAGAACTCTCAACACGGGTTCACCTCCACTCTGACGAGTTGAATCATCTGCATCCATCAGTTGCTGATTGAACATGATGGCTACTATTCCGGACACCAAAATGTAGCAGGTGAGTCCGAACTGCAACACGTTGTAGTCCGTCTCGAAGGTTCTAAACTTCGACACCACTAGAATGATCTTCTCTTGGATTTGCACGTAGACCTCATAGGTTATCGAGATTGTTTCCTCAGGAGAGTCATCTACCATTTCCAAACCGTCAAGGCTCTCCTGTGCTTGGCGGCATTCAAATTGTTCTTCTTGTTGCACAACATCACTGCTGATGTTCACGGTTCTCAGTTGAAGTTGATTATTGCCTACTATAGAATGTTCATCTTGATGTTGATGTTGTTGAGCTCCTAATGTGGTCCTACTTCCGCTACCGCTAGAGCCGTCGTTTGAGGGGGAATGTCCGGAACGACTACCAGAAGAAGATGACGAGTCTTCTTCCCCTTCATCGTCGTCATCCTCATCTGCACAGATATCGTCCGCGGTTTGTTCTTGAGCGACTACGCTTTGATCTGTTTGTTCACGCGGCTTGCCAGTAGCTCCTGCAGTGTCACCACCCGCTCCGTCTCCCCCTTCACCAGCGCTAGCGTCCTCTCCACCAGTCTGTTCCATCATTTTGGACGCTAGTCTCTCCAGCTGCCGCTTTTCATTAGGTGCAAGACGATTGACCAAAGTCGGATGAAGAGAAAGAAGACCACCGTCTTCGGCTGTGCTGTCTTTTTTCTTGGCTTCTTCAATGGTAGTTTTAGTGGAATAATAGTTGGACGACTTGTTATTGGCATTTTGGGAAGCCCTGCGACATTTTTGCGCGGCCGCAAGAGTTACTGCAGGACTTGATGGTGCATTTGCTGGATTATGATTCCAGTTGGTCGCCCCACTGGAGGTCAAGGAACTGAACTGGCTTGATGACATCGCAGCCATAGCACTGGCGCGTCTTTGTGCCAGTAAAGGACGACCGCTCATCTTCGTGTGTGCACCACCTCCACCACCTCCTACTAGATGCTGATACTGTGGAATGCTTCCACGTATTAAGGAAGACCCCACTGCGTTATCTATCACACTTGCACGACGAGGTTGTAGGTGGCTAGAAGGATGGCCTCCCCCTCCACCAGCACCCATATTAAAACCTACAGCAGCTGCACAACTAACGCTGCCTCTACGACCACTGCCAAATGCGGACGTCTGTCTCCGCTGTTGCATGATCAGCAGTGCTCTTTCTGCTAAGGCATTGGCGCGATGCTCCTCAGCGTTACTGTCTCTACGTATTTGGGACGCCGTTTGTGCTCCCGGTGAAGTACCTGGTGCATGAAATGGTTTTTGTTGCTGGTTCATCTCCGAGTGCTGCATCATTAGAGAAGCTGAACTTTGTTGTTCACCAGTACAAGCCAACATGCCCTCATCGTTCTTGTTCACCAGTATCCCCTGCAATCCGTTTGTTACTGAGCAACGACGACCGGTAGTTGTTGTACGAGGTGCTTGTGCTTGTGGAGGTAGTGCTTGTGGAGAGTGTGCTTGTGGCACTAGTGCTTGTGAGTCAGGAGTGCGACAACTAGTGGTAAAATTGTTCGTCTCAGCTGTCATATTCAGCACGGATTCTAGAAAGGAGTGTCGTCGTTGACTTCTAGACGCGATCACTCCGACAGGAGGCGCTTGCTCAGTCACGGTCATGGGGACCATAATACTTGGAGATTCTGCAGCGCCAGCGCTGTCCGCAATCTGTGGGCTTGTTGTACTTCTTGGGAGTTGAGAAGTAGAAGGCTGATGTTGATGGAAATTCCCCTGCTGGTGTACTGGTACTACTGGTAACATCGGCGCGAATCTAGATCCATTCATCATACAACTATCATCGTCCCGAATTATATTCTGAAGCGAAGGACCTCCACTGGAGGGATTACAACTTGAGCCATATCCACTAGCGGCCATCGCACCAACCTGAAAATCTGTCTTTGAAACCAGCTGGCCAAGAAGCCGCAGCTGGCCCAGTTGCTCTAGCAGTCGCTCTCGTAGCAGCCAAGAGAAGATCAGGGACGTTAGAGACGTGGTGGAAGAGTGACACTTGTTCTGTTGCCCATGCTAGTATAATGATATCACAGATGAAGTCCACCTCCTCCACAAAAACCCACCTCCTCCTCCTCCACCCACACACACCACCACACCCACACCACAGCCACACACCACCACACCCACACAGCACCACCACACCCACACAGCACCACCACACCCACACAGCACCACACCCACCCACCACACCCACACAGCACCACCACACCCACCCACCACCACACCCACCCACCACACCACACCCACGGGTGGGCTCTTCTACCCACAGCCCCACTCAGTTCCACCCGCGTACGGGTTTGCCCGCCCACAAACGTGCCGGGCGTGCTTGTTTCAACGGCCTAACGACATGGCCGGCGACTTGTAATGATATCACAGATGAAGTCCACCTCCTCCACAAAAATAAATAAGAGTGACACTTCTTCTATGCGAGTTGCCCATGCTAGTATGGCATATCCATATCTTGTTGGTCCATCTTCTAGTAAGTTGTTCTTTAGTAGTTGTGGAGAGGCGGAGAATCTTCAATTACACGAAATATATATTGAAAGTTGTAAACCCAGGTGGTATGTGATCTGTTGGTATTCTTGTGGTACTACACAAAATATAGATAATTTGAAATCACAGAAGTTCTTGAAGTCACAGACACAGAAGTCCTCCTCCGCAAAAATTTCTAGTGGCCAACATAACGACAAAAAGACCGCATTGCACACAGCTGAGATGTACAGAGCCGCAGGTAGGATGACCAGAAAGAAGTACACGATCCGGACCCACATAGCGATGGACGTTTCCTCGTCGGACGCAGAGAAGATCCATGCTGAACAGTAATAAACGGAGAAGGTAAAGAAAACACCTTGGAACGAGAGGAAGACGAGCGACCATAGGTTGATGGGCCGGATGATCAGGGTGCGGCGGATTAGAATAGACCTATTTTCATTTTGATGCTAAAAGACGTGATGATCACGTCATTTATGTGGGAGAAGCACATTTTAAGATCAACACATGCCAAGATCAACAAATGCTAAGATCAACAAATGCAACTTGAACCGGACGACCAGTTGTCAGTAGTTGTGCCTGTTCGACCAATAGCTATATATTTTTAGAGTAATTTATAGTGGATCGGATGGACTTTCCACCATTTCAAGTAGGATCGGAAGAATCAGGGGGGTCCATCCGATCCATCCAAGTCCATCCTACATCCGTTCTATAAGCTACTCTATTATACGTAGTCATAAAAAGCTGTAGCTGATCCCGGTCAACGCATCGTCTGCCCCACCGTACAGGAACTTTCCGCTGGCATGGTATTGGTAGACTTCGCGAATGTAGTAACACGATCTGCTGACTCTATCAGCCAAGGCGTCGTAGGGATCCACGACTAAGGTTTGCCACTTCGTATCCAAGTATTCCATTTTTGCTAGGAAGTTCTTACTTTTGCAATTCAGAATACTCGAACAATACGAGAATGAAGATGATCCTCGACTCTTGTAGTTAGCACCACTGTTGTAGTTTCGCTTGCTCGGTGGTCTAGACAGCACGCGCGATGAGACTGAAGTAGAAGACTTGCCTGACATGCTTGGAAGACCTCCTTTAAGGGAAAAGCGTACTCTTGGTCCTGCTGCTGAAGCATCTTTCTTAGGTTGTTCCTGCTTGTCATCCTTTTCATCGTCAGCTGAAGCATCTTTCTTAGGTTGTTCCTGCTTGTCATCCTTTTCATCGTCAGTGCCCATGAAGAGACTCATCCTCTTCGCCTTGCTGAATGCACCATCGGTGGCAGGAGTAAGATCATCTAGCTCCGCCTCTGCGGTGTCTGGTGCTGCGGCTCCTCCAGATATGCCACGATCTGCAAAGCGCGTTGTGCAGATTTTCGCTGATGAAGGAGACGACTTTGAACTTGATGGACGAGGCTCCTTTTCATTCTCCTTCTCCTTCTCCACAACTTCAGCTTGGTCGACTTGTTCTGTTTTTAATTGGACGTTCTTGTGTTTCTTCTTGTCTACTAACGTTTGACTATCCCACCTATCATCGTCTACTTTGAGAAGAGCAGGGAGATGTTCATCTTCGTCTTGTAGTCTTTCTTCATGATCTGTGAAGATCGCGATGTTTTCATTTTCCAGCACATGTGTTGTCAGAGCTTTACGCCCTGAGCTTTGCATCGTTGAAGTGCAGCTACGTGTTGTCAGACGTGTTCCATCTCCGATTGCTCCAATACCAAAGTTCGGTGTAGATGGGATACTGGAAAGCACGCCTTCTGTAAGAAGCTGATTGCCCTCGATGAGTGTACTCGTGGCAGCATTGCTATCTTCTGGTCCTGCACTGGTATCAGTGATACGTCCGTGTGTCAGCTGGGGCGTTCTGCAAAAATCTGCAGTGGCTTCTAAGGAATCTTGGCGGAGCTTTCGGGGGTCAGGGGACGGGGGGTCAACATCTTGTTGACCTAGACCTCCCCCAGCCGTCTTTTGAGTTGTTGATGTCTTTTCACCGACCACAACAACTTCGACTTGCTGTCGTGAATGCTTTTTCGATTTTTTTTTGGAAGATGGTGATTTAGATTCATCGTCTGTTCCGTCTTTTAAGCTGTCTGCTTTGCCTTTCTTCTTACGAGAGGACATTTTCTTCTTTTTCTTCTCCTTCTTTCTCTTAGAGGTAGGTTTTTGGTGCTCGCTTACCCCGCTTGTTATGCCCTTCTCCCTTAGGAGAGGCATAAAAAGCGGTAAGAAAAGCACCTTTAACCTACCCTTAATTCTCTTCTCATCAGCATCTCCTTCAACTTGAGACGTCGGGGTCTTCACCTCACCCCGGCTCGCATCCCCTTGGCCAACTCCTTCACCAACCGTAACTGAGCCAGAAGACCGCATCAGCAATGCCGCAGCGATTTAGGGGTCTCCCCTATTCATCCCTGTGGAAATGATCATGATTTACTATAAAATATTTATAATATGCTCCCTTGTACTATAATTGGGGCGCATAGGTCGTGTGAGGGATCGATCCCTATAGAGGGTTTAGGGTTTAGGGGAAGCGGACTTAAGAGATGTTCGTCGCTTCTGTAGAGGTCGAACTACGAAGATCGGACGTCCTCAGTCGGATCGAACTTGTGGCTGATGCAGAAAGGACAGGAATGTGATGTTGGCGGTGCCCATGCCCAGCATTAGTACCTTCCTTTAGAGCTTCAAAAGAATTCGTTTCTTGGGCTCATTTTCTCAGCTTCCTAAGAAGGAAACTAACTGTAAGAAAAAGAAAAATGAAGACTCTTAGACTTAGAATTTATGAAATATTTTGAGCCTTAATCCCTCACCAGATCGCTTCAGCAGTGGCCGAGCAGCATTTCGCTTCGTAACTACTTGCACTTGCTTATTCGTTCGGTGACGTTGTGCCAACAAATTGAGGTTGGATCCGGCAGAGGAAACCGCGCAGACATTAGAGTAGGACGAATCAACCATTCTAGTATAATCTCGACTTCGCTGTTGACACTTTGGAGCACAAATTGAGGTTGGATCCGGCAGAGGAAACCGCGCAGACGTTAGAGTAGGACGAATCAACCATTCTAGTATAATCTCGACTTCGCTGTTGACACTTTAGATACTCCAACATAATTATCGACGAGTATTTGACAATCAACAACAAGTAGCAAGAGCATAGAAGTGAAACCAAGAGTCCAAGTATGCCTTAACAGGAGACAACAACCTTCCTCCACCTTGCTGCGTCATGAGTGGAGTACCTGGTTGCTGTAAGAGCAGCGGTGATGCAGGCTGCGACACGGCGCTGCGCAGCGACCCACCAGGTGCACTAATTGCCCTACCATTCGGCGCAACTACTCCATCTACTTCAGGCACTAGCACTGTCACCGCAGTCGAGGAACTGGATGACCCAGGACCTCCGGTCGCAGCAGAGACCACAGTCGCTGCACAGTTGTTGTCGTTACCTAGAGGTAGCGCTTCAACACATGTGCCAGCGCTACCACTAGAAATATTCCGTTGCACTGCAACGCTGGATATTTCTCGCTGGAGATCACTGAGAGACGTGGCAGCAGTGGCACTGGAAACGTCGCGAAGAAGCTGATTTTGCTCGGCTGGGGGATGTAGCTGAAACTGTTGTCCCGGAGGTAATGCGAGGTTGTTGGTGGTTGATGTAGTGCTATTATGATCCGTTGGCGTCGATAAATCTGTGCCGCGGCTTCTGGGGCTTCTTATGCGATTGATTTTATCGGAAACCGTAGAGGTGCCGATGGAATTCTCATTGATTTCGCCAGAAGGAGAGGTCACTAGAATTGGTGGTCCCGCTATGCTTGTGCCTGTTGCGCCACGACTTGATGTGTTCGCAACCTCTGGATCTGCATCTTTGATTTTTGCTCTGTCGTTTGCGTCCAAGACCGATCCTTGAAGATGATGTGCCTGCTCTCTTCCAGCTCTATCCTTGTCAGGTGAAGGTGTTCTGCTCCTACTATTTTTACTCCTCTTTGTTGCTGTACCTGTACTAGTACCAGTAGAGGATGTTGACGTTTTCTTCTTCTTCCTACGTGTTTTGGACCTCTTAATATCATTTGACCTCTTAATATCATTTGCCTCGCCGTTCACGTTCTCCACTGCTTCCCTAGACGATGTAAGCCCTAACAAGTCCTTCTCGTCCTGATCTAAAGCTCCTATGCAGAGAACAGACGAATGGCGATGTCCCCGTCTATAGTTTTCCTCTCGACGTCCCTGACCACTTCCTCCAGTTCCTATTTGTAGTGCCGCATCAGAAGATTCTCCAGTTCCTATTTGCAGTGCCGCATCAGAAGATTCTGGTTGGCGAGGATCTGCAACTGCGTCCTCTTCCGTTTCGTGGGTCTTCTCTGCCTGCCCTTTCACCTCAGCGTCGTGGCAAAAAATATTTGTTTTTTTTTTACTTTCCACCAAAGCTGGCGACTCCTTGGTTCCCTTCTCGTGTCCCTCTGCTTCTCCCTCGTCGACGAGGTGGACCGGCCCCGCGGCTTGCTCTAGAACTGTAGTCTTAGTATTAAAGCTCAGCAGTCAGTGGTCACTGACTCGGAACGGAAGAGACCCCCTTCGAAAGCTCTCCCCTTTCCCTTCGTTTATATCCCCTGTTCTTGGTTCTCTCAAGAAGGGGCCGCCTCTTCGATCTCAGTGACTAACCCCAATGACCATTGAAAGTTGAGCCTTAATAGTAGCACAGGTCTCGTCTACGTCTTTCGGTTCACCACCTCCTTCACTAGAAGACGATGTACTTTGGTTTGTGTCAACCCTAACTAGTGGTGTACTAGTATCAGCTTCACGACCGCCAATTAGAGCAGAACAAGTTGCATTTGACCCGACTACTTGTTCTGCGTCTGGAAGCGATGGCTCTTGCTGGTCGGCTTTTATGTTGACATTGTTGTTCCCTTTCCCACTTAGAAGTAGAACTGGCACAGACACGACAGATTCCTCCACCTCAGACGTACTAGTGGTGGATGGCCGCAACTTGTTCCCATTTGCAAAACTCTGCGTCTTCGCCAAAGCACTGGGTGGATACACTTGAGTACTCCTACTGCAAGTGCTGTTGCTGCTGGGTCTGCCTATTGGAACAACGGGTTCTATCAAAGGTCCCCAAGTGCTGTTGCTGCTGGGTCTGCCCATTGGAACAAGGGGTTCTATCAAAGATCCTGATCCTGCTGCTACTGTAGTTCCTGTTGGGGCAAACGGTACGAGTGCTAAGCCTCCAGCAGCGGCAAAGAATCCAGTTGTCGGTGCTCCTGGCACTGTGATGCCCCCACCAGCACCAGCAGTACCAGCAGAGGGAGCAACGATTTCCGTAGGACTTGTCATCGCCACACTGGTTGGGCTCGTCATCACGCCACTGTTCGAGATAGGGTTTTGCTGTTTCTGTTTTCCGTTTGTTTTCATGCTTTTCTCTTTCCTTAGGAGAGAGAGGCAAAAGAAACGGCAACAGGAAAACCTTTAGCCTATCGCCCTTAACATTGGCAGCCTGGTAAATACCTGTAGGACTGATTACTTCCGCTGGACTGTTAGCTCGCAATGATGCGTCATCCGCAGGACTGCCTACGCCGCCTTCAATCACCACTGTCGCAGGTGTAGAATTCTGCTGACTGGAGTTCGTTGCTGTGCGCCCAAAACTCGTCGGGGAGGACAGCTTCTGAGGAACAGCAGCGGGATTACTCCTCTTGTGGTCTGGGAGCAGCGCTGCTCCTGTTGGACGCGGAACAATTGGTGCAGCTGCGCTGTTGGAGGTCCTCGTAAAAGTAGATAGTACAGCAACTGAAGATACAACTGCAGTTGGAGGAGCTAAAGGTACAACAACAGAAGCACTTGCAGCTCCTGGAAGTCCTACGGCAGATGAAGGCACGGAGGATACTCTAGTCAGGACATCCGCAGACGAAACTCTAGTGAGGACATCCGTCGATGTAGACAAACTAGACGATGATCCACGTGCAGTAGGTAAATTAGAGCCCAAAACGTTTCACTTCTTTCCTTCATTTCTTCAGAATCCCAAGAGGGAAACAGAAGAAAAATGACTGCTGGAAATGAATTGTATCAAGCCTTAAGTAATGGACCACCTGCAGCGCCAGCTCCAGTGTCAACAACAACATGTTGAATAACTTCAGTATTTCGAGTTTCTACAGTGCCCCCACCATGGTCTTGCTGTTGTTGCTGTATTAAATGCTGCGGCATCGCCCTGCTGTTCATCTCATTTAGAATATCTGCAGCGGCATTGCTAGTCAAAGAACTGGAGGAAGTGCCAGACACCTGCGTTACAAGCACCTTGTTGTTTTTCAGGTTCGAATTGCCTTGTTTTGATGAATTGGCCCCCCTAGCAAGTTTTGTGGAATTGTTCTGCCCACCAGCACTATAGTTTCTAGCTCCTCCTCTATCCTGAGCATCATCTTCATCATCCGAACTACCACTAGAACCACCTTCACCGTCGGATGACGACGAACCAGTAGTACCAGACTCGCATTCCTCGTCTTCGCTATTGCTGCTACTCATATCATCATCGTCGTCCTGAGCATGGTCATGAATCAATGGCGCTGGTATTTGGTAACCTGATTTTGATCAATCATGAGGAAAACAAGAATGGAACCCTTGTGATCGAATTGAGGTTACCAAATACCAGAGGAACCATACAGGTCAGATATTGAGCTCCTGTTTTTATTCTCTCCAGCTCCACCATCATGCTCCCCGTTGACAGAATTAAGAGGGGCTCTACTATTTGAGTTGTTGCTCCACCTGTGCATCATGTGCTCTTCTGATTGTGCATTATCAGAAAATTCTTGATCGTCGTATTCACAGTCGCTGGACTCACAGTGGTCGCTAGATTCTTCACTTGGCGTCACGGAATTCACACTGACAACGCGAGCTTTCTTCTTGATCGTGGAAGCGGCGCGGCTCTCTGATGTGGAAGATAGAAGTGGGTACGTAACAAGCAGCTGGGTACGTTGTTTGCGTGAGAGATAAAGTGGCGCAAGCCAACAATCGATGAAAAAAAAGTTTACTTACTTAGCCCTAGCCAATCACGAAGAAAAAAAGCTCCTGAAGAAGAAAACTTCTATTGACAAAGCAAGAGCAATAACTGAAAGATGTACCGATATTCTCTTTCCTTATCTCTTTAAAGGAGCGCACGTTTCCCACCTTCGGATCCGAGATGGAGAAATCTCGAAAATACTCGTCACACGCCTCCACCACAAACATAGATAAGCGCACAGAGACGCGGTTGGCACGTATGAACGCCATGACCAACACTGCATTGCTGAAGGCTACCATTAGAGGTAGGTTTTTGGTGCTCGCTTACCCCACTTCATCTTTTGCCTTTCTCATCCTAAGGGAGAGAGGCATAAAAAGCGGTAAGAAAAGCACCTTTAACCTACCCTTAATACCAGAATTAATTGAAAGTTGACTTCTGGAAGCTGCTCTGCGTCGACTAGCTGTTCCAGGCTGAACATGCCCACCGTCATCGCTAGCCAGCAAGCAAGTAGATCGAGGATGAGGATGACCTTCCAGCCGTAGGTGTAGCGCTTGCCGTGGACCCAAAGGAACGGGTAGATCAAAATGCAGAATGAAAGCATATAAACATGATCCTAGGAGCATAACGATTTAATGATAATGATAGAGCAGGGTTTAGATTGTAGGTCGTTAGGTAAGCTAACAGCTGCACTAAATTTTTTGATTGGAGGCGAGTGGAAGTTGATTGGAGGTATAAGCATAGCATCAGTGTGTGTGTATCTTCCCTGATAGCACCGTCACTAGTGCCCGTAGAGATGACGATTTGAATCTACTCGGCGATCTGCCTAGTGCCCGTAGAGATAAGTTCTGATAGTGAACATGACCGAAGTCAAGACGATATTTGCCACTCAATCATATAGTCATTCAGTGGTCAGTTCGACATTAGAGGATGAGAAAGATAGAAGTACTTACTAGGAATAGGAGGGTCCTAGTACTAGTTGTAGGTTAGCACTAGTCATAGTACGGCGGCTTGGTCTTAGCCTATCCTATCCTTACGTTCAAAAGACGAGATCACAAAATTTCCAGGATGACCGTGAAGATGGATTTCTTCTACCCTTAATTTTTCTTGTACCTGTAGTCTCCTAGTTGTAGGTAGCTAGCGTGTTTCTTGTACCTGTGGCCTCTGTCATGTCATGTCATGGAACCTCGGTGCTCAAATTGACTTATTGAGTGAGAGGTTAATTCAGTCTGCCTGTCCAGTTCATAAAAGCCAATACGGGCAGTACTGCAAGACGATGCTCTCCTTCCATTTTGGTGGCTTGGCTTTTCGCGTGTTATTGGACACCTGCACTTCGTTATCCCCACCAGCGACTTTAGAGGAAGCTCGCTTTCTTAAGCTCATCCCTCCGGTCTGGTCTGCGATATGGGAAGTGCCGGAGCCGTCTGTGATTAGACCAGGTGTGAACAGTACATGTACAACTTCTAACTATAGTTGTGTGAACAACAGTACAACTAAGCTGGTGATCCTTAGATAGTCAAAAGTCTTATCTTGCTATTAATTTCCTGCTTGCAGCAGCACTATAATCTTCATTTTTCCCTCTCCTCATTTACTACGTTATTACTGATTTCATCAACATCTCTTCATGCATCATAACAATCCTACCTCCAAACTTTCGTCATCTTCGCTACTTTCTTCGAAAATGTCCGCTGGTCTAGAGTAATTCAGTATCAGTCGATCGTTTCCAGTCGTGTTCGTCATCATCATGTTGGGGTGAACTGCCATCGTACTGCTCCTCCGAAAAGCCCCTCCTTGAGGAGCATTGGAGAATGTTGCTGCTGGAGGTGGCTGTGGAGGTTGTTGCTGGTTCTGCTGCATCATTTGATGGCTAGAAAGAGAACCACCACCACCACCTCCCATGCTACTTGCTAGTGATTGTGGATTCATTTGCTGACTGGTGTTGTACGCGTTCCCACTGGAGGAGGTGTAGCTCGTAGTCGTGCTTCCACATAAAACTGGATTGCCACAATTGCTTCCGCTCATGGTCCTGTTAGAGACTCTCTGTTACTGAGACTCTCTTACATGCCCACAGTCGAGTAGCCCATTAGATTCGAACACGTAGAATTTTTACGAAGTCCTGCATCAGTATCTTTTCATTGTCGAATTATAAAGGAGGTGGATAAGAAATAGAAGATTTTCTCCCTGAAATCATAACACCCCCTCCTGCAACTCCTCCTCCACCATTTGGTACCACGATTGCATGTTGAGACGAAGAGCCCATTAGATTCGAACACGTGCCACTGCGACGCATATGAGGTGGCGCTGGAAAGACTTTGCCACTGCCAGACGACTGCTTTGCAGCGGCACTGCTGGGGGAGGCCCACATCTTACCACAATCTCGAGAGCCTTAGAATTCAAGAAACGATCTTTCTAGCAAAAAACAAAAGGTATTTTGCAGCTTGTGAGAGCCCAGTGTTCTTTTTCTTTTGCTTTTGCACTGCGTGAGGACATTTGTATGTGTGTGCTCACTCCCTAAAGGTGTTGTTGGATGAGGAGAAAAAAAGACTCGGCACTCAATTAAATGTCTAAGGTCAATTATGTGAGGCAATAGTAGTGACATGGGGGAGATATTAAATGCTTAAAGATATCAATTTTTACAAGCGGTGTAACTAGGATAGTGTATCCCCCGAGAAGGGGAATAGGCACATTTTTTTTGCTTTATTTGGGGATTAATCGATTTCGATTATATGAGAAGGATGGTGCAGGACCGTGAATTTCACTACAGAAAGATTAAAGCCAAACAGAATCTACAGATGACAGATTTGCTTTTGCAAGAACATCAAGGTACTTCTAGTTCTACTTATTCACCATTACATATTATATGTCGAGAAAGAAATGATTCACCATGTAACATATAAGAGAAAGAAATCATTTGCCTGGTGGTACTGGTTCGCTCATGCTCTCATTCATCTCTCTTCTTGATTATGATGTTTCGCATTCCTGTCCGCTCGAAACCGCCTACCAACAGCTGCATGCGCATGCTTCATTCATCGCGGTTCTTCATGATCAGTTTGGTAAGCTTTTAGTTCTGCTTCATGTTCATGGTTTGAAGAGCAGAAACGGATTACCCTGGTTTCTACGTACAGTAGTCCCAATCAAAAGGGTAACATCAGACCCCAATCTTCCCTGTCATCTCTCCAGAAGAGAATTTGACATTTATACCTAGTACACTCAGGCGTTGGCGTCCTTACAACGAATACACAAATCTTCGATTAGTTAAAATGATTTTTTTGAATGAACAACAGTAAAAAAAGATTAAGATTATAGATACAGACAGGAGCTCTACTAGTACAACGTTTACTACCGACGTTTTCTTCAGGGCCACCTCTACTACCACTCCTGCTATTCCCATTGAGTACAACTCGACCCATCCATAGATAGTGAGTTGTCTCCACCTTGACTTATATACATGAGAGTCGCACAAGAAACAGCTGCTAAAGGTACAAACGGGGCACGGAGTAGCATACCGAAACTCCTCCACACAGTATATTCTAGGACTAGGAGGAACGGTTCAACCATGCGGTTGTTAGTATATTCTAGGACTAGGAGGAAGGGTTCGACCATGCTCAACCGCGTCAGCACCTAAACATTCCTATGAGTTGTGTCAGGATTTTTTCGTTGTGCATGCGTATGCGCTCTTGGACTGCATAGCGGAGTTTATGCCGATAGCGGTCCACTGTTTCTTTCAAGAGGTCTGACTTTTTGTCGTTGCCAGTTGTTGAAGTACTAGACGTGCTATCTCTGCTACTTGGGTCCATGCCCATGAGTATTTGCATTTTGCGACCTACGGAGGAGGTTGTCGCGCCTTTCGTCCCTCCATCTTCCTTTGTCGTTGCTGCGTCGGAAGCCTGCTGGGAAGTCTGTGTTGTCCTGCGGTTCGGAGACTGAATTAGAGCTCGTGGAGGACGATGAAACAAAATAAACTAGACTTAAGAGGTCGTGGTCTCCAGTGTTCTTAAATTTCCTCCTCCCTCCGACAGCGATTTCAGCCTTTCTGTACAGCTCCGCACACTGTGGTTGTTCTCGAAGTCTCGCAGTATTGCTTGTGTCTCGTCATCGTCGTAGGAAGCGTTCTGTAGGAAACCGAACATCCCACCAGGAAGATTCAGCCGTTCTAGCAGAATTGTGACCAATTTGTCTAAATTTTGATTCACCTCGGAGACATAGATCCTATGTAAGCGGTGTTCTAGCTCTGTGCGCTTGGATAAGACGAGGCTTTGTTCGGTCGGCGTGGAGGGGGAGCTTGCGATGGTAGCACGCGAAAGATTTTTAGAAATTTTTGGACGACTTGACGTCCTTGAGTAGAGGGTGAATGAATCTGGATCTCATCTTCTCCATAAAATGATCTCCACTCTTGTTTTCGCTAAGTATCCTTTCCACTACTGGGTTAGCGTCGAATTCCGCCAAGAGCCTATCCAATATCTGGTCGTCGTAGCACAGAAGCGATCTGACTTTCACGGATTCCCCAGTGATAGACTTCAGCCGTCTTGCTCCCCCTTTAGACGACGCCGAAGAGGGTGTAGCGCCTCCATCTTGTTCCGTAGTTGGTACTAATTTTTGTTTTTGGCTATTTATTTCGGAGAAATTAGAGGTAGAGGGAACGAGGACAGCTTCTTCTAGCAACTCCTTTTGGTTCCAACTCATCCAAGAGGGAACATAATCATCTTTTAAATCAAAAATACTAAAATAACTAAAAAATGGTGTACTAAGACATGGGCGGGTCATCTCGACTTTAATAGAACCCGTAAACAAAGGTCCTCCATTCGCTGTAGTTCCACTATTATCGCCCATCTCGACCGGTGACGCTTTCGCCGAGCCGCCTGCATTGCTGCTGTTGCTACTCAGACCTTCTGCTGTCGTTGATGTACCGGAAGAAGACTGAGACTCTGGTGATGAATTAAAGGTAGTCACTCGCTCTCTCTATGCGTGGTTCTTTAGGAGTGGTTTCCCTATCTCGTCCCTCGTACTAGACGTACAATCCCCTAAGAGGACTAGTACGACGAACAAAAATACACTCCAGCTTGGTTTGATGCGTAGACAGTTAAATGAGACAAATGATACATGATGAGACAAAAAATACATGAGACAATGATAATCAATATGACGAACAATAAAAATAATAAATAGTCTTAAATGCACCTGCTGCATCGATATCATCCGCACTGTTTCCTGTACTGGCAGAAGATGTCGAAGCTAAGAGTTTTTCGAGAGTGTCACTCTCTAGCTGTAGGACGAGCATCTCTACCAGAGTCTGCAACACGCTGTCTGCTGTTTCAAGTAAACGCTGGTTGTGTTTTTCCCGGAGAAATGCAGATTAGAAATTGAAATGCTGTGTTGAGGGATACAGGCAGAAAGATTGAGTGCATAATTTAGTCGCGAGAAGTAAGATCTCAAGATGAAAGGGAAAGAAGCTACTTAAGTATTTTCAAGCTTTTGACCATAAAACAAAGTCAATTCCGCTTCCAGCAAAGCCACGTATTTCTCCACGATTTGTGGTGCTCGGACGGTGGCGTATCGGACATAGGGTTTCCTCGCAAACTTCGATATTGAAACTTGCACTGAAGCATCAAACTTACTATGGTCCGCAGAAGAGCAGGGTAATGCATTTCCACTTGCAGTTGTAGTTGTCCCTGTAGTTGCACCACCAGTGCCAATATTTGCAACAGTGCCATTTGCACCAGTGCCATTTGTAGCAACTCCATCCCCTCCAACAACATCCCTTGGACTAATATTCTTCTGATAATACAACTGTTTCAGGTATTGCACTTGTTCCTTGGCATCGGTTGGAAGTTTTGTAGGTCTGCGATCCAGCGCCAAGAGGAGGCGTTGCGTCAGCTGCGGTACGGTGATCTGACAAAGCTGCTCGAAGTCGAGAGAGAGCTCGTCATCGATGGTGACGCGCCAATCTTTGCTGGTAACAGGGTCGTCGATTACCTGAAGAGAAGTGGGGAAGATAGACAGGGGAAGAGGGGAAGTAGAGGAGTAGAGATGGACAGAGACTGACCACAGGGGAAGTAGAGGAGTAGAGATGGACAGGGGAAGTAGATGAAGTAGATGAGGATGGAGCAATAACTTCTTCTTGAAGATTCATCCTGTTAGATTTAGTTGTAGCACCCACTGCTTCTCAGAAGTCAACTTTGATTACTTAGAATCAAGTGTCCGTCTTTGATGTTTTGGATCACAAGAATTGCAGCAGAGGACTGCTCGAAGTTCATCTAGTCCAGGTCGAGGTACCACGAGGTACCTGCTCATCCCCTGTCGTTATTCCAGTGGCAGTATCTCGCGATATGACAGGCAGCATATCTCTCTTGTAGTCCACAACTTCGGAAGAGACCATTTCTGAGAGGTGCTCTTCCAGTGCTTCCATATTGAGGTAGCCTAAGACAGCCCTAGCGCATTCGGAACCTGAAGATGGAAATGGTGGAATCATGGATATTGGTCGAGTTGGTAGGTGTAGTTCACCCAAGAGAACAAAGAATACGAACATGATCCTCAAATGATCTAAGGATTACGAGTTGCTCACTGGCGTCTTCTTCTGGATAGCCTTGCAAGTTATCAAGGATTACAAGACTTGGGTAAGGGATTCCTCGTCAATGATCACCTTACCCAAGGATCACGTTCGATGACTTGGATTGCAAGTTATCACCTGACCACGACTGTCTTCAAGTGATCAATTCGATTGTGTACCTTGCAGGTTGCTCACTGGCGTCCTCTTCTGGATAGCCGCAAATAACTGGTCTAAGGCCTCTTCAAGGGTCATGTCCGAATAGGTAACCAAGTCAGGAGAACTCCCGTTGTTTCTACAAAAGAACGTTGGGATCCGAAAAAAATGTCAACTTAGAAGCTTCAAGGTTCTTCAAGGGGGTCACGGAAGCAAGAGGGGTCGCTCGAAGAATCCTGATAGATAGCGACCGACGGACCCGCTTTACTTAGATAGTTGGGTCCGGTCCTGTCTCCCCAAGCAATTTCAAGAGTTCAAGTTAGCCTTAATCTTCGATCCGGAGCAAATCCATTGCTTATCGTGACGCAACTGGCGCGTTTTTGGTCTCCCGTTTTTTGCAGCAGTTGTTCCAAACCATGTGAACTGCCCAAAGTCTCCTTGTTCACTACCACAAAAAGCTGCTGCCTATCGTACAATGCGCCGTCGTCATCGAGTTTCACATCTAATATCCTGGCTAAGTCGTCCAAGGATTGCGTTCGTAGTCGGCCTTAGATGAGCTGCAAACATGATTCAGATTCCTTTGAAGTTGAACAAATTCAAAATATAAATGATTTAAGTATAATTTGGAAGTACTTATATCAAGAATGTCAAAGTCAATTCTTAACGGTCTGTTTCGACGAAGACCACAGAGCCGCGACCAGCGAGGAAGAAGGAGATAGCTTGGATCTGCTTGGCCACAGTATTCTCAGCATGTGTGTCCAGAAGGTTATCGCTTCCCTCGCAATCTAGGATGATGATGGTCGGTCCCGGCTCATTCGGGTCCTGCTTTGGACTACCCTGCTCACTGGTGGCGTTCTCAGGGTCGTGGGAACCTTCGTCGACCTGGAAAACTTGTATTTGAATGATGATTTTTACCTATAGTAACCTATTACTAGAGGTGGTAGTTGTTTTGTTGTTTATATAGAGTTCATCCCTTGTAGGCTTAATCTAATACTAATACCAGGAATTAAATCTTTAAGTATCAACAAGTTGATGTAGTCTATAGTACCTGATCATTCGGTCTCAACGCGAATGCCCAGATGCCTTTAGTCACCGCTTCACCTTGCCCTCTCGTGAAAAAAATGTCGCCACTCCATGGAACCGGGATTCGGGCTCGCTCTTTCGCTCTCTCTGCCCCTGAGGTACATCCGGGGACTACGGTGTCGTACCTGGTGGACGTGGAAGTGGAGAAGAAGATATTAAATAGTGGATTGTGTGGATAGTGGAGAAGAAGATATTAAATAGTGGATTGTGTGGATAGTGGAGAAGAAGATATTAAATAGTGGATTGTGTGGATAGTGGAGAAGAAGATATTAAATAGTGGATTGTGTGGATAGTGGAGAAGAAGATATTAAAAAATAGTGGATTGTGTGGATACTGGATACTATCTGAAGAGAGGAGAAGATATTAAATAGTTGAGCTAGAGGTTGTGGGGGACTACGGTGTCGTACCTGGTGGACGTGGACGTGGAGAAGAAGATATAATCTTGCGGAGATGAACGACAGTTCGCAAACCCAGGTCCTCGCAAGGTTGTAGCAGTAGTGTAGACAAGAACAATAATATAGGCTCTTGGGATGTGTAGAAGAAAACAATTATACGAGAAAATCGGTCCTCCTGCAGCGTCGTTGACCTGAGTAACTACATTTTCAACAAAGGAGCTCCTCGTAGGTACTATAATATCGTAGTTGACGGGACCAAGGATTAAAGTAGGTACTAGGTGGATATTAAAAGTAGTTGTACCAAACATGTTCCGCGAATCTGCTTGCTAGCCAGCTTTTGCCCACTCGTCCTGCGCCAATGAAGCTGATAAACTTGAGCTTCTCTTGAGCCCTGAACTGGTTAATTAGAAGAATGCAATACTAATACAGGGTGGAGCCAATCTAAAAACTAGGAAAAGTAAAAAGAAATGAATGCAATACTGTAATACGGAAAAGTAAAAAGAAATGAATGCAATACTAATACGATCAATCTCGCACAAAGTTCAGTGCACCATGGAAGCGAAAAGCAATTCATTCCTTGTTGTTGTTCCCCTCATTTGATTTCTTCAGGATGAGGATCCCAAGTAGGAGATAGAAGAAAATGGCTGTTGGATTTCAAATGACTTGCGTCGTTCATTCCTTCACTCATGGTCGCGGTTCGGGCCCGGCTCTACTTTGGCTCAGATAAGACCCGTCCGTGACGTTTTAGGCGGTGCCGTGTTGGCGGTGCCGTGCTGGCGGTGCCGTGCTTACGTTCGAGCCTTAAGTTAAAGAAGATCTTCCCTTCTGGCGTCAGAGAAAGCGCATTCCTCTCCCGGTCAAGATCAACGATTTTTACGGACATTTTTGGTCGTGTTACTGTAAGATCGGAAAAACTATAAACAGAATTACTTCTAGATCGGAAAAACTACCCAGGATCTACTACAGCTACATGATCAACACGAGGAGTCCCCTTAAACAACGACAACATCAAGAACGATAGCTCCTAGAAGATCACATCCCGGGAAAATGAAATATCTTGTCGTGGCTATGCTATGAAGCTGGCACAGCCTCGATTCTAAATTAAATGAGTGCTAGTCTAGACTGGGTCTAGATCACTCGACTTTTTTGCGCTGCGCTCACAGTGCCATCTTCGTGGGAGAGGACACATACAAGACACAGAAGTGAGCTTCTCCTTCTGCTTGCCTTTCTGATCTCTTGCTCTTCCAATTAAGAAGATTTCAAAGAGCTCTTGCTACAGTCTTTTCATCTTGTCCTCGTGGTAGTCCAAGGAAACACGGTGAGAAACAGGCGCCCTCGAGGGCACTCCACTTCGCGTTCTGCTTCTGTACTACGAGGATAGATAGTAAGTGCTTAGACTTACTTACTTCCATTTTAGGAGTCAGGTTTTTGACTGCCTTCACAGAAGGAGATTGAGAAATTCAAGACCAAGTTCTTAAATCATAGAAGACGATGTCGTTTTCGTTTTAGCTTCTGATATTGTTTGTAAATTACTTGATAGATTTTTTGATCAAAAAAGAATAAGTAGTACGTAAAAAAGCTGGGAGAAGATCCAGGCACAGATATCAGTTTCATAAACTGTTTATGAAAGCCGTTGATCAGCGACGTTGTTGTTACATACAGTTACCAAATGGAAATGTACAACAGAAGATGTCAAAACTGTCCAAAATGAGTAGTTTGAAGCAATACAAAGAAGAAGATTTTAGTTTTCATCGTCATCCCTGAATCTGATGAGCATGCAATTACTTAGCATTGATTAAGTTAATTTTTCTGTAGCAATGATTCGACATTTCTTGTTGCTCATCGTTCGGCAGTCAAGTAGATCTTGGTTGCCTAGTACCGAAGAGGAAAGTCAGTTCTTTTGGACTTTTTTTAATTTCAAGGCAACTCAACCTCATCGAAGCATTTCTTTTGCTCTGTAATCAACCTAAATCTAAACAAAAACAAGTACTTAGAACTAATCATATGGATTTGCTATTTTCAGACAGGTAAAGTGGTTTATCTGTAGTATTTGTAAGAAGATCTCCTCCAGAGCTGTTCCTTATTGATTTGATACCTGAAAATTTTCAAGACTCTACTCTACTCCTAAAATAGATCCTCAAATTAGATGATCCTTAATATCTGTTCTCTATCTCCTCTTCAAGAAGCCTTCCTCATCACCAGCAAGACCGTCATCTTCACCTCACCAAGAAGTCTTGTTCGCCTCTACCTCCTCTATCTACTCCTTCTACTCGTCGCCCTCTATCTCCATGTCGGTGAGTGCGCCACCTATTCGTCCTCTATCTCCGCTTCAAATGCATCTCCCACACTAAAATATCCACTTTGGTAGAGGTAGAGGAGGACGAGGACGCCACCTACCCCCAATTTTGCACCATGGAGTGCGAGGAAAGAAAGGTCGCGGCAACACAAACCTGGGGTACAATCACGATGGTCGCAAAGAGCTTCGTCACAGGTTAGAGGTGTCGGTGTCTGATGTTCTAGAATACCTTAATCCTTGTTCATGATAAAGTGTGGTGGTGCCGACCTGAAAAGAAAGACCAAAAGAAGATAGAAAAGAGAAATAAAGGCTAATTATCATCATGTATCCTTGATGTTCATGATAAAGATAAAATTGTACTAATCAAAAACAAAAGATGATGGCCATTGCATATTTGTGACCTAGTGCCACGACTTGTTAGTGTCATTGTGAATTTGAGTACTATGGTGCATGTAGATCTACAATCCTCCTTGTTCCAGTACTGAGCGGGCTAAGCCATTACAACAACTTCTTGCTACAATTATATTGTCCTGGATGGCTAGCACGCATCTACTTCTACAACGAACACCGATTAAAAAGTACCGTTAAGAAGCGAAATGATGTTGAACATTAGTACTCCTGCTCCATCAGCGGGAACGGAGGACAGATGAGATCTCTCATCTCCCCAGACCCAGTAGTAGTTCCATTAAAATATAAGAAATTATATTGATATAGAAGCGAACAAAGGTAGACGTAGAACACTCACTCTTTGATGAAGTATAACAGGTGATGATGATGTTTTCATAAGTCTACTTCTTTTCCAAATTTTTCGCATATGGGTGCTAGTTTGGCTTTGTCAGCCGCGCAAAGTAGGCCACAGCAGACTTCATGATCATCGTCTCGCTTACAAATGTGCGTCTTGCACAGAGGGCCTTTGGGTTCTTAGAAGAGATGGTTAGTGCCAAGTGTTAGTGTAGTCGTGGACGTGGGTCTTGCTGGCTTTCAAATTTGAAGATAGAAGGGATCACAACGTTCTTTTTTCAAGTTGTTGAACTATAATCGGCGTTTCTCTGTGAGAGACTCAGTCGGTTGTACTAGTAGTTGGTGAGTCTGACTCACTTGGTTGGAGTCTGAACTATTGGTGAGACTCAGTCGGTTGGTTGTAGTAGTTCTAGTTATAGTTTTTATTCCCCTGTTGAAGTTGATTCACAAAAACGGTGCACTTGATCGACGCAGGATTTCATTCTAGCCACAGAACGACACTTCTAGCTAGAGTTTTTAGATGATGTGATTTGTGATATTGCAAACTGCCCAAGAAAACTAGATTCATAATCTTCAGTCAAGACCTCTCTTTTGACTGCGAAGCAGATCTCTTTGCTTTCATCTTTAGGGCTGTCAGGAGATATAATTCATCTTTGCTCTGCAGCATCCTTGAACTCCTGTACCACGAGGATGAGAATACTGCTCAGTCCTCGTGGAACTCTTCAAGGATGAATCTCTGACAGATGAATCATCTTCTCTACTCGTACCATCTGTCACCTCATCTTCGTCCCGTGTGTCTGTCTCGTTGTCACGACTTCTCCAGGTCGTCAGAGATTAGGGACCTCGCCAGTAACCCATCTCGTTCTATTAAGTACGTAAGACATCTTGTAGAAGCCCGTCCCGAGAAGGAATCTTCTCTCCTTCAAGGACAAAGATGGGCCTCAGACTTCAATTTTGTTCGGAAAAGGTACTTCTATACTATAGTTGTATCTAGTACGTATTCCCATAATGTTGAAGATGTGAAGAACGATGAGCAGAAGCTCTGGCTCTCCTAGGGACTCCACTATTCTTCGATATTTCCTTTCTACTTGTTGCTCCACCCATTTCCTCATCATCATCTGGATCGTTTTCATCATCTGGATCGTTGTCATCATCTGGATCGATTTCATCATCCTCGAGCTCACTTGAAGACTTATTTTCCTCCAGAGGTTCATCATCCGCATCTATGATTTGTGGATCACTTGTTTGGCCTATGTGGTCCACAGCCAAGGCCTTTCGTCTCGTCATCCTAGTTCTTGTTGTGTTGTGACTAGTAGAAGTAAAGAGAGTGGTGCTTTTCTTGTCGGTCTTGTGTTCAGTGCGCAGAGTTCTTTTTCTACTACTTGTTCTACTATTACGCAGCTTTCCTCTCATCTTCGTCTGTAGTTTATTTTTATTAATATTTTTATCGTACAAGTAGTCGTGGAAATTCAACATGCTACTGCTGCTACTTGCTGCATCCTCATCGCTGGCTTCTTCTCGGGTCGCGTCAGGATCGTCGTCCTCAGCACTCGTAATTGTCGCGTTCTCGTCATTGGAGTCCTCTTCCTCTCCTTCTGGTGGCGCAAGAGAAACGCAGGCTCGACGACAATAGGGTAGAATATTAGAAGTAGCGTCGAGGACAAGAATTACTTCTTTTCAAGAAACTTAGGATCTAGTACTTACAAGTAGAGCTGCATCATCTTACTCGTGGTCGTGTTCACAGGTACTAGATACATCATCTTTTTACTCGTGGTCGTGTTCACAGGTACTAGATACATCATCTTACTCGTGGTGTTCACAGGTACTAGATACATCATCTTACTCGCGGTCGTGTTCACAGGTACTAGATACATCATCTTACTCGTGGCGTTCAAAGAGTATACGTTCTCAGAATGAAGATCCCAGGAGGTGGCTGACAGGTGGAGACAACTAGAGCTAACCGGCTTAGTGGTTTAGGCGTTGGCCTGATCACCTGCCACAAGTAGATCTAAGCGGACGAAGAGGAATTATCGTGAGACTCCTAAAGGTAGGTCCAGTGTCCTCTACTATGTCTGAGGCATTCGCATCCACGTAGACACCCTGCGCCCAAGCCCATGTAGAAGTTTCTCATAAAAGTAGGAACAAGTCGTGTACTCAACATGAACATACTCAGAAAAACAAACTTATAACTAGTTGTAGTATATTGATTTAGTATATTGATTCCCACTTCATCAATGATCCTAGCTAATTCTCTCTGAGGATAAGAAGTAGTGAATAAAGTTATAACTAGTTGTTTCCCCCTCGATCAATCCTAGCTAGTAACTTCCTCTTTGTCAGGATGATGTTGTTGAGTGCACTTTTTTCTGTCATATTTCTGGGACTGTAGTTAAGTTGCTGCCCAGTCCTGGAATCATGGGTATCTCCAGCACGTACTTTGGTCCAGTGCAATTGCCGCAATGGTGCAAAGATTAGAGTTCACGATGGGCGGATTATGAAGACAGCTTCAATTTGAAACATCAAGTTCAAGATCATGATGTTGTACTTTAAAATCGTATATGAAAATTGAGGACATATCTGAAAATCGAAGCCTTAAAAGCCTGTGTGGTTACATGGTGGGCCTTCAACGGGTGTTCCTCCGGGACAAGTGCAAACTTTCCAGACGCACAAGGATGTGGTCGCGTTCATTTCATAGCCGTTCTCTTGATAGCAAGACTTACACTTGAGCATCCCATGCCGCGGACATTCAGCCTGGATTAGAGAGGAATGGTCATGATCATGTGCTTCAGGTCTAAGTGGCCGCCCCTGGTCAAGTTATTTGAAGCAAATCTTTCTCTTAAATATTAGAATAATGCATAGGGGTGGCAGATCCGGGATGGGATGGATCGAATGGAACGGATGGACTTCGCTTCCCAGCATTTCAAGGAGGATCGGAAGACTTAGGCGCTTGATGGTCTCGGATGGTTGTAAGCATCACAGATGTCCGCGTCCGAGAGCATCAAGCAAGTAGGGAAGTCCTTGGAAAAAAAGTAAGTATGAGGGGACGAATGCAATGTGCCTAGCGGGAGGTGGTGCAAGTTGTGTTTTATGTCCTACTGACGTAGTATTTGACAGAGCAAACTGTTGTTCTACTGACGTATAATTTGACAGAAAGGCTTTGGAAGACAAGAATGTCTACAGCTTACTACTACAACGGGGAGAGGAGGAGGTGCAGGCTGTAGCACTACTACGATGTTGAAAGTAAAGTGATGATTTGAATCTATTCGGCAAGATGCCTAAGATTTCCCTGACGAGTTCTACCCGCTTTTCTAGCTTGTAAAATAATAAGAAGTAATCAAATGAAAAACTATATCAATCTACTTCTAGATCTACTTCTACTTCGCATTATCTTCATTATTTGTAATCATGCTTGTCTGATCGTAAACCTACTGGCGCAACACCTACGCGATCACTTGTCGTGGGTTCGTAGTCCGGTTGATTGTGCGGGATAGGGCATACGCAGATCCTCTTTTCGCAAATTTTGTAAGCGGAATGCTCAGGGCTCGTGTTTTTTAGAGAGGGAGAGCAGAGTGAGACTGAGAGAAAATACTTCTAAGTACTTCTTGGAGCTGGGAGAGGGAGCTCTGACCATGACCATGACCTCCACAGTGACGTAAGCAGGTAAAAGGAACAATATAGTAGCAAACGATGCGCCATGTCATCGGTATTGAGGTGTTTCCTCGTATTTTTCTAATAACCTGTCTAAAAATGTTCTTTCTCTTTCAGTTTCAGCCATTATTTTCAGTGAATGAATGAATGTACCCACTCCAGGGGTTTAGAAGACACTACTACTGGCTATTTCTTTTTGCATCGCATCTCGTGGGATCTCATGATCTCCACCCTTTTCGCCTTTTGCATTAGTGTCAAATCTTGATATGAGTACTATGAGACATCTACTAGACATTACTGAGCAGTACTTACTCCTCCAAAAAACAAAAACTAACTTCCACCAAAATAAATTGAATTATTTTGATGAATCATCATATTAATTTTGAATCTTCATAATATCAGCGCTGCAATATTGTCACAAGATGCGCAGTTGTTCTCGTTGTCAAACTTCACCCATCCAGCTGGTTTAGGCGTTCCATGCTCGCAGGTGGCGGTACATTTCTGGCACTCTTTTAGATGATTTACTCGAAAAACTGAAATAAGCGAGTAACTGAGCAGAATAACCGAGATACTGATGAGAAGGAAAGGCAGCCTTGACGCTATAAGCTAGTGCCTCCCTTATTTCAGTCAGTAACTCGGTTATTTTGAGTTTTCGAATAGCCGTAGTATTGATTGCTTGATTGATTGACTGATATGCCTGACAAGAGGTAGTTTTGGGAGAGCTATTTGTTCTTGGAACGTTTACTAGACCTTACTCATATGTTCATCTTCTACTTGAGTATTAATCTAGCCGTAGAAGTACTCACTCATATTCATCTTGTAGTTCTTAGACCTTACTCATATATATTCATCTCCTACTTGAATATAATTAACAAGAAAAGTAGTATCTTTGACGCATAATTTTATTTTCCTTAGTAAGAAAGGGGTCAAAAATCTGGTCTTAAATATATGCTTCTTAGAAAGTCAGAGATGTGACCTTAGATCATGATTATCATGCTTGTTCTTACTCTTAGGATGAAGAATTACGGTAGCGGTAAGCCTTAATTGCTTCAGATTGGTCCCCTTTATGTTTCGCTCACAGTAATTGTTCGCCTTGCCACGACCAGGCTTGTTGCAGCTGTTACAGTTTACCCGCTCTGGATTAGAACAAGGGCTTCCATGTTATACAGACTCCATGCGAACAAGATCCATGTGCCGCGATCAGCGGCAGTTGCAGCACGGAGATCCCCAAAACAGCAGTTTTACAAGCCTAACAGCCTCCGGAGAAGCTGGCAGGCCCATAGCCCTACATTTGGCGGCACGCAAAACAGAATCAAGAAACTCCAGCCCACTACCATTACTTTATTCCTTCAGCATTCTCATCTTGCTTATCTTTTGGCAATACAGACCCCATGCGAACAAGATCCATGTGCAATCTGCTTATACGTTGTTCTTGGCTCCTCTTCAATCATGGATGAGGTGAAAGTGTTCGCTTGCAATTCGAATTCTGATTAGATATTTATTTATAGCCTTAACACTGGAAGTGGATGTGCACTCACAAGCGGAGCCAGACTTCGCGATTCCGTTCAGACAGGTACATTTGCACCGATGGCACGACTTGTCATTGTGCAAGTAGAACCGTTGTATGAAAGAGGCTTGTTGATCTTGATGTTGATGGGGAGCTAAATTTCCGCTGGGTTAGGATAGGAAAGGATTGGATAGGAATTATAGGATAGGAATTATAGATTTATAGATGATCCAATTCGACTCGGAGCGACAAGGTGACGTCTCCGAGACATCTGACTGATTGATTCATTGATTGATTGATGTGCCTGGCAAGAGGTCGTTGTTGGGAGATATCTATTTCATCTTTTCTTCCTTTTTTGCTCCTTTTTTGCCACACGCAAAAAAGTCACATGCACACACGTCATGAATCTTCATGATGCTCCTGGTCTTACACTTACCTGAATATTAAAATTGGAAGATATAGAAATAGATCTGATCCTCTACTGACCCTGAGGACACGGCATCTACTTCTACTAGGTAGTGCTATGATAAGAAGAATGAGAATAAGAGAGATGAAGTATTAAAATGCACCAACTCACAACATCAGGCTCGTGAAATAGAAATTCTTGAACAACAACAAGGTCATCAAACGCTTCAACATAGCGTTGTTGCAAGACCACTAGAATTCATTTTTTTATGAAGAGCGTCAAATTTTTCATAGCTTTGTGGCACGACGCGCATAAGTGTTCGCCGTCACGAGTGGAGTACCCGGGATCCTCTGCGTTCCCGTTATCACAGATGCTCGTGCATTTACCACACTCACGTTAGAGCAGGATCAATCAATCAAGTGGCGATGCGCGGTAGTCCGAGTCTAGCGGACGTGACCGTGTCTATCTTTATTTTGCCATTCATCAAGAGGATGAAGTGGAACAAGAGGATTATACTGCTCTTTCTTACTCATAAATTTGTAGCTATGCTTGTGGTGGAGCCCTGACAGGAGCTAGGATGAAGTGGAACAAGATATGGTTGAGCAGGAGCAGTGGAACGAGATATGGTGGAGATACTAGTGGAATTTGTAGTTATCCTGGAGCTAGGACGAAGTGGAACAAGAGGAGACTGCTCTTACTCAACATAAATTTGTACTCGATAAACTGATGAAGTAAGGGAGTAACTAGTGAAAATAAGGGAGATGCTGAAAGAAGAAGAATGTAGTCTAGACTCTCTTACTTCAGTCAGTAACTCGCATATTTTGAGTTTTCGAATATTTGTGGTTGTGATGGAGCCCTGACTAGGAAAAAAACCAAAACATATAATCAAGTCATATTTTTACTTTGTGTGAGGTGTATTGGTAAATTTTTAGTTTTTAGACTGTTGCAACTAGCCTTAGTTTTGTCGTCCATTTTCATCGCCAGGAGATATATATCGAAGGCAATAATTTCTCCCCGGTTTATCTTCATCTTGGTTGCACTTGGCGCAGTCTTCCTTTCCTGCAGTAGCGACTGTGCAGGTGTCTCTTTAGAAAAAGAGGTTCTTATAGATGTTCACTTATAGACAACATGACATACAACATCTTTAAGTAGAAGTTCATCTCGTCAAGAACAAATCTCGTCTTAATATCTACAAGAACAGCACTTATAATTATCATACAAACCCTCTATCTTCGTTTCTTAAGCTTCCGGCGTGCCATTGGGACAGGTACAGTCGCAGGGTTTGCAGCACGTGTTTTGATCCTTGTCCGCGGTGCAAATCGAGTTTTTGCAGTACAGTTTATCCCGATCCCGTTTGGATTATGAAAGTATTACAACTTCTCGTGCTGGTGCTCAGACATTCAAGGTCGTTTCGAATAAAAAGTAGCAAAGATAAACTGGAACTGCCCACTTGCACTTTCATCTTGAGTATTCAATGAGTACATTTTTGCTTTTCACAAGGGCACTTTGCTGCTAGCCCTTTTCTAACCTATGAGTACATTTTTTCTTTTCATAAGAGCACTTTGCATTTGCTCAAAGCCCTTTTCTAACCTATGAATGAGTACATTTTTTCTTTTCATAAGGGCACATTGCTCCCAGCCGTTGTGGCAGTTCCGTCGCATAGATTCGCCTTGCACTGCATTTGGCAACAGATAGCCTTATCGTCATCTTGTTTACACGTTGCGCCTATACTTAGATGGGCACCTATTTCAGGTACTAGAACCTCCTCAGGTTCATCTGCTTAAATAATAGAGGTACCGGGAAGTTGTACTTATTTGTATTTCAGGCAGAAAAGGGTCCTCGAGTACCGCGTTCGCATCGCTGAGGTTGATGTTATACTCAAGCATAGGGGCCGCCAAGGATAATGCTTGAGAATCTCAGACGCTCCATATTAATAAGTAAGCAACATTAAGTTTAAGGTCGCCCTAACATACACAGAGTGTCTTCTTTGTCGTCACGGAGTCGATAGCTGGCGCCACTTCTTAGGGGATGCCAGTTCACCTACGCCTACGCAACAAGATATCTATGAGCAGTCACCTAAGTAGTTGCAAACATGTTGTAGCTCATAGAAGATTTATGCTCAACATAGATGAGAGTGAGACGAGATCAACTTTCTTTATTGAAAAGAAAACTCAAAACTGCCCTTGAAGACAGTCGAGGAAGTGAGACTGCCTTATTAACAGTTGAGCCTTCTTCATAGAAAATAATTCTCATTGAAGACGCTCGCAGAAATGAGACGAGAGCAGCTTACTGGTCGTAGGAGCAGTAGTGTGTACGGATTTCCCGAGGTAGACTCTAGGAGAAAACAATGATGAATAATGAAGGCCGCTAGGAACACTCTCTATCATGCCATGTTATGAAGAAGTAGAAGGGGCGCCGAAGCTCAAAAACAAAACAAGATGAATAAAAAAAGGAAATAAAAACTGATATGCTTATGCGCTTCGCGATATTAGTATTAAAGTATACTATAGGTATACTTGCATTTGCAAGAAGCCATAAACTCCCGCATGCGTCATCCCCATTATTGGACTTGCACGTTGCCCTGAGATCGCAGCAGGTGTCTCGGTCAACGGAGTGCTTGCAGGGCGCAGACGCACACCACTTATTAGAGCTCCTCCTGTCCGCTTCTATTCCTGTCTGCTATTGTTCAGCTATTGAGTGCCGGCTTCCGCCATTGTTCCTAGTCGATAATATTCAACCTTGAGCTGTATCTTCAAGGGGTGATGCTCTTACTCACTCATACTTTTCGTGTAGGGATGAAGATGCATATGCTCTCGAGAAACATGAGTAGCCTTAAATAATGTGTCTATATGCTCCTTTGGGACGTACACGTGTGACTGCTCCCACTCATTGAGAATGTCGATAGGGCGACGTCGTCCCCCCTTTGCAATCTTACTTCGGAACGAAATTCCCATATCTTCGCTCTCAATGAGTGGCATCATACATTGTCATCCTCGTCGCAGACCACTTGTTTGTTGCATCTCTCCACACAACACTTACCTTGATCATTTGCCTTTGTGCATACGGATTCTAAGATTAGATGAAGACGAAGATGAAGACCAAGATCTGGATCCTCACGTTGATGCCCTTTCATAACTCACATTTGTATTCGGATTCGCTTTTCGAGGGGCGCCATCTATAGTTATCCCCCGCACATGATTTAGAGTCTGCTAGATTGCCTCTCGGCCCCCTCGTCTTGAACCCTTTTACCTTGTATTTCATGAGAACACAAGGGAAAAGGGTACCGAGATGCCGAGAAAGATGGGTAGAAGCTGACCTTAACACAAATATCGGTCTTCGATTTAAATGCACCACATGGTTCTTTGTAACAGCTGTTTTGATATGAAAGATTAAGATGTTCTCTTTTCTCCCTACGAGAGGACGCTAAGGGGCAGTAAACGGTCTAGGTAAACCACGCCATACGAGACAATGACAATATCAATAGACGCTAGTGCAACGCAATACATCAATAGACGCAACGCAAAGCAATGCAATTAATCTCGCACAGTTTTCAGCGCAGACTGCCGCGCAGCGTCATAGTGTTTCGTCAATTGCAAATAATCTCGCGCAATTTGGGAGAAAAAAACAACATCCATATGTCACGATTTTTTGACTCCTGCGTAGCAGGCGCGTTCCCGGTGCATTCAGTCCCGCCAGTCCGCCATTCAGCTACCTGCATTAGAATAGGAATAAGAATACCCTTGGGAATACGTTGCATAGGAGTAGAATCAATACATTACTTAAGAAGAGGAATGCGTATGCGCAAAGAGATAGGAATGGTTAGGTTAGTTTAGGTTATGATATAGGCTGAGGCATAACCATGATAAATAATAATAAACAGTCTTTCATCCTCCAAATGAAAAGACGGACGCTCTTTGCTCCACCAAATGAGAAGTTGTCCCAGAACTACATGATGGCAGTTGACATAGTGGCTTAGGCGTTGACATGCACACTTATCACGTTGTATCGTCTACGCTTATGCTGTAGCTGTACCCCCCAAGGAGTTAGTACAACTTAGTGGAAGCTGTAAGTTCCTGATGCGGTGAAATGGCATCTTTACGACCCTAGTGTCTCGTCCTGCAAATGATACATAGGTCATCACAATTCACAAAATTTTCTAATAGACGCATAGGAGTAAATAAATAGTCTACTCTCGTTCTCTAGAAGTTGTTCCTCATGGTAGAGTCTGTATGTAAATGCGGTAAAGTGCGATCTTTATTCGCCTAGTGTCTCATTCATTAACTCACTCACTTACCCGCTCGGGAGGTGTTGTCTAGTGCGAGGAGACGCAAGTGTGAATGGGTGAGTGAATGAGTGAGTGAGTGAGTGAGTGAAGGAATCTGAATGAAGTGTGGGCCATTTAATTCAATGCACTTGCGACCAGGTGGGGGGTTGTGCAGTTCAAGTGTCGCACTTGTCCTCCTGATGAGATGAAGGGATGCATAGCCGGTCACATTTAGTAGACTAAAGGCCAATTCTTCCACGTTAGTGTTGTTGTTCTATTCATTCATCATGGTCCATTCTTATATATTTGTTACTTGGGTCTATATTCTCGGTTCTCCCCCTGCCCTCGAGAATCTTCCCGAATGTAGGGATTGTGTGATAGACATAGAGATCAATTCTCTTTGCTTCCCGAGTGCCTCGCCGTCGCCAGCAGGCGCTCGGCTAAACGCACTGAGCAGGTGGAACCTCTTTTACCGGGCGTTGCGTCCCCGGTGAGCGCGCACTTCGCGCACTCGTATTTAAACCTCAATAAAGCAAGCTTTAAATTCCACATTAATTGTTTGAGAATTTTTACAAGAATCAATGTGCAGCGATGGTGCCACCATAACGTTCGACTCCTGGTCAGCGTTTCAGATTTCATTGTGCAGTCTTCTCCGGAGGGTGCCCACTCTGACACAAATTAGAAGAGCAGGAATATTCGAAAAAGCATGATCTCTGATAAGTCAGAAGTAGCCTACTTAAGGCTAAGTAACCTATTACATTCTGTTAGAAGTTCTTGTATATGTCTCCTATTCCTATTGCTATTACTTGTTCTTCTGAAGTAGGTAGTAGACGAGAGCGAAGTAGTAGTTAGTAGAAGTGGAGATCGTAACAAGTTAGGACAAGAAGTAGTTAGGACTCAAGAGTAGTAATACTAATTGTAGGAGTTGTGTAGCACCAGTAAGTAGACCATGATGGTATTTGACTAAAAGCAAACGGAACAGCCCAAAATCGCTTCTGAAAGAGTCGGAGGACTTATGTCATGTTTTCACGATACTTCGTGGCCTGGAAACATTATCTAACTACCTTCTTCCATATCTAACTAAGTACTTACTCAAAGAAGCGCCCAGATGTCGATGTGTTAGGATTGATGATACTAATAACATCGTTCGGTTCTAACATGAAGACGCCAAATGGATAGCATAGGAGTGGATCCAACTAAAAAAGACAAGCAGACGAACACTGCTGCCGCTGATGGGCCGTTAGCATGTTCTGAACAAACTTGTTGCGATCCACTTTCTAGTCGTTCTTCATGAATCATTATTAGTATCATTCAAGTACTTGTTCTACTTGTTTCTTTTTAGTACTCGTAGAGTGATGATGAAGAGAGTCACAGGGTCACTCGCCTTAACAAGGAGTGACGCAATGCCGATCTTCTCCACAACGAACGAACCTATCCTCCTCAATGTCTAGTTAGAGCAAGCAAGAAGTTCTGACGAGGAGCGCAGGTCAGAGGGTGGGTCGTCATCAACATAATTTCGGAAAAAAGCTTCATCGAGATGTGTAAAGTGAAGCTCAAGCTTGATTTAAGAAGATGCCAGTATCTTCTATTTGTGGTGAAGGTATTTCTATTGCATTCTTTCTTGATATCTAATCTGTTTCTCTACGGGTCTCGTTTGGAACATTGTGCAAATGAATACTCAATGTTGTGAATTACTCCCCAAGGAACAAACCTAGCCTCCTCAATGTCTAGTTAGAGCGCCATGGTCATGCAGCTTCCTTCTGATCCCAAGTAATTCGTCTTGCTTCAGGGTGCCATGATGGAATTGTAGCCCTGAACAAGAAGCCCTACAACTTCTTAAGCGACGGCGACCACCATGATATAATCTTCATACTACAAACATCTGGAGGCACACCCGAGGTCCTCGTCTTTTACTTGTTTATGTTTCAACTTCTCAAGTTCAACTTCCCAAGTGCTGCCTTAATAGAACAAATGCCATTGGCAAGGTCTCTTTTAGAGCTGGATGGGGAGGGAAGTAGAGCGCTTCTTGGAGATGAAGTTTTGGAAATCATAATGGGACGTTGGATAAAACTCTAGTACCGCAAAAGCAAGTGTTTTCTATTTCAGTCATTTCTCTAAATTAATGTTCTTGTCGTGACCGCAGCAATGTTTCTAAAGATTTATTGACTGTGTTCGTCATGTTCCTGGAGAAGAAGATGAAGTTGAAGGGAGGACGATGAATTTACTAGTTCTACTGAAGATTCTGAAGTAGATGCAGTTGCTGTGGATTCCATGCCTTTGGTGAGCGGATGCAGTTGATGTCATGATGCGTCAGTTGATGTGGAAGCCATGCTGCCATAAACCCAATTGGAATCAGAATAGTTCTCGCACCGATTTTTCTTTTCCTCTCTGATCACGGGTCTCGTATAAAGCTCTTTTTTCCATCCCAAGCCGCTGCACTTCGCCGTGCAGAAGTTAGAGAGGCTCAGGCTCTATGGATTTCATGTACTACAAGTGGAGTTGATGATCTTGATGATCTTCTACTTCTACCTAGTAGAGGGAGGAGCCTTAAAAGAGTTCTCGTCAGTGGAATCGAGGGTCCAAGTACCCGCTTTGCAGCAAGCATAGTCGCAGTTATTCAGTGCACAATTGATTTCATACTTCTGACCGGAGTAGATGAATGATGCCACTGATTGAGACTGACGGTTCCTGTAGTATGGGACGAAAAGTGGCGTCGTTCTTCCCCTTCGTTTACATTGATTTAGTTCCCTTGAGTTCTTACGTCATTTACATTTAGTCCATGATGATGATTCCGTCTTACCTTCTTCCTTAGCGTTAGCCTTAGGTGGAGGAACGACGTTCCCGCCCTATATCTTATAGGTCGTTCTCAAGTAGAATGTTGAGTAGCATCATACAGTAGGGGTTGCCTTGACGCTGCACAATGTGAATGGTCACAATGCAGTTCCTGGACCATCTGCTTTCGCTTCTTGATCTGTCGCGCTCGCGCCACTTGTAAAGAGTTATTTTAACAAAGAGGATTTTTGAGTATCAAAAATCTTCCGTAGGAGTAGCTAGTGCATTCAGTTCTTCAGAAGAAGATGTAGTTAGTCCCTTTGAGGGTAGATCAGAGACTGAAACTTTCGGGAATGGTGACTAGTGGTAGCCGCAAAATCTTCAGTAGTTTTTAGTCCCTGTCGTGATCTTATAAATATGTTGACTCTTGACTCCTGAGTATGTAACGTCATGATACCTCTGCGCCCGTCCCTAATTTTTGTTGTCCTTCTAGTACTGTCTACTCGCCTAACACGTCGAGAAACCGGTAAGCCGCCGGCGAAGTCTACAACTACTAAAATCAGGGGTATCGGTTCCTTCAGGCACCCTGTAGCTTCGTAGAAGTGTAGGCGATATTGCAAAATTCCTATTGAAGAGGTCGTTGAGCAGGGGAACTACTACTACTTACTTTAAGTCATCATTTTTATAAGTATATAGAATCAATGTACCAGTAGCCCCCCCTCCCCAGAAGATGTGCTTGATCCTTGTAAAGCTTGTTTCAGCTTTTTAATGACGGACGCCACGACAGATCAGAACTTGAAAAAAGATTCTGGATGATCCTGGAAAATTCTGGAACTCTCTTCTGTTGCCAGACAGTCATATACATTGGGTGGCTGCTCTGTTGCCTTCTGTTGCTTCTCCTGAATCCACGTCAAGCCGCGTACTGCTGGCGCTTTGCATGAGGGAGCAACCTTGCTCTCCTGCTTGTATGAACAAGAACATGTAGAGGAATGCAATGTACCGCAGTAGAGACCAGTTCCTTTTCTTAGTTGCCTTACTACTTCTAGTTCTCTGTATGGTTCTGGTATTTGGTAGCCTGAGTTTGATCACAAGGGTTCTCTTCTTGTGTTCTCTTATGTGTAGGTATGAAGATTAGAAGGGAGGATTATAGGAAGATCATGTATTCGAAAACCTGAAATAACCGAGTAACTACTTGAAATAAGCACAGTTAAGCCTGAACAAGGAAGAGTAGCCGTGTCAAACCTACCTACCTCCCTTATTTCAGTCACTTACTCGGTTATTCTAAGTTTTCGAAAACCTGAAATAACCGAGTAACTACTTGAAATAAGCACAGTTAAGCCTGAACAAGGAAGAGTAGCCGTGTCAAACCTACCTACCTCCCTTATTTCAGTCACTTACTCGGTTATTCTAAGTTTTCGACTAGATGTACGGTTAAAAAAAGCAACTCAGCCAACTCAGAATCAGATAGGGTGGCCCTTCCGGGTTTATTTAGGGGTTTAGTATTCGATGAAGTTCTGAAATAAGCGAGTAACCTAGAGAGCATTCGCAGATACTCGATTCTTGTTGTATTTGTTACTCGCATATTTATTTCTCAGTTTTCGATTACTTAGAGCTTAGAAGCTGTGCTGCAAGATGAAGGACGAGAGCCAACGATTGGACCACGACCCGCCAACAAACTACGTCAAACTTCTACGTCACTATAGTAAACCTAATTCCGCAGCAACATCAGCTTCAACATGATGTTCCACGTTCATAATGTCAAGGATGTTGATGATGTATTCAGCGCAAAGGACGTGGTATCATCTTCGAGTAGATGGTGGTGGTGATGGTTTACCCTCTCAGGTGAAGATGGAACCCCACTGGCGCCATTGCGTTAGAGCTAGCGCGCTTGCGTCCTCCTTGAACGCATCTTCCTTGGACACTTCTTTGCCCCTTCAAAAAAAGCGCCAAGGATAACGCTGAGAGTGCTCCAGCGGTAGCCATAATCGTGCTTATCCTTATGTCCGTCGTCATTTTTTTCCTCGTCGCGGCCGTTTATATCGTCCTCGCGGCCGTTTATATCGTCCTCGCGGACATGTATTTCATTAGAGCTGAATCGTGGCGAACTAGAATCACTCGACGGCTATCAATTATGCGACAGCTACTATGTAGCCAAGTACTAGTTGTACCTTCTTCTTGTTTTTGCAACTACAAGCATGTTGAATGTCTCACTCTTACAACTATAAGCACGTGAATGAAGTCAAATAGTGATAGAAGAATGATCTCACAACTATGAGTATGATGATGCTGAATCTATTCCGCAGTCTGCCTAAGTATGATGATCATATCTACCTAGCAGTAATATTAATCTAGCACTATAAATATGAGTATGATGATGATCACAACTAGCAGTACAACACTACTCCTACTTCAATGACGGCTGCTCTCTTCAGGTATGGCGGTCAGTCTTCATGCCTAAGTGAATGTGGTGCATGACCTTGGTCTACCGCGTCCTGCTCCTGCTGAGCTTGATTTTCTGTTGCATCTTGTTCTTGTCGTTGTTCCTCGGGAAGCACAGAACTAGAACTACCTCCAACATCGATGTCATGGTCATCGATGTCATGGTCGTGATCTATTATCACAGCACGAGCCCGTTGCGTGCTGTCCTCCTGCTCGTGATGCAATCGTCCACTTAGTACGGCAGCACCACAGGAGCATAAGAGAGCCATCAAGCGGAGCTGCATCTTGTTCGGCAAAGGCAAACGATCACGAGCACTAGAGGAATAAGTAGACTGTGTGAGCCCATTTCGACTTCGATGCTCCGCAGAGCTACAACTTCTACGACGCATCTTGTTCATCGTCAAATCCGTCGATTTGATTCACATTCATGCTCCTGTAGGTACTACAATCTTCTACCTGTGTACTAAGTGTACGTCTTTAACTATCAACTTCAAAAACATTGTGAAGAGCACTGTATTATCCACAGAAACAGGTCTGCCATACGTCTTTGTGACGAGAGTTAACAGGAGAATCAATCTCTCATCTCTCTCTTCTACTGTTTCCTTAGGATAGGATAGGATAGGATAGGATAGGATAGGATAGGATAGGATAGGATAGGATAGGAGTTGGCTCACCTGTGAAGGGATGAGCGTATAGGCAAAAGGCGCCTTCATATACGCCGATCCTTTGTCGACTCTTGATTTCATCAGCCTGATTTCATCAGCTTTATTCACCAAACCGATCCAGCCTCGAATAAAGGAGAATATCACACTAAGCGACAATCTCAAAAATGCGAACACCTAATCACACTGTTCGCATGAACTGTCTACGAAGGTAACAGCTTGAATAATTTGTAGTTTGAAATCAGTCACGGAGGGCCTGATAACTCATAGGTCACCGCAGTGACAAAACAGGAGCACACTCATACGAGAGAAGCGCCACAGTCTAAATATGATGTTAGTTTATCATAGTGCTCCTGGTGAGGGTCTGAAATGGAGGAGGAGTAACACTCCCCTCATTGATGAAGACAAATTTTCTGAAAAATGAGACCCCACAGAACAGCAAAGACAAGCTGCCCCTGTCACAAAGAGTGCATCTCCAGATGCACCCTGGCATTCACCATCGTCTTTTCACCTAAATGAAAAAACGCGGCTAGGTCCCTCCATGAGAAGCTTCTCCATGTCGCCCGTATCGCCCCACAGCTCGCCGGCAGAAAGGGCGTCGGAGCCGAGGACAATGTAACGAGCCCGCGGAAAGTGTTCGCGTAGCAGTCGAAGACGCTCCAAGCGCGTCATAACGTCCGCGATGTTGCGCATGGTACTAACCCAGGCAACATAAAAGGATAAGCCGTGCTGCACCGAGAACTTGGCGAAGGCTGCAGCGATCCGTTGCGTGGTAGCGCATCTCGACGAGCATCTTCCTAATGCATAGACGGCGCCAACGTTGTCGCAATGAAGCACAACTGATTTGCCGCGAAGGTGGTCGCGGAAAAAATCTCGTGCGACCCGCGCAGCGAAAGTCTCCAGCACACCAATGTCCAACTTGGCAACCCAGCACGGGATTGATCGTACGACACCGGAAAACGCAATCTGGGTAGCGTCGGAAAGAAAAAGGAAACCGCCGATATTAAGCGAAAACTGGTCCAGGTCCGAACGTTGTCCAGCGGCAATCGCGTCGCGAAGTGCAGACTGGTTCACGAGGGCGGCGTCTGTGTACAGATGGACCAAAGGAGCCGACGAGGCTTTAGTCGAGAGAAGTAGCGGCTTCGTCGACCTTGCGACGAAGATCATGATGCGGATGAGTCCAAGTAGAGCACGGCGCTCCTTTTTCTTGCGAGTGTTCGTATGGAAGAAGGCCTCAGAGCACCACGGATCGACGCCCTTGGCTAAGAACATAGACCCTCGATCAAGTTGCACGCAATGTCTGTACAGCCCACGAAAGCTCTCTAGCTCCTTAATGGTAAGGCAGTGCGCCTCGAGGTTGGCAGCTGCTGCGACGCCCATGTCGGCCAACTGCGTAAGTTTGGAAATATCCACACCACAAGCCAGATGGAGCTCGTTGACGAGCTGATACGCGATGCCAAGCACAGTCAGAGAACGCTTCAGGGCTTCATCGTGATGTTCTTGTTTTGCGTCGGCTTGTTCCCATCCTGCCAAAGCAAGAAATAAGTCGACAAGGGCAGAGTCGGAACGCAAAGCAGCAGCACGAGACTGCGAGTGGACGTCATCCACATACACAGTGGACACCAGTAGGAGGACCAAGTTCAGGATGCACATTATGCATTCTGAAACGTGCACGCAATCGTGAACGCTGGCCAAACTCCCAAACAGCTGCACCCAAGAAAGGATGACGACCCACTTCCTGTCTCGCTTAGGCCTCTTAAGTGATTGCGGAGCGTCTGGCGATTTTGGTTTTCCCCGCGAGCTGCTTTTGTCTTCCTTTTCAGAGTCCTCCACTGCCCAAGGTATTGGGAAGAAAACTGCGTTCTTGTTGGGCTCGGCGGTAGCCAGTTGGTAATAGAACTGCCTCAGGTCCTTCTTGGCAGATAGCGGGCGGAAAGCATAAGAGTCCGCGTGGATGCCGTCGTTGGACCCATCCGGAACGGAATCTGGGTCAACTTCCCTGGATGTGGCAGTATGGACCTCCATGGAGGCCCGAAGCAACTTTTCCTGCGAGATGTCGGCGGCGATGTCCTGCTTAAACTGCCAGAAGCCCAAGGGGCGGGACTTGGACGACATCAAGCGTGACGAGATTTGTGTCGTGGCCCGGGCTCCCAAGAGTCTCATGCGCTCGAGGGCAACCATGAAGGTATTCTGAAATCGGAAATCCACACACACGCGCGCTTTACCACCTTGGACGACTGGGAAGGCTTTCGAGCCACCTAATGGAAGAGAGGAGTTTAGTGGTGCTTTAGTCCATCTTCCCGAGTCGACTAGGTCGGACATCTGCTGCCACATCTCCTCGACGAGAGACTCGTCTGCCCAATGGTCCCGCTCGGGCAACTTCGAGGCAGACTGGATCTTGGTCGTGGCTTCTTCAGCGCGTTTTCGCCTCTTGGCTACTTCTTCTGCGCAAACAGGGCCCCAGAAGCCCGAAGGACGAATGTCATTGTCTTGACGAATTCCATGCGTCATCTTGTCGATGATGCTCATGATCTCACTTTTCCTCGCCCACAATGATTTATGGGCGGACGCCGCCCGCTCCAGAATCGCCTCGAAAAACAAAATGCTTTTATTTTTGTAAACAAAAGCAATATGCGGCAGAAGGGCTTTATGGAACTCAGTTTCTTGGCGACGGAGAGAGGAGTGGATGCGCACGAGCATGTTCCCAATATTCTGGTTTTTATACAGGATTTCTTCTACCGAGGCCGACTTGTTGAAATCAATGGGGATGTCGAAATATTCAGGGACAGCCGACATACAGCCGTACGTACGCCCGCCGCGATCGGCCTCCAATGCGGCCGCAAAGTCGGTGGCGTCAGGGTCCACCATCGCGCTCAGGTCACGGCCAAGCACCACGCCCGTACGTCCTTCACGGCCGTCCGAAACTTTGGAGACAGAGGGGACAGCGCTATTCTTAATGAATAGCAGCGCGCTAGGCTAAGTATTTCAAATTAGATGCTTCAAATTAGACAGCACGAGATGAGGTAAGCTATACCCGAATAAGTAAAATATGAAAGGGACAAGCCTCAGATAACGAAGGGGCGAAACTGAACAAAGAATAAACGGGAGGGCGTCAACGATGAAACTCGCATCCCTGTCCTCATCGCTGTACATAACAAGGATAAGGCTTAAGAAAAGAAGGAGCGTCGCTCGTTAAACAGATGGATACGTCGCTCGTTAAACAGATGGATCCTACGCGGATGGCACATTAAGACAGAAACGTCGAAGGGAAAAGAACCCGAGCCCTGCTGCACACGCTCCACGAACAGACCAAGTGCTCTTACAGAAAACCCAGGCCAAACTGGGCGGGACCGCGCTCACGCTCGTGAAACCTCAACTATACTCGCTTGTCACTCTTGAAACAAGAACAGAGAGTGAGAGGCACGGCCGGCACGCGAAAGCCTATCGCGAGGCCAGATAAAAAGAATATACTGCACAATATGAGGTGCCACAGAAAGCGCCATCAACAGAATTTAAGGAGAGGCTCCAAATGGTCTGCTGAGACGAGAGCCAACTGAGAGCCCGAAAGGATCGCTAGCCACCCCTGTCTCCGACAAGTGGCGCAAGCAATTCCTTCGTAGCCCGCAGGCACGCTACTCGTCGGCGGCGAGTGCCATAATGTCGGCAGTTTTGACAGCCCCCTTCAAGAAACGACTGCTCAAGAAGAGAAGCTTCTGGGCGTCACCTTTGTGCGCCAGCTTCTTCTTGCATGGTGAGGAGCATTTCCCCTGCAGCCAATCGAGGCAGACGTGCTGCTTAGCGTTTTGCTCCGTGTTCTTGGCGCCCGGCTTGCGAGTGGGCTTCTTTATCGGGTTCGGCTGGTGCTGCTGCCCAGAATCGTCTTGAGGTCGGGGCGAAAAATCGAAAGTCGACAAGACAGCCAGCAGGCGCTTCTCGGCGCGGATACTCGCCTGGAATTCGGCGACGAAATCAGTGGTGATCGCCAAGCGCGCCTGGCGTTGATAGAGATTATCGCCGTCCGCGACGACTGGTAGGTTCCCCGATTTTAAGCAGTTACCCAAGTTGTCGAAGAACAACTTGTACAGCGTCGGCTTATCCAGCACCGTGTCGGCCGCAGACTCGACCAACGACCCAAGAAGCGCATCCTTCAGAATCTTCTGCAGGCGGTTTGTTTCCGCGACGCCCAAGCAATTCACCGAACGAAGGGCAGCAAGAACAGCGAACGGGGTGAACTTCAACGAAGTTGTAGACGCGCATAGTTCCCCAATTTGTTGCGACTCGAATTTGCGTAGCGCAAAGAGATGCTGCTTGGCGCTGCATTTCTCGTCCACCCCCGTCATGCGTTGGCTCAACAGCGTTAGCTGATTAGCAGTCGGGACGCCGAGCCCTTGCTCATCCTGAGCAACTTGCAAAAGATTGACGAAAGCGGCCATTTTTTTGGCGAGTACGTGAAGCAGCGACGCTACCGTGAAGAAGTTGGTATAGTTTTCCCTGTCATAAATAAACAACACGCAAGAGAGTATGAGTAAGACGAGGCAGAGCCCCTTTACATAAGGTCCCGGGCGATCTGCCACTTTTCTGGGGATCTTCAATTTTGGAGTGCGAAGGGGGGATCTCTCCAAGGTCTTCTCTCAGAAGGTGCTCAGGTTTTCCTGGGAGCTCAATTTTGGAACTCAGTGCGCACCCTCACGATAAGCACAAAGGATCTCCGAAATGTGTAGGATTGGAAGATCTTGCGCCCCAGACTACAAAGGCGCAGTTGTCACTATGTGAGACACTCGCACCACAGAGGTCATAGGCAGAGCAAACTTATGATCTTGGTGAATCTTGGTGAATCGAAATGCATACGACTAGAAACAATACTTGTAAGAAAAGAAAGGATCTCGAGAGCCTAGCCTAAGGGGTGCCAAAAAAAGATCGAACAACAAGTGCACACGAAGCTAGGCGTTAATACGCGCCGGATAATAAGTCCTCGACCCAGTCGTCGACTGGGAGGGAGGGGGCTGGATTTTTTGGCCTCCGAAAAACAGAAACCGGCTTCCTAATCGGCCACTCCATGGCCACACTATCCGCAATGAGCACGGAGGATGCCAAGTAATGCTCGGCCGAGTCGTCGGATCCCCAACGGCCTAATTTAATGACGTCGGATTTCGTCATGCCTCCTTCGTAAGCGGCCCTTGCAGTGCCAATCCTGACCGAGTGGGTGCCAAATAGTTTGCGATTATTTTCGCATCTCGGGTTCGCGATGCTCGAGAGACGCAGAATTTCCTCAAGTGTAGCTGCATGCCCGCGCGTGCTCCAAAATTTGACCGCATTCCACTGGGCAGCTGAGCAGCAATGCACCGGGCAAAGCTTCACGCAGTTGACACCGGCCTGCACCTGAGGGGCCCAGTCGCAGCAGCAGCAGAAGTCGGATCTATGACCATGCGCCAATTGGTCAGTTTTGGACTTCCCGCGTAGTAGAGAAACTCTCCTCCGAACGCATCGCATTAAACCAGCACACAATGAGGAAACCGACATAGGTGCTCATCTTGCACTTCTCGCCGGTGGCGCCCTGGATGGCCGTCTTATCACCTAGGACCTTAGAAGCAGCCAAGATCAACAACATGTGGGAAAGCCGCAAGCCTTCCTCTTGGTGTGCAGGGGGGCGCGCCGAAAGGAGGTGACGGAAAGCTTTCGAATACTGCACTTCAGCATCCCGAGAGAGCGCGGCGACACACTCAGCGTAGCACTTCACGTGTGAAAAGTAGGTGACCCGCGACTTTGGAAACTCGGAGCACTGCGATAAAGCAGCTGCGAAGAGTTGGAGAGAAGTTCCCGTGATTGCGCGTGGCCACGGTGATAAGCGCGCAGCAGTCATGAGCTCCGCGCATTTCTCATACTGCTTCTGGTATGAGGCCATGGTCTTCGCGTTGAGGCGTCTTTTTGTGAACTCAAGCGAGTTCTCCCAAGCAGAAGCAGCAACCCGTTTAGCGGATTCGACCGTAATAACCTCCGGTAAATCGGGGGGTCTGCTGACGCGAAATGTCGCAGCCACATTTACAACCGTATCTTTCCACGCGGCCAGCATGCACTCCGGACGACGTTGACCGAGGGAGTTTGCGCCCTGCCGCGAAACGCCTTTATGAATTGGGGCAGACTGCACACTGTCGAGAGATCGATCGTAAACACGGCTGCCGGACGAGCCCTTAACATGACTACTATTCGACTCTGGTGGAGTAGGAGGTGCAACGACGACTGTCGTTGAGCCGGATGCGGCTAGAGGCGGTGGCGGCAAAGACGCGCTCCCTTTCGCCTTGCCTTTCTGTGGATTCGTCTTCCCGCCGCCTTTCGTCACATAGGCGGGAACTTGTGTAAGCGCCGGCCCCTTTCCATACGGGTGCACAGCATTCACATGCGCCCCTTTTCCAGGCTGCTGCGTCAGCGGAGATGCGAATCCCTGCTGTGATAATTGTTGACCAGCATGGACTGCCGGATCTCCACCACCTTGAGCGAAGATGTTCGGCGGAAGAATAGGTGGGAACATCTGAGGAGCAGAAGATTGCGCCTGCGTCGTCTCCGGCTGTACAACAGCTCGAGGTGGCGACGCTGGTGGTTTCACAAAGCCCTGAGCGGCACTTTTATGCCGAGCGGAGCGCGAGAAAACGTTCATCTTAAAATCACTAAAACTAGGGTGGGTAAGGGTGGGAAAGTCGAAAATTACGACCGAAATATTAGGGGTATTTTTTCGGTCGATATTTTCAAATTTATTGGACTAGCTCGATATTGAGAGCGTTACCGTTCCTTACCCGTAGATCAGGAGCTAGTAATGGAGATCGCCGACGACAAGTGATATACTACATATAAAAATCATCTAATCATCTTACATCATTAAGGCTTCCTCCACCTGTAGGTCCACAACGGTTGTGGTTGCGGTTCATCTTGTAAAAATAAACGATTCAAGAACAACAGCGGTGATGAAATATATATTTTCAGTGCGTCAGCGTCATCTTGCTTCATCTTATGAATATGAATTATAGAAATATAATGAAGATCAAGATGAACCGACTGAAAAAAAATAATATGTTGTCGGGCTCGCCATATCGGTCGGCCATAAAATACAAGTAGACTGGTACAGGAACCAATGCAGTTTTTTGGTTTGGTACACACAGAAGAGAAGGACAATCGGGAGTTCTTTCATCTACGCCAGTCCTTCAATCCCCGTATATTTTCCGCTAGAATCTCCGTCGCCCTCACGCTTCATAACGCGATATTAGAGACTGAGACCAGATGACTACGTGTCATTCCATCATGATTTTTCTCTTAACTTAGTTCCATATAGAAGTACTAGCGCGGTGCGTGCTAGGTCCCAGCTAGCGATTGTAATCATCGTGTACGTGTAGTAAACCACGACCATATATTAAGACGAGTTGTACTTACTCTCTTACCCTTCTGACTCCGTGTCCTTCCATAATACTCTTTCTTGACTATGTGAATCGGTATTCCGCCAATAATATGCGGACAAATCCAGTTCTTCATCCCCTCCGCGTCCACCTGAGTGTCTCCAACTGGCATCGCCTCTTCGTCCCTGACGTGAATCCCGCAATCCTTCAGAGCTGTCCGAGTGAATTCCAGACACGTCCATGGACCCTCCACGTCGAGGGACCGTTAGAAGAGAAGGGTGAGGAAGATGCGGTGCTGGAGAAGACAACTTCGTTATCGTCTAGTCTGTTATCCCAACATGATTCACTGAGAACAGTGAGGTGACCTCACTGAGGTCGTGGAGTAATTGGAAATATGCATATATTTTTGCTACGGTTGAAGATGCGGCTGAGCTATGGAGCGGTAATCGAGTCGGCGCCGGGTCTACCAGAATCAGATTGAGAAGAGCAAGAGGAAATCAAGCACTTCTTGAAATCCTCTTGCTCTTCTCAATCTCATTTTGGTAGATGTTCAAGAGAGCTTCTCTCTTCTTTAGTAACCTAGAAAGCAAGACCTCCTAGTTTAAATAACGCATTAATCACATGGGTGGAGCCAAGCTACCTAGGAAAAGAAAAAGGAAGGATAGTAGGTAAAGGATAGTTAAGTATAGAACTATTAGTATTGGCCTATTAATAACCTAATTTCTCCTTGCTCTAAGGGTGAGTAATAACTACCAATATGAATAGTAACTACAACCAGGACAAGAATGAGCGGTCGTTAGACGAAGTCAACAACAACTTAGAGCAGGCCTTGTTGTTGCTACCAGAATGAGATTGAGAAGAGCAAAAGGTGAAGAGCAAGAGGAAATCTAGGTTACAAAAAGCAAAAGGTGAAGCACAAGTAGAGAAAAAAACCATAATAATAATGATTCGCCGTGTGCATGAGTCTCGAAGGAACACCCGTCGCGTGAGTATAGAAGCCATCTTTTTCGTAGGTTTTAGGATAGTAGGCAGTCTTGGCTTCTTTAGCTGCCTTCCACTCGGCCACCGTGGTCATGTGATACAAGATTTCAGGCTTTTCTTCGATAGAACTGCACACTTTCGCGCCATTGGCGGAGTCGACAACTGAGCATGTCGTGATGGGTACAAGAGGATGTCTTCTTCCTTGTACACGAAATGTTCTGACCGAGTGGCAGCTCGTTTCGATGACTACATTTTTTCAGTAGAAAACTACATAGTGCTAGTGGTACATTTGAAAATATCATAGAAAAAGTAAGCTCAGGAACTAAGTGTGAGTAAAGAATTTGTCATCTGTCGTAGTCCCTGATTCTTGTGCAGCATGAAGAGAAGGAGCAGGTCGCAAGGTGTGTAGACGTGACGCTCTCAAGAAAACTCTCACTGCTCGTAGTAGCGGTCCAGAGTGAGTAGGTTCAGGAACTAAGAATAAACTCTCCTTGTTCTAGTATTAATAAAATAAGATAGATAGTAAGTCATTATAGCTAGAATTACCATTGATCGCACCGCCATGGAGCTTCTTGAGACCGTCACTGATCTTCTCACCTTCCACGTTCTCGTCTTTACTTAGAAGAATGCGCGAACGAAGATGAGTAGCGCTTTACTTCTGGTTCTGCCTGTACCGCTTTCTCAGAGAAAAGCTTCACTCACTACGTAGTACGTACTATATCACTTTCATCAAGTTGTATCTTTTATTGATTTCTTCCAACATAATCAAGGGTCTTACACAACATAGTCAGATGATCGTAATTCCCTGATACAGCGGTCTGGTCGAAAAGCAGGTAGGCACACTGGCACGTATTCGGCGTCGACTGGAAAACTCGGCCGAAAGCGTGTTCCTTCTGCGATAAAAACTGTCTGGCCAGCTGAGGCCTCTACTTTGTTGCCGTCGGTTTCAAATACAATCTTGCCTGAGGATTAAAGCGTACTTATGCGTAAGAGAGTGGGAACAAGATGTAACAGAGTGGGATGAAAGAAAGTCCTTGTAGAACAAAGAGACTGAAAGTGCCCTCTTCTACCTAGGTACAATTCTCCTTTCATCTCAACCTCCTAGGACAAGTCTCCTCTTTTTGAATACCCCAGTCCTATCTCACTCCTCGTACTATCTCACGGTAATATTTTGAAATAAGTGCCCTCGTCCCATCTCAGCCTTTAAAAATCTACCCTCTAGTACAACTGATGCCTTCAATCTAACAGTCACATTCGGGAAGGGCAACACGCCCTCTAGCTCTAGAAGTATACCAACAACTATCCCAACAAGCTATATTACAATTACAAATTTTGCGAAGCGGTGCGGGCGCAAAGAAAGCCGGCACTTCACGGACGCAAAGAAAAAGACAGCACAGTAGTGTAAGAGCTAGACTAAGCAAGTACATACGGTATGCCATACTCAAATTTTCTTGGTTGTCATCATAATTCAAAACGCAGATCCATTCGTCGTAGTGGAGCGTCAAAAACGGTTCAGCTGTGCCAGCATCGGCTTTTACGAGTGCAATCGAGACTCGATCGTCCTTAGAGGCAACATTGCCCGCGAGCTCATCGATTTTCAGACCAGGAGCATCAACCACACGGACTGCAGAACCAATTACGGAAACAGAGGTCGTCGTTGTGGATGAAGGCATCTTGTTGCTTTTTTTATTGAAACCACGACTCCTTTTTTACTATAGTATTTTGATTTTTTGTCTTCTCTATTTATTGAATGGACCTTAAGGCTCAATGGTGATACCGTTTCTGATCGTCGTTGTTAAGATTGACCGATAGGGGGAACAAATCAACTAGCTCCCGGCTATGCTAATGCCAGAGCGAATGGTTTACTTTTGTGTTGCACTAGACTCAAGGCCTGCGATGATAATTGGAAACATCACACATGAGCAAGTTTGGTGTTGCATGATCCTAGTGGTAGTTTGTTGATCTTCATAGTAATGACCATGATGATGAAGATCGCGAACTTGGTGGGATCTCGTGCTGTTCTTCGTCTTCTGTATTCACGACGATCAGAAACGGTATCACCATTAAATGGACCTTAATGGTGATACCGTTTCTGATCGTCGTGACTTATAAACAAGAACATTCCCAAAAGGAACACGACACGCCATGGCCTCTTGTTCACCCATCAAACGTATCCGCAGCTTCGGCGTCTTCCTCCAGTCGTTCGATTGGTATGAAGAAAGGGTGGAGCAGAGCAACTGAATGGTGCTGGTATTTGGTAACCTGATTTTGATCCTAAGGGTTCCCTTCTTGTTTTTCCTTAGGATCAAACTCAGGTTACCAAATACCAGAACCATTCAAACGAGGGTCTGTTGTAGGAGGTGTAGAATGTAAGTACATGTGGAAGGCTGAAGGACGTAAGTACATGTAAAAGGCTGAAGGACGACGTAAGTACATGTAGCAGCAGCAATGTATCATGAATCTAGATAAGTATGAACCAACTGCTGCTTGATTCTGTTCAAGGTCACAGTCAACAACATAACTTTCGTATACTTCCCACCACCAGTGGTACCAGCACCACTTGTACCAGACGACTTCTGTTGTTCTCCTTCTGTTTTTTTAGTGTAGTAATCCTCCTCCAGAGCTGCTAGTTCGTCCACGTTATTCTCCAAAGCAGCCAGAGCGAATCTTTGTCGTCGTTCGAACTCTTCGTAGATTATTAAAGGTGGTTGCAGCATTACTCTTACATTCCTCGTGAGATCGGAAATACGTGATCCCTGCTGACCCAACAACTATTTCAGGATAGTTAGAGGTAGGTTTTTGGTGTTCGTTTATCCCGCTTGTTATGGCTGTCCCCCTTAGGAGAGCCATAACAAACGGTAACAAAAGCACCTTTAGCCTACCCTTAAGATAGAATAGGATCATTAGGAGCAGTGGGCTCATGATCTACAAAGAGACCATGATGCTACTATTCTCTAGTACTTGATGAGATCCTACTATTTTCTACTTGAGGCCAACAAGGATGTTATTGCAGGATACAATGTGGTGACGAACCTTAAGTTTAGCTCTTTCCTTTCGACTCGCTTTTCGATATCTTTAGGTCGGTCGTTCCCGAGAATATTCTGGTCAGACCAACGAGGGGCGATTCCGTGGATTAGAGCAGCTTTCTACTTTGTAGGAAGTCAGAGGGAGAGGAGGTGCTGGTGACCGTCTGCTTCACGGATACAATTCAAGGCTGCACCAAAGGTGTATCCCAGTATGCTAATGTAATAAGATGAGCCTGCCCTAGGACTTTCTAAGTCCAGCACTTCTATGGCGTGAAAATGTAGTGAGGACTTCCATCAAGTCTCTGAGGCGGCGGACGTCAAAACTTCGTTAATGTTTCATAACGGCTGCAAGGGTGTGTCGTAGTATGTTATCGGGTAGCTGCTATCGCGGTCAAAGGCTTCCTGGGTCAGCTCCTCATCCTCCACCAATCCTAGCATCAAATAGAGAATGTCGATTCTCGAATGCCGTAGTAGGAAAATCGATGCAGATTAGAAGTTCCGTAATAAAAAAATTGGTGGGGACGATTAGTACTTAGATTTACAAGAACAGTGAGAAAGATGGGACCACTTATGGGAGTTGGTCGTATTAGAATTGAATGAGAATAAATGGGGAAGGAGAACGACCAGATGAAAAAGACTACTAGTGGTAGATGAAGTGGAGGACAAATGGACGAGTTGCATGCGTGTTGAAAGTGTCTACCCAAACATCAAAGCAAAAGAACCAAAGTCGAAACATCATCATTGAAGAAGTAGGAGCAGCGATAGTATTTTCTTCTCACGATGGCGATAATCCTTCATCACCACGACCTCCTCCACGTCCACATTCTATACATTATTTCTTGCCCACGGGCCACGACAAGGACAACATGAAAATGTCATAATTAAAGCTCTCCTGTCCGAGTGGTATGTCAACGGATGCGAGGTAGTTGAGGCCCACTTGAACGATGTCCCGCATGTAAATTGGGACTTCCTCCAGACTTATTATGGTGTAGTTGCTCACACTAAACAACTTCCAGTCTGCAGATCTGCCATCTGCAGCTCGTGCTGACTCACCGAAAAAAGCATCCACGAAAGAAGACTTAGAGTAGAGCTAATGGAAAGAAAAGAGAGGAAACAGCTCTTTCACTCTCAGGAGTCCTTGTCTGTCACGACAAGCACGTCGAAGTCTAAAACTATTAAATACCAGCACGTCTACTTCTACTAGATAGTCGAGTGCTTACTGGATGCTCGTCTCCTTTTTTTGTACTGTCGATATTGTACAGGAAAGACACATCTCGCGCAAACCATAATAGCCGCACTATAATCGCCTCCCTCGCCTGCTTCTTCTTAAAGGTCGGCTCTCATTGGTCACTGACTCTGAACGGGAAGGGCCCAGCACCTCTTTGCTTGTTTTCCCTTAGCCTTCCCCTGTTGTTCTCTCACGGGGCCCCTCTTCGATCTCAGTAACCTGTACTGTTCTGCTGGTATTCGGTAGCCCCCTGATTTTGATCATAATAAGGGAAAATAAGTAAGAGGATAATCCTTGTGATCAAATTCAGGTTACCAAATACCGGAAGCGTTCATGACTGATAAGTGAACAGGCCAACGCCTAAACCACTAAGCCAACTGCGCAGTTCGCTTAGTGGTTGAGGCGTTGGCCTGTTCACTTATCAATGACCACTCTCAGTATGTAACCAATGGCAATGGAGTTGGAGTGTGGGCCTTAATCTTCACCGGTGACATTATCCTCATCATACCCGAGGCGGAGATATCGCGACCTCTTCCCCTCATTCCTCAAACATGCGTAGGCCTTGGTCAACTTTTGGAAGATCGCCTTGTCTCCACCGGGTTTGTCTGGATGATGTTGGAGTGATTTGCGTCGATATGCTTGAACGACTTGGCGGTTGCTGCAATCTTCGGGTATATCCAATAGTTCGAAGTACTCAAGACGACGTGAGGACGATGAGGAGGACATGGTTTCTGATTCTGGTCCTGAATATAATTACGTGGAGGTCTTTAGGTTTTTTTATGATGAACAAGATTTGTAGGAGTAGTCGTGTACAACTCACAGTTACTGTACCAGTTCACACTGTACCAGTCGAATTTGGACTGATTTCAGCTACAACTGTACCAGTCGAAATGGGAAGATTAGTTACTCACGGCAACGTCGTCGTAAGTACGTACCGATATCTTTTTTTAGGATCTTCATCTTCATCACAACAGAAGTCATCGGATCAATAAATATTTGACGGTCTAAGAACCTCTTGTTTTCGTTCCTTCTCCTTGTACGACTGCGACGATCTCCTTCACTCGAGTGCTCAGTTCTATCAATATGAATATCACGCTCACGCTCCTTCTTCTTCTCCTGTCAACCGAAATTACTTGGACAATCAAGAATGGACAGAGTACCGAAGTGGTCTCTGTCTCAACTACGAGTCAGGAGGACATCTTCTTCGTCTTCTGAACTCAGGAGACAGTCTACTTCTGAACACTCTGACTATTGTAATAAGTCAGGAAGTTTGAGCTAGACCCTGCTTTCTTGGCAGCACCTTCATCGTCAAATCAAATAGGACATCATGCCAAGAGCAAGATCAAGAACTTCGACACAACTAAATTTTGTTGGCTCTGCTATATAGTGAAGATAGCATGCAGGTGCTCTGTCTTGGTCTTGGATGCATAGGGAAGGGGAAAGGGTCTTGGATGCATAGGGAAGGGGAAAAGACCTTTAATTAAGCAATCTTGACAAGTTCAACCGGGACGTTCTAGCAGGAGGAGGAGAAGCGTGGGTTGTATAATGGGCGGGTAATGCAGTTGCAGGGGTGGTGGTATTATTTAATTACTTAGTATGGTCGGGGAACCATATATTTTTAGACATACTTCAGCCAATTTCAAGGTAGAACAAATGCAAGGTAGAACAAATGAATAAGGATACTGAGCAGAACAAGGTAGTCGTCAGATTTCTTTTGCTCCTAAACCTCATAACGCCAAGATGAGACAAGGACACATGGGATTTTTAATATAGAAAGAGACCTGACGAGAACAGAAGGAGCAGCGTCGTCGTTAGCAGCAACGGGTGCGCCGACTGCGCATCAGACGTTTTGACGATGATCTGGATGAAGGTGGAAGTAGGTGTAAGAGAAAATCGAGATCAAGATGGAAGAATATGGTCAGCACCCACAACACGTAGTTTTGCTACCACAACTATCTTCATTTTCGTTTTCCGGTCTACAAATAAATCAAATCTATCCGTTCGCATTCCAACATCAAAACATTAGCTACTAAGTAAAAATCAAATCAGTAGTGGTAGTACCCTCGGAGGTCCTGGTGTAGTGATATTGAGCGCCAGTAGTTGTCCAGTTTGTGTCGCAAGCGCTGTGATAACGGGGAAAAAAGCAGTTGTCTGCTCTGCTAGAAGTCCATTCATCTCTGCTTCTTGCAGCGCCAAATTCAGTTTCGCCACAAACGCACTCGACGGAGTACGCCGCAGATCGGAGACGAGGTTTCTGTTTATGTTTTGAGGGAGGAACACGAACATTTTCTCCTCACTTTCAATTTGATTAGGTTTCTGTTTAAATGTTGAGAGGGAGAAACATGTTCGCTTGAGTTTTCATTTGATTCAACTACGTACTTGAGAAAGCTACTCGATTGCTCCAACGTCAAAAAAACATCATCTTCACAGAATCCAAAGAAGCCAAGTACGCTGCTTCCCCAACAGACGCGACTGCGACCTCGTAATTGAGACTCAATTCCACTGTTTTTCTAGCCACAGAACTAGCGACACTTCCTGCAGTCGTCAGACTCCTATCGTGATCCGTACGGTGCTCCTTGGCCCTCTGGATAGAAGAGAAGGCTGACGCCTGTTCAACGTCTTGACTTCTTCTTGACGTAGCTGAAGGCGAAGGGTGCGAATGTTGATACAACTGCGCAAGATTTTGTCCTGACGTAGCTGAAGACGAAGGGTGCGGATGTTGATACTGCGCAATTTTTATTCCATCTTCATGTCCAAACAGTAGGCGTTGTGTCTCTATGACAATCTGGTTCATTGCACTTTTTGCAGCAACTGCAGATCTTGAGACTAAACCTTCACTAGCACTAGGTGAGGTAGAGTCAGAGGTAGAGTCAGAAGCAGCAACATGTGCTTTGTTCTCGTCGACCAGCTCTCTTGTCCGGGCAGAAGGTAGAGAAGTACCAGCTGAAGATGAAGTGCCAGCAACGGTTGTTCTCCTGAACATGCTAACACTAGATGCTTGGCTGTTTGTTTGATCGTTGTTCTCGCGGGCTTGTGCATTTTTAGAGGCAGATATTCTTCCAGCAGATGAAGTTGCACTACTAGAGGATGTTTCTCTTTCTCTACTTCTCATGTCTATGTCCTCGTCAGACAAGTATGCCGTAGATCGACTTGCCATGGTACTACCCGTGTTACTTCTTCTAGTAGGAACATTTCCATCAAGTTTTCGCCTTTCGTTTCCGATCCTCCTACTTGCCTTTCCTTCGTCGTGCCCTGGTGCCATTCCTCTGTGGTGCTCGTGCTGTCCTAGTACAACCATGCTCTCTGCCATGTCTAGGTCTTCTTCGCTCATCAAAGGCTCCTCCACGACTGAGATGTATTCACGCTCAAACGCCTCTGGATCCACGAAAGGCGGTAGAGGCAGAAAAGGGTTCTTAGGGTCGTAGATGATCGTGATGAAACCACTGCTCGACGGAGATGTTCTCGATGTAGTAGTAGCACCACTAGAAGATGTTCTTGAGGACGGATGTCCAAATCCATATGGAGTTGTAGAAGATGCCTTTCCTGTTTCGACTAGAGTCCGGCTCCCCCCAAAAGTCTCGACAAATTGCGTCGTGGGGACGATCTCAACTGTAATAAATTAAATGGGCTACCTGCGATCTTGACGAGAACGAACTCTATAATTTTGTAAGTGTATTAATGATGTACTATGATACTATGTCCTTGCGTTGGATGTACAAGACTATGTAGTACGCTGTACAAGATCATACCTACCTTGTTACATAGACTATGTAACAAGGTAGGGATCACTATCAGAAGCTTAAGAACTGTGTTAGTGTTTTCTTGTGCTTGTGGGTACAACGATACAAAGCTACGTACTACCAACTTAGTCGTAGCGCAGAAGGTGCAGGTCCTTAGTGACTTCTTACAACTACTAGATGTTGCTTTTGTTGTTTGAACAACTTCAAATCATGCAAAGTCCAAGCTCAACTACGTCAAGAATGTGATACAAGAAAACATCAGTAACAGTATTCAGAGGTCGAAGTGTACCCATGCTCTTCAGTTTGACTTTGGTGCAGTCGAGCGATATCTGTCCCGCATTTGACCGCAAAGCAGAGCAAGCTCCCTGCTCATAGGCCTTGACGAAGGCAGGATCTGACATATAGATCGCAATCGCCTGGTCCGTAGTGGGTGCGGCGGGTATCCTCAAACTAGCCTCACAGGCAAAGTCCTGCTTCAAACTAAAGTCGTCCGTTTGCGTTGTGGCGTTGGTGGCAACTGAAGTAAACCACGTCTCGGAATTGGAAAATGAAAATATGAAGATACAACGTCCGACTCAGCTAGGTTGATTAATATCGATCATCATTCATTTTCCCAGATGAAACTGCTCTTACTACTTATCTATATTTTCTAATCTTCAGTGATGACGATCGAGGTCAAGAATGTCAATACGTGCCACTTGTGTCGGTCCCCCTCTCGTTGTTGTTGTCGTTTCTGTCGTTAAAGGTGCCGCTGTTGTGGTCGGTTTGTCGGGCAAGGGGGCTGGAGGCGCCTTGGTGACGAAGTCCTCAGGAGTGTAGTCGACCACTGCTGGTGGTATAGTAGTGGTCGTTGTGACAACATTCGAGCCGCCACCGACAGGGGCCATGGCTGTAAGAGTGATAGATTGTTGAGAAGATAGAGTGATAATTATAGATTGTTCTTGAGATAGATGAAGAACTTAGATGAACCACGGACAACAGCCACTAAATCTTCGGTGTGAAGGTAGTAAGTAGTATGAAGATGAACCACGAGCATCAGAAGATACTAGATGTTCGGTGTGATATTTGTGAACGTGTTCCTATATATTCAAAAGAACCTGTATTCTACGATATCGAATACGCTAATCGTAGAACCAAGTCCAACTTGCTCAATCATTAAAAACAAGACAATGTAAGGAGTACTCGTATCATATGTCCCCCCCCAGTAGTCGACTGGTGGTTCCCATGGTGGCGCTAGCGTCACCACCTCCGTCGTGGTAGTTGTTGTGGTCGTCGTCGTCGTTGTCGTCACAACCAAAGTCGTGGTCGCTGTTTGCGTGGTATTGGAAGCATTCCCTGACTGCAATTGTCGTGCTTCTTCCCGCATTAGGATCTGCTTTTGATCATTCACTGGATCGAGGAGGGACTGGACAGAAGGTTCTAGTGTGGCACCAGCAGCAGCAAGAACGAGGTTGTTGCTGTTCTGATTCGATGAGGCACCAGTCGGAACTAAGTCGGTGTTCGGATTCTGTGGGACCAGGTGCTGGAGCTGTTCATGCTCATCTACTACTGGATCATGTTGTGACTTATCGTTGTCACGATGACCTCCATGGCCACTAGTTATTCCTCTCGCTCTCGCACTTGATGTTCCACTCGGTGGGGCTAATGCTTCGCTCTCCTCCGAGGATGAAGACTAGAGTTAGAGGTAAGCTCTTGCGTTTTTGTTACCCGTTTGCTATGCTCTTTCCCCTTAGAAGAGTCAAAGACAAACGGTACCAGAAACGCCAAACGCCTACCCTTAAACGAGTCTTCGTGCATCATGAAAAGGAACCTCAACATTCTCCTCGTCTGGACCCCCCTTCAATAGTACTGATGTTCTTGTACTACTCGCAGCACTACTACGTGACTGATCTGGCGGATCTGGGTCATCCGGTGGGATGGCTGGTCCTCGTCCGATAAGGTCTACTCCTACGTCAGGCCTAACGAGGTTTTTGACAACCTCTACCTCTGATCCAGGAAGAGTAGAACTGGCAGCCTTGGCTGTGGTCACGAAGTAGTCTGAAGTACTGGCAGCCTTGGCTGTGGTCACGAAGTAGTCTGAAGTAGGAGGAGTAGAACTGGCAGCCTTGGCTGTGGTCACGAAGTAGACTGGTGTCAGCACTACAAGTGATGTTGAAAGTGTTCTGCTGAGACTGCCACGATGCCCGCCGCGCGAAGATGTTGAGGACGACATCTTTTTCCAAAGCAAGATCTTCAGACGACAGAGGACCAGCACAGTGAATTATATTATTGTACTCGAACAACTCAGCAGCACCAGGAAAAGAAATTTTGTCTGGTGCTTGTGCTTGTTATCATGGTGCTAGTCAGAGCGAGAGCCTGACAAAACCTCGTCCAGTCCTTAAATATATCTTTCGAGATGAAGAAGGCAACCACAAATTTTGGGTTCTGGAGTACAAGAAGGAAGAGTGAACGACTTGCGCTTGTTCTTGGATGAAGTTTATTGTAATTTTCTTCTTCACAAATTGGAGATATAAATGAAGCGTCTGTACGTACTATTACTAGTACTGTAGTCTCACGCCCAGTAAATGTGAAGGGGTTTTTAGGATGATGGGTTCCATCGGTAGAAAACGAAGGTACGAGTGTTTTCATCCCACCTGCTTGTCAAATTCTGAGAATGGCTGTATTTTGCAGACGCCGAGAAGTTGTAGAAAGTAGTCTCTCAACGATGTTTAAGTTTATCATGTCGTGATAGAAAATAGTCTTTCAACGAATGAGTTTTTAGATACATAACCCAGTCTCGAAGTCCTCGTGTTTCTCTTCTCATTCTCAGTCATCACTTTGTTTTTTTGATTCCAAACACATCAAGAAAAACCCGTTTGACGTTCGATGAAAACGAACACGAAGAAGACCTACTTTTTTCCGAGTTTCTGCTCCTCGTGCGATAGGAAGATTTATCATTATCGTTGCTAATAACGACACGAATCCGCAGCTGATATCAGGGGATCTCACGTCAGCCAGGACGCTAGGTGCGACGGCGTGGCAAAAAGAAAGATACATCCTCTTGGAAACGAGAAACATTTCTTCCTTTTCTTGTCTTTTAATGCATAGACGAGAACTAGAACTTGAAAAAATCTAAAGCACAATGTGTCCCTGTACAGTATTAAAAAATTCATCAGCTTGATAGAGTCCTGTTTTTCCGGAAGGCTATTTTTCAAAAATTCATCTTGATGTATCTTCAGAAAAAAAATATATATATTAACTACCACTTACACTTTGGACAAGAAATACCAACAACGTTACGACAGGACTACTTAGTACTTACACATCTTTACTTCTCTGCTTCCTTCAAGGAACCTTGCAGCAGTAAGAATCTAAATCAGAATGACCGACTCCTGCATGTTATCCACAGGGGCATCCGGGTCAGCCAAGAAGTCCGCATCCGGGTCGCCACGGCTTCGAACGCGAAACGGATATTAGAAAATGTGGATTCCTTAAGAAGTACTTCATAGTTCTATTCTATGATGATTCTATTCTTACTGCAGGTACACGAAGACAAGATGTAGCCGCAGGAGCGAGGATTGAGCACTTCTAATAAGATGGTTCTGATTAAGCACAAGGCGGACCAAGTGGTAACTGTCCTCAGAGGATGAGAATGAGAACGGACGAGGTGAATCCATTGTAAAAAAAAAGCGAAAGGTATGTCAACATCTTCTTGCGTGGTGATGAAGTGGTCCTATTAAGAGCATATCTCAATCTCAATAAGCATCGGAGTCACTCGTCACTTATGGACGAATAACACTATGCCAAAAGCGACCATAGAAAAGCGCTTTTTTGTGCCTTATATTAGAACAGTTTATAAGGGTTCCCAACATGGCTGGGCTGGGCACGCTGGGCACACTGGGTCGCTGGGCGACCCAAATCTGCCAGATCTGCCGAATTCTGCGCCCAGCGTGACGCTGGGCGTCTCCAATTGCGGGGCGCCCTTCGGGCGCCCGCTTGAGAACCCCACCGGTGGCGCTAGTCTAGCGTATGGCAAGGCCAACGACGGCGGCGAGTTTACCGTTGTGCACAGGAGCGGCGCAGCATTGCACGCATCGAGCAGCGCAGTGCAGCGCGACGCAGTGCAAGCCTGAACAGAGCAGGCGCCGCGAAGCCCGCTGCTGCGCAAACTGGCGCAGCACTGCGCCAGCGCTGTCCTGAACCTTGAGGGCGGCGCGCCGCCTTTGTTTGTCCTCACGGGGAGGACGCGCTGCACCGCGTCCCCGCGGCGCAAGTAAATCCATCGGCCGCGGAGGCTCGGCACGCCCAATGTGTGGCCCTCAAGTCCGCTAAGCGCCATCCATGCGCCCGCCCAGCGTGCCCAGCGTTGCCGCCCAGCGTGCCCCGCGTTGCCGCCCAGCGTGCCCAGCGAGGCCGCCCAGCCACCCAGCGTGCCCAGCCGCCCAGCGTCTATAAACTACTCTATTATATATTCGTCTCAGAGTGGAAGCTTTTCACTTTGAGGCGAATATTGCCCCAGTATTCCCTGAACTTTATGTGCGTTTCTTGGCTAAAAAACCACTTTATTTCTATGTTCACTTTATTTGGCATAGTGATAGTGTTATTCCATATCGTCACTACCATAAATCTAATATGAATAACGCAACAAGATAAAGATAAGATCAAGAAATAGAAATAGAAGTAGCCCATAATGATCTTCGTCCGAAGGAGAATCGGTGATATCTTCATCGCCATCATGATAAGCGAAATCGCGAGCGCGGATGGTTCTGTTCGACGACAGTTCTGCAATCGAAGGCTCGTCCACTTGTAGCTGACTTCTGGGCGAACTGCAACCAACACCTTGACAAGCGAAAGTTACCGCAGCGGTGGAACCGGTACCGGGTGACTGTGACTGAGCAGGAGATAAAAAGTTTTGAAGAAAGTATGAGTTTTGAATCTGAAGAGAAAGTAGGTAGATATGATGAAGAAAGTCTATTAAGTTGGTGACTGATCCATCTGAAGCTTAGGAGAACTAGATTCGAAGATAGTTTAAGCAGGTAATGTTGGTACTAGAACTAGTACAACTAGAATTAGTATTAGAAATAGAAAATGATGAATCCAAATATAAAAATTAGACATGGGTTAGGGTTGAGCACTTCTAATGAGTTGTTTCTGACCAAGTATAAGAGACAATAAGGACTAGGAATTAGACATGGGCTGAGCACTTCTATTGAGTTGTTTCTGACCAAGTATAAGAGACTTTAAGGACTAGGAATTAGACATGGGTTGAGCACTTCTATTGAGCTGTTTCTGAACAAGTATAAGAAACATTAAGAACTAGGAATTAGACATGGGTTGAGCACTTCTATTGAGTTGTTTCTGACCAAGTATAAGCGACATTAAGGACTAGGGGTTCTCTTCTTAGAAGAGACTCAACATGCATAAATTTTTATCGGCTAAGAAACAAAAATATTCGTGCATGGGTTATCGGCTAAGAAACATTTACAAAAGGTATGTCAATACTTTTGGCCCCTCGCCTTCTGTGGTCTTTCCTTCAAGCTCTATCACCTTCGCCTTCCACCAAGTTTTGTAGGCCTCAAGCCAGGTCGTCATTGGCACCTTTGCATTGTGCAAGTCGTTCACGCCAGCGATCAGCGTGAAAAACTGCGGAATCTTTGCCTGCACCACGAAAGTGAAACGCGGCAGACGTAGTGAAGATTAGAGATAATGATAATAACGATGAGGAACTTCCTACTCCTAGTACTAGTTGTATTTGTTTTTGATTTTGTAGTATGTGATTAATGAAGATGACCTTCCTAGTACTAGTAGTATGTGATTAGAGAACTTCCTTCTAGTAGTAGTATGTGATTAGAGAACTTCCTAGATGTAGTATGATTGCGTATCTAATGAGTATGAGAAACTTCCTAGTACATACTCAGTATGCACTTCATGTGGTCTAATTCATGTGGAGTGGTGGTCATCAGAGCGGTTCCTGTGGTGGAGAGCTTGTTGGAATTCCAGTGGGAGAGAATAAAATCAAGATTCTTAGGAGTATGAAATATTCAAGCTCAAGTAACAGAGTCAGAATAGTACTAGTAGTAAATAACACATTAACTACATCAGCTTCATCTAGAGGTAGAGCTACTACAGCGAGAGCGAACTTGTTGTAGCAATAGTAAAGAGTTTAGTTTGAAGATGATACATCGCCATACAGTTTCGTTGCTGTTTGGTACTGAAAACGCCTCAGAGTCTGGTATTTGTCGCTGCTTTCCTTTCGCTCTTTTAGGGGTTGGATTTGGGTCTTGAGTGCGGCCAGGTCTTGGTCTGCTTTCGTCTTCGTATCTTCGTTCATGGGTTCCGACGCTGACTCCAATTTTTTCTTTTTCTCCTTGTGCTCATTCTCCAGGAGCGCCAGCTGATTCGTCTCTTCTTTTGTGAGCGGTGTCCCCGCATAGGCCTCTAAGGTCACAACGGGCTCCACTGGCTGGTCTGCCGCAATGCTATTAGAAATGGGCAGCGGCAATGATCTTAAATATATAATACAAAGAAGGAGAAGCCATGGTCGTTTAATAATAGTACTCTCCTCGAATACTATTCAAAGTCCCCGAAGGCTCTTCGCCTTTAATGTGAGCACTAAAGGGCCGCCGCCTTCAATGTGAACACGAAAGAGCCCTCAAGTGGCCGCTAAGGACCCTTAACCTTAAGCGGCCCTGAGTGTGAACACTACAGGACCCTTAAGACGCCTTCAAGGTGAACACTAACGGACCTTCAAGACGCCTTTGGCGTGAACACTAAAGGACACCCATGCCGCCTCTAAGGTGAAGACTAAAAGGCCAACAAGGCTCAGCAGGAGCACCCCCAACAACAACCCCAACAGCAGCCACAACGATAACAACCCCAACAACAGCCAGAACAGCAACAACTACAATGCCAACAACAACAACTGCAACCCAAAAAATAACCCCGACAGCAAACAGATACCACAACAACAACGGCAGCCCCCACAACAGCAACAACGACAACAGCAACAACGAACACGAAGAGACCCCTGCGACGCCTATCATGCAAACGCTGAAAGACCCCGAAGGCGCAACAAGCAACGATAACAACAGCGCCCCCAATAATGCCAACAGCAGCCCCAACAAGAACAACAACAGCAACAACCACCCCAACAGCAACAACCCCAACGAAAGCAACAACAACAGCAAGGCCGACTACAATCACAACCACAACAGCGGCAGCAATAACAACAACAGCAGCAACATTCACAACAAAAACCCCTTCGGCAAAAGCTGTGTGACAAGCCGAGGCCAAGGCTCGCACTACTCTCCAGGCCCCCACCCTCACGACACTGCCCACACGCCTCGATTGCACACAGGAAACCGAACAACACGGAAAGGACAAACCAGAGGAGCGGCAGCCCAGACTGCTCCCCCCGACTCCTCGCTCTCACTACGCGCCCTGCCTTGAATGTGAAAACTGAAAGACAACAAGAGCAGCGCCCTGCCTTTAATATGGACAAAAAAAGCAAGACGACAAGAACAACAAGAACAACAAAGACAACAAGGGCGACAAGATAAGGACAACAAGAACAGCAACAACAAGAGAGGAAAAAGCCACAAACGCCCGCGCCATTTATGGCCGACGCGTTGAAAATGGTGCCCATGGCCAACGCGTTGGGAATGGCTTTCACTTTGGGGGCCATTTCGGGAAGCGAAGGGCAACAAACCACACAAAGACGGCCCCCGCCTCCTCCCACTTCCGCCTGCCGCTTGGCGGAGGGAAGTGCGCGCCCTTCGGGCGCTTGTTTCACCATGTGAAACCCTTCACGCAGGCGCCCACCTTGATTACAATTTTTCTCCCTTCAACGTCTCCCGGGGCACCCCGGCCCGGGGAGTAAAATATAAATACATATTATAATGCGGATGCAAGAACCACGCCGCGACTACTCAGTAAGTGTTTGTCGACACGACCGAAGCGGAGCACATATCTTCTATATCTTTTTTAAACTCGAGCCTTTACTTCCAGTTCCACTTCGACAAGAAGGTCTTCAAGAATCAGAACTTCTCAAAATTAATACCTGTCATAAACCTCACAACTTCGCTCTCCACAGTGTTGCCCCCACCATCCGTTTCAGGTTCCCCCACAGCGTCTAGCGCGCGCTTGACTCCCATGTAGAAATCACGGACCGCCGTTCGCTTTGGATCATTCTTAGAGCAATCGCGTTGCATTTTCCCTGAGAGGACAGGACGTTTCCAGGATGGACGCAGTCAAACAAGATGAATCAATTTAATCCGCTACAGCCTGCTGAACTTTTGGGAAAAGAGGCCAAAGATGACGCTGTTGAGGATGCTTCAGCGGTAGCCTTAACGTTCGGCTTTGAAGAGGCGAAGTTCGCAGCTCCAGTTTTGACGATATCTTTCATCACCTGCTTCGCCGGATCAATCGCCCTAACATAGTGGTCCGATTTTGACCCTTTCTTAGAACTAACTCAACAACTTTGAGAAAGAAGGACGATTCACGATCATTCTCAAAATGAGTCTATCATTCATTCATCATGTACCAAAACCACTCTACATCAATGCAATACAATACAATAACAATCATAGGGCATTACTTACGCCTCTGTATTTAATAGCGCAAAAACAAGTGCTATAAACTTGATTGTGATGTAGAGCTATCTAAAGCAAGTCCAAGTGAGGGCTAGCGCCATAAACTTGGTAGTGATGTAGAGCTGTCGCCTGCCCAATGTCATGAACTGAGTAACGTCGAACTCACCAGCAGCCTTTTCCTTCTCTGCTTTCTGCGCATTTGCTTTTTCCGTTTCCCAGTTACCGTCGCCCGCAGCGGGTGCACCATTAGTAGAGCTTAAACTTCTCACTGCAATTTTTTACTTTTTTATTGCCCTGTTGGCTGTTGTATGTTCTTGATGTCCTACGCATCCTCAGGGGAATATGTTGTGCAGCCACAATGGGACTAAGTACCTAATGGCCTTAACGTCACTAGGTACTATGAAGCCGTCGCGAAGGATGAGGCTGATGATCTCCGGAGACGTGGCATCCTTAGTGCTGTTCCATTCTTGCATTTTTAAATACATTGTACTGCATCTTGAAGTTCTTGATTACAGTCAACATCCCAATGTTGAGGCTCCAGCTCCACACACTGGTCCTATTTGCTTCAATATTCATAATTTCGACTCGAGTATGCTGATAGTGATACTTGATTCAGATGCGCGATCATGATGTCAACTATGCTAAAGATGCTTGACAAGGATGCACAGAAGAATTGCAATTCACATTCAGAGGTGGAGTCTGTGATTCTGATTCATTTTTTGAGTCATGAAAGATATCCGTGATTGATTCATCTTGTTGTTCTTGGAGCCTTAACATGGGCTCCGATAACCGTGGCATCGTCTTTTCCGAAACCAGTGTCCGCATCATATTGCGCAAAAAGCGACCCCGTAGCTGGGATGCCCTCCATTTGCTTTACCAACTCTTCACGTGTGCACACGGGTGTGCTGTTGGGGTAAGCTTAGACATACACATAGGCGGGGTGGAGTCGTCGAAATAAAGATGTTGGTGGAGTAGACGTGGACGACCAAGTTTATCATGAAAAATCGAAGAAATCACTAACGGTAGAGAAAAATAACCAGATTTTTTTGCTTACTTTCGTGCAGCAACTTGTTATAAGAGCAAGTTGGAACGATCACTGAGAGCAGGCAAGCTAACTGCTCAACTGAATTGCTCTGGTATTTGGTAGCCTGATTTTGAACATAAGGAAAAAAGGAAGAGAATCCTCGTGATCAAAATCAGGTTACCAAATACCAGAAACATACAACTGAGAGGTAAACTAACTGCTCAACGTTGTGTATATAATCTATGTCATCTAGATCGCTTTTTGTTTTTACCTATATGTCATTTGTTTTTATTGATATCAACCACCAATAACTTTCAGTTCCTGCATGGGCGACCACTTCGAATATGCGTGAAACTTGTGGCACCAACGTAAAACTTTTCATATACTCTTCGTACTTCTCGTCGTTGTCCGCATTCATCGGAGTGGGTGGCATTTTTGGAAAAATAAATTTCCTGAGTCTACTGTCGCTTCCTGATCTGTTGCGGTTTCCCTTGACATTAAAATCAAATAAGGCGGCACCACCACAGATCAGAAGTCGAGTGATACAGGTTCAGTTCTTCTGTCCATACATCTTTCAAGTAAGCTACTTCAGCACTTGAGACCAGCGCTCCGAAGCCTTTGATATTGCGATCGCCACCGGCTGTGTAGTAACTCGCATCGTTCTTAGAATAGAAAAGTCATGTAGTCGATGTAAGTACTTCTCATCTTGCATATAAGGATGAAAATGAATTATGTGTATATTATCATTGATGATCAATGAATATTCTCAAGTGCAAGCGTAACAAGCTTACGAGCTTCTGCGTCCGGGGCCAATTTAACCAGTTTCGGTTTTCCATCCGTGTCTACAATGTCATCTCTGTTCTCCACCAAACGCGTAATGAAGTTCGTGATGATGGCTGTCATCTCGTTCGGGTTGCGCTGCGTAGCAGAGGAACCTTCACCAGCAGCTGCGGACTGGTCTACAAAAGTTGTAGACTGAGCGAACAGTGACTTTCTCTTGGCTTTGGCGTGGATTTCTGCGCCCAGTATTTGGGTTGTGACACCCTCAGCTAAATTCTTGTCGTAGATAATGTTTTTAGAGCTCGCCCTAACTTTTCTTTTCCTGTTCCCCTTTTCCCCTTGAAAAGGCTCGCCAGGACGATGCTTGTCAAGATGCACCACTAGTGTAAGCCTTAACGTTTCCCAGCTTGTACAGAGGTGCTGCCTCGCCTGCTGCTGGAGCTGGAGGAGAGAAGAGGTTACGTATGTTGGTCACCGCTTCTGTGTTCCAGTCGTCTGCAAAATTTAAGGGTTTTTTTTAGACCTTCCCTATATCCACGGTGGTTTTTGCGGGTTTTTTTTAGACCTTCCCTATATCCATTTCTTCTGGGAGCATCTTCCTTTGACCTTTTAGAAACCTCTTGAAAAGAACCTCTTGAATTTAAAGCCATAATTTTTGTTGCGGTCAGCATTGTACTCCAGTATCGATTTGACACCGTACTCGACGACGAAACAAGGCATGACCGAGTTGTGCGGCTTGCCGTTATGTCTTAGAAGTTAGTAGTCATAGAAGAATATTTTCATAAGTAGATGAACAATAAAGTCAGTATCAACTCGTTAAGCTTCTTGTGATTATGAACAATATGAGGAATATTGAAAAAAAAATTTAAAGTAAGCTTCATCTTGAGTATAAACTTCTAGTGATTCTTATGCTGAAACACCTATACATAGTACAAAATATTGTGATTGTGAATGTGAGACAACTACGAATATAGAAAGAAATAGTCTGGCAATGATTTCTAGAGGTCTTACTACATCCACTACAGTTATGGAGAAAATTAAAGTGAATGTTTAAAGATTTCATCTTAAGTTGTGCTCAAGAGGGATCGCAATTTCTTCGTTGTGGGTGCCACCAGACAAATCGTCTGATGGAATTCCAGGATACCAGTACGCCCGATCAAGAGACGGCTGCAAGCTCTCGCCGTGAAACACACTCATTGTCTCGGGATCCGGCAAGTAGGATTAGAGCTACAACCGCGTCGCATCTTCCTTGACGAGACTCATATCCCTTGACCCTTCTTTTTCCCCTTGAAAAAGAGGCCAAGGATGGCGTTGAGGATGCTTCATCGGTAACCTTAATAGAAATAGGCCGGGTGTGCTTCGTCATTGAATCGAGGATCGTTGTAAAGGTGCTCGTCGCGCCACGTGGTGCGCAATACCTTTACTCTTAGATGAGAAGTTTTGACTTTTGTTGACATCTTTAGCATCCTCTTACATATACTAGAGCTAGACACGTTGAATTCCACTCTTCCATCAGAATGTTGCCACAGCTACAATTACTTCTGCATTGTTGTCATACTCGTAGCTCTTTCTCTTAAGAGAACCGTATCAGTCAAAATCAAATGCGAAAAGAATAGGAATACTAACGAGCTGCTCCGCTTGAAGTTGAAGATGTTCTTCCTGCTCAAGAATATTTATTCTTTCAGGATGTTAATATCCTACTCCATAATTTTCCGTTCTTCGTCGAAACTAGCTCAGGTTTGAGAGTTTTCCCGAGTCTGTCGTTAGCCCAGTTTGCGGCTTTCTTTTGGATCTCTTTTAGAGGCTGCTAGATTGCATCTCGGCCCTCTCATCTTGGCCCCTTTTACCTTGTATTTCACGAGAATACAAGGGAAAAGGGGAACAAGATGCCGAGAATGATGGACACTAAATGTTGACCATAACTCTGCATCCTTCCATGGAGCAACAGCGCCAGATCCTGGTATATTCGCTGGCTTTTGGGCTGTCACAGGTAAACCGTTCGGAGTTATGTTAGAGGCGACGCCTATTTGGCGTTAAACGGTAACTACAAAACCCTTCTAAGTGAAACGCAGCCGTAAATAAACTGGTGTGCTCATCAGGAAGCGTGCTTAATCTTCTTTCGATAATTGGTCGCAGCTTCATTAGCTGGTTCTCCTGAGCAGGGAACTCGCGCTGCCTATTGAGGTTCTTTGTCCACATCTCCGGTTCCAACAGTTCACGGATCAGGCTCTTCTGCTCATCCACCTTCTTAGCCGCAGCAGCATCTTCAGCAACTTCAGCACCATCTTCAGCAGCAGCAGCAGCATTTTCAGCAACTTCAGCACCAATTTCAGCTGCAGCAGCAGCATCTTCAGCAGCACCACCTTCAGCTGCAGCTGCTGCAGCAGCACCATCTTCAGCAGCATCCAAGCCCAACGCCCCCTGCGCTAGAGAGAGCGCTGTGGCAGCGAAGATAATTCCGCGTATTCCGCAAGCCATCTTCTGTTTTTTCATGGTTTCAGGTTCTTTTTCGGTCTCACAGTTAATTGATATCTAAATCTATCCCAAAGTCAATACTTCCTTCCGAATGAGTTTTTAGATACAAAATCCAGTCTCGAAGTCCTCGTGTGTCTCTTCTCATTCTCAGTCATCACGTTGTTTTTTTGATTCCAAACACATCAAGAAAAACCCGTTTGAAGTTCGATGAAAACGAACACGAAGAAGACCTCTTTTTTCCGAGTTTCTGCTCCTCGTGCGATAGGAAGATTTATCACTGTCATTGCTAATAACGACACGGATCCGCAGCTGATATCAGGGGATCTCACGTCAGTACAGTATTAAAAAATTCATCAGCTTGATAGAGTCCTGTTTTTCCGGAAGGCTATTTTTCAAAAATTCATCTTGATGTACTTATCTTCAGTAGAAAAAAATTATATATAATAACTATCACTTATACACTTTGGACAAGAAATACCAACAACGTTACGACAGGACTACTTAGTACTTACACATCTTTACTACTCTGCTTCCTTCAAGGAACCTTGCAGCAGTAAGAATCTAAATCAGAATGACCGACTCCTGCATGTTATCCACAGGGCCATCCGGGTCAGCCAAGAAGTCCGCAGACGGGCCGTCGCCACGACTTCGAACGCGAAACGGATATTAGAAAATGTGGATTCCTTAAGAAGTACTTCATAGTTCTATACTTCATAGTTCTATTCTGTGATGATTCTATTCTTACTGCAGGAAGACAAGATGTAGCCGCAGGAGGAATAGTTGAGCACTTCTTACTGCAGGTACAGGAAGACAAGATGTAGGCGCAGGAGCGAGGATTGAGCACTTCTAATAAGATGGTTCTGATCAAGCACAAGGCGGACCAAGTGGTAACTGTCCTCAGAGGATGAGAATGAGAACGGACGAGGTGAATCCATTCGGAAATCTGCCTCAGATTTCCCTGAGAATGAGAACGAAGTAGGTGAAACTGGAATAAGTGCTGGCACAACTAATGAGCCCACACAAGAAGATGTCGTGATGAAATAGTCCTATTAAGAGCATATCTCAATCTGAATCAGTAGCAGAGTCACTCGTCAGTAACATATTATAAATCTAATATGAATAACGCAACAAGAAGATAATGATAAAGATGAGTAGATCAAGAAATAGAAATAGAAGTAGCCGCCCATAATGACCTTCGTCCGAAGATGAATCGGCAATATCTTCATCGCCATCATGATAAGCGAAATCGCGAGCGCGGATGGTTTTGTTCGACGACAGTTCTGCAATCGAAGGCTCGTCCACTTGTAGCTGACTTCTGGGCGAACTACAACCAACACCTTCACAAGCGAAAGTTACCGCAGCGTTGGAACCGGGCGACTGAGCAGGAGATGAGTTTTGAATTTGAAGAAAGTAGGTAGATTTGATGAAAGTCTAAGTTGGTGACTGAACGATCTGAAGCTCAGAGGAACTAGATTCGAAGATAGTGATCATCGCCCATCGGCTAAGAAACATTTACAAGGGGTATGTCTATACTTTTGGCCCTTCAGCAGCAGGAGCAGCAGGAGCCTCTTCAGCAGCAACAGGAGCAACAGGAGCAGCAGCATCAGCAGCAACAGGAGCAACAGGAGCAGCAGCATCAGCAGCAACAGGAGCAACTACAGGACGAGCAGGAGCAGCAGGAGCAGCAGCAGCTTCAGCAGCATCAGCACCAGGAGCAGCAGGAGGAGCAGGAGCAGCAGGAGCACCAGCAGCTTCAGCAGAGTCACCTACAGGAGGAGCAGGAGGAGCAGGAGGAGCAGGAGCAGGAGGATCTTGAGCAGGAGCAGCTTCAGCAGGAGGAGCAGCAGGAGCAACAGGAGGAGTAGCAGCAGATGAATCAGCAGAGTCAGCAACTACAGGAGGATCTTGAGCACGAGCAGCTTCAGCAGGAGGAACTTCAGCAGGAGCCTCTTCAGGAGCAACAGCAGGATCTTGTTCAGCAGCAACAGGAGCAGCAGGAGCCTCTTCAGTTTCAGCAACAGGAGGAGCAGCAGGAGGAGTTTCAGAAGTAGGATCAACAGCAGGAGGTTCTTCAGCAGGTGCAGGACGAGCAGGAGCAGGAGCAGGAGCAGGAGCAGCTTCAGCAGGAGCAGCTTCAGCAGGAGGAGGAGTAGGAGTAGTAGCAGTAGTAGGAGTAGTAGGAGTAGTAGGAGTAGTAGGAGTAGTAGGAGTAGGAGTAGTAGCAGTAGTAGGAGTAGTAGGAGTAGTAGGACTAGAATCAACTACAGGACCAGAACGACGAACAGCAGTATCCAAGCCCAACGCCCCCTGCGCTAGAGAAAGCGCTGTGGCAGCGAAGATAAGTCCGCGTATTCCGAAGGCCATCTTCTTTTTTTTCATGGTTTCAGTTTCTTTTTCGGTCTCACAGTTAATTGATATCTAAATCTATCCCAAAGTCAATTCTTCGACAAGAGTGAGTTCCTGGTTGAATAGAAACTCATCTGTCTCAACCCGGCTGATTGAACCCAACCGGCTTGTTCTTTTGCAAGTGCAGCTACTTTCTCAGCAGTAAAACTCTTCCTCGTCGTGATCTGTCTTTGTCTCATTTTTCTTTTTTTCTTTCTTTCTTTCCTCTTTTACATCTTTCTCTCTCGCTTTATAGCAAAGAATGTCATTTTTAATGCAGAATTCCATTTGGAACGGCGAGGACAACTCGAGGTCCGAGACGACGTCTGCGAACAAGAAGTAGAAGGTGGAGTTGAAATTGCCTTTGCTATTAGAACAACTACACTGATTGAGAGGCAGAGATAATAGGTGGATGGGATAGAATTATAGAGTCTTGATATCACTTTTTCCCAACATAGTTCGAATGCCAGACAACAAATAACAAGCTTGGAAAATTGTTTAGATGAAGAAGTTGACAGATTTGATTTTCTTCCATCAGAATAGCGGATTTAGACTGGCAGGGGCTCCCGCCTCAGCCCTGCGCGCCCTTTTCTTCTCTTCTCGGAAAATACCGAGGGCATCAAGTTCTAGCCCAAGCTCAGGGACCTCGATCTTCTTTTTTGTAGGGGAAGTTTTTTTTTTTTCCATAGACCTGCATCTCCTTTCGGATACTTTAAATACTTTGATATCTCGATCGTCGATCGACGATCGAATCACAATCTGTACAGCATAAGTACTAAGACTCACAACTACGACACTGGCAATTCAATATCACAAAATAGAGAATGAGAAGTTCTCAGTGCTCCTGTACTTGTCTTCTTTTTGGGGGTCGTGGAGGCGGGAGGTACACCAACTACAACTAGAACTACTACTGAAGTTTCTTTTAGTTGTTGTGACAAGATGATGTTGAAAATAACATACAGACTACAGAACGATATGATAACAACCTTACATCAGCTCTACGTCGTATTGCCCAGTCCAGGAGAGACGAAGCTTTTTGTTCGCCCCCATCCCGCTCCCGCTCGACTGAGTTTCTAAATACTATGAGACTCCAGGCATAGCCATGATAGGACGCATGCAGATGAGGCAGGCCTCCCTGGAGTGCTAAACTCATTCATTCACCATGGCCACCACTGCCGCGCTTTTTTTTGGGGGGCCTGGGTCTATATTCCTCGCGATACGAACATTTAATTACCCTGCGAGAATCCTGAAGCACAACGGCACGCCTTAGTTACGGCACTCGCACAGCGCAACCACAGGCTTTGGCCTTTCGTCCATGCAGACTATTCCTTTTTCTCGACGTGGTGTCCCGGCCAAAGGAAGTGTAGATGTGTGACCATAAAAATAGAATTAGCAAAAATCGAGATTGTAGAAGTGAGCAATGAACGTGTTTGCCTCCTTCTTGATTGTGGTAGTTCGACAGTTCGCAATCCTACTTCAATAAGCAAAGATAAATCCGCGTTTTCGAAAAACCATATTCTTGTTTTTCTTCGTGCTTTCAGTTCTGTCTATTCGGAAATCCTGGTGGAATAGCAATTTTCTCTCAACTTGAGTTTTTTCTCTCAAGAACCCGGTTTCTTTTTTACAAGTAAATAAATACAAGTAATTTCATCTCAGTCGTATCACTCCTTATCGTGGTTCTCCTTCTCCTCCTCATCAGAAAAGAATGGTCTCAACGTAGGATGGAACTCCTCGTCCTCGTCCTGCAGCTCTCTCTTTCGTTATAGCATTCTCAATCTCAACGCGAATAGACATGAATGGAGCAGCAGTGGTAGCAGTCCATGAACACGACTGACAGAGGTAATCAGATCGAACCCGCTACTAGCAATGTGTAGTAGATGGTTCGGAGTCCAGATGTGTAGTAGATGGTTCCGAGTCCAGATGTGTAGTAGATGCCTAGGGAAGAGCAAGATGGAGTGCAGGTGGTGATGTGGATAGAGTCACCTTTTTTTTTAGCAGACATTGTCCAGAATCAGTCAGTGAGGGCTCCAAACTCTACCAGTTTGCCAGTCAGTGAGGGCTCCAAAGTTTGCTTTCCAGGATTCATCAAGACTTTACGACGGGAGTGAGTCAAGTTTTCACATCGGATCAGGAACAATATCATGCTGACGAAAGAAGTGGTCTAAACTACAAACAGGAGAAAGCTCATTTTTAGAAACAAATAGGGATCATGCTGTCTAAGTTTCCAGCTTGTACTTTCCCCCTAAGAGTGAACTTCGTAACGTGTTACTTCGTCCTTCCCTGAGAATCGAACAGCAGCTCCCTTTCGTTTATCATTTCGATTTCCTCCAAGATTCCTTCTAGAAGTCGGAGTAGCCGAGCTCGCATCTCGAAGACTGATAGAAGAACCACTTCTACTACTCCGACTGGATGCACCAGATGAATAGCTATAGCTTCGAGAGGAAGATGATGATGAGTAGGAAGACTCACTGTCCCGGTCCCTTGTGTCACTTTGAGCACGCGGCACCGGTGCTGGTTTACCTTGATGTTGTTCGCCGTCACCTCTTGTTGTACTTTCTCCACGAGGACCTTCTACTTCAGTAGAAGTGGGGGCAAGCGTCGCGATGTTATTACTCGGTAGAGCCTTTCCTTGAGGATGTTGGTCTTCTCCTCGCTTCTGCTTCTGTTTCGTCACTGTAGGCCTTGGAGATGTAGACTGCGACCGCGAACTCCCACTTTGGCTCGACTGCGAAGACGAGGATGAGGTATATTAGTGTTTGAAGATGATACGGCAATCAGGAATCTTTCAATCAAAAGAAAGAGCTACATCCTTATTCATAGTAAACCGGGAAACCGTTTACGATTATCTTATAATCTGATTGTCTTAACTATAGCTGTCATCGCTGTCCTCGTAGACCTCAGGGTCCACGTGCATGATTTTGTTATCGTTCATTCGCACTGGACTAGTTATTTGATGGTCGTTGTTCTTTGCCAACACAGAGGACACGGAGGATACTTTTGATTTCCTACTCGTCGTAGATGAAGTGGTCTTGGTGATTTTCATGTTTCTTGTTGATGTTCTTGAAGATGTGGTCTTGGCTGTAGAGGAAAGGGATGTCCTTGATTTTCTTGTAGTTGGAAATTTTGAGCGTCGAGCTTCACTGTACCCAACTGTGGTGGTGGTGGTACCAACGCCAACAAGACCAAGACTACAACCATTTGGCCCTCGTGCTGTGTCTGAACCTATTGCACCTTTACCTGTTGAAGATCCTCTGTTTGAAAACTCTTCCAATTCTTTTTGAATGGTGTTCTCGAGTTGTAAGGCCGTTCGCAAATCTTGCATGTGCTGACGTCCGTATTTACTGCTATCCCGTTCGTGGAAGGGACCGACGTCAGCGCCAGGCGCTCTGATGTGTACTCCTGAAGCTGACGGTCGAAAAAAGCCAAAGCGGACACGGCTAAGGTCATACTCGCTGTGATCCAGAAACTTTGTTGAGTCAAGAGCAGCAAGTTTTGTGTACCCGGCAGCACTACTTATTGAGTGAGAATAGTGCTGCTTCTTATTCTCTAGAAGTAAAGCAGTACTTGTACTATTTCCTGCGGATGTAGATGAAGTAGATGCAACAGCAGCAGCAGTAGCAGACTGACTCTTAAAATTGGACGTTTCTTCGTGTTCCCTGAGCGCTTCTCTTTCGATTTCTGCAACGCGTTTATCTGCTGCCAAATCATCATCAGGATCATCGAGATGAAGTGGAATTCTAGAAGGAGTGGCCTGCTTTCCTCCTACTTGTGTAGTTTTGCTTCTGTCTCCTTGATATATCCTGTTTTCTTGTTCTCCGTATCCGTTAAGCTGCTGCATTCCTCCATGCTTCCGCTTCCATTCGAACTCTTCCTCTCGTAGCCTGAATTTTCTTAAAGCCTCTCTTTCCAATGCTGGCAAGGAAGAGAGGAGCTGCTCGTCTAGAGAGGCATCGAGTTTACTCAACGCGTCCTCATTTTCCATCTGCTTTTCCATCTGCTCTATCTTACGCAGAAAGAACTCGTTCTCCGCTGTCAATCCAACTTGTGCGGCAGCCGCTTCGTACTGAGCTTTAAACTTGCTCTCCAACAGGCGTTGGTTATCTTTGATCTTGATTTTCTCAAGAAGCAGCTTGTTCTGTTCTTGCTGTTCCTTGGAGAGAGGATGGTCATCATCATCCTCGTTGGCGTTAACGACTGCGTCTTCAGCTTCAGGCGAAGATGGCGATTCTGCGACTTCTGCTTCTTGACCTTCCTCATCCTGCTGCTCTAGTACTTTCGCGTTCTTACCTTCTTCTTCCCCAGCTGCACCACCGTCATCTCCACCAAGAAAGCCGCCTTGTAGCTTACTCATCACATCCGAGAGACCGCCGAGCATAGTGCCGAGAGCTGTGCGCGGTGATCCTCGTGGTGGAGAGAAGTCGTACAAGTCTGCCACTTCTGCTGTACCTTCTTCTTCTTGTTGTAAATTCTGTCTATTAAGATCACAACTGGTATCTTCCTTTCTTCGACTCACTCGTGCCGCTTGATCATGATGGCGATCTTCCAATCCTTCATCTTCGTGATTTTCAGCGTCGTCTGAGTGTGCGCGGCCACCTCCGTGTCGTCCTTGAGCATGTTGTTCCAACTTCTCAGTTGTAGATGACTCCATCTGCTTCTGCATCACGAATTCTTCGTAACGTTTTTCTTGTTCCTTAATTCGTTCTTGGAAAACTTTTTCGTTCTTTGCGATCAAACTTTCCAGAAATCTCAACCTTTCCTCCATCCGACGGGCTTCGGGAGATAGAGATTCTTGTAGATGATCAGCAACAGCACCTAGAGACTGTACTTTTAATACATCAAGGTCATCTTCTTGATGTTCCTCTTGTTCTTGTTCCTCACTTAGTATTTTTTGTTGTGATTCTCCTAAGCCTGGTGGTGCATGATCGACGTCAAATACCCCAGTACTAGAAGTTGTGCCAGCTACTTGGAGGTACTGTTGGTCCTCGTCTTGATCCCCACGACCGTTTTCTTCTTCTTCCTCCACTCTATCAGCGTCAAAGACCTCGAATTCCGCTTCCAACTCTTTCTCCAGCGAGAATCCTGACGTAGCATCCCCAAAAGCACCTGCTTGCAAAGACCCTAGTGGTCCTTCTAAACCAGAAACGTCCCCCAGAGCGGGGACACCTTCCGAATCAACGCCCCTAGTAGAACTGGCTGCGAGTTGCAGTTGCAGATGCTCTTCATGCTCCTCGAACAGTGCAGTCACTGCAGCTATGTCTTCAGCGTCGTTTTCGTCGACAGGACTCAGAGGATAGAGACCACCAGCGACAGCATGATGTTCTCCAGGAGTAGCTGAAGCCGAAGCGCCAATGGCAATGTCCTCTACTAATGTGTCACTGTCATCCAAAAGCCCACGCAGATCTCCAGGCTTAGCATTGGCTAGCAAAGATGAGAGGTCATCCAGCAAAACTTTCTCGCTTTTCTTCGGTTTAGAAGAAGAACTAGTACTAGAAGTGCTAGTTGTAGTTGTTGATGGCATAGGCATGGGTTCTTCTTGTGCTTTAGATTTATTACCGCTCTCCTCGTCCTGGTCCTCCACCGGGTCCAGTGAGTAGCCTTGTTGCTCATGAGTCTTCAAGCGTGAGACGAGTGCTTCCTGGTCGGTGCGGATCGTCGAACCCGAAGACGACATCACTGCGTTTGATTAGTAGAGCAAAGCATGAAAATCAGGTCGGAATTCCAAAACTAAGCCTAAGGCATACAAAACATTTCATGTTGAAAGATCGTGAATTTCTTATTAAAAGCACCTAAGTCTAAGTAACTTAGTACTTAAATCCAAAAAATTGACAACATGATAGACACGATCATGGCAGAGTGATCTAAAAATCTAATCAAAATGTTTCTTTACTTCTACCATCCACCGGCTTCCTCCCCAGATTAACCTCTCGATTCGAGGGCGCATCGATGCTAGTCGCTCCTTCTCTCTGCAGAAGTTCCTCGTTGCGAAGGACTGCCTTTTTCACTGTTTCAATCTCGGACTGTCGTCCAAAACCAAGAACTTTTTTGGAAGACGAGGAGGCACCACCACATTGTTGTGGAAGTGTAGCTGCGCTACTTGTAGTAGTAGACAATGCTCCTTCCGCAGCACTGGATGATGGCGTAGTAGTTGGCTGATTCTTGGCAGTCGTCTGTGATCCTCGAAGGTTCTGCTCATCTACATCAACTTGGGCTTTCTTCTCTTCGATTTTTTCAGCATCGTTCAATATCCTCGTCTCTGCTTGCTTTCTAGTAGTTGGAGGTACGACACTTGTCGCAGTTTCTAAACGAACAGGATCGCGACCTTCTGTTGTAGCATGTTGGACTTGACCTGCCATCTCCACAATCGGCTGTGCCTCTCCAGCAGAAGCAGATCTAGCGTTGGTGCTCTCCGTCTTTTTGGATGCTTTGATCGATGTGCCTGTGCCTGGTGTGCCCGAAGTAGATGAAGGAGGTGCGATTGTAAAGAATTGCTGCAATATCTCTGCCTCTGGTTTCTTAGTGATGTTGTTCTTCTTGTCAGGGACGATAGTGTCAGCGATTGCCATGTCCCTCTTTGTCGTCATCGTTTTTTCATCATCTTCTTCATCCACATCACCAGCATCCTCCTCTTCTTCTTCCTCCTCTTCTTGCCCAGAAGAATTATCTTCCTCGCAGATGTCACGCGGCTCAGATGAACCTCCAGCTTCATCATGTTTTGGGGAATTTCTACGGCTTCTCGAAAGGACCACTTCCTCACGGAACCTAGCGGCATACGTCGCCGGATCAAGAAAGCCCTCTAGTGTGGTTGGATCGCATTCATAGCCATAGGGATGAGGATAAGCGTCGTGGTGATCCTCGCTGTGGAATCCACCAAGGCCAAAAGTATGAAAATCCTCCTCATCATCCTGAATATCCTCCACATCCCCAACCAAGTCCTCCCATCTGCGTAGCCGGTCCAGCAACTGCGCAGCAGAAAGCTTTTCCAGAGGGACGGAGGTTTTTCTGCTCTCTCTACTCCTCTGAACGTGGATGCCAGTGCTGAAATCTAGGTCATCGTTGAGGACGTTGTTCTGAGGGTCGTTGTTCGTCGTGTGAGTGTAGTTATGTGGTCCTCGTCCCCTGTCTAGTTGTTCATCGACATCATCTTGATACTCACTAAGATGTTGATCAGAGATGGATGGAGATGCTGATCTCGTTCTAAGAGTTGTATAGTTCTTTATCATTCGCGGCCTTGTAGCAGTAATTTCCTTCTGCTTTTTTGATCCTGGACGAGGATTACGATTACGATTAGAGGCTGTTTTCATATTTTTACTAGTAGATGTTGGTGTTCTTGCAGAAGTACCTTTCGAAGAAGGCTTTTTACGCGATCGGTCCACCTCCTCCTGTTCAGAAGACAAGAACCATCCTGCAACATTTCGATCTCGCTTAGGCCTACTGCTCGCATCTCTATCTGTTTCACTAGAAAACTCTGCTAGAACGCGCTGTACCGGAGAAAGCTTCTTTGGCTGTCGTGGTTCGTGAGAATTGTGGTCATGATGATGTTGATCGCTTTTTTCCCTATAGAAGAGGGGTATCACTGTATTAGTTTGAAAATGTCCACTTCGTCTAAGACGCAGTAGATCGTCAAGATCTATCAAGTCGTCGGACTCCGAATCCTTGATATTGTGCTGCTCCACCGCCGGTATTCCAGTGCTCATCGGCACAATGCGTAACACCGCTTGCATAAGCCGATCTGACTCGAACATTTTGTTTTAGGTTTATCGGAATCATCTGCCATTTGATTTGGATGATTTGAAGAATATCAATATTTTTGAATGTTTTATTTCACTGGTCGTGTACGTGTACTGTATGTGTAAGATGAAAGTGAAGGCGGAACTCAATCGGAAGTCTATCACAGCTCGTCAAGTTGTCTAATCATTTAACACTAGACTTCCGAAGAGGAAGAAGAAGACAGCATAAATCATCAGTACTGCTATGTTGTGAAGAAATTTGATCACATCATATATTTATATATAGTTTTCACAACACAGAAATGTTGGATTTCTATTTCTCTGGTAAGCCGTAGGCGCCGCCACAAGCATGGATGGGATCTCAGGGTATGCGCATGCCTACTACGACTAGGTTTCACCTCTCTCAAATACCATATCTCGAATACAGAGTGGTCAACATCGTGCTGAGTGTCGACGGAACCACGGACCGATGCTCTCGTTGTAATCGTCTGGTAGCGATGACTGGTTGAACAGTCGTGAGGTGATGGACCGATGCACAAATACACAGAGCAACTGTTGCCACATGATCCAGATACAGGTACTACATAGATTTAGATGGCTCTATACATTCGACACACCGATTCCTGTACAACATGATCGAAGATACCAAAAATTCGTCAGACGTCAGAAATTTGCGTCCAATGAAGAACACCCTCAACAATGAGTGTTGTATCATCTTCATTTTACTTATGTGCTCGAAGAAATATTGTCAATACGAGTAGAGGCATGGAGGAGTTAAAGCCCGTTAGAGCAAGGGTGGGTGCTGCGCACAATCGCTATATTTGGGGATGATCCCTCTCTAAGAAGTTCTTCATCTAGTCGTTGTACAGGTAAATCTTCTAAACCCCACTGGATAGCCAGTTCTCTTTTCCGATCGGCTGATAATGGTCTTCGTGATGCAGTCGCTTGCTGTAAGAAGCTGCTTGACACATCTTGTATTTTCAGATTTCCTCCTCCCGGAGCAAATATTAGAGGTAGGCTTTTGGTGCTTGCTTACCCCGCTTTTTATGCCGTTCGCATCCTAAGGGAGAGAGGCGTAAAAAGCGGTAAGAAAAGCACCTTTAGCCTACCCTTAAAAATATGTCCGCTAGCAACACGCCAGCTGCTACAGCAACATTGAGAGACTCACAGGCTCCGTTCAGGGGATAATGGACACAGCGGTCTGCCAAGGCGAGCATTTCCGGAGAAACTCCGCGGCTTTCACTACCCAGGACAAGGAATATTCTCTGGGGCTTGGTAGAAACACTAGCGGGTTGTATAATTAAAGGTTGAAACATTTCATTTTTTAGTAGCAATCTCAAGTAGCGAAGGCTTGTAAAAATGAAATGTTTCAAGAACCCTTAATATAAGGCTTTTGATGTTTCCATTCTCTTGTGCTGCACACCTGTAGTCCTTCTGCTCGATATCAGGCGGCAAACATGTAGTTACCCAAATCTCCGCACCTTCGTCTTTACCAATTGCTCGAGCCTGTTGTTCGTTGCTCCTCGTCCACTCTTTTCTAGTCGTAGTAGAGCCGTCCTCCTCCTCCCTGTTCATCTTTTTCACTTCCCGATAAAACTCGTGTAAATTTCTAAAATGCCGCAAATCCACGTACTTCTCAGCACCCCTGGAGAGGTTCCGAGATGATAGCTTCTTACTGACATCAGTGCGACAGGTCGGCTCTGTATTCACTGTCCAGACTTCTTGTAACCCGAAAGCGTCCGCAGTGCGCAGTATCATGGACACATTCGCACCATTAGAGGTACATTATTCTTGGTGTTCGCTATTACTTATCCCGCATTAGGACGTTTCACTTGAAGATGCACACGACGACCAAATAAATACACGCATGAAGAACAAAGATTGTTCATCTCCTTATGGCTCCTGGGTCCCTTAGGAGAGCAGCAGCAGCCATAACAAAACGTAACAAATATTAAAGCACCTTTATTAACCCCCTACCCTTAACACTATTTTGGACGTTCTCGAGCACGAGGGTAACATCCTTAGTCCGGGACTGGACCGCTTGATGGAGTCTATGTTGTCTACTGGAGGTAGTAGATGTCGCGGCAGGAAGATGTTTGGAAGGTTTGATAAGAGCTCTCTCTGTGGTGGCGTATGTGCTGGAGGATAAGGGAGATACCACCTCCATCGAGGTACTCGAAGAGGATGGACTGGAGCCGACTTGTATCTTCTGAGACATATTGCTATTGGACTCAGACTCTGGAATATGGTCAGGATCGGAAGAAGAGAGACAGGTGGAGGTCGTGCCAGGAGCTCCTGACAGTGGTATTAACGTGGTAAAGGTGGAGGTCGCGCCAGGAGTTCCTGACAGTGGTGACGACGACGTGGTGTTCGTAGATGAGGTCGTAGTCCTCCTAGTCGACGTAGGAGATTCTGTAGAAATAATTGTGGGAGACGCGGCAAGGCTCATGGATTGGTGCGAAGATTTTGTTGTATGTGTATCTCTTCCAGGACTGCTCACCTTAAGAGCTCGTCCATCAACTATATAGTGTTCATGATCTTCCACAGCATGTCCTGCATCTCCAACCCCATCAAGGGCATCCTCGTCAAGAACTCGAATTCCATGCATCCTCCGCAGCTCCCTTGTCCATTGTTCTAGTCTGGCCCGCTGGTTCCTAGTCCATACACTCGTCCCCTTGGCATTTCCGTGGCCACGGACGACACCTTCCAGTTGCTGGAAAGTGGAGTGTAGCTGGTGTGCCACAGAGGATGACCCGGATGAGTTGGATGTTCTAGCGTTGTTGCTCCCAGCGCTGCCGCTGTTGTTCCCAGCACTAGATGAACCAAGCAGGATATCTCTGCGTGGGGCCAGATGACGCCACACTAACTCGATGAGGGGCCAAGTGGCATCCTCTAAGGATGGCGATCTGCTGAAAGTGGAGGACATGTTGTAGTTTTTCGCTTTTTTCTTTATCAAAGTCAATTCAACTAAGCGCTTTTATTTCATCGCCGTCAACGACGACGACCAAGACCATGATATCCCATCGAAATTATAATCAAAATGAGTGACTGACGCTGCTATTATCTTTCACTTTCTTCCCGCATCGTTATAAAAAGCTGGTGTTTCATTTTTCCGTCTCTCAACTTGATGTACTTAAGTGGTCGTGAGTGTCAGTGACAACAACGACAAGCCGTGAGTGTGACTTCCAGGTTTCATTGTATTTGTAAATCACTTCTCCTTCAAGAAAGTAAGGCGCTAAGCTCTTTAGTACGGATAAGTTTTTCAATTCAACGGGAATTTGAATTCAAAAAGACGAAGATCTAAGTCAGAGAAGAATCGTCATCATGATCGTTGATCAGCTTCATGTAAGCATTTCCACCACCTCATGTAAGCACTTCCAAGATGACCATTACATCGACGGATCACAGCAAAAAGCACGTAGTAGACGTAGATCGAACAGAGAAGGCGTGAACAAGAAGATGAATTGCTCTTCTTACATCAGGACAACTTGAAGGTTTATCCTCTTGTACTTTCTTGTATTTTCTTGTATTTTCTTGTATTTTCTTCTTCTTCTTCTTGTTCTTCTTCTAGTTTCCTCCTTGGAGAAATTTGCTGAAGAACAATCAAAGACAAAGAAAAAGATTCTATCGATATTGAATATTTTGCATGTTATGGTCCACGTGCACCTTCGCGATGGATAAGGTAGTTCAGCACTATGTACTTAGGTATATGATGCGTGTTGCAGTTTAAGAAGAATCGTCATGTTGACCAACTTGTTTGCTCGTGGTCTCTTGTATTTGTTGTTAAAATAAAGAACTTATGCTTAGCTAATGTGAAAAAATCGACAATGAAGTTGCCGTTGTGTCTCTTGGAACGAAAGTCGGAAGGTGTTCGCTACTTCTAGAGAATCTGAATCGCGCCTATACTTCTAGAGAGTTTTGCTGATCGTTGGCTCGATGTGCAGTTGTTTTCCTTTATTCTCGCGAAGACTTTCGTGTGTCAGTGTATCAAATCATGAGTAGTTTCCATTTCAATAGACACGTGAAGTATGCTAATGTCTATCATGCTTTTCTGGTCAAAATCATCGTCTTTCCTCAATGTTGTGGATAGTCTACGACTTTTTCGTCATGCCAGTCCCTTCCACGCGTTGTGCTAGAAATCGTTCTCGTGCTAAACCCGACGGAATTGTTGCTAGTTCTAAATATTTTGTTAGTTGTGAAGATAAAAAGAAAAAACGATACGTATTAAACCAACGTGTAAAATAAAAGGTAATATCTGCTTTTTGGCCTTCGCTTTGGTACATCGGTTCCGAGGCTCGGTGTCTCTGCTGCAAAACTGGCTGTCTGACCAACAAGCTATCATTTTTCGTAAAGCAGCATGTTGCATGTGCTGCTGAAGTTCATAGAGGCAGTGCTCCAGAATTAAGGCGATCAGTGAAAAGACTTGGGTTCCTCTTCACAACTATCCTCCAGGCTGATTGTAGCCCAGTAAGGGAGGTACCCTTGGCCCCCGTGGGGCACCACCACGATCCTCAGACGAGGCTTCTTGATCGGGGTCTCTAGCTGTTGCAGGAGGCAGATAGCCTGTGGGATGATTGATTGGCGGGACAACAGACGCCGGTCTACCTGCGCGAGAAGCAGTGCAAGGCCGATCACGATCTCGACGATCTGACGGAAGTTGTAGTTGTTGTGGAGAGCCTGAGACTGAACCTGTTGTCGGTAGTTCTAATCCTGCTGAAGCAGACGGACCAACTACTCCTCCAGGACTTGTCACACTTACTGGGTAAGGGTAAGATCCGCAACCATGACTGGTCTGTGCTAGTGTGAGTTTGGGCAAGACAAGACTCACCACATTACCTAAAGCAGAAGAACTTTCCGAGTCCTTGCGGTTTCTGTCGTCCTGTTCCTCAAGGATAGCAGCATAAGGCGTACTCGCTCTAGCTGCAGGCCACTGTTGTGATTGATTCTGGTATGGCTGATCGCTTCCACCACTACCAGCATTGGCCCTACCACTGCCTGAACAAGCACCAGCACAACTTTTCCTACTGTTACTAGATGCACTTGCACTACCAGTTGTCGCTCCAAAAGGTAACGGCCGACTTCGAGGATGTTGCGAAGATACATGCAAGTACTCCACATCATCGCCGTCGTCGCTTTCATCACAACTCTCGTCATCGTAGAAATCAACACGCTTTTCGGATCCAGCAGGTAATCCTCGAACTACATGATCTTCAGGCAGAACATGAACATGAACATCCTTGTTACAACTGGGACCTCCAGCAGCCGGACAACTGGGAGTAGATCCAGCTACAGTAGCTGCAGTAGCAGTTAATGTGCAAGAACTAGAAGTAGGATCATCCCGTCTATGGCCTAGTCGTGGAGCGCTAGGTCTCGCGGATGCTCCTCCAGAGGCACCAGGAGAGCTGTGGCGTTCTACGTCTAGGAGTCCTGGACTCGAAGGAACTCGAAGAGTTCGAGTTGTGATGTCTGAAATTGGTCTTGGTGAGGGCTGCATGGTGTGTAAAGCTGGAGAGCCTCTGTGTTGTATATCCCCACCTCCTGCTGTTGTACCGGGTACTGTACTAGTACTAGCATGAATGCATGAGGGTGGTGTCCTGCTTGTTGCTTCAACACGCGGATCTAGACCACGCGGTGGCTCGTCCTGTGCAACGACCACACCAGGTAGCAGATGTTGGTCAGCGTCAACCTCTTGATGTCCACCGTCTCTAGCCTGACAAACAAGATCGTCGTCTCTAGTCTGCGTACGTGATCCTGTTCCTGTGCCTCCAGTTGATGATGATACTAGTGTAGTTACTTCGACTTGTTGGTTAACGAGGTTTAGCTTGATGTCGACACCGTCGTATGGGTTAGGTGGACCACTTCTTGTTGTAGTTCCAGCTTCACCTATTATTTCCTCGCTGTAGTTTACTACACCTTGTCGACTCTTAGGCCGCTTCATGACTGAGCAACAAGGTGGTACAGCAGGTACTGCTCCTTCTGTATAAGAACCTGTTCCGCCTGTGCCTCTTCCTGCTGCACCACCTGCACTAGTTATCCCTCTTCCTGCTCCTTCTTGACCAGGACTAGTACAACTAGTAGCAACGACCCCCGTACAACTTCTAGGCGAGAGTACTGATATGCCTCCACCTCCACCAGCTTCTCCTACTTCATCTCGTCTTCCTGAAGTTGAAGATTCAGCAACAAGAACAGTCTGATCACAACCTCCTAAGTCAGCACCTGAGTTAGCATTTCGTAAAAAGGAATCGATTTCATCCACCATGGCTGCTGTGCCTTGACGTGAAAATAAGGCAGTGTCTGAATCCCTCCTAGCACTACTTCTAGGAACTGCCGAAGACCTTCTAACTTTCGGTCCTGTGTGTCTTCTCAGTTGTGACGTACTCGTTCCTGGATTGCTTGTTCTGCCACTGCTCATGCTACCCCCGGAACCTCCTGCACCTCCGCATATGATTTGATTGTGATGTCCCCTCCCGGTCCCGCTAGTACCTGGTACATTTATTTCTCTACTTCTCCCTGTTCCAAAAATTGCAGAAGTACTAATACCTTGTTGTTGAGGACTGTTGTAAGGACTACTTTGAAGATGCTGACGTTGTTGAGGTCTATTTCTTAGATCTCCTTGACCTAGTGAAACTGGCAAGTCCATACCGCCACGGGGCCCACTAGCAATTCCTCCAATGTGCTCCTTTATGTGCTCCTTTAATATGCCTGAAGGCATGTGCTCCTTTAATATGCCTGAAGAAGGCATACTCCTAGTTCGCATTTCCGCACCTCCACCCACTCCTACTCGTCCCAGTGATGATGTACTAGCACTGGGTAGAGAGTTGTGCGACAAGCCTAAATCATCAGAGGTACTCCTGTCTAGATGATCTTGAAGGTTAAGTAGTAGTGGATGAACTGTCGGAAGGCTGCCCAGAGTTTTGGAGCGTCGTTCCCCTCTTCTTTGTGCTGCAGGTGGCGTGGGAGGGCGGGGACGGAGGTATATCGACGCCCTAGTGGTTACGGTCGTGTTTGAGTCATCTACTGCTGGCGCAGCCATGGCAGACGGGACTGGTGACGAGAAGGGCGAAGACTCTCCTACTGGGTAGTTGTTAGACGTAAAGAAAACATTAGTCAGAAATTGAAATTCTGAGTGAGAATCATTTAACACAGGGAAACAACTCCGTTTTCGTTTACATCTTCAAGAATTGCTCAACAGCTTTTTTCTTTCATTTCATGGGCGCGACTCCTTCTCCCCATCGCTGGGCGTGGTCGACAAGAGCCACAAAAAACGGCACACCAGGCAGACGAGTCTGCCATGTGGAACCGAGTTAGACTTCTTATTCTATCTCTATTTATCAACAGTTCGTTGCTCATAACCATCGCAGATAACCCAGGTGGCGGCGTTGTGGTAGTGCTCGTCGTATGTAAGACTGGCGATGCTGTTGTACTCTCTGTCCTTGTACTCGACATCTTCTTGCTCAGAAGAGCAGGAGATGAAACTGAAAGATGTGATGTTTGATCTTCGACATCATTATTTGACACTCCACCTATCATGATTCCCTTTCCTCCAGCAGCACTACTGGTGTTCTTCGTCGTGAAACCTTGTCGACCCTCCAGATAGAGTTGCAAATAGCTTGTTGTATGATCCTCGCTTGTTGGAGAAGCTGGCAATGCAGAGGAAGCGGCAACTTGGTCCAGCTGCATCGAGTGGACCTCACGTTCTGGCAGCTCTTGTTCCTCCTCCTGTGCATGAGAGAATGGATGCAGTCCAGGTCCACTCTTAGACCTCTCACCTGTACTAGTTGCATCAACGTCGACACCAACACCACGTTCATGCAGCACAGGAGATAGTTGCACGACAGGATGATGTTGGGGATAGCCTAGTAAACGTTCACCTCCACTCAGTGGACCACCACCTCCTCCTCCATGTAGAATGGAAACATCTTCCCCAATAATGTCTTCGTCGCTAGCCTTCCGTATCATGTCCAGTAAGGCCCGGCTATCAGGTGAGCGTGGACTGGCAAAATGATTCACGTAATTTCCTCCGGCATGGTCGACCCCAGGACCCTCAACGGCATGGGGCTTCTCCCTACTGGTATCCAAATACCATCTCGGTTCATCGTCATCATCTGCTCCACATGCAGGTGACACTACCACAGGAATCACAGCCGATGAGGGTATTCTTCTAGATCTCGTGTCTGAAGATTGCCCTTCTTCTTCAACTATAGGAGTTGTGTGCTGCGGCCGCTCAGGACCTCCGACCTGATAAGATTGTGAACCTATCCGATAGCCCCGACTCGTTGTTGTCGCAGCAGTTGTCGGGATGCGATTTTAGAAAGATCATACTTGGAAAAATTCGCTTCTTGTAATCGGGCTGGTGAATGCCAAAAGATGAACTAGAACTACCTTGGAGGAATATTATTTACCTTCCTCAAGAACAATAGACTCTGATTCACGAATCGGATTTGGAATGGGAACAATAACGGAGTCAGCACCGCACGATTAAAATTAATGAGTGTCAAAGTCAACATGAACTACATTGAACTTCGATTAATGAGTGTCAAAGTCAACATGAACTACATTGAACTTCGATTAATGAGTGTCAAAGTCAACATGAACTACATTGAACTTCGATTAATGAGTGTCAAAGTCAACATGAACTACATTGAACTTCGATTAATGAGTGTCAAAGTCAACATGAACTACACACATGAACATGATCAATCATGAGTGTCAAAGTCAACATGAACATTCAACTTGGCATAATAGTGACCTGTGATGGTCGAAAATTGTATAGTTCAGGAGAAAGTAACAGTAACTACGAGGAAACTTACTTTGTAGCTCCTGGCATATAAGTAACTTACTTTGCTCCTGGCATAATAGTGACTGCTCCCGCCTGGTAGCACAAGAGACTGTGGAGGAAGATAAGAAGTAGTGTTTTTAGCGTGACTCCTAGAAGATCCAGTTGCTGCGCCAACTGTTCTGCTCAAGAGTGCTTGTGCCTGCGAAAACAAAGACGGCGTACTTACTGCGTTAGAGTTTCCTCTGTGCAGGCCACCTATAGCACCGCCTGAGGGAGACTGAGGTGAAATGCCAGCGCCGGCACCTCCTACATCCGAGGTGGACTTATCAGTCGTACTTGAACAGGATGAACTCATTAACATCAACTCTGGCCCTCCTGAAAGAGAAGATATCTCTCGGTCTACTCCACTCCCTGTTGCTCCTCCACTGCCTGTTTGAGTCCCACCAAGAACTAGATGTTCCCTCGACGGGCCTCCTCGTGTCGATCCTAGTCCCGCAGCTGCGCGAGCTCGGCTCGGTCTGGTTCCGGCTGAGGTATAATTTGTTCCACACGCAGACGACGAGGCTCGACTTGATGAATTAGCTGGAAGATAAACTACTGTACCACCGCCGCAACCAGGGGTCTGGATTATTGTGGTACTAGCTAATGGTGAAAATGGTAATGATCCACTAGTTTGTTGATGCTGCAAAGATGAAGTACTAGGATCTCGATCCTCGTCTAGTGGAGGATGTCCTTGAAGACCAATGATCGGAGGACTTGGTGAAGGTGAACTAGAACTTGCCATCGCGGTTGTTGAGCCACAAGCTGTTCCCCTAACCATCATCAGCTCTTCTCCCGCAGCTTGCGCCTCCAGCTTTTCGATCAATGGGCCCCATGGTGAAGGAGCTCTTGGTGGCAGCATGGGCATACAAAAGCCAGCATTTCTTAGAAATGAGAGGGGCCGCCCATCTTCAGATTCATTCCCGTTTTCCCTTTAAAAACGGGACGAAGAAGATGCTGGGGATGAAGATGAGTTTCCTTCTTGATCTTGTAGCCATAAATTTGATGTTGAGCCGCCACTCGTGATACTCCTCGCTGGCGATCGATTAGCTCCTCCTTGCTCGCTCGACGGTGCTGGACTCGTTGGTCTTTGAGAAGCTGACATCAAGGACTGCCGTGAGGAACCGGGACGATCTGAATAGTTTGCAGCATTATTTGTAAGCCTCAGTCCTTCGAAATTTGCCATCGTGATTTCCGCTAATCCACCAGCACCTGCTGGATACAATGGTGGTGGATTCGTTGCCGGTGGAAGCGGCATATTTTTACCCATAGTAGCAGCACCAGAAGACGAACCTCCGCCACCAGCTACCATGTTTTGCCCTGCTGCGCACAAAGAGCTAGGCGTATTACTACGTCGTAGATCATGCAATCGCGGTCCTTGTCGATTCGGTGGCCGTTCTAGCAACCCTGGCGTCGATGCCTGACTAGAGGAGGCAATAGAAGGAGTGCCACTACGCAAATGTCCTGCTAAAGAAGATGGAACAACAGGAGCTTGAACATTGATCGCATTTGGGATATGGAAAGTGGAGGTAGTTGTATGCTGTTGCTCTCCTGGTGGTCCGTTTCCTGCTCCTGAAGGATTATTCGCTGCGAAAGCTAGAGTCTTCTTGTACACCAAGAGGAGCTGTATGATCACTTTCAAACCCCGCAAAAGACTTGGTAGAAGTCGCCACTGTGCTCTGCTGCATCTCCTGTCGAGGACGAGCTTCTTTCTCAAAAAAGAGAAGCTCATCTTCGTCCACGTAGTTGACCACCTCTTGGGGATAGCCGTCGTCATCGTCCTCGATTCAGGAGTTGAGTAGATCAATCACGCAGTTTTGTCGGAGTTGGAGACCCTCAGCTGCAGCGGGTAAGACAAGGATCAAGGCAACATTGTGCGTTCGAATTTCCAGCAGTCTACGGGCAACTTTGGTCATCTTGTTTGATGTCATTTGCGTATTATAGGGGTGGTCGGAGATCAAGATTCTTATACAAACATCTAACTACTTATGATTACTAATCAGTATGCATCGATCCGGGCTGGCGTATCGTGCTGCAACACGAAATCACCAGTTGTAGCTAAAAATGCTTCAAAAAAAATATCATTGGATACAGATACTGGTGTGGAAATATCAATTGAATATTCTGCAGAGTGAAGAATATTCTGGTGGGGAAATATTCTGCAGAGTCAAGGGATGAGGACTGGTGGCAGGTATTATTGAGAACTATGACGTTGACGCGCAAGAAAGAGTAGCACAACTACTTCTAGAATGCAATACAATTAATTTCGCACAGAATTCAGTGCAGACTGCCGCACGGTGTCAGGCCATAGTGTTCCGTCACGATGACATTAATCCCACGAGTTTGTTTTTGTTTTTGTTCGCAGTCATGTGCTACTGCTAGTGCAGCTAGTAGTATTCGCCGTTGCAGATACATGATTATGCTGAACATACCAGCAGCACGTCAATGTCAGAAAGAAATGTAGAGATCTATAACGCATCCTCGTTAACATTGTTCGGTTTGCTTCTCCTGGAACATCTTGTTCGCTCTTTCCTCGTATTTCAAGTCCCCATCGACTTGTCTTTCTTCACGATACGAATCGCAGAATCAGTACCTTCACGAGGACTATGTTGAGAATCATGCAGACTACCATGTGACTGAATGCGAGTCTCCATCATGCATGTTTATCATGTGACAATGACAGTATGCACTACTTGAGGTAACAAAGCGTAGTTCAACAGGTATACAACAGAAACTTGGTGAAAAGTCATACTTGACAATGAAATATGACCATGAGAATCCATCTTCACGCGATATGGCCTCCATGAGAATGAATCAATCACCTTCGCGAAGCAATATGACGACGAGAATCAAAACTTCTTCCCTTCAGCGAACTTGCGGAATTGTGGGAGTAGCTTCTCCGCATGGACTACCCCATCCTCGGATGCGATTGCGGGTAGTTGTTTCGATAAGCAGCCATAATGGGCCTGCAGTGCGTCACTCACGTCACCAAAGTGTTCGGGGTGAGAGAGATACCTAGGGTTGTATGAGGGATAAATGATACCTGAATATATATAGAAGTCATGAGTATGAGGGATAAAGGTGACGCTGGAGAGCTACAGTTTTAAGTGTACTGACCACTTCTAGCACATAGAGGTCATGATGACGGTGTACCTGATTATAGAGGTCATGATCACGCTGGTGACATAAAGGGTATGATGAAGTGGTAGTCGAAGCGGAAATGTTGATCTTCGACGATACCATTTCACTGTTTCTGCAATCCCTTCCTCCCAACTAGTCTGCACTGACCAACCCAGAGCTTCGAGTCTCAAGCTCGTCGTCAAGTAGCTTTTGTCGTTGAACGCTCTGTCCTTGACATACTGGAAAAACCTAGGATCTTTGAGATCCACTGAGTCGACGCTGTCTGCTTTGCCCAACGCAACCAAGACAGACTTCAAAACTTCTAGGTTGCTCTTTTCTTGCGGTTGTGAGATGTTGTAGGTCTGAAAACACTCGCCTTTTCGCATTATCACGTCAAAAGCGTTGACCACATCCTCGACATAGAGAAAACTACGGGTGTTGAGACCTGGATCATCATTGAAGGGATCATTTTTATGACAGTCGTGTATTAACAGGTGCAGTAACAGGGCTCAGAGAGATCATTAACATTATACACTATGACGAGTACTAGACCTAGATCCATTTTTCCATCGCGAAAGGGAAAGAATCGTGGCAAGTACAGATCCATTTTCTCATCACACACTAGGAATAAGTAGATTTACCATCTCCATGTACTGGAAAGGCCTTTCCCTGCGAGAACAACGCTATAGACTTTGGTATAAGTTTTTCTGGCCACTGAGAAGGTCCGAAAACGTTGTTCGGCCGCACCACTATGCTTGGTAGGCGGAAAGGGAAATGAAAGAGGAAATATCGAGGAGAAGCTCAAGGGGTGGTAGAATTAAACCTGAATCCTAGTACTGATTGTACTCGCATAGCAGAGCCTAATCAAGATTTCATGAACAAGATACTATAATTTGACTACCAAAAAATATTGAAAAAGTTAGGATCATACTAACTTTTTTAGCAGCGATTGATTGGTCATCGACAATCACTCAGCATAACTAAACGAAAACCCTCTGACCAAGCATTCTGCAGCAGCCTTGGAAGCCGAATACGGGTTCGTTGGGACCATTTGGTCCGTCTCAGTGACCCTTCGATTTTCATCGAAGCTCAAGTCTCCGTAGACTTCGTCGGTTGAGACATGGATGAAGCGCTCGAGGGTGTGGTATGAAAGGGGCAAAATTTGATTATGGCAGTGATTGAGATCGGAGAAGATGTTGGGGATTAATAAACAGAACTGACAGGAGGCTTCTACAGCGTTACTCGGTGATGCTGCCGTATCCCATTGCAATGTCTGGAATGTTGCGTTTGCGAAGCATTGTCCTCACAGTCGTACTTTTAAGTGCAGGGTATCTATCTAGACACAGCATAATTATCTTTGTATCTATATGTATGAATATATTCATCCTGTAAGTACATAGTATCTAACCCATTATCCTCCTATATCTTCTATTCAACATCCAGTCATAAATGACACCTGATAGCCGCTTCCATTATCCTCCTATATCTTTTATTCAACATCCAGTCATAAATGACACCTGATAGCCGCTTCCAGCAAGACGTGAGTTCCGTTCACGTTCGTCCGCACGAACTCGTCACTGTTGGTGAAGGACCGGTCCACGTGTGACAAAGCTGCAAAGTGGAAGACGCAGTCGAACCTGTGCTGTTCGAACAGGTTTCTGACCAAATCCCGATCGCATATATCGCCATGCACGAACCAGTAATTCGCGCAGTCTTCTGCCACATCCGCTATGTTTTTCGGGTTCCCGCAGTAGTCGAGCTTATCCAGATTGACGAACTTGGTGCGGGGATACGTGTGGACCAGATATCGCAGGACATTGCTGCCTATGAACCCGCAACCACCGGTGAAGAGTACGCGTCTGGGGATGAACTCTCCCGAACTGGAAGTGGATGGCGAACTTGACGTTGAGGTCGTGGCAGTAAGAGGAGCACTTTGATGCGGAACAAGATCTTCTTGAACGGTTACAACAGCAGGAGCCTCCATTTTGTCGAACACCGCAGAGCCACTGGCTCTACTGCCTGCGAGTCCGAGTTCGAGAGGATCGTCCGTCAAGAGGAAGAGTAAAGTCGATGTTGAAGGTGCGGCTTCCGTAGTTCTTGTCGGAAGGAAAAAATCACTACCACTTGATCTTGAATCTGAGCCTATAGGTTTTTGAGCCCCTTCGCACGGAGTTGCCGGTGCCATTGATGTACCTTCCTCGGACTATGTGTGGCGCTGGAGCGCAGCTGAAAGAATTTCATGGGCACCAACCACGTCGAACCCAAAAATGTATGAGGATTACGAACGTCAACTTCTTGTCCTCCTGTTCGCGTCGTCACGATACATAACAAGTACACGGGGCACTGGCATCCTCATCGTGTTGATCACTTCATCTATCTTCATGGTACAAGAAGTATTTTCAACATACAGGCGCGGCTGAGCTCTTATATTCGTAATTATAAATCGTAATCGTACTACTTCAACGACCAAGTAAATAACTAGTATAAGTATTCAAGTCTATTCTCATGTAAGTATCTCGATGGATATTCTATTAATTCTCTTCTAGTACTACATATTAAGGACTATGTTCCTCTTCGGATCCTGGACAATGCATCAAAATCACTCAAAATGATGATCCTCTTAGTGATCGAAAATGGTAACCTTGATTTCCTGGAGGATCTGTACCTGTACATCAACGAGCAACAACTAGTACCTCTCTGAGTTACACAGCTTCCTCAAGATCCCTCTCGTCAACAAATGTCTCCACTCTTTCACAAGACTCTCTCGCATATCTCGTAGGCCTCGAAATAATGAGGTCTCGTGCGTTCCTCTCTCGTTTCTCTTAGTTGAACCACGACCTATCGTAATACAAACTCGCTGTAATGTTCTTATGACGACTACATGCGTCGTGCCTACTTCCTTACTGGTTGCTCTGTGTGAATCAAGGTCAAGAGTTATGTTCATTCTTTAGTTGGAAGTCAGGTGACTTTGAAGTGTTGTCAAGCTGCGTTAATTCGAAAGTGTCACAATGTAGTTTATCGTTAGATTTTTGAAAGTCGCAATAGCGCATAAGTCATAGTCGTTGTCGTAAACGTCCTAGTCGTATAAGGAAATATAAACGCTAGTCGTGGTTGATAGCGTTTCAAGTCATAGTACGAGAAAACATGGGAAAGCGAAACTCCACGAAAAGATGCATAGTGGACTCCTTCCATAAAACAAACCTCTAGCAGATGCAGTAGCAGGCTCAGCTACAACAGCCTCCCCTCTCCAAGTACTCACCTAGCTTTCGCCGCTGCTGCTCTTCCTGCAGCCATGCTTGCTTGTTTCTTCGTCTCTAGATTTTGCAAATAGTCCAAAGCTTCTTTGATTTTTTGGAACATCCTAGTGGCGTCCTCTACATACTCGTGATTCTGCTGTCTATCCGGATGCCATTCCAATGCCTTCTTCCTGTAGGCTTTCTTGTAAGCTGCCGCATCGAGTTTCTTGTCAGTGAAATCTAGACCCAGCAGTGTGCAAGCCTGTTTTTTGCTAAAGACAGGTTCTTCGAGATTGAGATCTGCAGGTACGCCTGGATGCCTCGAGCCAGGTGCTTGCGTAGGACCGGCTGAAGCTGCCTTGCCTGTTGGCGGAGATGATGCAGATGATGAGGCTTTGGCACTGGTGGATGATGCACTACTTGCTCTATTGGAGGCATTGGCATTAGTACTACTGCTTGAAGAAGCAGCTTTTCCAGTAGCTGTTCCAGCCCCACTTGTACTACTAGAAGCACCTGAGGTTCCAGCCCCACTTGTACTACTTCCAGAAGCACCTCCACCTGCTCCAGTTCCACCTCCAGTCGCTGAGGAAGAGGGAGCACCACCAAACATATTCCGGAATTTCGGTCCTTGACTAGTAGCTTTTGGTTTAGCAGGTCCCGTCTCGTCTTCGCCTCCCCCAGCGCTGAAGAATGTACGCTTACTACCCCCAGACGTGCCTGCTGTTAGAAACCGCCTGAAACGACCATCCCGGTCCCCCATCTTGATACCTTTTCCGCCCATCATGTATAATTCGTCCTATTCGAATTCGTATCTATTCCCTGGGGAATAATAAAAGGTACTAAGAGGTTAGTATTGGGACAGATGGAAATGGATAAAAAAGGCCAGCCATAATGTCGCAGATCCACCTTGATTTTCTTTACTAGAAGAAGCAGTCGCTCCACCTCCGAAGCTGTTTTCATAGCCCTTAGGCATTCTCGTGGTCGTTTTCTCTAGATGTGCGCGTTTCTTCTTCTCCTTGATGTAGCGGACTTGCTGCGTTAAGAACTCGATGTCATAGTTCAAGTCGAATTCCTTGACCTCCTCTTAAAGGTCGGCACTCATTCGGCACCGACTCGGAACGGGAAGGGCCCCACACCTCTCTCCTTGTTTTCCCTTAGTTTTCCCCTGTTCGATCTCAAAGGGGGCCCCTCTTCGATCTCAGTGACTCCAATCTAAATGGTGACCAATGAAAGTTGAGCCTTAATCCTCTATCAAATCCAAAAGCAAGTCTTCATCATCATCCTTCAAGGCTTGCTGGAGCAGAGAATCGAATGCGAGATTGTTCAGGATTTCCTTCTCCTTCTCCATCAGCCAGACTATGTACCTGATTATCATAACCGAAGATTTGTTCTCAAGAACAAGTCCTCTTCTTCAATCGAGAAATGAAAAAGTATTAAGTGTTCACCAAGTCTAATAAACCAAGTAGTCTAAGATTTTGACGATAAATGGGATGAGAGTCAAGCATGCTCACGTACGATACATAAGATGATGAGACTCATTCAACATCTTGCTGAACTCGACGTTGTACCGCTTCGATTTCCCGCTAAATGCTGGATCCAGCTCCGACAAAAATATCTCCATATTTTAGAGCTCAAAACAATTCATTTCTTGCCTACATGTACATTTCTCCCAATCCTAAGAAGGAAATACTGTATGGTTCTGGTATTTGGTAACCTGAGTTTGATCCTAAGGGAAAACAAGAAGAGAACCCTTAGGATCAAATTCAGATTACCAAATACCAGAACCATACAGAAAATCTTCATAGCAAACAGAAGCTACACGGCATCGACGAGATGCATATATCTTCTATTATCAGTAATCAGACTAATTCCAGGAAAGTCCTTCGAAATGAGCCTTGAATTGTATTGAGCCTTAAATATTGACACGGTCATCCTTCTGTATCGCGTCTTTCAGCATCGACCAGTTGAGCAGCATGTCCTCCGCATGGTCGTACAGGTTGATCAAGTCTACTAGTTTTTCCGAGATGTCGAACAACTTGGCTCCCTTCTGCTTCTCCAATTGGATGATGGTATATCTACAAGCTTGCAAATCCTTGAACAGCTCCTCCGCACGCCAATTATTTTCTCCTAAGCCGCTCTTAGCCAGAGTTACCTGGATAACGCGCTCTCGCTCTATGTCATCAGCTATTTCTTTTCGTTTCTGCTCCATGACAGCCAAACCGACGTCGCATTCGAGAATAGCTTCGTTGTAGTAGCTGGAGGTTGATGTTGTGGCGTATAAGTGGGTGGAAAGTAGGTCGGCGTGTTGATGAGGATTCTGATTCGGAAAACCAACATTTAATGTAATCCAGTCACGTGCTGGTGTGGGTGTGAATGATCTAATCACTTTGCAACAACTGTGATAAAGTCAACTTTTCATCACTGAGAACAAGATCTTCTATGGAACCTGAAATAAAAATAACAGGAACAAGTACAACAACGAACTATCAGCCATCAAATAGCATTATTACCCTTCCTCGTCATGTGCTCTGCTGTTGAACGTCCCTGGGTCCACTAGAGCGCCGCAATTGTAGCACTTAAATTTCGAGGCATAGGGAACTCGATTTGGTGTTTTGCAGGTTGGGTAGATTAGAACGAAGAAGCTCGCATGTGGAAGAAGTAGACGGTTTAGATTCGATGCTGAACACTTTGAAGTAATATTTAGATATTCGCGCTGACTCTAGTAACTTGTCGGTTGACACTTGGAAGAGGAGAGAAGTATCGAGAAGTTTTAGAAGTTAAACTGTTGACTTTATACTTTGATTTTGAAAAACAAAAACCGAAAATATGTTCTTATTCACGATGCAACCATAAACACAAAACGATATTCGAAAACGCGCTGTTGAACCTCGGATCGTCTTCTCGGAATGTGCTTTCGTATGGTCCCTTGACGGCGCCTGAGTCACCCTGCTCGACTCTACTAGAACTCCGTTTCGACGAGCCTCCACTCCCAGTCTTGCCATCCTCGGTTTTCCAACTTGTACTTTTGGTGGTACTAGGTCCAAGGTGGCTGGATTGATTAGAGATGGGCACGACCAGGGGAAGACCACAGAATCAAAAGATAGTGTTAGTTCAAGTGAAGATGGTGATAGGAATCGCAAGTGAGTCTTCAAGTGAAGATGGTGAAAGTGATAGTGAAAGTGATGCAGAAATTATAATAAGGAGGTGCTCTTTGCTTGTCTTAATTTTTAGGTCCTCAGCAAACAGCTGCGAGAACTTCTCGTACGGATCTGTGATGTCGTCGAAGTTTTTCGCACCAGAAGACCCTGATGATTTTCTCGATGTCTTCTTGACCCCAGACGCTTTTGCCCCCTTGTAGACATTACTATTTTAAAGGTTGAAACACTTCATTTTTAAAGAGCAATCATCTTAAGGAGAAAGATGAATAGAAGCCTGTAAAAATGAAATATTTCAACCCCTAATTATTGTTGGTGGAGGAAGAAGATGATCCAAGTCCGGACGATCCAGAGCGTCCAAGTCCGCCTGCTTGTGAGGATGATGCAGCTGTGCCATCTTTCTTTTTCCCGATTTTATTGCCCATTCGTTAGAAGATATTGATGTAGTTGTAAAATTTGAATTCATTCTGTTTGACTCTCTAGATTCCTGTTCCTGCCAAAACTCAAGAAAAAATGCTTTCATCTATAATTTCTCGCGAGATAGTAAGGGTCAGAAAGTAAAGGAACACTTTTGCTATTTCGCTCTCAATCATACCGTATGCTCCCGATGAACCTTTTTTCATTCACGTTTTCGACCTTGGTACAGTTTCAGGCTCAGACATACTCACCCTCGTCTACCTTATTTTCATGTCTGTGTTTTTCGTTCTCTTCATCAAACTGTAACGCTCACTCTCAGCACTCGGCCTATACCCGAAAACTCACTGACATAACTAAAACTATAATGGCCGCTGAGTTGTACTCCTTAGTTTCTGGCACGTACTATCTTACAGCTGAGCGACATGTTGTTTATCTTTGCTTGTTGCCATCGTCTCCATGATGTGCATGCTGGAAAGTCAGCTTCTCTTACAGCGATTTGACTTTATAGGTGGAAGTTCTGATTGATTTATTGCAATTTTTGATGGGTCACCTTGTCCTTATGCATGCAAAGGGTGCCCTACTTCCGGCTACTCAAGAAGTAGAAGAGTCGACGTAGATCATGATATAGTCTTTTGACATGCCTCCATCGACGTGCCTCCATCGAACGGATAATGCTGGGCACGATCTCTCTGTGAAAGGTGTTGAGAAAAGTATCACTATCTTCAGGGTAATTATGTTGAGATGGAATGGTAGTTAATGAAATTGATGAATGTTCTAAGCTTTATGGAATGCATGAGAATCACCACAGCTGCACTATCATGATGTCATGAGTAGTTCGAGATGATTGCACACACCATGCTTGATGCTCATCTAATAGATACACAATGACATAATGACAGGCCACCATAAAGCTTTCTGATGTTTTTTCTCATGGATGCACATTTTGCTTGGGTTGCATGTAAATACGTAGTCGGGCTGCAAAGAAAGAACGATATATCTTACTGCTCTCCGTTCTTGATTCTAGGAAAAACGAGCTCAGGAAGTGTCAAGAACAACATTTTTAAGAACGGTATTTATTATACTTGCTAAGACCTACAGTTGTAGTTGACACACACAAAAAAAAACTATGTGTAAATCTTCAGGACTCCAACGTGGTTAAACGAAGATCACCAAGCGGCAACCTTCTCTGATCCTCAATGATGAAACGAGAAAAAAAAAGGAAAAGAGCTTGGACCTCTCCTAGAAAAGATCCAAGCCGATATAAGACGACGAACACGAAAAACGACGAAAACATAAACACAAACGAGTATCGTTAAGTACACTCACCTCTTTGCGATACTAAGGAAATACTTTGTCCCCAATGTAGCGGATGCATCTTCCTTCTCGGTAGAACAAATTTCCCACATACTAGATTATCTGCTATTCTATTCATCGTCGAAGATTGACATAGCCAGCGAGCTATTAAGAAGTTGCACTTGAAGTTTCAAAAATTGGAATTCCTCCAGTCGTTTAAGATCGGTAGCGCTTGCACATGTGCACTGACAAAACGAACTGACTAGGCCTCGGCAGGATCACTTTGAGGCATCTCGCTACTGTGCCATCATCGAGGTCCGGCTTCCGGATGCCCCCAACCCCAAACGCCACCTTTCCCCTCCGGACTCACCAGCACACGAGAGAGGCCCCTCCATGATCCACGCCTAAACCATGGGCAAAACAAGTTGCCATGCACATGCAAGCATTATCCACCATGAAATAATCAATACAGCCACATATTACTCATGCGCCCATCCTCAACAGAAATAGACAAATACAGATATCCAGTATAACTGAGAACCCTCACCACCGCAACCGGCGGAAGGTGTTCACTTTCCCTACAGTCTTCTCATTCAGTCGAGCCTTGGTTTCTTATGTTGAACTATAAATCTCGAAGCCACTACCTAAATCTTGCCCAGTTCGCCAGCATGAGACGCTGCTGGTCAGTTGAGTAGTGAATACATGGGTAGGCCAAAGCACTCTACTAGTACTAACTTGTATTAGTAGTACATGACGCGCGGCGCTTTTCCTGGTGCTCCCTAGAGCGCTAGAAATCTACTTGAAGACCCACCAGCTTATTCTGTACCCTTTCCCAGACTGCAGCGTTGCCGCTCTCACGACATCGCTTTGAAATGCGAGCCATTAACTTCTGCCACACGCGACCAATCGGTTGACCATGTGCACGATTGTAGCACGCACCAACGCCATGCTGCAGCACAACGCTTCTTCTACTTGTATATCTGCTCTTGTTCTTTCGAGCAGAGGCACTCCTAGATCCACGGGCAGTAGTTGTAACAACTCCTACGCCAGCTAGTCGGCGTTTTATGTCTTTCACACGTCGCGCCATGACCAAGACCAAGTTTTGGAGATAGTTCTCGACCGAGGCGGCGCTGTTCAGTCGTCGGTCAAGCACGATCCCAGACAAAAGTTGTGAGTCCAGCAACATGATGAATGTGCGCGCAACAGCGTTCGTGGACCTAGAACGAAGGACCAAAGGCGTTTGTCGCAATTCCGCGGAAATGTTGAGCTTCTCGAAAGCAGACATTGGCAACGCACTGCGACGTGAAGAATTCGACGCAGCAAAAGTGGACGCGGAAGTTGATGAACTAGAACTACTGTTGCTCGCGCCATTTTTAGACCACGAGGAAGATGCTGATGTGGTACAAGAGTCTGCACCTGATTTATGTCCGACCACATCACATGGAGAGCTCTGCGGTGCAAAGCGTAAACCAGCCCACACAACTCCTGATGATGGCGCCGCGGGAAAAATGTTATCTCGTCCACTAGATGACGCAGTAGTAGTAGTTGGCGGCGCGCAAGAGGACGAGGAAGCTGGGGATCCACTACTCGTTATTCCGTTCATTTTTGAGCTAAGTTTCGTAGCGTAGAAACAAGTTACTGACTTTTTCTTGTGCAGTTCCCCAAAAACAGCCTCCCACTCATCTACCACACAAGTTGGCTCGGCATCGCCGACGTAGAGAAAGTCATCAACTAGACGTGTGCGAACTAGTGCAGAAGCCTTGTTTTGCTTTTTCTGTGATTCTTGTTTCACAGCGAAAGGACTACGATGATCTTTGAGCAGACAAAGATTAGACGCTTCTTCATCTGAAGCGTTTTCGCGTATGCCTTGTTCTCGCTGGCTTTCCTTCTTCTCAAGCTTTCTGTCTTTTGCAGCAAGCGAAAGCGCGCATAGCAGAGGACTCGCGTGTGCACCTTGCGGAATCCCAACATTGCTGCGAACAATCAAGTCTGAAAATGGTAGTCGCACAGACTGCTCTCGGATCGCGTTTCTGGCTATTTTCGAGCGAACTGTGCCAGCAAAGATAGTCCGAGCGCCAGACTTCTGTGGTACAATCAGATTCCTCACTTGCAGAAGCTTCTTATCGAGCACAACTGCACACTCTGGCTCAGCAGTGTCTTCCTCGACGTCAGTTGTCACAAACGTTCTGCGGACGCCCTCTGTTGCAACGCGAAGATTAGCGCCACCACATCCGCGACCAACAGCGAAAACTGTCGGATAGGCGACGGTCGACTTTTCTGGCAACTTCGTCTCATTTAGCACCTCCTTTAGCTCACTGTGCGAGAGATTTTCGTAGCACTTCGGCAGGTCTGCAACTACGATACTACCATACAATTGCTGGTGATGCCGCGGCGAAGCAGTTTCCGCTCCTTGCTTCCTCTTTTTCCTCATTTGTTGCAGAAGCTTCCTGCGAGTCTGGAGAAGCTTCCCATACAGCTGAAATCTATTGAAAACCGAAGTCCCAAGCTGATCGTTCTTTCGCGCTGCCGCTTTAAGCACTGCTGTCGAATCACGGAGCTGAAAGTCACGCTTTTGATGCCGCAGATCTATGATAGGCCGGAGGCCTACGCTTGTTGTCCCCTTCGGTTTCCAACGAATCTGGTTAACGTTAGGTGGAATAGGACGATATAAGCATTAAATATATTGAAAGGAGAGGAAGAGGGATATGAATAGAAATTAATAAAAAGTAGCAACATCTAGAAATGTATGTGTATGATAGATTGAGACCTTTTGAAGTGGGCATGCCTATGATGACGAAAAAGATAGACTTGACTATTTGCTGGGCTAAATTCCGAGTCTAGCATCAATATTACCCTCGGCGCTGCCTTCCTATTGCTAAGAGCGCATCGCTCGACAACCGCATGGGGATCTTTGTTTAGCGCAGATTGCTGTAAATGCTGGAGCTCAGCAAGCCGTAGCAGTTGCTGCCAGTCTTGCTGTCGGAAAAGTGTGGCGCTGCATCCCGTTGTTTCTTTTGAAGGTTGAATCAAGTTCTTGCGCACGGAAGCAGAAGCCAGGTCAACGGTAAGAAAACGCGCAAGAGAACAAGCGCACTTATCCAGCTCTTGTCTAAAGTCGCTGCTGGTTCCTTCCCGTGACACGCCACAGCTGAAAGAAGTGCGCTTGCTTCCAAAAAGTCTTTGTACGATCCTCCTCTGCTTGGTGCGCCTCTCCTGGATGTACGCGCGAACAAGGCGTCCCGGATGGGGCGCCTTATTTGAGCACGACTGCGACAGCGACATGGACTCCATCCTGATATCTACTGCGTCATTCCGCGTAGCGTGTTGAAGCGCGCCAGGCTCTTTCGATACTTCGCCAGCAGACTTGGATCTTATTCCCCACTTTTTTCGAAGACGACGCTGCCGCTTTCCAGCACGTCGGCGACAACGATGTCCTTGTGCCGCGGTGTGTTTCAATGATGCGCGAATGTCGACAGCAGACTCAGACGAGGCAGTCGCCGTAGATAGTGCGAGTGAAACAGTGCTCGCCAGACTCGTTCTACCTGGTCCTTCTTCTCGGTTGACGTTTGTAACAGCAGAGGCATCTGCCACCTCAGAAGTATCCATGTTGACAATGCCAGAGTGTACTTCTTCAGGTTGCGCTGGTACAGGTGCGTGTGGCCTTGCAGAAGTCTGTGCCGCAGAAGGTGCTGGCGAAGTGGCATTCGCCATGCCTGTTCTCCTTGACCGTTGGCGCTTGCGCTTCGACCTGGTTCGCTTTCTTCTTATGTCATGCTGAGCTGAAGCACCTAGAATTTGACGGCGGCTATTTCGATGCCCAGCACCAGCTGATGACGATATCTGCGAGTCGCTGGCTACCATTTCCAAAATTGGAGCGCCACTGCTCGCCTGCGCGCTCGCTGCGCTATTGCGATCTGAAGAATGGCGATCGTCGCCAGAAACTGCCGGCGCACCGGTGCCGCCTACTCGAATAGTGTTATTGCGCTGCTTCTGCTCACGCGGTACGTCCTGGAAGAGATGTCCGTATCCGCGATCCGCTGACACCACTAGGTGCGAACTGCGTGTCTTACCAGGCGCGAAAGGAAGAATGCCGCACTGGTCGAACATGGACCGCAATAAAAGCGACGCGCCCTGTGTCGGAGGGGTTTGGGAGAAATGAATCCGCACGCTGGAGCAACGAGAAGGTCGGCCGGGAGCGGCGAACGATAGGCGACACTCTGCAGGCTGCTGCTCGCATTACACGCACCAGTCACGAACAAACCATCCACAGAAAACCAACAAGAAGAGACGAAACAGACAAGGAAGAGGGGGAAAACCTCGAGCAGAGAAGAACACAAGAAACCAAAAAGAACCAGAAGAGAAGAACATAAAGACAGACACGGCGCTACAAATAAACAAATAAAGAAGAAACGAAACAACACAAGCCGCAAGCCACCCCGAAACTAATCCAGACCCGCGAAGACGGAAAAAAAAAACAACACCACCAAGACCGACCCCACCCCGAGACAACAAGAACTCAGGAGGCGCAGAGGCAGAAAGCCAGCGCGCCCCGGTTCGCGGCGTGTCTCGGAATGGGGATCGATCCCGGAGGTATTTTGTGTAGTAAAACACAAAATGGCTGACCTGGGCGGTGGCGCCACTCACCGGGGCCCCCTCCGTTGAACAAAAGGGACCCGGCTGCCCTGTGGTATGCTTTGCTTTCCGTCCTGCGTTGCTGGGTCAGTCGCGGGCCGCGCCTGCTGGGCCTGCGCGATATGCGTGCGCACCCGAGGAGAGGGCGGCGGCCTAGGGTGGTGGGTGCGCGGCCAAACAAGCGCGGCGCCCACTTTGTCACAACACAGCGCGCGCCAAGGAAGCAGCCAAACCTCACGCAGGTGGCCAGCCGCGAAGCGCGCGCGCCTTACTATGCAAGCGAAGGGGTGGGCGGGCCTCAGCGCCTTCCTTGGCGTCTGGGTTCTCTGCCGCAAGGGGCTCGCCTTCGTTGGCCAGTGTGTGGCGGGCTGTCCTCGCTGCTGCGCCTTTGCAGTCGCTCAGCCTGTCAAACAACGAGACAGTCCGAGCCATGCGAGAAAACCATCGCAAGAGGAAACGAACAGCAAGACCCAGGCGCAGTTGCGAACGATTGGCGAGCGCAGCAGGATGACAACGCGAACGAAATAACCGGAGAGGAACAAACGCAGAAACAAGCCATCGCAACGGCATGGAAGGAGAGGAGTCTGCTATCTTTCGGCGCCCGCTTCTTGTGATTACATCGAACACTGCGTGGGTGCTATCACCGTGGGCGCTGCGGTGGACTAGGCTCATGGGAGTTCCGAGTCCAAGAACAACAACTCTATACCGGACGCAGAGCGTTGGCGTTGTCATTTCCGGGAAAAGAAAGGCTATCTGCCCCAGTGCGCGCCGAAAAAATCGCTCCGCGCGCTTTCCGCAGAAGCCCGCGGCTAAGCTGCCGCTTACTTCGCGCGAGCTGTTTGACGGGTGTGCATCGACCTAGGACGAAGGCAAGTCGTCTGACCATGACGTCTAGTGGCTGGGCAAATGCTGTTGCCGGTGCGGTCTCATCATGAGTACTACTCTGCGGATAGCAGGCTCGACGCTGTGCCGGCTCTGCCTTTCCTAAGCCCATGACGTCACATTCATCTGGGATGTTCCTTCCACCTGATGCGCGCTGTTTGGCTACGCTCTTTCCGGAAAACGCGCCCCGCCAACGCCGCTGCTTTTTTGCTCGACTCACCAACGCAGCGTGGTTTGGGTTGTTCACATTCCCAAATCGGCTTTCCAGTCTTTCCGAACTTCCAGTTTGTGCTAGAAGCAGGAGAGTCTGTGTACTAGTAGAGAACTGTGACGCTGTGGGCCATGCGCGTCTATCTATGGCGCCATGCTGAGCGCTATCGGCGACACCTGGTAAACCCGGGGTGTGCCTTGGTATCAAGTCAGGTATTCCATGCCCTCTTACCTTCGGATTTGAGGTATAGATGACTTTGCCGCGTTTCGCAGCGTTCTCGGAATGCAGCAGGTGATTGCCTCCATCGGTGTTATTGGGTCTGTGCGTGCTTGATGATGAATTACTACTAGATGAAGCTGATGAAGACGATGCTGCACTCGGTGGCGCAGCCATGTTCTTGTCTCCCAAGAATGTTAATCCACAGTAAGAAGATGAAGATGATGCGCCAGGTGTGGGAACAAAGGCCACGACTGACGTTTCGTTTTCTCCTACGTTGATGCCTTTGCGAGAGCTTGCTTGCTGCGCAGTCTTGCGAACCGTGTCTCTGCTCAGCTTGGCCTTCAAATTCTGTTTTGTCTTTGTTTTTCTGTCTTGGCGCATCCTCCGCTTTCGAAGGAGATGCCGCGTGCGCCGACCCAAACCCAGAGGAGCGTCATTGCGGATGCGCTTTTGGTTTCCGTGCGTCCACACAGCTACTTTGTCAGGTGTCAGCTGTCTTCCTACAGCCGGGCCCGATATCAATGTGTCAGGTTAGAGGGGACGAAAATTGGCCCAATCATGAATTTTCATTTGATCCTCCTCAAAATACTACTCAGTCACTGGTTTAAGAAAAAGAAGGTTTGATTACTTACGTGACTTTTAGTGAAGACAATGACAAAATAGGATCTTATTTCTCCATAATAGTCTTCACTTGCGTCATTTCCGTTGCTCCTGCTAGAACTAGTAGAAGTCCCAGTCCTAATACTGCTTGCTGCGGCTCCATATTTTCCACTGTTACTTTTCTCGCGCATGAACAAGCGGCAGTCACTGAGTAGATGTAGAAACAATCGGTCGCCAACGATGTCCAAGAGCTTCTTCCATCTCGGTCCCTCCTCCAAAGAGTGAAAAACGCTAGGGCGCAACGCTGATTTGTTCTTAGTTTGTCGAATGTGTTGTTGTTTTTGTTGGAATGATGAAGATGATCCCCGATGTGGTCTTGATATATCGACATGCTGGCCTGATTCATCTTTCAGGACTAGTTTCTTCATTTTAGCTCGTATTTTGCGCCCTGATCTGCGTCTGGAGAATGCCAGTAAAGGCTTGCGGGTCGGCAAGGCTTGATCAATATGTGGCCGCGAAGATGTTGGCCGCGAAGACGATGATGACGTCGAAGATACAAAATTTCCGCCAGCACCGCGAATTTGACCTCCTTGGTGCGTCATACTGGCAAAAGGCGGCGGCACATCGCACGCATTGTAGCATGAGTCGCGTTTTCGGTCATCGCTATTCAGGTCTTCGCTCGCTTGCCGAACGATAGCGCCATACGGCCTGAGAGTACGCGATAACGTCAACGGTCGGGAAAGCCAGAATGAAGAAATGACGCGATAAACATTAACTCTTAACATAAACGATAGTGGCTCTTCTAGAAGCGCTCCCATCATTTTGAGAATCGTCAGTATCATATGCACTTCTGGGAATGGTGATGAAACTCTATTCTTGTAGTAAGTACCATCTAGATCATCTCCCCTCCTTAACCGATATCGAATAGGAATCTTGAGCGCGCTAGTCTTCGATCGAACACCTTTCTGCGTCTTCTTTGATGTTCGCTTGCGCAGCATCGGGTGCAGGACCAGCAACAAGAGGACATCGTCATACTCGTCGCGTAGCTGTGGCGCAACGGCATTCCACGCCTGTTCATCTGCAATCTGAAATCGCAGATAGCGTTTCAGCGTCACCAGCGAAGCATGAGGTGGTCGCTTCTGCTTACTCGACTTGAATTTTTGACTACTCGAATTTCGAAATTGGTGACCGGACATCATGGTAGGATCAACACAATAAGACAAGGTCTCGGAGGTGCAGTGATGAACATTTTTGTTTTTTGAAGAACATCTAGTACACTATGATCAGATCTAATGAGTTCACAATTGAAAAATCACCAAGAGCAATAGCTGCAGTGTACGACTACAAGTTTTTAGTACACATCGTGCTGGTGGCGTATCAAAGAGACGTTACACTCATCCTTTTCCTGTTTTGTTGTTTCAGTTTCTTATCCATATGAGTACACAAGTACTACAGCATGGAGTTCCATGAGAATCTGTGTCCTCATTGAGCTCGGAAGTACGTCATTACAAACATAAACGGATGACCATGGCATTATGCAGAGACATAAAAAGAGCGCTGATGCAGAATCAAGAGCAGACAAGAAATCCTCTGCATACACGCTGCACGCATCAAAACTTAATCAAGATTCAAGAATCATCAATGTTGACTTGTAATAAATTGTATTATTGATCAACTTACGATAAGATAGCCCTAGTTGTAGTGGTCGTAAAGAATATGTATAGGTCCGTCACCAGTATTTTTATTAACTGAATGTCTCATAGTACAGAGATGGACTACTGCAGCAGTGTTGAAATCATACATCAGACAAACCAACTTGAAACCGATAGCACGTTCATCTTCATGCACTGCATTTGACATGGACATCGAAGATGCATCACATACTTATCTTAGATTTGCAGCACTTTTTTCCGAGGAAATGAAGGAAAAGGATCCGCCAAATTTTTGAAGAAGATCGTGGACAGTGCAGCAGAGCAGAGTGCAGATTTGATGAAAGGATCAGACGAGACACAGTTTTGCCGTCAGGTCACACGCGTCGGCATCAACATAGTGTACGTTCTGGAAAAGGAAAATCTCAACACACCAGTCACGGCAGAGCATGGTCGACAATGCCTCCCAGAGTGTTGCAAAAAGAACAGAACACACGCAATGCTATATTGGCCATCTGGCTGTTGCGGCAAACATTCATCAAATCATGTTGACAGCTATCACTTCAGAGTTCGAGACATCAATGTTTATCATGAGGTTAACGAAAGGGAAAGACGCGATGGAGACGTTCTTTCAACATCAGGAAGTGCTTTTGGAGCGGATTCCTTAGGACATGATACGTAACTTCTTCTACATAAAGAGGAAGAGGTGGACCCTCTCCCTCACCATCATCAACATCAGGCTTTGCCCTGCCCCTGACCCTCCTGCTGACTTCTCCGGCTGCGCCATTTCCAGCGGTCGCCTTTCCTCACAGTTGTTCCTGTTCCCCGTTTGGTCCCTCTTCAGAAGCAGCTGCAGCTCCTCCTTCACCACCAGCACCCTCACCCTTTGCTGTTCCGTTGTGCTCCTCTCTATCAATAGTTGTTGCATCCTCAACCTCCGCATCCGCTGTTCCACCGTGCTCGTCTCCATCAATATCTGTTGCAGTTTCCTCCGTGTTTGTCTCCAATTTTTCTCCAGCCTTCTTCACAGCCAAAGTCACGTCAGCAGGCATCCACCGCAAACATCGTTGTATCGTAGGCTTGTCAGAGGATTCTGCTATTTCTTGAGCTGCATGATCTCCAGTATCCTCTCCTAAGTCATCCTCATCCGGTAAGCCAGCTGCTGCGGCACAGGTTGCATTTTCCTCAGCATCTTCATCTACCTCAGCGCTGCAGCAGCTAGCTACCTTCTCAGGATCGATTTGCTCGAATGCGTTTACAACAGGAAGACGACACTTCAAATTCTTGGTGGCAGAGGCTTCACCATCTTCATCTGCAGCTTCAGACGCAGTCGACTCAGCGGATGCTTCTTCCTTCCTCTTCAAATCCTTGTTGGCAGAGGCTTCACCATCTCCTGCAGCTTCAGACGCGGTCGAATCAGCGGATGCTTCTCCCTCCCCTCCTTCAGTTCCGCTACTGCTCGCTGGTGCATGATCAGTACTACTTTCCGCATCTACTTTAAGACTACCAGCTCCAGCAACATGATGCACATGCGCTGCCTTACACAAGGCATCGAGATGTTGTCGTCGGTGGTCAGCACGTGGCTTCTGTTCAGCTTCTAGAAAAGTCTTCAGTTCTTCTAGCCTCGTCTTGTAGTATCTATGAAAGCCCTGAGCTTCAGTTCCATACAAATCTCCCGAGGCGTACTCCAGCCATTTGGGACTGTTGCGATGCTTGAAAAAGGAAGCTGTTTTTTGAGCCAAGATGCTTTGTGTAAACAACTCTTGTGAAGAGCTGCTCTGCTTTTGCGCACTAGTACTAGACGAGTCCTCTACAACTTGTTCTTGAGCCTTCATCTTGCTGTGTTCTCTCCAATTCTGCGGTAAGCTGATGAGCAACTCCTTCAATCGAAGAACGCCAGCAGGATTGAGTGACTTGTCGTGTGCTGTTGCAGAAGCCACATCTTGACTCTGATCTACGTCGTCGCCCTCAGTTGGCAATCCGGCTTCGTGGCACCTGAGAACAGGGTAGAAGTGGGTAGAAGTGGTGAAGTAGGTACTGTAGAATTGGTGAAGCTCTCGACATCTTCATGCTCGTCATCAACTGTTTCTCATGCACATCCCTATAATTACAAAAACTTAAGCTTATTAGGAAGTAAACAACAAAAACGAAATAAAGCATGAAATCTTGAAAGTACGCATCTCCAATATCCGCTTCTAGCGGATCAACTTCAGCTTTCTGCCCACCATCATCTTGCTTTTCCTGTGCATCATCTCCTTTAGAAGTATCTCCTTTATCCTGTGCATCATCTCCTTTAGAAGTGTCTCCTTTAGTATCGTCTGTTTCCTTATTTCGATTCCTTTGGATCTTCGAGCAATCCCAGTTTTGTTCTGGTGCAAAAACGTGACTCTTGAAAAACCGCCCTATCGCAGTCTGACAGGCTCCTGCACGCGTCGCTGTGGAGTGGAGTAGGTCAACCAGACGTGCCCAGGACAGATCTTTCAAAGGCATGTGGCGTTGTTGATGTTCACTTTCCTCTTGACCGTCTGACTCCGTCGTCGTGGAAGCGAGGATCTTTCCCTTCGTAGAAGAAGAAGATGTTGCTAATCCGCTCAAAGGATCGGCACAGGTAAAAGCGACTTCTCGTTGCCAACTTGAATACAGTGCTAACCTGTCATTCGAGTCATCTCTTGGTTCTTCTGCTGCTTGAGGCTGAGGTGCAACTCGCTGCTGTGGCGGTGATACAACAGTAGGGGGAAGAGTAGGTGAAGGAGATGTCCATGCCGGTGGAACGTCAACATTTGTCGGCGCGGGGGCCACAGGAGTCAACGCTGGTGAAGATGGACCTTGAAGTGCCGAAGCCGAGAGAAGCGAGTTTATTCCGCCTCCCAAACCCTGCGATGGAGTTGTTGAAGTGACGGGCGGTTGTGTGCCAGATGAAGGCTCAACATATGCTCCATATGGTAAACCAGAGGGAAAGTGCCCCAACTCCTTCGCCATTTTGCTTCTTCGATATAATGAGGACCCAGCTGCAGCACTAGAAGAATGAGCAGTCTTTATGAGGCCCGAACTCGGATGTAAGACTCTTACATTTGGGGTGAAAAGAGTAAGACACAAATCGAAAATCAAAATTAAGGGCTTTGTGTTTACTCTTTCGATCGGATTGTTTCAGGGTGCATAAAATCAGAAATCAGTTTCAGTTTCTAATTCGCAGTCGCACCGATTACGAGTGGACCGATCTCCGATGTTGACCGACAGTTCTCACACTAGAACTAGATATCGCAGCGCTCGAACCGAGCTTCCTCTACCGACGACGTCCTTCCATCTCTATCACTATCATTCTCATTAACATTATAAGGCATGCTAATACTACCTCTCTATGAGTAGTTGTAGTAATGTTGAGTTTTGTTGGCATTGGCCGACTGAGTGGCTTAACACCAGATACAAATGCTTTTCGAGGAACGACATTCGCGGTAAACGAACACGGTGACCAATGCAGTCTTGATGAAGTGCTTTTCTTGACAAAGCTAAAGGATTGGATCAGGTACAAGTCCAGGTGGGTGGACTATTGTTCAAGGTGGTAAGCCTAAGCACAAATAGAAAGCGCCATAGTTATTTCTCCACATATTTTCCCTTTTTCGCGCAAGTATCCAAGAAATCTTCCATCTCGTCTCCTGCAAAACCGAAGCAGCAGTCGCAATCAAAGGGGCATTGTGGCGTCGTCCCAGCTCCTGGTCGGTCCTTCTCCTCTATCAAGTGGGCTTTGTAGATTTTGGTATTCCCATCTCGCATCTTTCTGTTAGTCCAGCCGTCATGGTCGTAAATTCCGCCTAAACCATCGTTACGCCATCTGGCGCTTTCGTTGCCGAACAAGTCATCTGCCGAAGCGCCTTGGAGATTTTTCGAGGATTCTTGTGCTGTTGAGGTGGATGGATCGGTGGAAGCAGTAGCTCCTTTCATCTTATTCTTTTTTGCAAGTCCCTTCTTCACCTTTTTGCTCTTCACTGCTTCTTCTGCTGCAAGTTGCATCGCGCTCTTTTTCGGAGCGGAGGCGAAGATGTCGTCAATAGATGCAGGCTTGGCTACTTGTTGATTTTTGGAGGCTGTAGCTATTGGGGTTGAAGAGGAGTCTGGTTTAGTCGTGGAAGATGAGGCTCGTCTAGATGACGATGAGGAAGCAGTAGAGGTGGATGTCGCGCTTGTTGTTGTTCCCCTTACAGCTGGAGACGTGGACGTGGAAGTTGGCGTTATTATCGGAACTCCAACAGGCTTTGTAGATTCTCCTTGCTCAACCTGTGGTGTCCCGACCTTCTTTGACGCCTTCTTCATCGACTTTTTCACCCCACTTGGTGCGCCTGTCGTAGTACCAGCCTGCGACGTGCCTGTCGAGGACGGTGCTCCTCTTATCCGTGACAACACAGAGCCTAGAGCGCTGCCACCAGCAGAGGTCTTGGATTTTTTAGCCATTTTGTTCTTGTTGATAATTGTTCGATCGCTTACTAGTTGGTGTTGGCGTGAGTAAAAGAATAAAAATGTGGATATGTGCGTAGAACTAGAATGCTAGATGAAGATCTACTTACAGCAATTATAGCCGGATAGCATCATCACCTAGCCCTGCTGATTTGGAGCAAATGCATCTGCCTGTAAGCATGATAATTGAGGTGCGTAAGATCATGACAAAGACAGACTACGAGCATAAAGATCGTAGTACAATCAGCAGCATCTTCTGAAGAAATCCGGATGAGTATGATCTTCCTATCGAGATAGATCTTTAGCGTTTGGAAGAATTCAATACGGCCCGTGGCGTCTGAGCTTGATCTCGTTCTCGTCGAAAGTCTGGTCATGCTGTGAGATGATCTTCATTTTGTGTCACCGTCACGCAATGAAGATGAAAATGCAAAAGATCATGAATTTGAACTTTTTGTGAGCATGTTGCTTTTGATCTTGCTGTGTAGAATTTGAACTAGAAGTAGAAGTAGAACTAGATCACTTTGTATAAAGTAATGATCTCCAGTCGCCTCCGCGTAGTCCGCGAACAAGTGAGCTCCGTGTCTCTGTCATTGGAATTGAAAACAGTAAGTGCAAGCTGGTGGAAGGGCAAGAGAAGTAGTCAATCGATTTTCCGTAAGTTCTTGCGCGTGGGGGCAATCTCAATAATTTACTAGGAGTCTACAATGATTTTGATTTCATTTCGTTTTATCTAGTTTTTGTCATTATGTGTGCGTCGTTGATCATGTTGTCTTCATGTTCATCAGCTTGAGTACTCGAGTCTAATACTAATACGGCGTTTCGTTACATTTTGATTTTCTTTATCAAGCATTTCTTTGTCAAGAACCCGCAATCCAGTTTCAAATCCATCCACAAGATCAATAAGAACATTCGTTTTTACATTATCAATAGCTCAAAGTAAACGGAAACGCAAATTTCCCATTGCTTGCAGGCAAAGCGTGCTTGATCATGTGCTGGAAAATCTCCGCTGCACCCTGCTCTGGTGAAACCTCGTAGAACCATTTTCGAGTCGACCTAATCGGCACACCATTGGACATAACGAAAGACTTATGGTAGCAGTCGAATTCGTCGAAAGGTGTTGTGAACCCGTAGATCTGCTTGAACCGCTTGTGAACGAAAATAGCATCGTGGTATTCGAAGAGGACCTGGAGGTGTGGTACTCCAAGAGGACTTATTTGTGCAAGATTGAGTGAAGAATGATATTTGGTATTCGAAGAGGACATATTTGTGCAAGATTGAGTGGAGAATGATATTTCCTGGGATTTTTATGTTTGATCTCTACTTTGTCTTTGACGTGAACCTGAAGCAATTATTGCAACCTGAGATATAATATGCATCACCTAAAAAAGAGAGCAGAACCAGCAATTACACCCAAAATATCCCCAAAGCATAATTACCAACTCACATGGATCCCCACTTGGCCATGATATTCACTGCATAAAAAGAACGTATGATCTATACCAACTCATATCCCCACTTGGCCATGATATTCACTGCGTAGGACAGACTCATCCCTCTCAAAGGCCAGTCGCCCATGCTACTTGACAGCATCGTCTGCCATAATTTCGGATGGTAGAGAGTGGCGAATTGATACGGTGGTGGTATGGCTGGGTTGACCTCTAGTATCCAGTGTTTGGCAGAGAAATGGTTGCGAAGGAGAGTATCCAAGACCATGGCGTCGTAACTGGATGTTGATGGCGGGATTCACATTGTTGGGAGTTGGGCTTGGGAGGATGGAATTGGATGACATTCTTGCGAATCTCGTAATTCTTACCTGTCAATATCAATTTTGATCAGGTCGAAATGCCGGACACCTCGATTGATGCTAGGCACATGCTTCTCCAGCAAGTCCACGATGTTCATCGGCGTCACTTCTGCGCAAATAACTGTCTGTTTGATGCCTGGCAAGTTCTTTTGGAAAGGAATTAGAGCCAGAATGGATGGAAAAGTCACGCGTTGTGCAAGTTGTATTCGAAAAACTACAATAAGCGAGTAACTACTGAAAACAGGCGAGATACTGAACAAGGAGGAGTAGCCCTGTCAAAGCTACCTCCCTTATTTCAGTCAGTAACTCGGATATCTTCAGTTTTCGAATACATTTTGGTCAACTTGTTCTTGTGAAGACAGCCATGTTGTAAGCCTAAGCATCATGTTCTTGTCCTTTGTGCACCACGTACTAAAAAAGAAGCTTGCACCTTCTAACATTTTATCATCAGGATCAACATTTCTCAACGAAGTCATAGGTTCTTTTCCGCGATTCTACAGAATTCTGGGTCCTTTTCGAAATGGATGCCACTAGCTGAGTACTTCTTCGCGTAGTCGACGCAGGGGTCTTCTACTAGACCGTCCTTAGCACCGATATTCAAGAAAGACCTTGTCATCTTGAAGCCATGTTCGGAGATTAGAAGAGGCGAACAAGGAGTGTGTTGTAAGTGTAGTAGATCTAAATGTAGAGTGCGAAATTATAATAGAGTGGGAAGCTCAAGTAGCAAATCGTAAAAGTCTTATTGAAGTAGATGTTGATGTATAAAAAAGACGATGGTCATTGATGTGCCAGAGGACTCAGACTCATCTGGAAACATCAAATTAGAAATTTCTTGTGACAAGTATTTCAGCCAATGAATACAAAGGATAGTCGATAGAAACTTCTTGACAGTATAATGGTGAAGCCTACTTAATAGGAACATAATGCCAGCATATCCGCATGTTCCAGAAAGCTCGTTGCGTTCAACGTTTTATTACAATCCGATGTTCCAACTAAAAACTTCTGTCTATTCCTCTCCAACGTCTTCATCGGGATGTGGTCCAAGCTACTGTGATGCTTCACGCTCTCCATCAGGAAGTCCGGCTGTTCGGCATCTTCTAGGTTGTTGAAGATGGACAGCACAAGCTCGCCTTCTTCGGTGTAGGAGGCGTAGCGGAGAGGATTGACCCATCCTCGATACTGGACTGCGGAAACTATATTACTGCTGCCTACAAGCAAAAAAAACTTCGTCCTCAAAGTCAAGGATCTTCTCCGCCTTTTGTTTTTGTTGTGGTAGGAGGCAGACGTCCACCTTTGTTGATCAGTGGTGGATGGTGGTCTCCTTGCGGATGAGGTCGACCTCGTGGGAGGCGATGGGGATGAGGTGCGCGCTGAAGTTTTTGCAGGCCTTGCTCCGCAGTGAAAGCCTGTGGACGAAGAAGAACGATGAGACGAGACTTCCATTTTCGTGGTGGACAAGTGGAAGTTGTCCCTTCAAGGCTACACAAATTTCTTTCATGCACACTCTGACTCTCTCACTCTCTCTCTGTTGTTCTCACTCAGACTCAGGTCAGAAAAAGAAATCGAAAATGATCATAGAAATTGATACTTCGTCAGATCTTCACTTGAATTTGTTACTCCTCAAATTTCTAGGATCCTGTACGCCTTCGGATGCGTATGTCGGTCTTCAGAAGAAGATTCTTAGAGCTTTTCGCGTGCGTATGTCGTGCTACAACGTTATTAACATTCTTTTGGAATGCGTTGCTAGTTAACATACTACTCTGAGGTATATTCTCGAATCTCCTTGAAAATGATATTGAAATGCTTTCGGTATCAAATTGGTCTTTTGAGTACTTATCATGTTTTCTGTCTTTGAAATTGCTTATGTTAAAAAATCGGGTCGATTGTGAAAGCTTAGGCTTACGACCCATATTTTTCATAACACATCACAGAAACAAATATTGGTACTACCACCTCCCTTATTCTCGTGGGTTGCGCTTGCTGGTAGTTACTTACATTCACATGCAACACCCCCATCTTTATTGTCCATTCTTCTCAACATGGTTGTTTCCTCCATCCAGAGGGTATCTCCATCTCTATCCTGATCTTCTCATATCACCCTTTCCATCCACCCTTCTGTCTCCTCACTAGTCAGGCGAATCGTCCAGTCCTTATCCACTCTTACCTTTGGGAGCTTGATGATCACCACGTCTGCTAGGTCGACTCGGAACTCCAAAGGCTCGACTGCAGCTTAGAGGTTGGGGTGCTAGGCTTATAATTACAACTTTCTGTGCATGTCGGATAGCAAATGCCAGTGAAGATTAGGAAGGAAGTAATCAATTTGAGATGAGTCACAGAGAACCTGTTCTCTGCCTAGCCACTAGTCTGATAGCAATAGTGTTTTTCATTTCGTGGTTAATGAACAAATTCACTCACAAGGATCATTGAGCAGAAGAGTTCTTGAGGCCTCTGTTGAAAGCCAAAACCAATTTTAATTTATTCAACATAATTTCCTTCTCCACCAGCATACTGCACTTCGACTTGCCTCAAAGCGTGTACTCGTTCTGAGCCCATGCCGCACACCACAATGCGTTCGACTAAGAGACCTTGGTTGCCTGATCCAGTTGCGCCAAGGACGCCCTCTAGTTCTGCAATTCGATGGCTTTTCACTACTTTTCCACTCAAAGTAGCGAGAAGAAGACTTGTGTCTTGCTCATCCTTCTTACGGTGGACGTCAATTCTTGCGGATATTAGAAAAAAAAGAATAGGTGGCTTTTGTCATACCTACTACGATCAAACCTTAGATGACTACATCCGAAATTAGTTTCTTGTACGGCAGTTACTTATGTTAATACTGTGTGATATAATTAAACACCAGTCTTCAAGACGCACAAGTTGCATTTCGTGTTTCTTGTACGGCAGTTATGTTACTGTGTGATATTAAACACCGTGAAGACGCACAAATTGCATTTCGCATGTTCACCGAAATAGACGTTGGATAAGGATTAGGTACTTATGTGTTATGTGCATTTTCAATCAACGAACATGGAGGCAGTTATGTTACTGTGTGATATTAATATCAAACACCAGTGAAGACGTTCAAGACGCAGAAATTGCATTTCGTAACTCCATCAAACTGCTAGGCGTTTCCATCGAATCGTAGTCGTCGACGTAGATTTTGCCACTCGCGGTTCCGCTCTGTGGGTCCACGAAGAAGTTCAGCGTAAACGGATCCCGCTTTTGGAGGGCTGCGGAGCGTCGTTGACGGAATTTGGTCGGCACCATAGACCCACCTTTGACGACCAAAGGCACATTCCCACGGACGTCGAAGGCGTAGCTTGCGCCACCCTTCAGCGGTTCGAAAGTGTACCAGCAGTACCACATGGGAGCGGAACTACCGGAGATGTGCGGATTAGAAGTTGTAGATAACAGCAAGTACTTGATGCCAAGTAGATATGGACGATAGTGCCGAATCCATGATGCCAGACGATCGAGGCACTGTTTCAAATTATATACAACAAGCTTCATAACATCTCCTCCGCCTGGCAAATACACCTTCCATTCGACCTGATTCGGCTTGTCTACGACGCGCGTCAACAGCGCATCTCCCACCATTAGTTCGTAGTTGAGGTTTTCTGGCAAGAAAACCTTCGAGTCCGAACCAAAGTCGTGCCAGAGTGGTCGAATAATAGCCGTCCCCTCTGTGTGATACTGGTGGAACAACGTGTAGTAGTAAGGCAAAATCTGATACCTCAATCGGATGGCGGGAAATGAAGGCGGACGGGCGGGAAGGAGAAGATGTAGGGAGGAGAAGATGGAGAAGATGTAGGGAGGAGAAGATGTAGAAGATGTACTAGGGAGGAGTAGAGGGAGAGAATAAAGAAAGCAATCATAATTGTTGATCTGGTTCCTTGTGGGCAAGAAGACGACCGAAACATCATAGTCAGTTGTACAAGAGAGAGAGAGACACTTATCCTTTCAACATAACTGTTTCACCAACAACAGATTCGCTTTTTGCAGCAAATAGGGCTCCCTTCTAGCAGTCTCAATATGGGCATGATTGCGGAAAAATGGATAGGCGACAGCGCCGAACTGATACCATCTGACCATCAGTTCTGGATCCGGGTTCTTGAAAAATCCTCCAACGTCAGCACCTAGATCATTGAGAAAAAGTAAATAAGGAAACTGAATCTGAAAGAATAAGAGATGAAGAAAAAAAGTAGTAATAAAAAGTATTTAGTTTCTTTATGATTGAAGACAAAAAGTAATAAAAAGTAATAGTAAAGAATACTTAGTTCTTGTACCAATAAAACTGATTCCTCCAAGTGCGTGGGACAGGACCATGGGTACTGAAATCGTGAGATGAGACCAAGCTGCCAGGTTGTCTCCTGTCCAGATAGCTCCCCAACGATGGCTTCCAGTATAGAACGAACGCGAGAGAACGAAAGGTCTGTTTGATTGAGGTTGGGATAGGAAGGGTGTCAATTTGGAGAGAACTACTCTTCAGCCTTGATCGATATTGCTATCTAGTTATGATTATGTGTACTTACTTATGATAGCTGAGATTCGGCATCGCATGGACTTCTACTGCTTCTTGCAGCCAGTTGTGCGACCACACCAACCACGTACAACTCTACCTATGAATAAACATGGACAACCACGTACAACACTTAGAACAACTCTACCTATTGAGTATAGACCAGAGGAAACATTATATGCATCTATATTATTACCTCCTCCCTTCCTTATGCGCCACATGCCCTTCAAAGGTCGCACGATGAACATACATTCCGTACAAATTGTGGACATCTCGATGCTCGACATCTCCCATGTGCACGGCGTCTCTGGGCGCACTAATTTCAGGGCCATTGAAGACACTAGGTTCATTCATATCGTTCCACGTATAGGTGTCCAAAGTGCTTCCCGGAAACTGGGATAAGGCAAAGTTACTGCTAGGGTATGAAGAGAGAGGTGGTTGTGGAGGGAAGGAAGTTTGAGAAAGTGAAAGAGTGTGACGACTAGGACTATGAGATTAGAGAGTGAGGAGGTTGTACTGGACATGTTTACTTCTCGAACGCGACAAGTCTAGAAGCAAGTGAACTTCAACGAGAGCAAAACTTGGCGGGGCTGGGGAAGTAGTAGTAGAGATTTAACAAGATTAAGAGGCAAAAGCAAGAAAATGAAAACCGTATCTCATAACCACAAGCTTCGCATTTTAGGGTTCGTGAAGTCTGGATAAACGCTCTGTCCGGGCCAGCACCAGCCCTCGAACGTAGAGACTTCGGAATTAGCATAGTCAATCGTTCTCTCCTTGCGAGGCGGCTGCCACGCGGGGTTGGCGACGAGGATTAGAATTATGTATGATCTTAAACAGATGTTGAAGTCGTTGTATCTATAATTCCTATTCAAGTGCTACGAGAAAGAACTCAACGCACATCAAGTGATGCTTCTCAGCCTTAAGAGTGGATGTTCCCAGGCTCCATCTTCTTGGGGATTGTAGTCTGCGGGAGGACCTGTCACACTGGCATCCTTGATAAACTGGGGAATTTCTTCCGCTCCTTCCTTCTTGACTTAGGGGCTGCAACTACATTGCATTCTTCAAACCATCTTCTCACTCTGACGGTGACTTCTTTCCTATTGGAAAACAAGTCCAGTATTGTATGTGTAAGAATGTAGTGACGTGGCAAAAGTCCTTAATTGACAACAATCTCCTTCTCGGAAAAAGCCCAAGAGCGCTTTTCTGTTAACACCTTGGCGTCGCGGAGTTGCGTGTAGACTGAATAATCATCAGTCTTTTTGATATGCGGGTCAACGATGGTGACTAACTTTCGTCTTTGCTTAGAGTGAGCTTATCCAAGAAATGCACCTTCGTCGAAGTCCATTGTTGATGACACGCTTTGTTTTTGTAGTTCTTGTTCATCAACAAAATTAAATGCGTCAAAATAAGATGTTTCTTGAGATGAATTAATGAATTACGTTCACGGAGACAAGACTTAACTTGTGCAGTCAGCTTGTCCGTCATCATTTTAGGGTCTTGGAAATGGTGGTGGTCCCAGGTGAAGTACCTCTTTCCATCCGTATGTTCGATGTCCAGCCAAATCACATCGTACGGGATATCGTAGGATTCAAATTTATCGTGGACCTTGCAGGGGGTGATACTGATAGAAAGACAGGCCAAGCGATATTAGTGGACTTGGATAACATCAACAAGGATACAAAAAATGTCTAAGAAAGATCATCAACAAACATCTTCATTTTGTGCCAGAGAGTCCTGTAGCGGTACCTCCAACAAATCATCTTGGCTTTTGTAGTTCCATCTGCATTGGTGTTTTCCTAGGGAGAATACGGGAGCCATGGCAGGCATACCGGTTAGGATGTGAAATTGGTTCGAAACCGCAGAAGCCGTTGGACCAGGAAAAAAATACACATCCATAATGCCGCTCTCGGAGACCCACCTGTGGTCGGTAGGGGTATTTCAAGGTCGATTCAAGGTGTACGGGTAGATTATTAAGAAATCCTAAGGAGGAAAAGATGTTTCAAGAAATTGATGAAGGAGATATCTTCATCTTCTTGTTGACTGCTAGTCCCACGAGCAGAAAGTCGTACCTACACTGACATGCTGTTAGAGCTAGAGGTCCCACTAACTGAAATTAGTTCCCACTTACCATGTATCAAATCCTTTCATCAGTTTCATCATGTCTTTTCTCCGAATTATTTAGAAGCATCTTTTAATACAAATAGAAATACCATGTATCAAATCCCTTCATCGACTCTTTCTTTCCGCCGCCGAACCACGTATTGCCTTGATTTTCATTATGTCCATCGATCTTGACAAAAGTTTCAGATGGGTTGTTCCAGAGTACACCTGCGACTGTGTTTCTACTCTGCTCGTAGCCCCACATCATCGGCACCGCACCGTACAGCGCCATTGGCGAATTGAGTTCATACTCGAAAACATCGAGATTGAATAGGCGGTAGGGCTCGTTCCGGGATTAGAGTTTTGAATTGGTGGTCACTTGATTCATCAGAAGTCCTGTGTAGTTTTCATCTTATCTTAATTGAATGATCTTTTTCCTTATGATCCATCTGAGCATTATCGAAATACTCTGTTATTTTCACCCCATACCCATGATCCTTTAAGCTCAAGTCGTCCGCGTGCTCTGGGAGTCCGAAAACGTGTTGAACATTCCCGTTGAAGGTGATATCGACGCCCAAAGCCGCTGGACCCCTAGGCTTAGGGTCGCGATGCGCATGGAAATTCTCAGCCCAGAGACCCTCTTCGTCCACGTGTCGGTGGTTCGCCGAATCAAAGATCAGCTTGTGTCTGTTAGATGTGGTGGTAAGCCGAGATAGGGTGATACATGGGTGTCAGATGATAGGGTGTTACATGGGTGTTACTTAGATCAGCTTGTGTCTGTTACATGTGGTGGTGGGTGACTCAGTGTCGGTACTACTGGTAATATAGGTACTTACATTGGTGGTTTGGAACTCACTACCAAGTACCACCTTTCACAACAACCTTGTGCCTGTTAGATGTGATGGTGGTGGATGACTCGGTTGTACACTAACCGAGATACAACCATGTAGTGGTAAGAAATGACCACGTGGTTCTTTTATTTAGGTGGAATTCTAATTCATTCATAACAAATTAAGCATAAGTACTAGAGGAACGAAGAGGTAGAGCTAGAATTCATATTCTTGACTCAATGGTAGTACTAGATGATTGGTCATCGTCATGATCGACCAAACTCAGATCATAACAGCATGCTCATGCTCTGGAAAGACGTTCTTGTTAACCACAGTCTGAGATCGGTAAATTTCGAAATTGAGGAAATTCCTCCTGTTCACTGTCGCGTAGGTCTGGCCGTTGATCCCGACTGTAAGGACCAGAGGACTCCACTCTAGTTTGGCTTCGATGTGGTCGCTTGATTTAGAGGGTGGGAATGGTGACGATGAAGATGGTAATGTTGGAAAAAAGAAGAGTAGTTAGATAGTAGTACCAAGAAGAGATCTAGTAAATTATTGGTGGTCACTAGCTTCTTTTGGCCACGATGACATCCGTGAGAAAATCATCCTAAGTAAAGCCAAACTAAGTAAGCCTAAGCCTATAATATTATAGTATATATAAGGTGCAAAACGAAAACCAAAGTATGCCAAAGTATGTATTATAGTATGAGGTGCAAAACTAGAGTGGCCTTAACATTCTTTGATTGCCATTTCCAGATCGATGCTTTGGCGCCTGCTCCATCTTGCGGGTTACCTTCCGTTGCACCACCTTCATCTTCATTTTCATTAGCATTTTTTACGACCACTGACGCAGCACAACTTCATCAATACCATACAATTAAGATTATTTAGTCGTGTCTTGAAGGACAATGTAGAACTTCAGAGCAAGATGAGCCAGAGCGATAATAGCGAAAGCTTTTGAAAAAGAGTGAAGACAAACTCGTGTAACTCCATCTCAACGTTCTTGGTGATCCTTTCTTAATATATTGAACTTGTTCGCTTGGCATCTCCTCGTTCGACCCTGCTACGATGACATCTCCAGCAGGAATTTCGTATCTTGGGTACAAAGGATTCAACTCCGTCAATTTGAACCCTACTCCTCCAGACTTGTATTAGAACGAGCTCACCCTTATGCTTACCCATCTTGATACCACGCTGATGCATCCTGGCTGCTTCGACTTTTCCCCTTCTAAAAAGAAAAAGCCTCTGCAGGATGGATGCCCATGCCTCAGGAGATTGATGGATAAGATTAAAAAAAAGCCATAATTGTAGAATGTCAGCTTCAGCTGTAGTGTGCCATGTTTTTCTCCCGTATTGCTCAAAACAAAGCTGCCTGTCTTTTTGGAGTGTTCTTCTCGGTCTCCATGGGCTCCTTTGACCACTTCCCATTTGTAGTAGCCATAGTCTGGATTTTTCATCAGCTCCACCCAGTTCCGATACCTTCGGCAGAAGGAGCCTTGGGCACATGTTCGAAACTTGGAGTGATCCACGGCTTCGACAGATATTATGGTGGAAGTGCCAAGCAAAAGCAAGGCCAGACTGGTGCCCGTGCTCCAAAGCCGCATCTTGTTGGTGTTGCTTCTCTCTTTTTGACGAGCAGTTGTGTGTAGTTGTTACTCTCAATATTATTTGACAACTTGTGGATAAGATGGTGTACTACTACTAGTCAAATTTCTGATCTTGTCAGCGTTACCAGCACTCACTTAAAAATACTAGTAAAACCCGGCGTGTTGGTTCTCGACACATAGCTGGCTCAATCCAAAAATGTACCGAGAGTAGTTGGCTGGCTCAATCCAAAATACCGAGAGTTGGGATGACCACAATAACCCGCATGCACTTGTACTCCACACGACGATCACAGGAACCTCCGGCCTCGTGCAGACAACTGAACCCAGCCGTGCCAGGCTTGATCCTTTCTCGTTGAGGTTGATCATCCCTATCCCACGACACCTTTTTTACTTTACTAGATCTTCTTTACTTTATCAAGATCTCCGTACACTAGCGTCGCCTTCAAACACGAGGGGTACCAGTCATCTACTCCCAGAACACAGTCGAAACCAGAAGCAGATCCGCTTGCGACGGTACACCTTGATGCTCTTCGTTTACTCATATCCTTTCTTCTTCTTGATCTCTCTTGTCATTCTAATTCTCATACTTATCTAAGTATCTGTGTTTGTTCTGAAATGCTCGTGAGTTCCGGAGCAGCATGTCGTAAGTAAGAGGAATCAATAAGGCAAACGTTGTTTTTTTCATCGTACGTCTAATTTTCAATCCATCATGTCCACAATAGTTACAGTTTTTTGGAAAAACTTGGTCCGTATAGTATGTCTATGCCACCTAGGTAGTTGTAGACTGCTTTACTTGCGGCGCAAGTAGCACTTTTCGGACGCCCAGTTCCTGTTCCGACATCTATCATTATATTTCTCACTGTACTGAATCTGAATCTGAAAGTGTATAAATAATCCTTTAGTCTTGTTGATGAGCTTGAAAGTGTTCGGTAAAAACAATCTATCTACGACGAATTTCAAATTGAATTGATACTAGGCACGAATTCGAGCCGTACCTTTATCACCATATTTCGACCACCAATTCCGACTTATTCCGATGAATCTCCATTCCATCTAGTACTTGTACAGACCGGTTCAACCACTCCTAGGCTTCTGCGTCAGCAAATCCGAGAACTTCGCTCACAAACTCCCTTCCATCTACATGGTCCGTTTCTGGCGACAGAGTTGCTTGTCCCGTCAATGCTTTCAAACAGTTCTCCAACTCTTCGTCGCCAAGATTAGAAGAAGAGCCTAGAGTCTAAGATGTTGAAACCTGAGGGTGGTCAACGAAGAAAGTCGAAGACTTATTACGGAATGGGAACTCTACGTTAAAAAATGTTCCCCTTGATTGAGCTGCATCAGCCTGATCTGAAAATAGGAATACTCATCTCACGACTAATCTCAGTCTCAGAAGATGAAGAGTCAGAGTCTCATATCGTCGACGGTTGGAGTACTATACAACTAATCATCCAAATCTAGAAGTCGTGCCATAATGAAAGCCTCGCCACCAGTGACTAATTTTTCCAGCAGGTTCCGCTTGCTTCCCTCAGCCAAAACCAAGACAGCGTTCTCTAATATTTCGGTATCGACCTGGATGTCACTTCCAGGATGTGTACAAAGTCATGTATAAAAATTTCCTGACTTTTGTAGTCAAAAACAAAATTTCTCAAATTCTTTTTAAACTTTATTCGTACCTGGAAAACCGGTCTGTGATTGACGTAGAGCTTGACAAATGATTCGAAGTTCAGCTTCTCTTCGTACTTGCCTGTTTGCTCGAAGTTGCTTCCTTTGACCTCTTGTATCATATTGGCGATCTCTGTCTGCGTTGGAAAGCAGCCTAGCGCGCACATGAGGTACGGCACTTCACTCAGCGGGATGGTTCCATCGAGGACGTATCTGGGTGTGGTACACGTGGAAATAGCTTCAAAAGTTCAAGTTGTAAGCATGATCAGCATCTGGATCTGCATCGTCTAATTGTAATCAACAAGTTTCAACTAGAACATAAAGGTGGACGACATGCAGACTAAAGGAACACTAGAATCTAGAACAAAGACAGAGAAAGTCTACTTGTATGTATTCTAAAAAGAGTACTTTTGTGTCGTCCTTTCGCCGTGACTTCTTATCTGGCAGTAGTAAAAGTAATCCCGAATTTCCGCTAAGAAGTCATCATCGATAAGCTTCAGGTATGGAGCGATTCCACTACCACCCTTGATTAGAGGAGCGGGCTTATTTTTGTTTGAACAGATGATTGCCGTTAGTGTTAGTCAATGACGTCGATGCATGGTAATAATTGTTGGTACCAGACAAGGACTGTGCTCTGGTAGAAATCAACGTCATCTGATTTGAAGTCTGCATCATTGCGTTTTAACTTGCAACCACCTGTCCTGACCACAATCGGTACAACAGGAGGCTATTGGCATGATAGATGTTTGTATCTATACTACTACCCTTGTCAAGACAAGAGTCTTAACCTCAATGCAGCTGTTGTCACTGGTTCGGTGTCGATAGCCCACATATTTATCGTTAAATCCTCTCCACCGGCTGAAAAAGCAAATTTTCCTGAAACACATTGTTGAGTTAGTCTTCGTGGTACTGCTCATCATCAGGACTCATCATCGCAACCGAACGCAGGACTCATCATCGCATCAGTCATAATAAATCTTGTGGATGATGATGTTACCTCATAACTGATACATCAAATGAAGATGGGTATGATGTTACCTGTTGTACCTCATCACTGATACAGAAAATGAAGATGAGTATGTTACCTGTTGTATGTACCTCATCACTGATACAGAAAATGAAGATTGTGGATCTACGCTGAGCAAGTACCTTGTGGATCTACGGTGATTGCAGACACCTGCCCCGGATGCGCTATCACGCCCATTTGCCTATAGGGATTTCCGTCTAGTGGTTGCTGCAGAAGTCCTATTACCTGTGGAAGAGTTTTCGATTAATAGTTGTATGGATGTTACAGGCGCAGCGTAAAACGGAAAACTTAAACGACGAGTAGCAACATTTAATCTTATTCCCAATCCTTGTCACAGACGGAACTACAACGAAGACAATTATAGACCTTATTCCCAGTCGCGTACAGTAAAAAGCTGTCATCTTCTCCCTTTGCTGGCACCATCTTTCTAACCGGACCTCCATAGGTCGGCGCCAAGGAGGTCCTTCGGCACATGCGGTTTCTATACGTCTTGAATTTAAACTCAGAAGTGGATATGACGAGTCCACAATCCAAGAAGCTGAGTCCGGTAGGTAATGCTTCTTGGTCCACCACAGTTGATGATAGAGGCGGGAAGCCAACCTGCTCGTCTTCAGGGTAGTCGCTCGCGAAAGCGCATTCGTACTCGACAAGCTTCCTGTCCTCACCCAGTGAGTAAAGACGCAATGGGGAGACTTTTGATTAGATGGGAACAACGTGCTTCTCCCGGAGAACAACTTCATCTAGAGAGGAGGAACTTATGTGGACCACGTTGCGATGCCTGACTGATGTCACTGATCTACTTCCAGCAAAGAGCAACATTTTCTGGATCGTAGACACCGTTGAGATGCCTGATCTACTTCCAGCAAGAGCAAGAACAGACTCTCGTTCTGATCATTCTGAAGAAGGTGAGGACCTCAATCCTTATCCTGACTAATTTTGAGTTTGACTAATTCAAATCATAACTCTGACTAAAGCATAGTCCCACCACTGGGGCATGGTGCCATCTCTGTTTCCCTGCTGCTATCCAAGTCTTCTGACTCTTCGCGTCCCCTCTTGTGGCGCCAACATCATGTCGGAAGAGGCAGACCTGAAAAGGAGCGTTGTTCTTGTACGGCCTATGAATGCGAGTTGTTGTACCGCATGTGTTATTCTTTGAATGTTAAGTTCTCTTGAGTTCATGCTGTTATTCTTCTGTGCAATTCTGGAACTACAATTATAAAAGCATGAACTCAAGAGAACTTAACATTCAACAAAATTTTGGTTTTTGTACACCAAAAATCTATACCGATCTATCCGAGTGTGCGACAGCTAAGAAATCGCTATTTTCGCTAAATGCGAGATGCGTCACCGGATCCCTGCTTTCCCTAAACTGTGCCACCTCTGCTAATTCGCTATTCAGTATCCTGATTTGCCCGTTGGTGAAGCCGACGGGTGAATTAGAAGCAGTATTTTCAATGGTTTATTCATGTTCTCTTCACTGATCGAAATCGAGCATCACGACCAGAAGGAGAGCTTATGTACTTAGTTTGGACATGAATCACTGATCGAAATCGAGCATCACGACCAGAAGGAGAGCTTATGTACTTAGTTCGGACATGAATCACTTATCGAAATCGAGCATCACGACCAGAGCCTTAGCCAACAACCCGGATTTGCTGTATTCCAGTATATTCGGTAGAATCTTTTCGAAAATTTTCACCGTCTGCAGTGTTTTCGAGTGGAAGTTCCAGAGGTGGATGAACCCGGAAAGTCCCGCTACCGCCAATAGTGGCTCGGTCGGGTGACAGCATACTCCGTGAACTGGTGAGTCCAACCCTTGTAATATGAGCCGACCTCTTCGTTGCTGCGGCTCCAACTCGAAGAAGAGGTCGCTTCTACAAGCTACCACTAAGGCACTGGCTGTTGCGACAATAAAGTTTGGACAGGAGAATTGGAAGTCACTCGAGGCAGCTGACTGCTCGGATCCTTGCTGACCGCTGCCGCGAAGGTTAGAAGACGCACATCGAAGGAAGAGAAGTTCTCCAAGAACTGGAACAAGTACTTACTACTTGTTCATCTGAGCATATTATTCTTGTTGCCCGAGAATAATTAAAATTATTTACCTCTAATGTAAAAAAAATGAAGTGATTGAACAAAAGATGCATTTCGTAACATTGCCATCCGCACTTTGCTCCTCTCCCGAGTCAAAGCTGACTGAGGTCACGCTGCCAGCACAGAGGTCCTCAAACCAGGCTTGGAGCCGAAATTGGTAGTCGTAGAATCGAACTGCGCCATCAGAAGACCCGACTACGACGTAGTTGCGAATATTAGCAGTTGTCAAGAGCTTGCATCTTGATTGCTTTGTAGAAGCAAGAACGGCAGGTAGGTTAGGTTAGGTTATGGATCCTTCACAACGAGCCCCACAAGCACCCGCTGCTCGCATCCGAGGATGATGGGTGACTACGAAAGTCAGCAGAAATAGTTCGTTACTTAGTATCTCTACCTCCACTGTGCACGCTAGGGCCAAGAAAATAGTTCGTTACGTATTTCTACCTCCACTGTGCACATGTTCCGCGCATTGCTAGGCCCAACAGCGAAAGTATTTCTACCTCCACTGTGCACATGTTCCCTGCATTGCTAGGCCCAAGAAAATAAAATACTTATTTCTACCTCCACGGTGCACATGGCTAGGCCCAAGAAAATAGTTCGTTACGTATTTCTACCTCCACTGTGCACATGTTCCCTGCATTGCTAGGCCCATCAGCGGGTCATGAGTGAGGAGAAGCGCTGAAAAAAAGCGAACTACCTCAAGCTCAGAAATGTTGTACTACACAGGAAGATAAACAACCTCAGCCGTAACATGAATCTTCAATGCGTTCAAGCACACATCTGGGCAAAGGCGCAAGATTTTCACTGCTCTCCTCTCGTCAGGCCTGGAGAGTTCGTCCACAATCAAGGAATGGTCCCATATTACTACATCGCCATCCATCGTACCTGGGAGGACGATAGAATACAATTCCTTATGAAGATCGTCCGCAGATCAGTCTAAGCACAACTAGCAATAACAAAAGGAGCACTCTCGCAACTGCAGATCAATCTAAGCACAACTAGCAATAACAAAATCTTCAGCACTCTCTCAAAATCCTAAAAATCACCAAAGCAAACCTCTATCTGACGCAAACAAACAATGAACCAATATACCCGTCAACGCTTGTGTGCTATGCTGCCTCTATCTGACGCAAAGAAACAATGAATACCTGTCGCCGCTTGTGTGCTATTCGGCAGAAACAGCGTCTGTGTGAAATCTCCGACTTTCTGCTTGAAATCTTTTGCAGCTAGAGCAGGAGAATAGAATTGGAACTTGCCTCCTGCCATTTTATCCTCATCCCACGTCCAGAAAAAGACACGTCTCCTACCGTTCGTCGCTATCTCCGAGATGTTCCAACGGTTGAAAACCTGAAGAGAGACTTTTTGATGAATATGTGCCGGGATTGGAACCGCAGAAAGGACGAGACGCGAAGTGTTAGCTAAGGTAAAAACGTAATAACAGTATGGTGAAATAAATTTGATGAGGTATCACAACATCGAAACCGATGACACAGGTGAGACAGCTCTCAACTAACGACCTAGAAGTCTAATGCATTATCTCTCAGGTAAAAACGTAGTAAAAAATAGTACCACACAAGTCTGCACGTCTTGCGTTCCTATCAACGCTGTGCAGATCGGTGCGTCGCTATTCTCGGAGGTCGGGTCTTAGAAGACTTGCGATTTCATGGGACAAAACTGTCGTCTCCTGAAGATTCCTACTGCAAAGGCTAAGGTTAACTCTATTTTTTGAGGCGTTCAAAATTCAAATCTAACATTACTACTAGACCTTCCCTGTCGTGGTGACCCTACCACCAACTACGTCACACAAAGACAAAGTATAATCCATCTAAGGATCTAAGTATGTTGAAACTTCACAAAGTATATTACTATAATTCATCTAAGTATCTAAGTATGTGTATCATCTCTTAGACTGCCATAACAATCCCACACGCTGAGATATTGTTTGAGTTCTGCGCCGTCCATCTCAGGCGCCGAAAGGGTCGCCAAATACTTACTATCTGGAGTCATATCTAACGCCTGGACGCCATTTCGATACGGTGAGAACATAATCTTCACCGGTGTGCCAGTATGTCTGTCCCATACTGTCAGCATTAGAGCTCACTATAAAAATCCATCCGTCTTGAAGACCATGACACTGATATCCTTCTATTCCCTAGCTCCAAAACATCCGTCTTGAAGACCATGATCCGGATACTTATTCTTCTTTTCCCCTCGAAGTGAAACTGAAGGTAACTCCAAGCAAGACGAGGAAGCAAGAAGGATTATGTTTACGCATGCTGTTGTGTGTTGTCCCTGTTGCCATCGTTCATGATGACCGTAGAGACGTGGTTTGCCAGGATTTCTATGATACTGGCAGCACTCGACAAACCTTGAGGTAAGGAAAAACGCAGGGAGCTACTTCTACTCGAGCAGAACTCATGTAGGAAGAGGAAGCGGGCCTTAACAACATACTCTCCTTCCCCGTATCCGCAGTGACGATCCATCTTTTGTCTTGACTGAGGTAGCTCGCAGTAATCTGATTCACGTGTCCTTGCAGTAATTTCTGCTGCCCTGTAGCCGTGTCGTATATCACTCCTGTATGTGCTGCTGGGTAGAAAATTTCGCTGCCGCCGTGTCTTAGAGGAGGGAGGATCAATCAGCTTCTTGAAGATGGATCTTGATGAAGATGGATCTTGAAGATTCTTCCTCTTCTATTATTGAAAGAGAAAGGGTTATTCTTATTTGCCCATATTAAACTACTTACTTATATGATAATATGGGTGGAGCCAAGCTAAGGCTAACTAGGAAAAGAAAAAAGGAAAGATAGTAGCTAGGTAAAGTATAGAGAAGTACAGAAATATTAGTAATGGCCATGTTAAGTAGGATCCGTACTTACTTATATGACAATCATACATAATATTCAATTGAACAACCCTAACACGAAGAATGCGTAAAGAACAACTACAAGGTTAAACTCTAACAAGAGGCCTGCAATCATAATAAATGATGCACTCCTGAGATGACGTCCTTGCAGAACCCGAATATCCAATTTAGGGCCAAAGCTGGCGCATCCTGCACGACGGCAGCCTTGGCGGTCGATGAGGAAGCTCCTCCACTACCTGCCTCTTCGACTAAGGCGACTTCATTGGGGGGCTCGCCGCCCCCGCCGTCATCTGCGGCCATCTTTTGGAGAGGGAATGTTTGATGATGCTGTGCTTGCGATCCTGACTGGTTATACGTGGTTGCTGAATTTTGATATTGAGGAAAAGGTTGGCCTTGGCTGCGGTGAGGCGTGAGTACTAGATGAAAATAATTTTGGACGATCCTTATCGTTATCGAATGAATACTTATGCAAATCGAGGGGTCAAAGCATTTGCCAAGGGCAGCAACCGAATCCGGCAAAGGGGTCTACCACTCACACTGTCCATGACAGCTGCAAGCGCATCCGATTTCATTTAACCTTAAGCAGAAACAGATTTATTCTTACGTCGACTTCGAAAGAAGTTCCGATGCCTAGATGTCAGGACAAATAACGAGAAAATTGACGCGAATACTTCCGCTCGCAGTCGAAACAATGACGATCTTGGAAGAAATAGAAACGTCGTGTCAACGCCAATACATAGAAGCGTCTCCATCTCATGTCTCTCCCCTCAAACTTCAGCAAATTGCTTTTTCAGCGATGCTCAAGCTTAGAAGCGATCAAAACTGCTACTGTACAAGCACAGGCCATTTGAGCTGGTATTCTTAAAGAATGGAAAAAGTGTAATCATTATCGTTTTTTTGATTTTTTCAGATTGGGATAACAAATTCCAGGCATTTGTGGGACGCTGTGCGCGTGGGCATAAGAATGGAGGGGCGCCAGCATTCGCCGCTTCCTCTTGGCGCGTTTGTGGGTGTGCTGCGCTTCCCATGACTCAGACAACAAAACAGCGGCGCCGCATGGGCTGCTGTTCTGCTCTGGCTGCTGGGTGGTGCTGCGCTCTCCGGGAGGCGCTTCCAGCAATGGCAGACGCGCACGCGTGTAGCTTGTTTCCCTGTCTCCTCGCGAATCTGGGGCCCGAGTGTCAGGGGATGGCCCGCAGCCCTGCTGCTTGCGGCCGCTCCGCCACCTCTGGCGCCCCACCTTCTCCGACCTCTAGCGACTCGGCGCCCCCTTCCTGCTGTGGCTGCTCTGGTCCTCTAGCCGGGCCGGAGGTGGTCCGCCGCCCCCCTCCACCGACCCCTCCAAACACTCGCCAAAAAAACGATAACGAGCAAGCAGAAAAGGCGCCCACCTGTCACCCGCTTGCCCCTCGAGGTTCTGAAGATTTAGATTGTTTTTTTGGGCCTCGGCGAAGAGTGTCGGGCGCCAGAAGCGTTATCGCCTATCTGTCGGGCGCCAGAAGTCTTATCAAATGGGGTCCCTGAAAACAAGGACCCCCCTCAAACACCCCCCCCAACTGACCCCTTCAGCCGCTCGCGCGTCTGCGGCTCTCGGTCGGCTCCTCGCCTCCTTGGATCTTGAGCGAAGTGGCGCCGCGGCTTCCCCTCGATCGGCTTGGCGTTTCATATTGCTTGCCCCCAGGAATCGCCCCAACGATTGCCAGCGGGGCTGCTTTCCGAGTGCGCCGCGCTTGGTTCCCAAGGTGGGCTACTTTTGTGGATAAGTTTGCAGGGACAGGCCACGCTACTGCCCAATGGGCGGGCGTAAGCGGAGGCCGCGGCCTCTGAGCTTAGCGGAACCATGATGCCCAGCCATGACTGAAGGGCCGCGTCAATGGGAGGAGGAGCGCAGCGTCTGCTGCGGCGCCTCGCGGAGGGAGGGCCGGCTTGGCCATCGCAAGGTGGAAAGCCCCAGGGCCGCAGTGCTCCGCGTCGTGCTTTTCTGAAAAATTCAAAAAAACGATAATGATAACGTTTTTTCTCGCGATATACTTTTGCCTTCATTTCATACCAATAACAGAAGGAGCCTGTAGGCCTTTTTGATGAGGTAGTAAAAAAAGACGATCCATGTAAAATAGAAATCATAGAACCTCGCAAAAGAACTACAACCTTGCCCCAGGACAAAGTGTACTAGTTTCTCTTCCTTGACAAAGAAATCAATCAATAAAACGTGGTTGCTCCTGGTGATGGTAGTTAGATATTAGCATAATTAGTCTCTGATGGCTGCTCGTCCTTCGATGTCGACCCCAACGTGAAGTAAGATAAATGAGAAAACAGAATACAAGTGAGTCTCAGTCGTCAGTGCAACGCCAAGAACAATTAAATTTGATTCAGTACTGAGATTTGTTCGATTTCAAATTTAGCTACAGGTTCAGAGTCTATTTCGCAAAACCAATTCCAATATTCGAGGCTCTGTCAAAAGAAAGCCGCTGCCGCTCGCACGTTCGCCGGCACCACGCGCCTTCTATCCAAAAAAGCCACTAGCTTCAAAGGCATCATCTCCCATGATATTCCTGGCCCACTGCTTCCTAGCCTTGACGGACTGCATATGCCGTACGAACTTGATATAGTCTTCACTGGCTGTCAACGCATCAAGCACTCCGTGGATGCTATCCTCATCAGCCTCTAGGTGGAAACCACGGGGATCTGATGAGAGGTTAGACAATCTCAATACAACTCAATGCTAGAGCTGTCCGTAGTTCATCTTTCAAGTGCATCCTTGAAAAGTATGGGGGAGCATTCCCTTGGGATACTCCTCCATACGTTTCAAGGATGCGTCCAAAGATGTATTAGGTACAGCCTTAACAAGACTTACATGATGAGAGAAGAAGGACACACAACCATATTAACTAAGAAATAGCCAAAAACTTTCAAACTACAAAGGATACAAACAATCTCAATGTATCTTCAAAAATGAAACAATAGAAGTGTAAACGATGGATACAATCTCTATCAAAAATGAAACAATATTAGAAGAAGTACTCTTCACAAACTTCGTGATCTCATCTATGATTTTCTCCACGTCGTATCCAGCCTCTTGCAAAACCGCTTCCGCTCTCTCCTCAAACTTCGCCCTATAATCCTGATGCAGCTGTGTCCATTCGAGTTTCTGTTCGACATCTACTGGATCTGGTCGATGAGGTAGGACAGGTGGACCACTGAATAAGAATAGTTCAACAGTAGAGAAATTTCTGGCGCTTCTACTTGTTGTACTTGTAACTGACCTATCTTTCGGACTCGTCGACGCATAATAATTGAATTGTTTCATACTCTTTCTTGTAGTACCTTCATCCGGAAACTGGTCACAGTGTTTGAAGCTCCACATCATTAAGTTCATCGTAAAATCGTCGTCCGAAAAGGCATCTAGGATTTCCCGATACATGTAAATGGGCATCACTGGTCTTGATATCGCATCGAGGTCTAGGCACGTTAGAAGGTGTGGGTATAGGTGGAAGGTCTAGGGATATCGCGTCTGGATCTAGGGAGGTTAGAAGGCTTAGGGGTACTCAGTAGGCCTTGATGTAGCCACATCGATTAGTATGCCCGTGGGGCTTTGACTCTAGCTTTTCTGCGGCAATGGCCGCTGTGCTTCATCGTCTAGTAGTTTTAGGCGCCTGGCCGTTATGCTTCATGATTCCCGCCGGGTAATTAAATGCTCGCATTGCGAGAAATATAGACCCAGGTCCCAAAAAAAAAATAAGAATATTAAACGTGAATAAATAATTGGCAGAGATGAAATACGCATGTGTGATTCAGACGGAGAAGTAGTTAATGGACGGTAACGGTTGTGAAATTTCCATAAGTCCATGTCCGGTTTTCGTGCTGCTGTTGAGCTAGCGCCACTTCTTCTGCTATGCGGTGACGAACTAGTGCTACATGTAGTCGGATTGTGCAGTGGCAGTCGCATGGGTGACTTTTCCTTCTCACCGGGCGCTCCCCTGTTAGAAGATGGGGACGGACTCGCTCTTAGGAGGTGCGAGTAAGAGTAAGAGAAAGTCTTTTTAGAGAAAGTGTCCTATTAACATTAAGCAAAAATATCTACTTCTGCCAAGATCGAGGTCGTTGTTAGGAGCAGCGAGTAAGCGTAAGAGTAAGTGTCCTGCTATAAGCTATTAAGCAGTATCTACTTCTACCAAGAAGGTACATTATCACTCATCATTGGAGTTACAGGTAAAAATGCGGATGCGGTAAAGGCAAGAAAGGGATAACTTAATTTGAACGTAGGTTTTTGGTGTTCGTTTCCCCCATTCGTTATGCCTTTCCCCCTTCAGGAAGTCAAAACGAACGGTAACAAGAACACCTTTAGCTTTAACATTAACATACCCTTCATAATTAAGCCTACCCATAATTAAGGCTTTAACATACCCTTCATAATTAAGCCTACCCATAAACATAATTAAGGCTTAGTTAATCTTAACACATTGATTAACATAACTGTCGAACTACTCGCTCCCTTTGACGATCCACTTCCGTTTTTCGTCGCAGGCGTTGATGGCCGCGAACTTGAAGCAGAAGTGGAGAGCATACTTCTGCTGCTGTTTTTGGCTACGTCCTGCTCTGGAGACCTCGCACACGAGGGTCCTGAGACTGATACCATGTCTTGCTCTTGCTTGATTGTGCTGTGGTAATTTTTGATGGCTGTGGTAATTTTATAAATATTTTCCAGTTGCGTGGATGTGGAAGTGGATGGTCGCTCTATGGAACTTTTTAGTAAGAGTCTTGCTTCAACTGAAGAAGTTTCTCAAAGTGGAAGTGGACGACTTCTCGATAAAGTGGTAAGAACTGGGAAGCTGAGCTACTTCTTGAAGCTTGTGGTAAGAACTGGGAAGCTGAGCTTTTTCTTTTGCGTCCACAGAAATAACAAAATGAGGATTTCGTCATACGGAACTACAACTTTACGCTCTATTTGCCTCTGCCCTTTTGTCTTCTCGTTTTCCTTTTTTTCCTTGCGTCACTCATTCTCATTATTTCAGCTTGCTGTAGTTGTTTTTACTTCTCTTAACATTAATAAATATTTCTCTTTTTCAGCTGCACGTCATCATCACGACCCCACTTTGATATGAAATCACTGCGTAGTCCGTTGGGAACACCAGAGAAAAGAGTCGACATACAAGAACTCTCCAACAAAGTGGGGATAGCTGTTGCCATAGGACGCATAAAGATAAAGATTGAATTAACACCGCGCTGGTGAATATAGTAGACGCGATCGTTTAGGGAGACGTTGTAGAGGGACAAGTTATAGGGACGACGGAGGGTATGGGTAGCGGTAGGGTTTATTCCGTTTCGGGTTTCATCTTATCACATCAAAATACTTTGAGTCGACAGGAGCGTGATTGGCGTAGGTGACACGTTCAAGTTCATGCTGGTGTGAGTCCAATGTCAGAAGACATCATCTATCGCAAGGCAGCAGTTGCCAAAGCAGCATCACCTATAAACCAGCGTAACGACAGCCATGATCATGCATGCGGCCGACACGTAGGGGCTCAGTCGCTTACCGATTACGGCGAATCGTCCAGCTGCGCCTCCAAACCCTGGCTTCTTCGGATCTATGAACGAGAAAGACGGCTGCAGATACGTGCATGTACATATTGCCAGTATCAACGCAGTAAGCGCTGAATTAACGTCCATTAAAACCGTCATCTTTTCTGGTTTATCTGCGGGTCTAACGTGCTACTTCTCTGCTACAAATCTTAAAACTACTTCTTCTAGTCAGGTGTTTTATAGTGCTGTGTCTACCTCAACCTCCACTTCCTGCGTGCAATCATCATTTTCCTGCTGAATGCTCAGCATCCAAAACAGTCCAGATTGCATAAAAAGAGAAGGAGAAAGTTGTTGTAGTGGTGTACACACGTGCTGCTGCATTGATTCATTACTCATTTTGCTTGGATAAGATGCTACAGCGCGGCATCGTCTCGGGTTTTGGACTTGAAAGTAACTTCATTCTCTGTATGAAATGCGCCTCCAAGACATCAATTCACCTCACAGGCCAGTGTAAAAATTCCCATCACAATGCTCAAGAACTTGCGAGAGTGTGTTGCGCGATTCTATTCGTATCTCAGTGGATGTCGAGAGATTGTCTTAGATGCTTCATTGTTGAAGTGCGGTGAGTTGTTACATACTGCTCATTCTCGTGGTCGCATGCTGTGATGTTTACTGTACAAGAACTTCATCGTCATGCTGACCTGCTGTATCGTATTCCTCTCACAACCAACTTTATCCAGTTTCGATTCTGCTTTTCAATTTCCTTTGTTGAAAAAAATAACTGGTACAACAAGACTGCACTTAACTTTCAGCACATGTGGTAGTTTAGAATCATCCGTCGAGTTTTTATGCTTCGCCACCACCTCCTAGAGAAGGGAGGTCTCAGTGGATGTCGAGAAAGCACCACCTCAAGAAAGCACCTCCTATTGAATAGTATTCGTATCTCAGTGGATGTCGGTTGAGTTTTTATGTCTACTGCTAGCACTTTTTTCTAAAGCACTAGAAAGAGGACCTGCTTCGCTCTTCTTGCACTGCAGTTCTAAGTTTCTCCACTAGTAGCGGCACCTCCACCACCTCCTAGGGATAGCAGCTCTTCAATTTGCATCGTTTGTTCAACCACTTTCTTCTGAAGCCTCTGTTCCTGTTCTTGCGCAGTGGACAAACGCGTCTGCAGATGCGCAACTTCGATTGAGAGCGTCGCCTGCTCACTCGTCAAGCGCTTACAATCGTCGCGGTAACTGTGTGGTGAATGGTTTGGACTTTTGAGGAGAATGAATTTTTAAAGTCGCGGTAACTGTGGTGAATGGTTTGGACTTTTGAGGAGAATGAATTTTTAAAGTCGCGGCTACTTCATCTTGTTCCACATCGGGGGAATGGGGTTGGGGGGGAATGTATTTGTAAAAATATTAATGCGGAAAACCAACAACAAGGCTACTTGTAAAAGAAGAATGATGTTTTGACTATAAATATGTCTAAATTTATGAAACGAAAAAGTGCACTCACACTCAAGAAATTGGCTAGGATTTAAGTAGGAAAATAGCCACTTTTTTTGAGTGTGAGTGCACTTTTTTCTTTCATAAAATTACCAAGTACCTTTCCGCCACCGCCTCTGCTTCCCTTTTTGCTCTCCTTTCTGGTTCTAACCAGGCTTCTAGGGCTTCTGCAGGGACTGTTTCATAGACGCTGTATAAGCGGGCAGACAATTCGTCGTTCAACTCATATTGCTTCTGCAAATTCTGCTGTTGCACTAGCATCTCCGCTTTGAGCTTTTCATTTTGTTTTCCAAGCTGTTTTCGTTCGGTGCCTTCGAGCTCGAGTACTTGGTTCTTTTGCTGCAGGAGCTGGGAGAATGAAGGAGAAAGGCGGAGGCACCTCTGCACAAGAAGCAGGATAAATTTTACGCAATCATAGTTGTACAAATTCAAATAGACCTTGGTAGTTTCTTGGTCTTCGCGGAAACCTACAGAATCTCTTACACTTTCGACACAGCTTGTTTAGCTAAAAAAGCTTGATGTCGTGAATGTGACCAACCAACGACCCATCTTCTATTAAGACATAACGACAGTTCCGTTTTCGTCTGCAGTTCTTGTTTCAGGCTGGCGATTTCAGCAGTCAGGTTCTTCATATGAGCCTCGTACCGTTGGCATTTGTCTTGGATTAGAGGTAGATAAATACGGAGTAACACTATGCCAAAAGCGAACATAGAAAAGTGGTTTTTTCGCCTGTTTTTCCGTTTTTTGTACGTTATTCGCTTTCGGCTCAGAATGAAAGTTTTCCATTTTGAGACGAACACTGCCCAACTGATCCCGGGGCTTTATGCGCGGTTTTTGGCTAAAAAAACCACTTTTCTATGTTCGCTTTTTAGGTAGATAATCTTGGATTAGAGGTAGATAATCAGGCTTTTGTCTTCCATTAGAGGTCTTAAATTCAATTCCGCAATATCAGTCACCCGTGTCTGCAGAGCAGTGAGGCTTTGATTGTGCTCTCTGCGGAGTTCCTGCAATTGCTTCAACAAAAGACTTTCGCTGGCAGGCATCAACAGAGCTGGAATTTAGAGAGAGGGGGACATTTTGACCTTAGAAGAATAAGAGGAAAGAAAACTGGGAAGAACGAGAAGCTGAGTCCTCAGAAGAGGACTTGTATTTGAGTCCAGAACGAGAAGCTGAGTCCTCAGAAGAGGACTTGTATTTGAGTATCTTCCCATCCTGTATCTTAATTGAGTCAGAAGAGAACTTCATCTATTTGACTATCTTCCCATCCTATATCTTAATCTTTAGATGATACACTCAGCATTCTGCTCCACCTACTATACGACTACTCGTCGAAGCCCTAGTTCACCTCAACCTTTCATAATTATGATAAGCGTCCAACTTCTGCAATTCCTTGAGCCTATGGGTGTCACGGATGTCAGCTTCCTTTGCATCCTGTTCCAGCAAGGCCATTTTGGCCGTTTTCGCAGCAAGTTGAGATTGCAATTCTGTTTCGATACGCTCTTTGCTGCCGTTAGAAGAGGATGGAGAGTTTTCTTGCGATGGCAAAAATGGAAGAACATTTCACTATTGACTGATCTTCTTGGATCATTTCTGTTCTTCTCCTTTTTTCAATTCGTTCTGAAGGTGAAGAGTACGTATCATTTCATTTTGCTCATAACAGTGGAAAGCAAGTTGACATCCGCTTGAAGTTCCGTGATGCGCCTGGTAGCTTGCAAGCCCTCTTGTTTGAGGTAATGCACTTCTTCTTAAAGCTCAGCATTCAATGGTCACTGACTCTGACAGAAATGGGCCCCATGCCTCTCCCTTTGCTTTTCCTTCATTTTCCCCTGTTCTCTCAAGAGGGATCTCAGTGACCAACCCCAATGACCATTGAAAGCTGAGCCTTAATCTTCCCCTTGTGTTTTCAAGCGCGTGCCCAAATGCTGCTCTCGTTCCAGTGCTTTTTCTGTTTTGCTGACCTGTTCTCGATGGGTCTGTTCTAGATGTGTGGTCACCCTACGATGTTCTGCAACGTCGGCTTCATGCTTCGCTTTTCGCGTCACGAGTGCAAGTTAGAAGGATTCTTGTACTTTGTGAATGGCTCTGGTATTTCTATTTGGTAACCCTACCCTGATTTTGATCATAAGGGAAACAAGAAGAGAACCCTAGCGATCCAATTCAGGTTACCAAATACCAGAACCATACACTTTAGAGAATACATGATCTTAGAAGGATCGTTGTACCTTAGATGACCAGCGTCTACGTCTTCTTGCAAATTCTTGTTTGGTATACTTAATATGACGCAATTTGCAGCATGTAGATGAGATAGTAACTTCTTTAGAAAACAGATCCAACCAATTGTTGCAATTCAGCTAATTTCCAACCATAATCAGCCGCATGTTCCTCAAGCTCTCTTGATGTACGGCCATGCTTTTGGGTCAATTCGTGGAGTTTTGCTTCGAGATCGGCAGCACGGGTCTCCGCAGAATGAAGACTGACAACTAGCTTTTCCGTATGAGCAGGCGTCCATGATCCTGGCTTCAGAAAAGTGTCAGCAGACGGTGCAGCGGGAGAACTAGAGTGACCTGCAGCATGATGGTGATGATGAGAAGACGAGTGGGTAGTTGTCGTTGTTGCACTACTGCTGCCATGATGCGCTCCACCAACGCCATGTCCCCCTGCGGTGGAAGAGACGCCTTGAGTCGTGAGTAGTTTGTTTTCGTTTTCTAACATCTGCACCTTAGCCTTGAGTGCGCCGATGAGCTGCTCTTCAATCGATTGGTTTTTTCCTGCAGCTACTTGACGAGACCTCGGTGAAACACTAATGTTGAACTCGCCAGAGATTAGAAGAGCAGAATTCGGAGAAAGTATGTACCCACAAGAAGGAACTTAAGTTGTAGTTATAGTTCTTGTATTATTGTACTTACAAGAACTTAAGTTATTATTGTACGTAGGTGTAGCTGTAGGACCACGAGATGGAAACAATATCCCAAAAAATATCCCAAAAAAACAATAGCCGCGATCGCCATAACGTGATATTCGAGGTACCCCCAGAGGCGCTATTAGCAGCGTTATTCAACAAGCCCATGATGTTCGTTAATTCGCTATCCACTTGATTATCTCCACCCATCACTACGTCGTTTCCGAAAGACGATCGCCCGCCTCTTATGGACGTTCGTAGTCTTTTTCTCCATCGAGGCAGACCATCCTGGCAGTCTTGTCTCTACTACCTTATCACCCACCTTAATAGAATGAGTCCTCGTGCCAGGATGGTCGTAAGATGAATTGAAAAAAACATCATCCATACCTGGTAGGAATTGTGTGGGATTGCTGCTCTTTCTTGGACTGGACGAAGTGCGTCGTTCGCTCAGCACCACGCTTCGCTTTTTTTCCTCTGCCAAACGGTCTTCCCTAGAGCGCCAGTTGTACCCGAAGCCACTACTGGAAGAGACTCTATTGGCGGTGGAAGATGAGGATGCGGCTTGCTTGCCTGCTGCTGGCGTCGCAGACGCGGCAGAGCCTGCAGTTGCTGTTGCACTACTAGACTTAAAAATAACGTTTCTACTAGATGAATTCACAGCTCCTGCTACTCCGCCAGAAGTACCCTTACCTTGTTGTACACCACTAGAAGAGCTAGTATGAGGTCTGGTCGCTTCAAATCCACTACGACTACGTGGAGTAACAGTTTTGTTCTGGGATGTGCCTGCTTTCAGAGGATGCTTTGGCACCGCGTCGCCTCTACCAGTAGAAGTTTTCACGTCCCTCAGATCAAGACGCGTCCCCATGTTCTTTTACGAGGTTGAAGAACTTGATGCTACTTTCGCCTGAATTCAATCGTAAGATGATCGACGGTTTCGGTTACGGTTCACATCAATTTACTTGGAGCTGCACTGCAATCTAAACGATAGGATTGGGTGTGCTTTTCTTTTGTGTAATAAATAAATATGCATATGACTTCATTTCGTTTTGCTTGCTTTAGCCCTTTTTTTGTACAAACGCCTATATTTTTCTCTGCTTTGTTTCTGTGGACTCCTCTCTCTGCAGCGTTCATCACTGGGTTTCTCCCTCTCTCTCAAAGACCAAACATGACCAGATTCAAGGCTCTCTCTTTTATGTTGAAAACAACACGCCGATAGAAGAATCCGCTTTGCCCGCCTTCATGCGTCTAGTACTGCGCTGATGATGCACACCATGTGGATGATGTGTCCACCTGTTCTCGTTTGAAGGGTTGAAATCTAAATTGAATAAGGGGCTTCTTGTACTCGTTCTGCGCGATGTAATAATAATCAAAATCAGGGTCTTCAGCAAAGTGCCAATGGTGGTCGTCCGACTTCTTGTCCATTTCGTGTAGTAGTGAAGTTGGTCTATAAAGTGAAAGAAAGATTCTGCTTCTACTAGGAAAGGTGGACCTTAAAACTGGCATCGATGGCTACTCGTCCTCTAGTTGATACTTTGCAGTGATATAAGTCGGCTTCCAGCACGGAGGATTACTTTATTTTAGAATATGAACTGGGTAAGGGTGACGACGTGCTGTCCAAGCTTTATTGATTATTGAAGAACCAGTCCGATGTCATTTGAAGAACCAGTTGTATGAGCTGTATGACATCAAAGTGAGAGTAGAGTCTTTCTTACACCGACCAAAAATTTTTAGGATATTTCCAAATCCAGTCCCAGTGTAGGAGTTTGCACATGGGGAGCGCCAGAAACAGCCTAGCGAAAATTTTCGAAGTTTGGATGATGATGAGGCGTTCGACCTAGTTTCCATCACAAGAAAAAGCACTCAGTAAAAGTTTTAGCTCGACGATGGTCTCACCCCAGTTCTAGCTCGTCGACGAAAACTCGAAGGGCGCCAATCGTACTATTCCAGTCGGCGTACAGGTGAGTAAGTATGGTTCACAATAGGCACAAGCAGTAACTGGTAAACCTAGGCTTTGGCGATCGATCTTGTCCCAAGCAGTTATATTTGCGTTTGAAGTGGAGCTTATCACATCTTTGCTGCCAATAGTCGTCGTTCTCTGTGCGGCAGGAACGACCGAGGAAATCACTGTGAGGGTGGATTTGATGTGGAGAGGGAGATGGACTTCTCATGAAGTGGAACATGACGACTCAAGTCTACTTAAGGTGGTTATTTGTAGTTGTAGTACCGGATAAAGTTCATAAAATTCAAGTCGTAAAAATAATGATGAGTCGTGGAGGGCAGTTGGACATTACTGAAAGACCTGAACCACATGAAACTTCCAAGTACCATCTTCCAAGTCGGTTCTTCGCATCGCTGCATCCAAAACCGCGTCCGCTACTGGCCTCAAAGTCACAGGTTGTGCACCGCGCCCGCCCTCAGTCCGTTTTGCGTAAGTCGGGCTTCGTGTTCGTCGGGCAGTCTTCATTGCGGGTTCCTTCGCATTCGCTTGTTCTTTCGCACCATTGGCTCCTTTAGAAGTACAACTCTTCTTGTTCTTATCTTCTCTATTTGCTGCAGTAGGCGTTTTCATTGATGTGGCATTGTTCTTGGGAGAACTGTTTTTACTTCCGGCAGGACGCCCACGGCCTCTCGTCGTGCTTTGCCCTCTAGCCGTGCTTTGCCCTCTAGCCGTGCTTTGACCTCCAGTGATCGCATTGCTTGGACTCTTGCCACCAGCACCTCCAGTACTTAATGTTGCGCCTAGAGGACCACACGAAGCAGTTGCTGTGTAGGCGAAGTTCGTACTGAGAACTCGGACAATGGGAATTTGACTCAAATATTGGGTATGCATTTGAGCGATCCTGTCACGCAGTCGATTTCCAGCTTCCCAGGTTTGCATGGCGCTCTCTTCCTGCTGCTCCTCCAGTGTAGCGCCTTCAAAACGAGCACGGAGAAAGGGGCGGGTCGCCTGGAGACAAAGGTTGTATCGGATTCGGAGGAAGGTAAAAATGGACATGGAGTAAGAGGTATTATAGCAAGAAAAGACAGTGAACGAAGAAATGAACGAACTACGTGAAGGGTCAAACTAGAAGAACTACTACTACAAAATGCGCAACATAGACAATAAAATAGATCGTATTCATCCGTCATGCGTCTTTAAAATTCTTTACTACGACTTGTAATTCTACTTTGCCCATGGCACCGGTCAACATTTTTTTCGATTTTTTCCATCCCATCCAGTGTTGAACTAGGCAATGCTTCATGGTTCCTTTCTTCAACTGCGGATACGTCAGCAGTACTTGGCCAAAAGACCAAGTTGTAAAGAGTAGAGGCAAGGCTAGTGGTGCAGCATTTGTATTTCTTGGACTGCTCGCCGCACCTCTTCCTCTGCCTACTCCAGCACTAGCATCACAACGTGAGTCATGAATCGACGCCATGGCGAGACCGGTACATTCCACGCCATTCAGGCTGCCAGGAAGCCAGCTATCTTTTCCGCCAGTGGGGGTTAAGGAATGTAGTTGTCCGTCGACGATTTTCAGAACGTGGATTAGAAGTCTTTTTATGTTTTGCGACAGGAGTAAAATGGTGACAACAGAAACTGCGCAAGAACATGAGCCATAAATAAGCCTCCCGCCATTGTCGCACGAAGATATCAACGATGGAACCAGCAGACCAAATCAACTGCACTACGGGCTGTCCGGAACTTGCGAAACTAGCTTGGGGGAATGACCTGTTGAGGAAGGATTGCAAGGAAAAAATATGTTATGAGTAGAAACCATGGAGGACCGATTCCCTCAGAAGGCTTCTCAAGCTCGGAATCATTATCCGGAAAATGTAGAGAATCAAGAGAATCAACTCCAGAAACAAGTACAGATACCAGAGACATCAAATCCAAAACTCTAGAAACAAGTACAGATTCGACATTTGGAAGATGAAGATTCCTCCTCTGTTGTCTCCCACAACAATCGTCGGCTTCGACGGGCAAAGAGCGACAGCTGTTATAGGCGCTGAGTTCGAGGTCCTAAAGTCTTGGACTTCATCATCTAGGCTTCGATCGACGTGAGGCCATAGAAGCATGTTCTGGGGATCGGCGAAAGCTCCTCTCGCAGCACTGTCGAGTTTGTCGGAATAGTGTCTGTTTCGCAGTAAACGCATGTTGTTCATATTCCTGGGTCGCCATAGTCTAGCGAGACCTTCAGCTTGGCCAGCGATGAGAGTGAGGCCGCCGTTCTCAGCGTCGTAGGCAGAATTAGAGAAAAAGATAAAGAAAGTAAGACTGAATATCTAGTTGTACATCATCTACCCAAATGCATATCGTCGTGAAGCCATAATATAATGCGCAAAGCAGTAGAATTTTCCAGGCAAACGTCGCAAATCCTTGAAATTCTTGTCTTCCGTAGAGGTCCCACTTCGATATTCAAAATGCGTGTTTTGTATTTTGTCACTGGGTCTAGGCTGAGTCGCTTCCCACACGTGAGGTACGAAAACGGAACCTTCGAGGTCTTTAGTTAGAGGTACGTAGTTTTGCACTATCCGTGGCTGAGCGCTTTATTGCCCTCCTTCCACTCTATTTTCCCCTTCAATAAACCAAGGGGCACGCCACTCAGTATAGTCCACACGGGATAGCGATAAATTAGTACAGCCTTAATTTAGCGAGAGAAAAAACTTGTAAGCGGCCATCCCCGCGAAGCACTGCAAGAAGAGCCAGACGATCATCATGGGGGACCTTTCGTTTGAAAGGAATGAAGGCGAGCTCTCTTGTAAAACCACCATCGTGAAGTAAGGTCAAACGCTTGCGCGATTGCTCTTGTCCTTGTTGTCCTTCAGTGCTGGGTCTCCGAATCAGATCTGTTTCTGTAGTTGTAGTTTTTTTGTTTCTTGCGACAGATCGGCCTCGTTGCCAAGTGCTCCGCGCCTTAGAAGAAGCACTTCTATCACTAATCACCACCGACCAGATTTGAATGTCTGCTCTTTTTGGACGCTCTCTCAGTTCCAAAAGACGTCGATTTAGAGCGTCATCATCCGCAATCGCAAGTGCCACAAGCAAAGCTGCAGAAGTCCTGTTATTCTGCCCATAGGACATAGCACATGCGTTCACAGGCTTCCCTATGTTCCAAAAAGACTCCTTGTCCTTGTTATCCTCATTTTTAGCGTTAATATGGTCGTGAGCAGAACCAAGACCAGGATCACCGAGTTGTACTCGTGTGTCATCAATATTGGTATTTTTCTTCTTGTTCTTTTGAGCTTGTTGCACTTCATCTTGAAGTTGCTGCTGTTCTTGTTCGCGTCCTGATGGAGTCGCATCGCTGCTCGTTGTTGTTTGTGGCTTCACGTGATAGACGCTAACGAGGTTCCTCTTTCTTGCACTTGGTGATGTCGGGACCAACATGGAGGAAGACTCCGCTGTTTTAGTAGATTGGTTCTTGTCTTGCAGCTCACGACCAGTTTTCTCAGAATCATGATCTCCATCTTCTCCCTCATCTACCTTCGCCCTCGCCTTCGCCCTAGCTTTTGAAACCCCACGGGCGGCGGGTGCTTTTGAAGTGCTTCTAGCCTTTTCCTTCGACGTCGCACTGTTTGATCTAGCAGTGGATGCTTTCCTCGTAGCACCAGCAGTGGAAGAAGTTGCACTTTTTCCAACACCTGTGGTCGCACTAGAACTACTGGCAACATTTGTCATAGCAGTGTTCATTTTCCTCTCTATAGAAGTTGCACTTTTTCCAACAGCTGGATCGTAGTCATCATCCAGCAATCCGTGAATCACTTGGTATAAAAATGGGTTGTCGCGTCTCCTGGCTTTTTCTTCGTCTCCTGGCTCATCTTTCTGCAACGCTTGCTCCTCTGCGACGCTTGCACTTTTGCGACTTGCTGCAAGTCTCCTTGCTGCCAGTCTCGCAAACGAATCGTCTATTGCAGTGGGCTTTTCCTGATCAAGATGTGCAGAACAAGAATGGGCAGACGAAGCTTTCGCTCTCACTTTGGGGCGAACGGAAACACTTTGACTGCGAGCTTTTGGAACTGGCGCTTCTTTCTTCATACAAGTGGCGCCTCTAGCCATACTCTTGGATCCTGCTCTCGTCGTTATCCTCGTCGTCGTCGTCGTGGCTCCTTTCTTCATAGCAGTAGTAGTCGTTTCAGCAGCAATTTCTGATGTTGAAGCAGGTTTTCTCTTCTTGTTCGCGGCGGCTTTCTCTTCGGGACCTGACAAGGAAAATGAAAGAAAGACACCTCGTCAGAAAATTAACTGTAAGATGATGATGTCATCATCATCTTCCAGTAATTGTATTTGAATTCGCGGCTTGGTGCTTTTTAAGCTTAACATTTATTAGCGACAATGACAAAGTCCGACTCAGAACGCAGAAGACCGATACTAGTACTACTAGCAGGTGTCACTACTTCTACAAAGTTGTCAATATTTCTACGTAGCCATGATCTAGTACTTTCATCCTCCTCAGGACTTCTCGACATATCCATCGAGGAAGAGGGAGAAGCGTTTATCCAGTCGGGGGTAGCTGTTGACGCAAGCTCAATCTCTTGTGACATCCAGGACAAGTCTTCACCTGCAGGCACGAGGAAGGAACGGACCTGTGTCACAGTGAACGTGAGGATTTGATCCATTTTCGGTGATGTTGTTCATACAATTACAAATAACCCACACATTATAGATGCGCATACATGCTGTACTCCCTTTTGCCATCGTTTACGATGACCGTAGAGGCGTGGTCTGCCAGTATTTCTATGATACTGGCAGCGCTCGACAAACCTTGACGGAAGCAAAAGCGCAGGGAGCTACTTCTACTCGAGCAGAAGCAGAACTCATGCAGGTTCCCACTACGCCACACATCACTAGTCTAGATACGTCCTACATCACTAGTAGAGCATCATCAATACCTCTTTCTTCTCCATCCTCGCTGGCTCATCCCTCGCTTCTTCATCGCTCTTTTCTGAAAATCGGACCACTAAGTGTCTTTCATGCGCATGGTCTGTTCGCAGCTGATGCATGTAGTCAGAGTCGAAGTCGTAGGCTCCCTGCATCGATTTCACATGGCCTTTGGCCACCATAAGCAACTGGCGCATGATCTCCGGATCTTTCACCACTGAAGGTTAGAGGAAGCAGAAAGCATTAATTGTCCAACTACATCAAGATATTGATGCCGCTATCTTCTACATCTACGTATTCGAAAAACTGAAATAAGCGAGTAACAGACGAGAATAACCGAGATACTGATCATGAGAAGGAAGAGCAGCCTTGATGCTATAAGCTACCTCCTTTATTTCATTCAGTAACTCAGTTATTTTGAGTTTTCGAATGGCTAATATTAAAATTAAGACCACTCAAACATAATCCTAATAAATGTCGCAACATAATATCGCATTTACAACATTTACAGAGTAGAGGTAGACATGACTGTTCCATAAGTTCGATCTTTCGGTTCATCTCCGAAAATCCTTCGAACATTCTCCCTGGTCATCTGCATCCTAGTTTCATCTAGCATACCAAACGCGGGCGCGACCCAGAGAGGAAAGCTATCAGAGATTAGACTTTTCTAGCTGGAATGTAAGCGTTCAATCAAAGACGCTTGAGTTTCAAAAAGATCATGAGTAATGACGTGGGCCCTAGGAATAGGAATACCAAAGAACTTGCTATCTTTTCAACAAGAAGATGAATATTATTCATGTGAGAATAAGCGGCCTTAAAGAGAGGACCGGCGCAGGTTCTGATAGGTCTTTTGGGAGTTTGTTCAGGGGAGGACGTCCCCGTTTGTGGGGATCGAGGAGAACTTGAGGGGATGATAGCCCTCCAATTCGTCCACCTGCTGGGGCTGACAAAATGGACCCTCCAAGAGAGCCTCCTAGACGGAGTGGCTGGATTGGAGCCCTCGGTTGAGCATCCACTGATCTTGAAGATGTAGTAGTCGCTTTCTCTGCTCCTTGCTGAGGACCTAGAAGTTGTGCATGATGTTGACATGTCGAAGAGGGAGAGGGTGGTGGAAGCACATGCGGTTCGATAGTCTTTGGGCTATGGATCATGTTGTGGTCCTTCTGAGTACAACTACTTTTGGCAGCTCCAGCAACCTTCAAATTCAATAGCGAAGATGAGGACGGCGCGGCAACGCCATTAGCCATGAGGGTAGACGCTGCCGACGTAGCCATCGGCTCTTCGTCCGATCTTCTTCTTTTTGCTTGACAATGGCCCCCTACCTCCTCCTCTGACCTCTTTCTCCTTGGATGAACAGCATCACGTGGAGAATAGTTCGTGTTTAACTCGGACAAGGAGGATATGGATTTCAAGGCCTTCTTGCTACTAAAAGTGCTGTCTTGTTCATCACTACTAGTTCTACTAGTGTTGTGCTTGATGTTCTGGTTGTCGAGGACGTTGTTCACCTTTCCTGGTTCTGCTGGCGCTGTCGAAGATGCATCAGGTCTACGAAGTTGAAGGCCGGCTCTGATTTTTTTAGCTATCGTATCTGCTTTTTCCTCGGAAATATGGTCAGGTCTTTTTGGAGAGTTCTTGTTGTCTTTATTGTCCTCGAGGTGCAGGTTGTGGTCCACCTCCTTGGCATAATGTCTATCCTCGCTACCATTATTATCTTCCTTATTCTCGTTGATGTTTTGGATATTCAGCCATTGTGATAGAGGAACAGGAGCCCCAGTGATGCTTGGAGTTGTTTCCTCCTGGGCTGCGATGCCACTCGTACTAGGAACAGCATTCGTCTTTGTGTTGGCACCTGCGCTATGCCCTCGTCGAGGTGTGCAGCTGCTACTTCTCCCTACTACTGCGCCAATCGGAATACTTACTCCGACTGAATACGGATCAGCCGCTCGTGTCAAGGTGCCAGTTGCTGGTGGATGACTGAAAGGAGAAGAAGAGCTCGAGCTTCTCGACGGGGACCGATGAGCATCATGATGACCAGCATCGTTGTTGATTGACTGCTTATGCCGTTTCTTAGAAGCATCTTCTTCCTCCTCGCGTCTCAACTTGGAGATATTCGGCGAAGCAGAACTTGAACTGCTACTTGATGCTTCAATAGGACCCCCTGAATCCTGAGGCCCTTCGGCTAGGAGAGAAGTGACACTTTTGATGGACCCAGAGGCAGCACCACGAACAAAATTGACGTTGCGCTGACAAGAAATATTAGAAGACGAAGGAATAGTTACTGCATGTGCTTCCGCGGCTGCTGCCTCTTCTGGAGACACCATGCGGGGTTTCAACAACCTCCTGACTCTGTCCACGTCCACGCCTGTCTTGTTACTTTCCAGGTGTGAAGTAGATGGGACTGAAGATGAAGACGATGATGAGGCGCCACCACCTCCATGACCTTGACCACGTTGACGATGTTGACCCACATTGCTTTGTTGACCTAGAGCGACGTCTTCCTGTTCAACACCCCCCGAGCTGTTACTACTTCGACCGCTAGAAGAAGAGGGGGCATCCCTACTAGTACGATGTCCTACTTTCTTCATAGGATGATCCCCCACTACACCACGATGTTGTAGTTGACCTCGTGCTCCTCTTTTAGACGTAGATCTGTGGCGGTCTCGCGGATCCCTGGGTCTATCGCCTGCTCTACTTGCTGGATTGTATTGTTCGCGACGACATTGCTCTTTAAAGAACTCCAATGTCTCAACTGCTTTCACGTGCTTCATGTTGTTCGGTTGAGAGATTGATAGGCCGCGGGCAGGGGGATGGCGGAGATTAGAAGTGAGGAAGAATGATTAGATTATGCTTATGGGTGGAGGTTGCGTACTAACTAGTGTCAATCAGGGAAAAGCTCAACATGAATGAAAGAACCCCCCACGTTTTTGCTCTTCATTCTTGTAGAAACACGTAAATGCTGTGAAGCCGCTTGAAGAAATAAGTCGACCCTGCCATCGGTTACTTCTGTTACGCAACATAGTACAACAAGGTACAACTGTGTACAACATTTCTTCTTCACTTTATTCATCTTTTATTGATTTTCAACACTGTCGCCAACACCATAACATGACCACTTCTAGTACTGCCTCCTTGACTATTGCCGGGCCGCCCTTTACCTTCGTCGCTCTGCTCATAAATACGCTTGGTCGATTCCCCATATTTAGGCGGCAGCTGGTAGTTACCCTCATCATCGTAGAAGTTTGAGATGACACCACGTTTGCTTCCTTCAGTATAGCTGTATCGGGTACTGTCCGTGCTAAGGATCTTGCGACCAAAGATTAGAAAAGTGAAGGTGTAGCAGGGTTGCAGTGGGGGTGAAGAAGCTCCTGTCGGAGATGAAGTGAAGAATTGAAGAGAGTGAGGGTGAAGAAGCTCCTGTCGGACATGAAGTGAAGAATTGAAGAGAGTGCGGGTCGTGAAGAAGGTGTTGTCGGAGATGAACTGGACAACAACAGCTTACAACCTGGTGACAACAGCAACAGGCACTAAGCTGTGGCTGTTCATGAAGAAAGAGAAACGCAAATCGTCATGTATTCGAAAAGAAACTGAAATAAGCAAGTAACTGATAAGAATAACCGAGATACTGAAGGAAGGGCTGCCTCTTGAAGCTACCTCCCATTTTTCAGTGAGCAACTCGGTCATTTCAAGATTTCGAATACTTACCTCGAACAACACTCGTCTTCCGTTCTATCCAGGTCTAACACCCCTTGCTTCTCCATAAAAGCAGTTCCTTCTGTGGTGGGGCATTCACGCTAAACGTCCTCGGCGAAGAGTTGCAAGTCGTAGTAGGGAGGTCTCCCTGATGAAGCTGAACAGTTCCCCCACTTTGGAGAAGCGTTGTCTTTGCGTTCTTTCGCCGATCATCCGGAATTCCTAAGATAGACCTGTACTTCGCTCGTCGCTCTTCGTCGGTATAAGATGCGTGCTGTCCTCCTTTGGAGGGGTGATGCTGACGCTGGTCGGTATGAGATGCGTGCTGTCCTCCTTTGGAGGGGTCTCCAGGTGCTTTTGTGTTGTTATCCAAGGAGTTATTGTGATACCCCGACGAAGAGGAAGACGAAGATCCGCTAGAGGAAAAGGGAAAGTTGTCACCTCTAGAAGGGGAAGTAGAAAGGTTCTTCGGATGTAGTTCTAGTAGTTGTTCTTGTTTTTGAGAACTATTATAATGTTCAACCGATGATGAACCAGATGTGTCTCCCTTCATCAACGATCCATCATGATGTTTAGACAACATCGACGGAGAGGCGCCACCTTTGCTGTTGATGTTTTTATCCCATTGAGGATCCTCACCATTCCTTAGCCCTACGGTATAGTACTTACCAGATGACTTAGAGGACGACGAGCCAGTTGCCGCCAGAGAGCCGGCCCTTCCCTTGTAGGAGCTGGTCTCGATAAACTTAGCTGATGAAGTGCCCGGAGACGTAGTACCATCAACTACAACCTGATCACCTTGAGCTTGACCTTGTCGATCTACCTCTTCTTGACCCTTGTAGTTACCACCCTTGACTTCGTTTTTGCCCTTACCCATGTTGCTATCACGAGGATCCTTTTGTGAAAACGCGAGAACGCCAGCACTTGAAAATGGTGGCGGTGGAGGCCGCGGCCGAGTAGTTGTTGTAGTACTAATAGTTACCCCAGAGCTAGATCTACTCTGCGGCTCGAATGCTCGGGTAGCAAAAGTTGGAGTGCTAGCACTCAGATTTGCATTGCTAGTCGTACCTGTTGTTCCGGCTGTCGTGGTACGTTGTTCTTGTTGATGGGTACGTTGTTCTTGTTGATGGGTTTGTTGTTCTTGTTGATGGGTTTGTTGTTCTTGTTGACCCGCCTCCCTTTCTGGCGTAGTACGAGAAGATGTTGCACCTTGCAGATTGATTGGAGGTACTACTAGAGTATCTTCAATACCTCCCTTACCTTGTCCTGCTCCTGTCGTACTTCTTGTTGTCCCGCCAATAATGCTACTGCTACTTGTTGTCCCAGCCATAATGCTACTGTGACTAGATGCAGCAATACTACTAGAAGCAGCAAGACTGCTAGAAGTGGGAGCCCTCGCCGTAGTCGCTCCCCTCCCCCTGTTAGGTTCCACACTTTCGCGATAACGCCGCTCCTGTTAGAACTCAGTACTAAGATGATTGCGTGTACAACTTCTTGAAAACAGCTTACAGGCGAGATGTTGAATCTAAAAAATGGATTAAAAATAAGTGCTGAAGCCTTAATCATGATTCTGTAAGACTTCGTAGACTTCTTCGGGACTACTGGACTCGAGGTAGTCGCCCGGTCTTTCCCCCACGCCAAAGCCGAATCGATTTTCCCATTTCCTTATCGCTACAAGGATATCCGGCAGCGAGTTCAGTTGGACACCATCCTCCATTCAGCTTAGAGATAGAGCAGGTGGAAGAAATGGAGTATGAGAACAATAAAGAGATCATGATGCTGCCTGATTATGGACTACTACTAGCATGATTGAACTTGAAAACTGTAGTATTTTTGCAGTGTAACGTATCATTCATGTTTATGAAGTGAAGTGGACAAGCGGGCTTCTGTTCGTCTTCTAATTGTAATTTGTTAAAAAACGTGTGACAAAGTGAAACACAAACACCACCCACACCCACCGAAAAAAAAAAGTCCTATTGTTGAACTTGATGAACTATGTATAACAGTAAAAACACGATCCAAAACTAGCCAAGCCATAAGACCAAAGCCAGTTTACCTGGAATGCCAGAGGGATGAGGGACTCGGCGCCAAGTTTTGGGCGTCCGACTGCTGTAAAGTGAGCCGTCTGGACCCCTTACTAAGCCCTTGCTCTGATAAACCCATCCTGGAGGCAAGTCGGGAGTTACTGGGGATCTTTGTCCAGTCGAGGTTGCTGCTGGTCGTCCTGTAGTCGATGCTTGTCCTATAGGAGGCGCTTGTCCTGTAGTCGATGCTTGTCCTGTAGTCGATGCTTGTCCTGTAGTCGATGCTTGTCCTGTAGTTGTAGGTGCTTGTCCTGTAGGAGGTGCTTGTCCTGTAGGAGGTGCTTGTCCTGTAGTCAATGCTTGTCCTGCAGCTCCAGTCGGGCCCTTCGGTGTGGCAGTAGTATCTGGGTGAGGTGGTGGGCTAGGGTTTTCTGGTCCTGTTGGTGGTTGTACCGTCGCTGGCTGTGCCGTTGCTGGTGGTACTGCTGGCACGATCGTTGCTGGTTCTACTAGTGCAGGAACTGGCCCAGCGGAATCGGGATCGCCTGCTTGTGCAGAGCCGCCCACTTCACGAGGAGAAGGAGGAGCACTCATGATTATGGTGTGATTTCGGTGTAATTTCCTGCGTTCTTGTTCTTGCACCTACTTGACTATTTTCAGGGTCGTTGATCATCAATGTTGATCATTTACTAGTACGCGAACACTTGGTCAGATAAACATACAGGAGCTTCACCTTGATGTTCACCGTGGACGTGTTCACCAAATTAGCATAATCTCACGTCACAGTTCGCGTCAAGATAAAAAATCATTATACCATCCCAGAATCAGTATCGAAAACAGAAGTGTGGTCGATGCCACCAACTCCAACATATTAGGACAAAATAGAACCTTGAAACTCTTTTTCGATTATCCAACATGAAAATCACTAGAAATAATTACATGAAAATCACTAGAAATAATTGAGTCGCCTTTAATCGTGTCGCTGTCGCTGTAAGTCGGCAAGTAGAAGGTGGACTTAGAAAGGTTGTCTTCAAAATGATTGACGTGGACGATCATCATGACAACAATCAGGCCGATCTTCATGACAACAACAGCTGCTGCAATGATGATCATCTTCCCTGAGACTGAGACTGAGTTCGTATTTGTTCTAGTTGCAGTTCGTGCAATTTTTTGAGAACCACACGGCAACAATTTACAATTTACAAATTTTTCGAATCGTTCGGCGCACCAGCTGGGGTGGGCGCAAAGAAAGCACGCATTTCACGTCCGCACTGGTGGCTCTTCTCCCAGAAAATCTGATTTGAGCATCTTCAGAGTAGCAAATATGATCAGAATTCGTCTGTTTTTCCTATAAGAATTCAGTTTTGGAATGAGTTCTGCAGCGAGCATCTACACCAGAGCATCTACAGCATTCTACTTTCTGTTGTTGTTTCTTCTTATTCAGTCGTGTAAGTACAAAAATCATTTTTGAAAAATGATTAGACGTCTATTGCTAATGATTAAGTAGACGTCTTTAGACGTCTATTAATATTGCTATTTCTTGGAAAAAAACTCAAGGTTCTCATATCAATATCTTCACAGGAAAAAAATCGCTCAATCAAAATATTGGTTACCACCTTAGCCTTAGTTCATGTTCGCGAACCAAATAAAGGAAAGAAGGTTACTGCTTGATATCATCATTTGCCTACAGCACGAGCACATGATCAATCTAAACCCGAAATATCTTCATTACTCTGCCCTCCGACCGACAAATAGGACAACGGTGTAAGGACCCATTGACACCAGCACGAGGACATTTGCCAACGCAATGTTGACACAATGCCAAATGGGCACAGGGGAGGAACAGGATCGTAGGTTTCACATCATCACTTAAACAAGCAACACAGACATCTTTGCACGAGCTGCTGGCATCATCGTCTGCGTCTGTTGCATTTCGTCGCGTGTGTTTGTGTTCATTTCCAGAAGGAGAATTCATCTCCACCTCGGTAGTAGTTGTCGACTCTGTTACTGCACTTTCTGATTCAGCAGAGGGGCGTCGTGGCTGCAGGACGAACTGTTGTCCGGTAGCTCCTTCTGAGTGGTCAGCATAAAAATGGTGTGCTTGATGTGGTAGTCGTTGCCCAAAGTAACTTTGTTGAACCTGACGATCAAGTTGTTCTGCGAAATCATCAAAATGACCCCAAAGAGCTTGATTAAGATTTAGATTTAGCGGGACTCCCACCTCCGCCCTGGCCGCCTCGTCATGAATCCTCGAATCGGTACAAGAACGTCCCCTGTTCAACTGGTGCGTTGTCGCGGTGTAGCCATAGAAATGTTGATGCACTCCAATGACAACGTAGGGCAAGAAAAAAAGTGCCGTGAATATCGCTCCCACAAGCAAGGTAGTGGAAGCTGCGTTGTCTTCATCTGAGCCAAAAGCTACACCCGATTGTTGAGAGGGAGCAACCAACTGAATCGTCTCTCGAAGGTGATCGTGTGACAAGGACGACATCTCCAGGCTGCCTACTAGATGTTCATGTTGATGTTACTAATTTTACCTTTGATTCCTGCACTAGCTTTCCCATGATCTCTCTAATTGATTCGTGATCTCTACTCTAATTGTTCTCTAACTCTTTTACTTGAAAAAATTCTTTATCAATTCGAGTTGCCTTGTTTGAGGACTTTGCCATCCTCTAAGCAAACGAGCTGGAGAAGGACTAGAAATCAAAAAAGGAAAAGGTGGTACGAAAAGGCATCGAACAGATTGAAATTGATCGAGGCACTTTATAATTGGCAACCGATCTTCATCTTCTCGCTCTCAGCTTCAAAGTAGACGATTAAAAACCTAAATACCGAGCTCGAGACCGATCAACTAAAAAGCAGACGATGTGTATACGATAGGCTTCTATTCGATGCTTACCTGACGAGCACGAGGCGTAAGAGAAAATTAATATAGTCCAATAGGATCCTCGAGGGACGCTGGATGGAAAAGATGAATGTTGTTGATGTAGCAGCTGAGTTTATTGATTCTGTGCTCATTTGAATCTTTTTGCAGCGTCATCGCGGTTGAAGAAATCCTTTCGCGTACAAACAAAAACTGAGTATTCCCTACACTTACGCATACTTCTGCGTCGATTAATTATGCACCTTTTTCTCTGCCGCTACCCTCAAAGGAAAATATCCCAGTACTGCTATGAATCGATCGTCATTGTTAGATCGGAAACTTGAAAATATCAAAATCGACAATAGTTAATTTCGTTGAATTCCATGTAAGTAAGTACTACATTTTGAAAAAGTGAAGCTCTTTTTGTGATGATACGTTAGTTGGGTTGCCACCTCCAGTTTGAATAATGGTATTCATTCAATCTGCTTCTTGTTCACCTATCGACACTTGGCATCCCGGTGACGACACACTGATGTCCTAATCAAAAAAAACGATATTTCGCTTGCGTCAAATTTCTATTGCTATTTACATTCGGATTCTTGTTGATTCGATTGTAGTTCCCTTTGAACATACTCTTGACGACGTTTGAATTCTACGAGAAATCTTCTAATTCTAATACTTCTTCTATCGAATGACTCTGACTCTGTTAATAATTTGCGTTTACATAATTTCCCTAATGTGAAATATACCACTTTGTGCTTCATCCTTCATCATCTTGTCGTGTTTCTGGTAGTATTCGAATTGTTGTCGAGTCAGTGATATTGATGACCTAGAAGTGTTTGTTACTTGTAGTAGTAGTAGTTTCTCCACTCTAGGGGAAAATAAAACATGTTCGGGGAGGGGAAACGTCTATGTTGCAGGGGTGAGTGTTACTATCTTGTTTTGTTATGATTTCTCCGTAAAAGTACCTTCACTACTAAAGACGAGATTCATCTACTCGATTGATTTCTAAAGTTTTAATTGACTCTACTGGTTTAATTGACTCTACTGGCTTATTCCATCTGTCAAACTAAGTCAAAATTTTTTGAGTGGTATTTCATCGCAGCACCAGTACCAGCTTAGGGTACCTGTGCTCCTTGCCCACTAGTTGAGATTGTCGCCACCTCGGAAGCCTCTTTTTCATTCGTATTAGAGCGGCCCCGAAGCAAATGTTCAAGCAAATGTAGATGCTGTAGGAAGATTCATGTCAGCCTTCACACTCAGCACATCTTTTTTTTTTCTATGGGAGACCATTACCTGGCGCATCATCTTGGAGCTCCTGTGGGGGGCAAGAGCCCGGATGCTAGTGGGGGAAAGCCACGAGTAGCACCATTTTGGCCCTCCTATCGGCGGGCCAAAAACCTACTACTTGATCCTAAGGGTTCTCTTCTTGTTTTCCCTTATGATCAAATTCAGGCTATACCAAAAATACCGGAACCATTACCAGATTATTATATGGTGAATGAACGTAGAACCATTCAATTATATGCTCAATAAACTTGTCTACGAACAACTACGAATTCTTTCACGATTCTTAACATGATCTTTTTTTTTTTTTCTATGGCAGACCATTACCAGATTAAATATATGGTCAATAAACTTGTCTACGACTACGAACTACGAATTCTTTCACGGTTTGTGGTCTCCTTCTGAGGATGGGAGACAGTCAACAGCAGCCTTAACATCTTCGGTAGAAAATTCCTCATCCTCATCTTCTTCTGGTGCATCTTTATTATCACCACCTTTATCTTCGCCATCTCCTTCCACTTCATCCTCATCCTCAGGCTCTTGGACTACAACTCCTACTGCTTTGAGGTATAGGTCTATGGCCTTGATGCCGCGCTGCAATTCCCCTAAGCAACTAGCATTTGGATCCTCCACTTGCACTTCCTCTACTTGTTCCGTTAGAATTAGTATTAGATAACATCGACCATAAACTGAATAAATAGGCGAGCCAGTTGTACTGAAAATAAGGGAGCCAGTACTGAAGGAAGAGGAATGTAGTCAACTTGACTCTCTTATTTCAGTCAGTAACGCGCGTATTTTAAGTTATTTTTGAATATATTAGATAGAAGGACTACTTGTCACAACATGGCTATACTGTTACTAGAAGAGATACTTGTTAGACGAAGAGCTAGAATTCGTCTCCTTAGTGGACGTGGAAGTAGAATATACTTCTTTATCAGTTGGAATTGAGTAGAAGTGGAAGTAGAATATTATACTACTTTATCAGTTGGAATAGTTTACTCAGTTTGATACCGAGCATTTGCTGATGTGCTCCCTATCAACTCGTGATTTACGACTCATTTGATAGGGAGCACATCAATACTGGTGCCGATACCGGATGACGTCTTAACTCAGTGGCTTCACCACCCTCTGCCGGAGCTTGTTCTCCATCCGCTGCAGCTTGTTCTCCCTCTGCCGCAGCTTGTTTGGTGTCTCCGTCTGCCATGGCTGCTTCTTTTTGACCGCTTTGAATAGCCTCATCACCTGTTGCGGAGGTTGCCCCTGCTGCAGCACTAGAAGGCCTTGTACCCACACCCACTGCAGCATTAGAATTAAAACCCTAATAAATTATAAGCCCGGAGCCCCTAAAACCGAATAAGCCCTTAAAAGCTCCTGATTCTTTCAGATGTTCTTGATAAGCAATTATTTCTAGTGACAACAACAATTTTCTAGGTGAATAATTCTTAGTAAGACGATTCATCTTCAGACGAACATTACCGTTACCTTACTTAGTGTGGTATTTCAAGTCCTTAGCTTGACCTGTGGTTCCTGTTCTACCTTTTGTCGCGGCAGGACGTTCTTGAAGAATCATCGCTTTTCCACCAACTCCCTCAGGACCTTTTTTATATTAGAATCAATAGAGTAGATCTGTTCTGTGGACCTAGAAAGAAGTCAGAAAGCGAGAAGGTGGATTAAACACACGATCTTTTCTATATTAGAATCAACGCAAACAAATCCAAATTATTCTGCACCGAACGAAGCAGAAGCACAAAATTCTTCTTGATGATGATGGTGATCGTGATCCTACTGCCCATAGGTATTCGAAAAACTGAAATAACAATAAGCGAGTAACTACTTAATTAAAATATTTAGCGAGATTAACGCTCCACCTTCATCTTGGGACCGAAGAACAAGAAGACCAAGACGAGTTTCTTTTTCTATTTCATCATCTAGCAAGATGACTATGACATCTTTGTATGACTATGACCAATCGACGGAGGAAGCAGCCTTAATCACCCTTTCTTTGCGGTCGGCTGCCGGTGCCGGGCCTTGCAGACTGACAATTAGACGAGGAGAGACTCAAATCAATATCTGTCTTTGAGTTTCATTTAATTTCCTTGACGAGAGATGAGTTTCTCCTTGAGTATATTTTCATTGATTTTCATATTCAATATTTCCTTTGGTCTACTATTTTTCTTGAGTCGTGTAAAATTTTCCTTGGGTTTCATATTTTCCTCCAGTTGATTTTCGACTACCCCTTAGTTTTAGTACTTGAAGCATCTACTACTCTTAAGATAAAATCCACCAGCAGTCGGGGGGCGGGTGGGATTGATCATGGACTTGGAGCCGTATTGTGCTCGTCTTAGAGCTGACCCCTATACCTTGAAAGAAATATGCCTCCATCCAAACCCACACCCATCATCCTGCTATAATCGGGATCAACATAATCTCATGAAGTGCTGATACATGATTCAGGTCACGGCCAGGATCATTTCTTCACTTGTTCAATTCCCAAAAAGGAAAAAGAGAGAAGACCGCCTCTTACTCTCCTTGGAGACACAGGAGACAACCTATGCTATGAGCCGTAATTTTTTGGCTTGTAGGACCCGATCCCGCTCGGCTTTTTTCTCGTCTTAGAAAGGGTCGTGGAATGACTGTAGAGGTACTAGACTACTCATTCAATAGAGTAAATAGGTGGATTAGCATCCTTGTTGACTTTAATCCTCGACGCGTCTAGCTGAGAATAAGGAGTTTTCCGTCTGATGTTCATACTATGCATGATGATGCTCGTCGAGGGGATGCAATGCCCTAGCATATCAATTTCCCGACTTATCATATCAATAAGTACTCGCTGAGGGACAATCATGCCTCTGAGATTTCAAATCTTGCATTGTGAGAACAAGATACTCTTAAACTGAATCCACCCGAAATGATAACGAACTATAGCTGCGGAAGCCTTAATCCTTCTCTCTATCTTCTTTTGCTTTTTTCTCCATTTCGGCTTTCCTTTTGGCGTCCGCCATCGACCAGGCGCCGATGGAAACATCAGTCGACGTTGGCGGGGAACCGGAACGCGTGGCTGGTGGACGTGTTGAGATTAGTATTGTGAAGATTGAAGGAAATTATACGAAATAGATTTGGTGGCGACTTGAATCTACTCGGCAAATTGCCAAAGAATTCCCACCTGTATCAGATAGTATTGGAAAAGGATGCTAGTGGTGTCGCGTACGTATCATATTGTCGCGTTGGCACTGGTAATAGATACTAGCTACGTGCGTATCATGTTGCTGCATGCGTCTTTCTGAAGATTTGTTTTCTCATTGATGGAGATGAGGAGCCTCAATAAGCTGCACGGCCGCCACCCATACTATTTATAAAACCACACCACGACGACCACGATGGGGGTGCCAGCCTCGCCCTAGCTATGGAAATGCAAAAATAAGAAAATAATTCATGAACAACTTCCGTAGTATGTTGATCTAGTATTCTTCTAGGCAAGATGAATATAAGCAGCTAGAGCCGTGTTGAAGTGTAGTTTAAGCCGCCCTTAACTGTAGATTGAGAGAGAGTTCTTATTATGTAGGATTTACCTATTCTTGATCTACCTGAAATGTATAATTGTTTTGATGTACGAGGGGGAGAGCAACCTCCCCGCGGTCTTCACGCAAAATTAACATTTTGCGCACTACAACTCTTTTATGGAGAAGATCCCTCTAACTTACCTTATATATAAAGGCGGTTGCCGTATTAAAGTGTGGGAGCTTTAAGGGCGGCTTAGACTACACTTCAACTTCTTCTAAGCAGCTAGAGTCGCGTTCAAGTGTAGTTTAAGCCGCTCGTAACTGTTCTCGCGAAGTCTCAAGAAAGGACGTTGCTCCTGGTTCGACGTTTGACGGTATCGCGCTTTTTTAGAGCTAAGAACTTGATATTTAGAGAAAAGGTAGTATTTTAGAGTTTTTGACTCAATATTGAGTAATCCATCGCGGCAATCTTCCCTGTGAAGTCTGTATATCTCCTTCTGGTGTAGTTTTTCGCTATGCAGTAAGTAGATTTGGTATTATAGTTTATGTCCCCTTGTTGTATACGTAGTTTAGTAAGTACATCTACATAAAAAAGATATGATCGTGATCCAGTGTAGTTTTATAATTTCCTTTGTATGGAAGTACTTATACTCCTTGAGAGTTGAGGGAAAATGGTATACTTAGGTATGCTATAGTAAGAAGTATAAATCTTTGTTGATGGTTCATCCTTAAAACAACTTCCCCAAGAAGGCGGTCTCGCGCTCAAGCAGCTTGCCCATCCGCGTCTTCAACACGTCTAGCTTCTCTGCAGAACTTAGGGAGGGCGGATATGGATCATCAGAAGAAGGTAAGTAAAAGAATCAATGAGCAGCAGATGCGTGTAGTGGTCACTATTGTTGGGCCAGCGTTGACGAATCCACCATATGAATACAACGTTGACGAACTAGTAAAAGTACATGACGAGGAGAAATCCACAATGTGAATACAGCGGCCCCGATAAGAATTCACTCCGTTCCTCTGCAAGGGTGGATATGGATCACCATAGGAATCCCCCATTTCAAAAAGAAAAATACGATGGTCTTCATAAGTAGAATTCACTCCATTTCACGTGGCTCTCTATTTTCCCTTTGTCGAGGTTGCCATTGCCTTGTGCGATCAAACTTTCTGACTCCAACATCGCCAAGTTAGAGAGGAGTGTCAGTGTGTGAATAACGTATTAGTTTTAGTAGTAGATCATCTTCATCTACCCTCTAGAAGTATCTCCATTAGAAGATGTTCACTGTTTTACTCGTGGTCGTAGCGGGAGAACACTATCCTCATTGATGTCATCCACCGTTTACATGTAGAAAAAAGTGCTAAGTACTTAGAAGCAGCTCCTGCGTGGTCCTCAAGCTTACGCCATAACCATGGAGGCGGTGATGAATTTGAGCGCCACTTCCTCATTAACGATGTCCGGATGCGCGAATTAGAATTTTGTTGATATAATTATGCGCAGAACTACGCAATCTTCTCGTCTTTCACTTTATCAATGCGTCTCACGCTTGACATTGAACTTTTTTCACGCCTTACATTAGGCAGTGTCAGGTTCGGAAAGTCAGCCACTACGCTCGATGAAGCACTACTTCCTTCAAGAAGGCAACTTGTTAAATGTCTCTAGACCTTGTCCTTGCATGCAGTTATAGGCTTACTTTCAACGGACAGGCTAGGTTAGGTTGTGAATCATGCACATCGAACCCCCTGGCTCGACTCCGAGGATGATTAGGTAAAGGACCTGGACGGACAGCATAAGAAAAAGAAATACTCAATACAAATACTTCTCCTAGTTGTGACTATTCTTGAAAACAAGTGACTACCAAAATATAAGTACAAGGTGGACCGTCCTTTGCCTAGAAAGTGCCTTAAATTTGTTTTCCTTTGTTTTCCTGTAGTTCGAAGTCTTAGAGCGACGGAGTAGGAGGAGGCCGCGGCCCACATCAAATTGAATATTAACGAAGCTGCTATTGCTAAAAAAGTGCGTGTTGGTGATTCCTCACGCCATCTACAATTCGCTTAAAGCAGCTGTCTTTTTCAAAGAGAAAACGCTGTCGTCCTCGTCTTCTCCTTCTGGCACATCATAACCTTTGCTGGCCTCCAAAAAGCTGCTGGCTCTGTCGCTTTTTGGTATTAGAACAAGATCGAAATGGTCGTGCTGTTGGATCTCATTTCATAGAATAGGATAGGAAAGGATACTAGGAAGGGATCCACCTAAAAAAGGAGCACAGGTGGACGATTAATTGTGTCATGGAATCTGTTGTATAAGTTGTGGTGGAGCCGACCTAACTAGAAAAAAGACAGACCAGAGGAAGATAGAAAAGCGAAAAGGGTAACTATCAACAAGTATCCTGTTGTATAAGATCTATTTTTCAAAATTTTAGAACGGTGAATAAGTTCAGATGAGTGATCACCGTGAACCTTTAAACTACAGTGATATCCAGTAGATAGACTATAATGATCAGCGTGCTGATCATCCATAAAGCGCGAGCACCCCTCGTTGACGCCGGAAAACCTGCGCTCGTCACCCCCTTCAAATCGGTCAGCGGCGCTTGACTCGCTGCTACCGTCTTTGCAGATGACGGTGACGCATCCATCCTCAGGACAAAAATTAGAAGAGCAGGCATTCCTATGTAATGAAGCGAGGCGCAACCTATCAAAAAGCATCTAAATCAAAATGCAGCGGTTACCTGTTGGGCAGAGTGATAGCGACAAGATCAACATCAAGAGGCCAAAGGTTCTCAGGCATGAGATCAGCCAAATCAAAACTACACGGCCACGATCAAGATCAGGAGCCACGTGCCAACCGGATCGAGCTCACAGCACTAAGATCATCCCCAGGGGGGTCATGATGGAGATCGAATGACTCAAGGGATCGAGACCAATGCCGAGGCCCCTAGCGCACGCCCCCGCGAATATGATGAGGAAGAGCCGGGGACTGCAGTGCATGAGAATCATCAAACTGAGTGGACTTGCTCCAACCTTCGCAGGTATCGCGAGGAGGATACCGCCCCCAGCTTGGCTCCCCTGCGGGTCTAGTTTTTCTTGGTTTTCAGTGTTCTAGCATTGCCTCAATATCTTACAGGTGGCCACGAGTTGCCTATTCGGTGAACTAAAGTGAGCGAGTAACTAGCGAAAATAAGGGAGATACTGAAAGAAGAGGAATGTAGTCAAGACTCTCTTACTTCAGTCAGTAACTCGAACTCGCTTACTTTATTGAGTCTTCGAATAGCCTTTACCTCAAATAATATCAGTAATCTATCATAGGAAACAATCAAGGAAAGCAAACTGCTTTTACCTATAACTGCTACAGCTACAGCTACTCTTACTTAATATATAAAAGTATTATTATCTATCAAAATTAAGTTGAAGATGGTTTATCACAGTGATAAACCATCTTGTTCAACTTAATTTTGATAATGAATAATACTAAGTGCTACAAGAGTGTGGATAATCTACTGAGTGTGACACTTCGGTTAATATAGTCTTAGTGCTAGAGCTAGTGGCCGCCTTAAAGCAAAAGTTCCTTTCTCACCCGTCTTCGGCTTCTCGTTCTCCTTTGCAAAATAGCCAACGGCGTTTCTCTTGTGTGGTACGTCTTTATCGGGTAGTGGGCAGCCAACAGTTTCTACCAACTCTACAGCTACCGATGCCATTAGGTAACCAAAACTGCACTTCTCTTTAGAGGGGAAGTAGCTAACTCGAGGAGAAGTAGAGAACTCGATGAGACAATACTAGCGAACTACTTGTACTTGATGAGAAGTAGCGAACGCCAGGCATGCGGAACCGGAAGCGTAGACAAATTATGTACCTATATTTATAATGCGCTCAGGTGCCACTGCGCGGGAATGGCGCAGGTGCTCCATGCGCGGGAATGGCGCAGGTGCTCCATGCACTCCATGCCACTCCATGCACCCCATGCACCATGCGTGCTATAAACTGCTCTGTTATATATAATGATTGAATAAACCGAAGAAGACCAACATCGATTCACTTCTTCAAACGAAAAAATGTGTCGTAGATGAGTAGTTTCGAACAATTATATCATTAGCACCAGCAGAGGCCTTAACTTCATTTCCGCCCGTGACCTGTGGACTTTTTTATTTAGAGCAGCTCACCTCCCAGATCCGTCTTGCCTGACCAGTCATGTGAGATGCAGCTACATCATAATCCTACAACAGTGAAAGCCTTCTTCCCCACCTCTTGAATCGTAATAGATTACTTAGGGGACCGATAGAGGAACCTCTGAAGCCTTTGAAGCAAGAATATTGAATGCCAATACTTGCCGCTTTCTTGCCTGCCTTAACTTGTTTCGAAGCCCTTTTGGGCTGACAGCAGCTACCGTCAAAGAAAGGCTGAGGCTGCTTTCCTCTCGGGACAGGTAATGGTATTAGAGGTTGAAAGTTGGCATCTCTAGCTCGCATATCTATGCATGGCTTTCCTACTTGAGATACCCCTAGAGACGCGCATAGAGATGTCAACTCCCAAGCCTTAATGGTAGATTTTTCGGATCGTGCAGAATCAGGTTGATAAACTCTGCAGCCCCATTGTAGAAGTGCCCCACTGCTGTGCGAAGTGCTGGTATTAGATCATCCTCTCCATCTCTATAATCATTGGTGAATAGTACTAATACCTTCCCTTGCAGAACAAGATAGGTGGACTCATGATCCTCTCATCTCGATAGTACCTGTTCCCTTGTATTGTTGGGACTAGACGTAGCGAAAAGACGCCGTAGTTACCGAAAAAGACGGACACTAAATATTGAGTGTTGACGGACCATAATGGGAAAAAAACCTTCGGCTTCGTCTGAGCTCCTCTCTTGTCCTCCTCATAGATATTTTCAATATCCTCGCGGATAAAGAAAGCTCGGAGACCTCGGACACCGACCGCGTGACCAGCTAGAAAAGCCTCTGGGCCATCCAAAGATTGACTATCGAAACTGCATTTGTGCTGCCCCTTAGGCTGGCCTACACCACCTTGATCGCCATTAGACCTCTCCCGAGGAGCTCGTCCATGTGGAGATGATCCCTCAAGAATCGATATGCCTCAGCATTCCCCTTGTATTCCTATTCGGATGCATACGAAGGTTGAGGGATCAGCATTACGGGTATCGGATGCATTAACATTAATCGTAGCTTTAGATTTAGTTGCTGTGTAACTGTTGTCGAAGTAGAAACTTTTTGCAGCCAAGAGAGTCAACCCTCTGTGAAAAAGCCGCACTCGTTTATGCGGCAGCAGGGCTGTTTGTAGGTTGTTAGTCTGGAGCCTCCCCCCGTCACTTTTCTTGTCGCGTCTTTTGTTAGATGAGGTAGTAGTAGCGAGAGTAGTAGTACACAGACAATTAGTGGAAGTAAATATTTTGTCACCCGTACTAGAGAAGTGGCAAGTACAGCGTTCTTGAGAGCTACGATAGGATAGGATAGGATAGGATAGGATAGGATAGGATAGGATAGGATAGGATAGGATAGGATAGGATTGTAGGCGCTGATAGGATAGATGTTACTTACGAGCTGAAGACTCACCTTCCAGCTCCACATACTAGGAGTTGAGCTACTACTCCTCTTCGAGAGCAGTCAAAAAGCCACATACAACCTTATTTCTTGAGAGTTATCAAACACGACTGGCTAGTAGCCATTTTCAAGCTGCAGTCAGAAAACTGTAATCACGTGTCCTTGCAAGGGGGGCTTCTATATTTTCACAAGTAGAAAAGTAGTAGTTGTAGTTCAGAATATCACGAAAGTAAGTATTCGAAAAACTGAAATAAGCGAGTAACTAACTATTGAAAATAAGGGAGATACTGAAAGGAGAGAAACGTAGTCAAGACTCTCTTATTTCAGTCAGTAACTCGGTTATTTTGAGTTTTCGAATAGATTATCAAGTTGATGATAGATCCATAATTGATATGGAGGCGACGAGAGTTTCCGGATCCTTTTCTAACAACTGCGAAATAGAAGCCTGAGCTCCACTGCTGCTTAGCGCTAGTACAACTAGATGTAGAAGCTGTTGCACCTTCTAGAACCTCTAGATTGTTCAGTGCTGTAGCTGTTGCACCTTCTAGAACCTCTAGATTTTTTGCTCAGTACTGTAGTTGTTGCACCTTCTAGAACCTCTAGATTGCTCAGTACTGTAGTTGTTGCACCTTCTAGAACCTGCTCTAGATTGCTCAGTACTGTGCTGTTGGTGTTGTTCTACCTACTAGAACTTCTAGTTTGCTCAGTACCTACTGCTGGTTGTACTTGTTGCACTAGATTGATTGCTTTTTCATCTAAAATTTGGCCTTAAAGTTAAGGCCATGTTCTCGTAGCGGACTTCCTCGAAGGTAGTTTTCATGTACTTTGCCACTGCAGAAGCCTGCGCAATATTGAGTGCCGTAGCGTCATAAGCCATAGACACTTAGACGAGTCAACAGAGGTTATTATAATCAATATATGATATAGATATTAATACCTCCTCTCTTCAATTTATCATTATCCTTAATATTATGCTGTAACTGTATCAAGATCAACTACGCAAACGCTACGGCCCTTAGTCAAATACACTAAGGCCCACTTAGAGGGAAGCGTCAACATGATCACCAAGAGCCAACATGCAGGGTACTAGCAAGTTCCATAGAAGAACAAGCAGTAGTACTTAGATTGAAAGCAGGAGTCGTACTGTAAAATGAAGATTCGAACGCCACTACTAACCAGTATCAACCCTGTACGTGAAGAAGAAGATGTACCTAGAAAGAGTGCGCTACGCTGACGACGTAACGTTCAAAATATCGCGACTGCATCGACTCAGCTTGCCAGAATCTGCGAACGAAAGTGAATAGAGATCGCGCAATGAGGCTCATACTTCCGCTCCGAGCCTGCAACGTTGGCAAGACCCGCACATACTCGCTCCGGATTTAGAGAATGGAGCAGTTCAACACTTGAAGTAGAAACTCACTTGAAGTAGAAACTCACTTGAACGTTTGAAGTGGAAGCTACTCACTTGAAGTAGAAAGTCACTTGAAGTGGAAACTACTCACTTGAAGGAGGAGAGGCTTACTTACTTACTTAATAGTATTAGGAAGAAGAAGGAACAACTTACTAAAAGTAGAAAGTCACTTGAAGTAGAAACTCACTTGATGTAGAAACTCGTTTGAAGTGGAAACTCACTTGAAGTAGAAACTACTCACTTGAAGAAGGAGAGACTTGCCGTGAAGCGGGTTGAAGTAGTCACCTACGCTATTTAACTGGAAAGTCACCATCACTCAGCAACATAATCCAAAGTCCACATGGCACATGTTGGCATTGGGATAGTGATAAACCAAGAAGAGAGAAATGGCCTTAACATTCCTCATATTCTAATTTCTTCTCTCGCATCTTCACCAAGGCAGCAGCAGCTTCTTGTTGCTTTATTGAAGCCCCTCCTTCAGCGTCCGCCGCAGCCACGCCTTCTGGTTTAGCGTTATCCACCTTCGTTATGGTTTTGAGAATCGCTTTGAATTAAAGGTCGACGCGCATCATTGGTCACTGCTTTTGAACGGGCAACAAGGCCCCACACCCACACCGTTCTGCATAAGTACTTGCTTCCCCTTGGTTCTTTCCCGTGTTCTCGCACGGTGGCCCCTCATCAGTCTCGGTGACCACTCTCTCTCACTGACCAATGAAGATTGAGCCTTAATTGACATCATCGAGCGGTTTCATCTTTTCGAGGGCTTCCTTATCATTGCTATCCATCCTCTCTGGGTCCGAAGGACCCAATAGCAATTTTGTAAGCCTGTCGAAGTGCGCTTCTTTTTCTTCCCCGATCAGTTTTACCTCCGCGCGATGCCATTCCGTTGGAGAATTAATCATCTCGCTCGCGTCCCACTTCTTCGGCTGGTGTGCTTTTCGTGGATACTGTTTCAGGTACTCTTGGATGGCTTTATTGCCTTAGGCTTAGATGGTTACTCTTACTTCAAAATTCTAAACATTAACTAGACAGAAGGTAAAGTGACGCACGCACGGGGTCGGATCGCTGTTGAAGGGACACAGCTGGGTCGGTGGACGAGAGGCGCCACTCCTACTACTAGCACCAGTACTGCTACTTCTACTAGGACTACAACTACTACTCAATAACTCATGTCATCTTATGTTGCCGCATATCTCGACTTAGATCCCGAGGCGAAGGCCCTTAAGCATTCTGTACTCGCGTGGATCAGTACAGTGCTGGAGCTGGTAGCTGTACTAGACACAGAATGCTGACACTTAGTTGCTTACTTGGGAACGACATTTCCCTGTATCTTCGCTCTCAAAGAGTGGCGTTATACAAAGAAAGAACTACATACACATAGTACCTAAATGCAATGAATTCCACAAATTCATTTTCATTCATTTCTTTGCGAATCACGTGACAACCCTCGCTGCCTGATTCCGTTGCGACCCGAGTAGAGACGCGGCAGAGAACCGATAGCGCTATGGCATGAGTAACGCAGGACAAACAAAAAACATATTACTTATACATAGATGTAGAATCTTGGCCCATAATTGTTAGGGTCAGCTGCACTTGTAACAAGTTCTGTTGCTCTCCTTCTGAATTCTGCATCTAGCCCTTCCTCGAACTCCTCGCGCTTTTTTCTTAGTGCCGCCTCTAACGTTTCAGTTTCTGGTGTTTGTAGAATTAGAGACTCGGCAGGAAATAATTCCTGAGTAAAGTTTTTGCAACTTGTTGTAATTACTACTACGAACTACAGTAGAAAAATAAAAAAAACAACTTCTACAAATGCAACTACAAGATACTGTATTATAAGGATATACTTCTACAGTACGTAGGAAATATAGTCGTGGTAAAAGTAACAGACTGACTACGAGAACTACTACAAGATTACGTGAGTGCTTACCATATAGATCGACGTCGAGGCCAAAGATGAAGAAGAAGGCCTGTTGTAACAAAGCATCGCATAGGGCTTCGCGGGGCACATGGCATGGAGTGCATGGAACGCATGGAGTAGCATGGAGCAGGTGCTCCATGCGTGAAAATTTTGCGCGGCGCCCGAATCTGTCAGAGCGTACACGCCTCCAGCTCGGTATTCCGGGATGCCATCTGAGAAGGCCAATCCGCCAACCCATGCTCCGACTGCTACGCCGAGCCCCCAGGCCGACGCGCTTACTCGCGGCCCAGGCCCGGTGCCCTCAGGCCGCCCAAGCAGCCAAGCAGCTGCAGCGCCGCCAGCGCGCCCTGGGCGTATTACGTTGAAGACAGTGCTCCCCATGCGTCTGGCCTATCAGCCAACCCTGGCAGCGAAGACTCCCAAGCCATCCACTCGCGGGCGGGGGCCCTTCAGGCGACCAAAGCATCAGCCCCAGCGCCTCCGACTGCACCCCCCGACGCATCGATTGCTCACGGTTGGGGCTACAGCTCCTCGCCTACGCTACAACCTCCCGACGGCTACCACCCGTTCCCCTAGCTCAGGGCCCCCCCGAAACCAGCTGCAGCACCGGCGGTAACATCACCCCTTGACACATCAGTCACCGAGCGCCCCCCAGGCGTCTAGCCTATCAGACCCAACTTCGGCAGGGCATGCTCCACGCGTGCCCGCCCACTGAACGCCTGCGGTGCAGTCCATGCACCCCATGCGCGGACAGGCTGCAGGTGCTCCATGCACTCCATACTCCATGCGCCACGCGTGCTAAAAACTGCTCCGCTATAAATATAGAAGTCTGCTGCATCTTGCATCTTGGACTCTTAATGATTTCATTCCCCGCGTTAACCAAATCTCTATGCCCTGTGCCTTCCAGCCTTAATGATTTTTTCCATTTTGACCAAAGCGGATCACGTTGCTGCCTGTTCCCAAATTCCTGACGTTTCTTCGCTTGTGCTTTTCTAATCCGAGCCCTCTCATATTTCAAATCGTCAAGCGCATTCTGGGCGGCTTCCTTTCTCGTCTTTCCTTAGAGGGTCAGAGAGCGGCTTTTTTTACAACACGACCTAATTAGTAGAGATGCGTAGTTCTTGTTGACTCGGATGAAACACAGGGCCAGCTTTTAAGAAGTCCTTTCTTCAACGCGATAGAAAGTTCCTCGCGTAGAAAACGGCCAAAAGTTCCAGAAAAAGATTTCTTGGAAATGAGCTGCATCAGATAGAAATAAATCTAGCTCGAGTTAGCAATTGAGTAACCGCGTGACCTAGGAGAGCTATCAACGTCACCCCTGGATGGCTCTGGTATTTGGTAGCCTGATTTTGATCATAAGGAAAACAAGAAGGGAAGCTTTATGACCCAACTCAAGTTGCCAAAGACGACCAGAACCATTCAAAAATCTATCACTTGACGTAATTCTCTTCCCCATCCACTATCTCTTTGTGCTCTCGGAGCAGGCTCCGCAGCACTGTCGGAACCATGTGTTTGTAGTCCGCTACTTTCTTTTCCCACATATTAGCAAATCCTCTTGGTCTTTGTCTTCCTTGAATTACAATACGGTACAACTGCGCAATCAATGCAGAAGTATTATCATGGGAAGCTCCTGAGTGAGATAATAATAAGTCCCAGAAACGAACGGGTAATATTATAGGCGAGTGTGCGAGTGTGGTGCTTTTTTGAGATGAAGGAGTGAGGCAAGAGGTGTTCCTCTATTTAGAGATTCTAATACTAATTGTGAAGCAAAGAAAAAGACAAGCCAAAGTGAACTCGCTATAACTTGTCTATCATAGATAACGATTTACCATCAAGTGCTGTCGGGAGTAGAGGTAGTTCTACAATGTTGCCACTACTAACTAGTACTTCTGCAAATCTTTATCCAGCACGGAGCTTCGTAAACATGTGTTCATCTTCCAGCAATTTTGCGAGTCTTGGCAAAAAGTTACTGCCCACAAGCGCCAACAATACCCCCAAGAGATCCGTTTGCATGTACGTCCCTACGGCGTCTGTCAAAATGTCGACGAGGCCAAAGGTCATGTCGCCATGATTTGGCGCACTCTCTGGCCTTGGCGTTCCCTTGTCCAAGTTGAGGTTTTTGGCTTTTGTTTAGAAAAGGTCAGAAATCTACTTCAATGACGTGGACATTCGTCACTCATTCATAGTCCTGAAGGCACAGATGGTCAAGACCACATGTTCACGGACAAGAGGATTCATACTTCTGAAGGCACACATGGTCAAGACCACATGTTCACGGACCCAAGACCCCATCATGACCCCATCATGACGTGACCAAAGAAACGCGAAGGAGCGCAACTGAGCTCACCTCTGACCCGTTCTCTACTACTCACGGGGTGTCCTGGTCCTCCTGTCCTCTTTGATATCAGTGATCTACTCTGAGCCTTAACTATTACTGTACGTTGGGCTGTAAGAACCAAAAAGCGAGGTCAAAAGGCGATCCCTGTAGCCGTTTTCGCAAGTCGTATGATCCCATCCCTGTTATGAAGATGGGGATGGGGAACTGAATGTCATGTCATGTCATGGCGCAGCCTCTTGTATAGCCTTATGCATCTATGTTGTATGAGGAAAGTGTACTTACTCTTACAACTCATATTCAAAGTCATACCCAACATATACTCGTCTTACTCAAAAGAGAAGTAATCTTTCAGTGGGCTCCTTTTCATCTCGTTGAAGAAAGCAGCTGCTTTTTCGAGTGTGAAAGACTCAAGAAAAGAGCGGGCAGCTCCCACCTACAATTTCATTCGGAAAGTGCCTACTCAGATATTTTGAGTAGCTCCTTTTCTTGTTGAAAAATGTGAGCGCTCTTTCGGTTTAGGTTTAGATTTAGCGGGGTTTCCGCGTCAGCCCTGCGCAGCAAGCCCCTCCCCGTACGCGGACAAGCTGCATGCGCTCCATGCTACTCCATGCACCTTCTATAAACTACACTGTTGTGAGGATGAGTGCACTTTTTCTCCTCAGAATACCTGTTCGTCGTTTCGCATGCCATTATCGTGTGCAGGTATCGAAAAGCTTGTTTTATCGATGTGGTCGATTCCCCACTGATCCTCTGCTCCTCCTGCTGCTTCACGCGGCTTCAAAATATCATCGAAAAATCGAATCCAAGAGATTAGAAATACAAATCAAATAGAAGAGCTCAAATATAATTTCTGAGGAGCAGGAGTCAATGTCAATCCTTCGACAAAGGAGCTCCTTATAGCTGCTACTTAAGATGAACTGACTCTCTATCAGAATCTTAGACAGAGTTTCAACATCACCTTTTTCTTGTTCTGATACTTTACTAGTACTACACCTTGCTGGCGCGAGTGCTACTTGACGAGGGTCGAAAAAAAAACAAACTTAACTGTGCGAAAGTCCCAGGGGTCGCAGCGATGCCCGCACGACGGTGCGACTTGTCCTTCACTTCTTCACTAAGCCCTATCGGCGCATCACCGCCGCCGACCTTCTACTTAGAGCGAGGAGATGATCGCTCTAAGTGGTCTACGATGACGCTATCTCCTTCAATCTATACTCGAGTTACCAAGAACAAATGAAGATTGATGACCGTAACATTTTTCGACGCAAGTACGCTGTATTTTGGCATATTCCCTTGTTGGACACTCGTCGTCGGTAGGGCTGCCCAGAGACTCGGAACTGCATACCAAATGTTCAGGTCCGACGTAGAGCGTACAAAAGCCGCATTATCCATTCCCGGCGGCGGCTTATTCAACCCTTCGAGCTCAGAAGGCACTAACCCTTTGAGGAAATTCATCTGCTGCAGCAGTAGAGCCCGGTCCTTGCTAGATTTAGCGCCAGGCCTTAGCCCCATTTCAACGACCCACCATTTCGACCCAGTTATTTCTCATGAAATCCATATACATCTATCATGCCAAAACTCTTCTTCAATTTCAACTCGATGCAAGGTACAACAAAGGGAGAAGGGTTTTCCCATGAAATTAAAATCTATGCAAGGGAAACAAAAGGGTGCATCGGCATCGCGATGCTGAGAAACAGAAAGATGGAGAAGCTGGCTAAAGGTAAAGCTCATAATAGCTAACTGGCAGACGGAAGGAGACTCGTGTTCCCATTTTTCGGCCATCATTCCGGGATCCAAGCCCATCTCCTCTCGCCTCTTTTTGCTCCTCTCTATTTAGAATGTCATGTGTCACGATACCTCGTTCGCAGCTTTTCGCATCTGCATATGAGGCCGCTCAGTCAAGAAATACCTCCTGCGGAGAGCTTATCACATAGTTGGTTCTTACTGTCTGAGAACCTTTTTTATCTTCCTCCAAGACCAAGAAGGAATGTTAAACTAAAGATCCTCTGATTCATGATTAGCCAAAAAAAAAATTTGTTTGGCTTATCGATGATACTCATGTCTGAGTGATTAACCTAAAAAAATAATTGTTTAGCTTTTTGAAGATGCTCATGTACTATGATTAGCCTAAAAAAAAAAAACTGTTTGGCTTCTCGAAGATGTCGAGCCTTAATCAATAGCCTCGCGCTTTTCCTGCTCTGTGTCCACGTGTACGGCTATTCTCGCGACATCCAAAACCCCCTCAAGCAGAAGCTTGTTGCGTGACCAACGGAAATTAGGAGTGGTTTTCGTAGCACTGGTTGGATATAGATAGTAAAAAACATCAAGAAACAATGGCAAAGACCTCCGCCACCACTGCCACGACCCTACAGCATGTACATGAAGAGCCGCCCGACCCCCAGCGCCGCAAGGTGGGCCGAACGCCGTAGAGCTGTCCAAATTCGTCCCACCGCTCGCACCCCCTGGTAAAAGGGTGAGCTTGTTCTTGCTCTTCCTTGATGCGTGACGCGTCACGCGTCCGGGACCGATCAAGGACCCACGGATCGATCGAGAGCCCCCACCCCCAGACCGACCAAAGATCCACGGATCGACCAAAGACCCACGGATCGAGTAAGCGTCCCCAGATCGATCAAGGGCCCGGGGATCGATCAAACGCCAGCGGATCGATCAAGGGCCCACGGATCGACCCAAGACCCGCGGAACGATCACGGGCCCACAGGTCGACCATGGACGCACTTCCACAGGACTGCGCTAGCTGTGTGAGTGTCCAAGCCAATCAAAGCGCCAAGCCTTTCCCTGAAGTTGTTGCGTGCTGCGCGGCGCTCGAAATTGAACGCAGACAACTCGCCCACCCCTGGGCGAGGCGCGGCAGGTGTTGCGCGTCGCGCAACAGCTCTACGCTGTTCCGTAAGTCCCACCCCCCAGCACCAGCAAGCCTAGTCTAAGAGCCCTTCCCTACCAAGAAATTAGTAGTCTCATACTTCTTAGTGATCATATTCATACTCTTACTACCCATCGTAATCGCCGTAGTTAGTATATCAATTATATACTAGCTAAGCATGGAACATAAGAATAGAAAACAAGGCTTGCGCGCTCAAAGAATAAACATAGCCAAAAGACGGACAAGCGCTAAAAGTCTATAGCTAGTGAGTGTCCCTCCAAAACTGATAAATGCTCAATTTGAACGAGTAACCTTTTATCTTTAACTAGTAACTTTTTAACTTTAATTGGAAAGCGTCACTTGACTTTACAGCTGGAAAGTGTTTAACTTTAACTAGAGAACGCAACTCTACGGCTAGAAAGTGTATAACTACAGCCAATAAGCGCCAGACTTTAGCTGGCAGCTGTCGGCCTATTAAAGCTAGTAAGTGCCTAACCATAGCTAGTAATTGTCGAAGTAAAGCTAGTAAGTGTCGAACCATACCTAGTAAGTGTCAGACTATAACTAGGAAGTGTCGGACCATACCTAGCACGTGTCGAGCGACAGCTAGTAACTGTCGAAGTATAGCGGGTAACCGCCTAACTCTAGCCAGCAAGGTTGTAGCTCTAGCCAGTGGGTGTCAGATAATAGCTAGCAAGTGTCGAACTATAGCCAGTAAGTGTCTAGCCCCAGCTCATAGGTGTCTATCTGTACCTAGGGAGCGCCAAACCATAGCCAGTAGGTGCCAAATTATCGCCAGTAAGTGGCCCACTTTAGCTAGAAAGCGTCCAACTTTAACTGGTAAGCGTGTGACCTTAACTAATAAGCGCCGAACTTTCGCTAGTACCTGTCAGGCTATTCATTGCTAGTAAGTGCCTACTAACTTTCGCTAGGAAGTGTTGAAGTTTAGCTAGATCGTGTATGGCTCTAGCTAAAAAATGTCGGGGTTCTCCTAGTAACTGTCGACCTATAGCTAGAAGGTGCCCCCTTTTAACTCGAAAATGTCTAGGGAGTGTCTAACTTTAACTAGAGACAGAGAGGCCCTGCTTGGTGGATGCACCGCCAAGGAGGTAAAGGCAGGGAGATGGGGGTAGGAAGGTAGGGGTAGAGAGGCGGGGGCAAGGAGGTGAGGCAGAGAGGTGGGAGAAAAGAAGTGAAGGCAAGGAGGTGGAAGCAGGGAGATAGAGTTTAGGAAATGTCGGCAGGGAGGTGAAGGCAGGGACATGGAGGTGAGGAAGGTGAAGGCGAGTAAGACTTGGAGAAAGCGAGGCGGAACAAAACGGGCAACAGCGAAGGCAAACGCGAGCGGCTAAGGCATAGCAAAGAAGTGCCAAGGCTTTCCGGATATCTAGAAACTAGCTCGGTTGTGTCTTGTCGAAAATCCAACGAGAATGACACACCTGGGCGGGAGCGAAGCCAACAAGTATAATCGTATACTATAAGTAAAGCCGTAATTAGAGCCGGCTGAAATCGCGGCTGCTCGGTGACAGGTGCCGTGGCCTTTAGGTAATTCGCAGGTAGGTCCAGTCCTAGTTTCTGCCTCGATAATTTCGGTTCGAGCCAACCCGCGTTTTTAGAGCATTCTTCAGTACGTCATTCGTTTACTCTTTAAGTAATCGGCAACTTAAGTATGATCAGTAACTCAAGTAATCACTCGCTAATTTGACCTTCCTTTACCAAGGTTGCATGTTGTTTGACCTTTATTCTTGACGAGCTTGACGTTGACGAGTAGATAAGTCATAATGATGACGATGAGTCAGACTGTATAACGAGTAAAAGCAGGTGAGCGTGAGATAATTGCCAGACGGACTAGGCTTGAGACCATAAGTGCCACAAGCACAAGTTGTCATAATCAATACTTTGCTGGGCGAGAGGGGTTTCTTTTTCATCTTTTAAAAAAGATGAACCTCTACCTCCAAGGATTCTGCTCGATCATCAAGGTTCAAGGTTCAAGGTTCAAGGTACAAACATACATGATACGAAAGAGACAAGCTTGAGGAGCTGCAGCCGTAACGTTTGTATCGACCGTCATCGCTTGTGTGACCACTTTTATTGCGCCATCAACGCTCTTCGCTTCTCTGGCCGCATTGAAGGCAGCTCGCATCTTTTAGCGCTAGTTCTTCACGACCATTTGTAGTTGACGTTGAGTGCATTAGTAAGTTGCCCTTTAATTTATATATTCGCCTTACTTGGCTTCGTCCCCTTTAAATTTAAAGCAAGGGGCCTCTTCATCTCGATCAGCATACATCATAGTCCGCATGCCTTGAAAGCACCAAGGGGCACGATCATCTCGATCAGTATACACAACAGATAGTCCACAGACTAGGTAGACATGGCAAGATAGTGAAACAAGATTAGCCTTAAATCTTCTGCCTTTTGTCGATTATTTTCTGTTTCATTTGTGCTTTGAGTTCATCGTTCTTCTTTTTGAAGATGGACGTCGTGTCCTGCTCTTTGTCCTCCTGTTTTTAGCCGTTGCACTTGCAAGTTGGTGACCTCTCACTTAACTTGAGAAAGCCATACTAGAGAAGATTCTCCTATGATGTATTCCTACTTGAGAAAGCCATTGTTGTAGAGATGCTCCTCATAGAGTTACAGTTAGAGAGGTCAATTACAGTTTCCAAGTGGAACCCTTAATGTTTCTGCAACCCGAGTATTTCTTCAGAGTCCTCGTCCTCTTGGTAGTATGCTTTCGCCTCTTGCAGAATATCTATTTCGCTCAACCCCTGGTCATGCAAAAAAAGTTTGTCTTTTTCTGCACCCTTTCCAGCTTCTGCTGAAGCACGATTGTCTTAGAAGATGATGATCTACAGCTTGTGGTAGTAGTTCCGCATCGAGTACTAGTCTAGTTGCAGCAACTTGCTGTACAGCACTTGCACAATGTTGAGATCATCATCGTCACTGTGTCTCAAAAGGATGAATGAAGAAGCTAACTAAATGGCAAACAAGAGTCAACACCGTCTACAGTCTCTGTCCCGGTCGTCGATGATCTTCAGAGCCATAAGAATAGGACGTATGCATGGTCGCTGCGCAGATCTTTTGCTGAGCCTCGAGGAATTGCAAGGGTCGTCCTCCCACAGTGTACGCGAAAGCGGTGTAGCTGTTGCTGGTGAACAGCAGCCGACAGAAAAGTCCGTCGACTTCGCGACTGCGCAGAGTCTTGGCTTGCTGTTTTTAGAAGTGTGCTAGTAGTAGCGCTAGTAGTAGTGCTAGTAGTAGTGCTAGTAGTAGCTCTAGTAGTAGCTCTGGTAGTAGCGCTAGTAGTAGTTCTAGTAGTAGCGCTAGTAGTAGCGCTAGTAGTAGTTCTAGTAGTAGCGCTAGTAGTAGTGCTAGTAGTAAAGAATCCATCTCAACAAGCAACATTTACATATTTTTGCTAGAAGGACTAGCAAGTGGTGCAAGAAGAACTTGAACTACTTGCAAGAACCAAGATCAAGAATTATCCATCAAAGACAGTAAACGCAACTTCTTCATGGTGCCCCCCGTTTTCAAGATTTATAATAAAGGATAAGTACTACTACTAACAGCAGGAGTATAGTTCTTGAAGCTGTGGATGTAGCCAGGATTAGGATTAGGATGTGATCCGCCGTCCGCAGGGTTTAGCTGCATTCTCAAGCGGATTAGCGCAGCCTCTGAAGGACTACCAAATACCCTGCGTCACATAGCAAGGGCTGATGAATCACGCCCCCTACGATTTCTAGTAGCGATGTTTTAGCTTTCATCCCTTCAAATAAAGCAACCACAAGAGCAAGCCAAGATGTTGGCGAGAGAGATGGACTCTGAAGACGCTAGATGGATTGCGTGGGGAGATGGATTTCCATTTCCTGAGTTCGTCAACTTATCCTGGCCTTAGATTTTTACGGTGAGGTATCCGTACTTTATTTTTCCGGTGGGAGTTACCTCTGGGTCTAGGTCGGCTAAATCTTTGTCATCGCTCTTCTCCCAAGCACCGACTCCGGACTTCTAGCATGAAAAATGACGTACTGCTCAGAACTTCTAGTATGAGAAATCTGAAATGGCGACGTGTCATTTTGAATAAGTACTAGTCGTAGTCCCTCAAACTCAATAACTACTTTAATGCCGTCACTTGCGCAAGAAGTAACTACTCTACTACCGTCACTTGCGCAAGAACTAACTACTCTATCACCGTCACTTGCGCAAGAAGTAACTACTCTACTACCGTCACTTGCGCAAGAAGTAACTACTCTACTACCGTCACTTGCGCAAGAAATGTCATCAGGAGTCTCATGGGGACAAAAGGAAGTCTCCTCTTCAGGCTCTTCCTCGCGGACCTCTAGTAGTATGACTTTGCTCACAGCGCAGAAGAAACCCGACGAGAGCAAGGCCCGCCATCGAGTCGAGGGTGAGAAACTGAGACGCCAGAGATGGGCCAAGTCGTCGGGTGCACCCAATCACCGTGGCCGCGCTTTGGCTCACGAAAAGCGATACCCGAAGACAAGCTTGCCGGATCTAAGAAAAGGAAACCCCAGATCTAGGAAAAAACTTCCCGGATCTAGGAGCAATTTCGTCCCCAAGAGAGTCGCTGCCAATTGTTCGTTTGGTGTATTCTTTGGGTCCTTAAGCTCTTCCTCGCGGACCTCTAGTACTATGACATATATCTAGATCGCCTTCAAGGTCTTCCTCGAGGACCTCTTCTAGTTCGATTATTATAGATCGTGAAGCAGGTATCGGTGGATCTAGGTGCAGTGAACTACTATCAGGATTTCTGCTCATAAGGGCGGCATTTTGGCTGCAGCGCGTTCCGCTTTCAAGTTTCTTGTTAGAGCTTGTGGTTGGGAGATGAGCATAAAACGAGATTACTAGTAATGTACTGGTGCACCGCTAACTTAAATAGGTGCGACGATTCGAATCGATTCGGCAGCTTGCACAAGCTTTCATCCCCGACTCTGTCCCTGACGATTAGGTACTACAATACATGGAAGAAAGAGTAGTTCAGCATGGGTTTACGTGGTTACGTTTACCTATACGTGGTTAGTATAAATGATACATAGAAGTATCTTCTTCATAATATGAGTTCATCGCTTTTCCTGGTTTGCTTTCCGACCACTACTTTTAGCAGAGTTTGCCTCCGCTTTCGCTCTTCCCGCTCTTTCTTCCGTGTCCTCGACACCGCTGTGGCCCTCCTTCCGCTGTATTAGAGCCATCAAAAGTGAGAGTCTTGTGCCATTTCTAGACCCATTGAGAGTCAGAGTGAGTTCATCTACGAAGAGAGTCTTGTGCCATTTCCTCTCGACACGTTGCTCATGTTTGTTCCACCACTAGGAAGTCTCCTAACGAAAAGTAAAACTACTATGTTGGTCGAGCATATCTAACTAGAAAAAAACAAAAACCGAAAAAAGAAAAGTCAGGCAAGAACTAAGCTTCTAGTAACTAAGCGCCGGCGCTGTCGTGGTCCTGTCAGCCCCAGAGGTCTCACCTTCGAAGGCAGGCCGGAGCCCTGTGCAACGCCTCCGGTGAGTGCTCAGTTCTATGGTAAAACCAATATGAAAAGGAAAACGAAAGTGTCAGTATCTCCTACCAGGACTAGTCACTTTGAATGAGATCCAAATGCTGGCAGGCCTAGCATGTCGCCGTTAACTACCAGCACGACCTACTTGAGGTAACAAAAGTATTCGAAAAGGTGAAATAAACGAGTTCACTGATCTTGATCTAAGATTGCTACCTCGTAGTCTCCCACTTGAATCTACTGGCTTAGGGTTAGGGTTTAGGGTTTACCCTTTAAGACTTCGAATGAACCAATATTAAGATGGGCCTCAGCATAACTTTGCTCCTTTTCTTTGCTCAAACGAATTGAAGCCTTTTTCGTAGCAGCCTGTCTCCCAGCAGCTCTTAGAGGTTTGCCTTCGCATCTTTGTTGAGAGAATTCATTTCTTTTTTTACTCTTTCTCTCTCAAGAGTCAAGAATTTGAATTGATATTAATGCTTGTACTTCCAATTGTACTTTCTCTTCTATATTCAAATTGATACGGATTCGGATACAACGGAAAGTATTACTTTCAAGTAAGAACTCGTAGTATACGGATTACTTTCAAAGTAAGACCTCGTAATATAACTAAACCTAAAACTTAAACTGATAACAAGTCACTAAAAACAAAATCAGAAATCCTTCAGGGGCTCTTAACAGCCGAGCTGGGTCTTGAACACCTGCTGGCGGCCCTTTCGGTGCAGCTTCGGTCTTGGCTGCCGCTTCGGTCTTGTCTGCCGCTTCGGTCTTGGCTGTGGCTCCTTTGGCTGCGGTCTTGGTTCCAGCAGTGGATGCGGTTTTGGTTCCAGCAGTGGCTGCGGTTTTGGGTCCAGCAGTGGGTGCGGTTTTGGTTCCAGCAGTGGCTGCGGTTTTGGGTCCAGCAGTGGGTGCGGTTTTGGTTCCAGCAGTGGCTGCGGTTTTGGGTCCAGCAGTGGCTGCGGCTTTGGCTGCGGCTTTGGCTGCGGCTTTGGCTGCGGCTTTGGCCCCCGCGGGCTTTGGACCGCTGGTGCCAACTTTCGGGGCGACCTCCCTCACGGCTGGTGCTCTGCTCTTCTGGGCAGAACCTTCAGCCCGCTGCCGCTGCGCTTCTCCTTCTTCTTCTCTGGACTCCCGCGCAGCCTTCCTAATTTGGGCCCTTTCCTCTGCGCTGTCTGCCTTCTGCACTGCCTCTATTCTCCTCGCTTGTTCGACTGCGTGTTCCTTTTCCACCGCACGTGTTTCTCTCTGTTTCTCCTTGGTCCTAGCAGCCTGTGCCCGATCTCGTTTCGCAGCGTCTCTGCGCTCTCTTTCTTCGCTTGCCTCGGATTCTCGCGCGATTTTGTCCTGCTGTTCCTTCACCTCCGCCTCGGCAGCTTCTCTGTCCGCCCGCGCCTTCTCAGCGAGCCTTTGTTGCCTTTCAGCTGCCGCTCCCCGGCGAGTCATGCTCTTGCTTCCGGCGTCATTTGCACCAGCCTGTGGCGCAGCGGCTTGACTGGTGGCGCCTAATGCAGCTCCTCTGACGCTTCCGCGGCCACTCCCTTTTGCGCTGCTGCTTGCAGCCCCTTTGGCTTTGGTTTTGGCTTGAGCTTTCGCTGGGCTGCTGTCGGTGGCCAGTCCAGACCCTGCCACAAGCGTGGCTTCATCACCAGCTGCAGCTGCCGCACCCCCTGGTGCAACAGCCGCACCCCCTTCACCCGGCGTCACGGATACGGCTCCTGCGGTGGTCTTTTCCGCGGTGCCTGCTTCGTCGGTTGTTGCGACCCCTGGAGCAGTCGAGCCGAGATCCGGCGCACCCGGTGCAGCTGCTGGGGCCACTGTCTCTCCCGCGGTGCCTGCTCCTGAGGTTGGTACCCCACCGGCGTCTGCTTCTTGGGTTGCTGCGTTTCCTTCAGCAGTGGCGCCAAGCTCCGGCGTGTCAGACGTACTTCCGATGGCTATTCCATCCGCGGCACCTGCGCGTGAGATTGGCGCACCCCCTGTGGCCGGGGCATCCGGGCCTACTGTGGTCGCCCCAACTCCTGTAGCACTCGCAAGGCGAGCCACATCTCCCACCCAATTGTCTGCCTCTGCCGCGTCCCGCTCTTTTTCGATGCGTCGCGCAGCCTCTGCTCCCTCTCCCTGGGCCTTGCGGTCCTGATCCGCCTTGCCATGCACCTCCTCCGCCTCCGCCTCGTCCTCCTTGCGCGCTGCTTCCCCCGCCTTGGTTCGGCCCTCGTTGGCTGCCTCTGCCAGCTCCCCCGCGGCTGGCTCGTGTGCCAGTGCCACTTCCTGGACCTGTTTCCCGACCTCAGGCTCCTGCCGCGCCTCTGTCGCTGCCTTTCCCTGCGCTAGTGCGGCCTCCCTTGGTAGCGGCTCCCGCGCCGCTTCACTCGTGCCCTGCTCCAGCGCCTCCGGGCTTGCCGCCCCCTTTGCCGTCAGCGCCGCAGCCTCGTGCGGCGCTTCCCGGTCTGCCTCTTCCTCTATCCTCGGCGCCGCGCTTCCTTTTGGCGCTCCTCCTGCCATTAGTGCCGCTGCCGCTTCTCCACGCTGTTCGCCCGCGTCACCAACTGAGGCTGTCTGGCCAGCCGTCGCGGGAAGGGCCGAAGGCGTGGGAGCGTAAGTCAGGCCG